AGAACTCGCAGGTACAGTCCTGCTGCATAATGTCTAAGTAAAAAGCCAGATCCAACAAGATCCTAGCACAATATCCGGCCATCCTGTACACCATAGAACGGATCACTTGACAACACTGACTGATAGGGAGGTAGGAAAGAGAAACGGGTGGTTGTGAATATGACGATGCATGTGATCACGGATAGTGTTCCACGCTGGCCAACGATATGACTCCCGTCATAGCCCACCATGCGAGAATGGGCAAACGTGAGACTGGGTGTAGGCATCAAGCGCCATCGAAAAGAAAGCATTCTTGGCTGCACGTTCTGAATGGTGTCCAGGAGCTGCCGGACAGGAGGACCCGTATTCAAGCCAGACAACCTGCTCCTTCCATATCTAGAGGCAACTTGATAAAAAAGAGAAACGAGATAATGCAGACACAGCAGGGAGGATAGGAAAGAACACCCGCGAAGTTTGGCTAAAGTTGAGGGTCTAGCAATTGCAGGACCCGGCACCCTGGGTACCGGGAGCTTCTGGGCGCAAGTCCACACCAGGACGGGGGGTGGTCCTCATGTTGCGGGGACCGGCCTGGTCGAGCGGCAGCTTCTTCGCGATCGCCGTGAACAGTTCATGCACATTCGTAGAGGACTTGGCGGAAGTTTCGAAAAAGAGCAACCCAGCTTCGCGGGCATAGGCTTCAGCATCCGCCGTGGAGATAGCTCGCTTATCCGGGTTCTCCGTAACCAGGTCAAGCTTGTTACCGGCGAGGGCGATCACGATGTTTTCGTTTGCTTGACGTTGCAACTCCTTCACCCATGACTTGGCCTTATCGAGGGAGGACTGTTACGGGAATGGGATGGTTAGCTATCCGAAACAGAGTCGATGGAGGCGGTGGGGAGGATCGGGAGGATATACAGCTTGTGTGATATCGTAGACCACAACGGCGCAGTTCGCATTTCTGTAGTACATCGGGGCCAAGGATTTGTATCGTTCCTGGCCGGCGGTATCCCATATTTCAAACTTCACCGTCGTGCTGTCGTCCAGGGAAATCGTCTGCGTGAGGAAGGCGGCGCCGATCGTCGACTCTCGGTAGTCATCAAATTGATTCTATTTCAGGAGAAGGTAGTTAGACGGAGAAAGTCGCATTGGTAGGAATGATTCAAGGGAAGAAAATACCTTGACGAATCTGAGTACCAGCGAACTCTGCAGTGGGTAGGCAACGTCAAGTCAGCGACCATCAAATCATCCACGGAACAGATATCCTAACCTTTCCAACAGCAGACTCTCCTAGAAACAAGAAAGGACAAGTCAGCGCTATCATCCCAGGAACCCGGTCGGATGCGGGGACAAAAAACACACTCACCCAGCAAGACCAGTTTGAACTGGGCGAATCGAGCACCGGGGCGGGCGCCAGCTGCGGCTCGGGAAGCCATGATGAAAGAAAGTCGAGATCAAAGCGGAGGTAGGGGATGTAGTCGCCTGTAGTGTGCAGTATGGGACCAAAGTGGTTGAGGCTGAGAGGAGTCGAGATGGAAGGGAAGGAGGATGTAACGATAGAGCGATATGGAGGGAGGCGGGAATCCGGGTGATGCTGGGAGGTTGAACCAAATTGATGGCGGCCTGCAGCAGCAGTACGGTAGATGACGAAGGGGACTCTTTTTCAGCCACACCCAAGCCGACTTGGCCGTTCAGGGCGGGGCGATGTGGCGGGAGTGCCCACCCAGTACGCGCTCGGTACCCGGCGGGAGTATGGGCAACCCCTACAAACCAGAGGTACCTCAACCGTACCTTACCATACCTTACCTCATCTCCCTATCACCACCAGCACCACATGCTCCTGGAGAACACCTAGGCTTGTTTGCCTCGTTCGGCGATCGTCCAGCATTCTTCCTCCTCCTGATAGTACCCTTTTACTCGGTGATCACCACTCGTTCTCCGATTCTTCTGACATTCTTTCTCTTCCGATTTATCATGTGTTGATTCTCTCCCCCACTACGTTCTTTTCTTTTACTTTCATTGCTTCGCTCTTACTTCCCTCCTTCTCCGTTCAACCCTAAACCCCTCTGTACCTGGGTAGACTCTCCCACCTTAAATACTTCCAACACAATTACCTCTACCTGTCCTTTCCCCTTTCCCACTCCGATCAAGTGGGATTCGCCGATAATGGCACCTTCAGTCCTTCCGTACCGTGATATCAACCTACACGCCTCGTCATCCCACTATGCCTTCACGTCGCCGTCGTCGCCAAACGCCCCGGCTCTTGTCGTGGATCGCCCAACCGGCGACCTGCGCCTTCACAGTGGCCCCCTGTCTGACGCAAAGCGGATCTCCAGTATCGCAGGTATCCTGGGTATCATCAAATTGAAACTAGGTGTGCATCTATGATACCTTTGCATTTATGCACAACACTGACGGGATTAGATAAATACATCATAGTGATCACCAAGGCCCAACCCATGGGACGCTTACGCGGCCATATGGTCTACAAGGTCGCGGCGACAGAGTTCCTTCCCCTCCGCGAGCGTCCGCTCCACGATCACGATGAAGATACGTATCTGGCGCTGCTGAAAGAGCTCCTGCGGACCGGGCCGATGTATTTCTCCTACGCCCTGGATCTTACCAACAGCTTCCAACGCCAGTCGCAATGCGATCCTACACTCCCCATGTGGAAACGGGCTGATGACCGATTCTTCTGGAATCGATTCATCCAGACGGATTTGATCGACTTCAGTCTCGGGGTTCAGGACTCGACAGGGATGCGGTACAGCGGCCCCCAGCCGGGAGTTGATCCTTTCATTTTACCGGTGATGTTCGGCATGCTGCGCATCACGCCTGCAAAGGTGAAGTCAACATCATTCACCTTCGCTCTTATCACTCGCCGATCCCGTCATCGGGCTGGCACGAGATACTTCTCACGGGGCATAGACGAGAAGGGTAATGTCTCGAACTACAACGAGACAGAACAGATCGTCATCCTGAATGACGCTACTGGCGGGCTGTCCGGATTCGCTGGAGGCCAATCGATGACTAAGGATAAGGCCGGTAACCCCGGTCAGGAGCTTCAAGTAATGGCCTTTTGTTCAAACGAGAGGGAGCGTCCCGGTATATTGGGCCGAGGTCAACAACCTCAAGTATACCCCAAAGCTGCAGGTCCGCGGTGTCGAGACTGCTCTGGATGCTGCTCAGAAACATTTCTCGGAGCAGATTCGCCTCTATGGAGAAAATTATCTTGTCAATCTGGTGAACCAGAAGGGGAGAGAAGCACGGGTGAAAGATGCATACGAACAGTTAATTCGCATCATCGTCTCCCCCTCCGCCGAAACCACCGAAAGGGACCAGGTATCATCAGAGAAGATGCATGTTTTAGAACCGGGGCATCGACAAAAAGAACTGGATCGTCTCCATTACATATATTTTGACTTCCACAACGAAACGAAGGGTCTGAAGTGGCACCGTGCAGAACTCTTGTTAGACCGCTTGATCGGCGGGCTGAACGCAGGCGGCTACTTCCGCGGTGTGGAAGATCCCACTGCTCCCAGCGGACAGCTTGACGCGCGCTCTGTACAGACCAGCGTCGTTAGGACCAACTGTATGGATTGCTTGGATCGAACCAACGTCGTGCAAAGCATGCTTGGACGGTGGGCCATCACCCGTCAGCTGATGGACGCTGGGGTTCTTCGGCCGGGTGAGGCAGCCAACGACGATCGGGATTTCGAAAACCTTTTCCGCAATATTTGGGCGGACAATGCGGACGTTGTCTCCAAATCATACTCCGGCACTGGTGCGTTGAAAACGGACTTCACCCGTACTGGTCAGCGTACCCGAGCCGGAATGTTGCAAGATCTCAACAATTCTATCACGCGCTATGTGCGCAACAACTTCCTAGATGGCCCTCGACAGGATGGGTTCGATGTCTTCTTGGGTGCCTATCTGCCGCCGGACTCTACGCTTGGAAACTTGCGACTCTTCCTGGATCGCCGGCCTCTAATTATCCAGTCGATCCCCTATATCCTTGCGGCCGGCGTTTTCATGATCATGGTTTCTATGTTCACTAGACGCTTGCCTGACGCAGCCGTGTGGCCGCTGCGGCTGTTCGTTATCTTCTGGCTTGTCATTTCTGCATGGTGCGCTCGCTTCATCATTGCGCACGGAATGCTATATGTATGTTTCTTAGTCACGTCTATCTGGCTCTCGATACTGACACGCGCACGTACAGGTCAACTGGCCCAAGTTGAACACGCCAGCAGCTGGCTCCGAAGGATACCAGGACGCTTTGATCAAGGCGCGCACCGACCCCATTGTCGGGAAGTTCCTCCCTGTTAGAAGACACCAACGGGGCTATAGCAACGCTCGGTTAGGCTTCTTGGAAGAAGGAAAAACGAGGATCGAGTAATCTGCAATATAGATTCCCCGATCTTGTGCCATCAATCTTGTCCATGTACGACTTCCGTCTGTACTTTTAGTGCCGTGGCTCTAGTTCGATTGTTCTGTTCTTACCATCTATTGCTTTACCCCTTTATACTGATACTTAATACGGCATGAACGCCGTCAACAATGTATGGAGCTCATACCGCATCGTGTAGGGGAAGAATAGAGGCGGGGTTAACAGGCTCCTTTTCAAGATTCACCATTGGACACGCATATCCATCTCCCAGTATGCTTTGTCTAGGGAGAGTACCTGTCCTGCAGAGTTGATCTCTGCTCTATGAGCTGCGCTATCGCCGTACGCCCAAAGTCCATGGCATAATCCAATGCTGTTCGACCTTCGCCGTCTTTTTGGTCCAGATCCACCTGCCCAGTTTCAAGCAACAACTTCGCTACTGCATCATGCCCGCTCCGTGTGGCACGGTATAGTGGTGTGAGAAGCTCGACGTTTATTTGGTTCACATTCACCTGGCATGTCTCAAGTAAGAGCTTGACGACAGCCTCATGTCCATGGTCTGCAGCGAGGGTCAATGGTGTGAGTCCGTAGTAGCTATTTGCGTCCACATCCACCTGCCCAGTCTCAAGTAACAGTCTCACCATTGATTCATGCCCAAACTCTGCGGCACGGGATAAATGATCCTGTCCGCTGAGGTGAATCTTTCGCCATCAATTTGCCCCAGCCTGAATAGACTTCTGCACCGTAGCTATGTAGACTCCCATGTTGAGCACCCCATAGCAGTGCTGAAGATTCGGAATTCTGAGAGTTCCTTCGCTATAAATATGGGTTGAAGATAGTGTCTAGAATTGGGTGTTGGTTTGAGCTAACGAATTAATGTCTCTTTCTGCCTCCGGGAATGTCGCCAATAACAGGAGTAGTTCTGTGGGTAATAGAAGGAAAGACATTTGAGGGATCCGTACGTTGTTGTGATTGCTCGACGGAGTACTCCGTAGCCATACAATGCAAAGGTGCAGATGGACAAAGTGCCATTACTAAGCAGTTCTAGTTATGCACCCCAGCTCATCGGCAACCACTCGTCGGGGAAGCTGTCTTACAGGGTGTTTGCCCCTCCTAAGATATTCTTCCGTCCACAAGCCTGCTTGACCCTGATGAGGGTCTTTCGATTACCTCCTGTATCTCGCTGTATTCCGTCTGTTCAGCTCCGCCGGCTGTCCACCTCTACCACAATGACTCGCAACTACGAGGTACCACTCCAATGCGACATGCTTCTCGCTTTACCAGGCTTGCTGACATGTGGCGCAGGATGCAATCACGGCGCTCAATTCGCTGCAATCAAACTTCGCGATTGTGCAGGAGGTGGCGAAATCAGTATCGAGGGTTGATATGAACCTGCGATCGATTCCGGAGACTGTCGAGTGGCTCCGTCGCATCGGGTACAAGGTGCGCATCTCCAATCTCCCAACAGACTCTTGCTCTGAGAGTTACTCTAACTGACCTGCATTGGTACTAATTAGCCATCCGATTTGAACCGTATGAATCCTGTCCATGTCGCGGGAACCAAGGGTAAAGGCTCCACGTCCGCGTTCATCGCCTCCATCCTCTCGCAGTATACTGCCGCCCAGTCGAACGACACCTCTGCGAAACTTAACAAAGTCGGTCTATACACCTCGCCCCACCTGCGATTTGCCAGGGAACGTATTAAGATCGACAATGAACCCTTATCGGAGGAAAAGTTTGCAAAATATTTCTTCGAGGTCTGGGATCGCCTGGAGGATGCCGCGCGGGCGGCTGGCGAGGACCCGGCCGAGCGACGGACCAAGCCGCAGTACTTCCGGTATTTGACGCTCATGGCTTTCCACACGTATTTGAGTGAAGGCGTTGATGCTGCTGTAATTGAATGCGGAATTGGCGGCGAATACGACTGCACCAACGTACTCGAAAAGCCAGCCGCAGCGGCCATCACAAGTCTGGGAATTGACCACACAAATATTCTGGGGACAACCATCGAAGAGATTGCCTGGCATAAGGGCGGAATCATCAAACCTGGTGTCAAGGCCTTCAGCGCCCCGCAACCCGGCGGCGCGGAAAAGGTGCTGCATGACCGTGCGGCCGACAAGAAAACGGAGGTCGAGATTGTTTCAGGGCATCCCGATTTGGTTCGCGGTGGTGATATCAAGCTTGGCCTCGCGGGTGACTTTCAGTACACTAACGCGGCCATTGCTGTTGCAACGGCTGCGGAGTTCCTTCGCAAGGTTGGAATTGAGGACGTCCCGGCAGATATCCTTTCTAAACCATTACCACCCAAATTCCGCAAGGGTCTAGAGACAGCTCGATTGGGTGGTAGGTGCGAGACGAGATATGAAAAGAATATCGCATGGTACATTGATGGAGGGCACACGTTGGAGAGTATCAAGCTGGCAGGCCAGTGGTTTGCCTCTCAGATCCATGCGAATTCTTCATCGAACGCAGCCGCCAGTAAGAAATTGCGGCTTCTGATCTTCAACCAGCAGACTCGCGACAGCAACGCGCTTGCACGCGCTCTTCATGAAACTCTGTCTGAAGCCCTCAACGCCGAGCAACCCTTCACCCATGCCATTTTCTGCACCAATGTCACTTACAAGGAGAGCGGATACCGGCCAGATCTCGTGAGCATGAATACCAATGCCAGTGACGTGGAGAGACTGGCAGTTCAGAACAGCCTGGCCAAGACGTGGCAATCCATTGACCCCAGCGCCGAGGTCAAGGTTTATGCGACGATTGAAGAAGCCGTTGACTATGCTCGAGAGCTGGCCAACGAAGAGAGAAACCGCATTGGGAACGATGAAGCTCCTGTGATGACCTTTGTCACGGGGAGTCTCCATCTCGTTGGGGGGTTCCTCGACGTGATTGAGACCAAGCCCAGTCCGTACGCTTAGGTGGCTGTATTTGTGACAAAGCATTGCGGACATTTGGATGTACATCTACTTGAGTATGGAGTTTTCAACAACACATCTAGCGATACCCAGACTGGCTCGGAGTCCAGCATGTTGGGAGGGGTTTAGGAAGGCGTTTTTGTCCAGGGCTTCAACAAAGATTTGGTCCAAGTTAGGAGTGGTAGTGATAGTGGTGGTAGTGGTAATAGTCTTTAATTAAGGCTACTACTTCTACTACCACCATTACCACTACCAGTTAGCATCAGTTGGAATATATGATAATATGCCTCCGTTAGAAGTTGGTGTGCTTGATCTCATTCCACATGGCAGATATATCTCTCTCATGGTCTCGAATGCCGAGGTTCAACACCTTGACCTGGCAGTGTAGGGCAAAACCAGTCGCATTACATCGCGAGTTGAAGAGATAAGTAGAAAGAAAAGTATACATATGATCGCAGCATTGACGAGCATCCTACTCTGTACACAAACAGAACCTTGGTCAAGAGAAGTAGTGACGTGGGGCGATTTGGTGGCCCTGAAAACCTTCCCGCTTTCCGCCTCCACTAAGCCCTCATTCCCATCTGTTCCTCCTCCCCTCTTCTGCTTCTCCCGCTTCCCCCCCAACTGCGCCCGTTGCCGCCATGTCGGACTCCAGATCCAAGGAAAACAAGGGCAAAGCGCCCCAGACCACCGACTCCGAGTCTGACAAGAACCCCCAAAATGCGGCCGGACAAGCCACGATCGACCCCAAGGTGGCGGAGATCCTGCTGGCCAACAACCCCGCCCTGAGGAATGAGATGGCCGGGATGGACAAGGAAAAAGCTGCGGAGGCATTGCGCAAGGCCGACATTGCCGAGTTGCTGACCGGTCTCTCGGTGGGCGGCAAGAACCAAAAGGACATGGCCTCGTACAAGTTCTGGCAGACCCAGCCCGTCCCTCGCTTCGATGAACAGAACGACGCGGACGTTGGAGGTCCCATTAAGATGATCGACCCCGAGAAGGTGTCAAAGGAACCGGATGCGTTGATTGAGGGCTTTGAATGGGCGACGTTGGATCTCACGAACGAGACCGAACTGCAGGAGCTGTGGGATCTGTTGACGTACCATTACGTGGAAGATGACAATGCCATGTTCCGGTTCCGATACTCGCAGTCGTTCCTACACTGGTATGTGACAGCTCGAATTGAGATCGGAGAAACTTGTTGATGTGCTGACCACTGTTGGGTTTACAATGTAGGGCGCTGATGTCCCCCGGTTGGAAGAAAGAGTGGCATGTGGGTGTCCGAGCCACGAAATCGCGGAAGCTTGTCGCTTCGATCTGTGGTGTCCCTACGGAACTCACGGTTCGTGGCCAGAAAATCAAGGTGACGGAGATCAACTTCCTCTGTATCCATAAGAAGCTGCGGTCGAAGCGGTTGACCCCCGTTCTCATCAAGGAGATCACTCGTCGGTGCTACCTGAACGGCACTTTCCAGGCGATCTACACTGCGGGTGTTGTCCTGCCCACCCCCGTCAGCTCGTGCCGGTACTACCATCGCCCTCTGGACTGGCTGAAGCTGTATGAGGTCGGTTTCTCTCCCCTTCCTCACGGCTCTACCAAAGCCCGTCAAATCACCAAGAACCACCTTCCGAGCACCACCTCTACCCCCGGCCTTCGTGTGATGGAGACTAAGGATATTGATGCTGTGCACGACCTCTTGGTGCGCTATCTGAACCGGTTTTTGCTGAACCAAGCCTTTACGCGGGAAGAAGTCGAACACTGGTTGGTACACAAGAAGGAGGTCAAGGAGCAGGTTGTCTGGTCGTATGTGGTAGAAGACCCCGAGACTCATAAGATCACGGACTTCTTCTCCTTCTACAACCTTGAATCTACCGTGATTCAGCACCCTAAGCACGACTGTGTCCGCGCCGCCTACCTCTACTACTACGCCACGGAAACTGCATTTACGGGCGACAAGAAAGCCCTTAAGGAGCGGCTTTTGCTTCTGATGAATGATGCTCTGATCCTCGCCAAGAAGGTACGCGGGCCCGCTACAACCCATCGATTCGTTTTGAGAAGATCTTGCAACTGACAATGGCACAGGCACACTTTGATGTCTTCAACGCGCTCACCCTCCAGGACAACCCTCTTTTCCTGGAGCAGCTGAAGTTTGGCGCTGGCGATGGACAGCTTCACTTCTACTTATATAACTACCGGACCGCGCCCGTCCCCGGCGGCGTGAATGAGAAGAACCTGCCGGATGAAAGAAGGATGGGAGGTGTTGGTATTGTGATGCTGTAGGAGGTGGGTGCTACATGTTTGGAAAGTCATCAAAAAGAAATTATGGGTACGAGTGATGTGACCTCGTATGAGATTAGCGATTTACGGAATAAAAGTGAAACATGACACATTCCCCGTCGGGGTTGCCGAAAATAGTAGGCTGTTGCGGCCCCAGGCGCCAAGGCAACGTTTTCCGCATTCGTGACGTCGGCCTCCCACCTCATCCTCTTGCTTTCCGTCTAAACATCAACCACCACGGTCTTTAATTCTCTGCTGCATCATAGAGAGCTGCCAAATGCATCCGCAAGGCCTTCCAATACCCATAGACATGCCTAAAGTGTGAACTGCCCTTTACGGTATCGATATCTAGTGCTGGAGCCCCACGTTTACCTGGCTAGTCGCGCTCTATATAAACGAGGTAAACAGCGCCCTGCGCTTATGATATCGGACTCTCCAAAGATATCAACCCAGAAATCCTCTCCCTTCCACTGGTCTGCGTTACAAAATGGGTGTGGGAGCGTCATCGGAGTATGGCCAGCCATCCTCGCCAGGTAAGCGTCTATGCTTTACATTCGACGACACCATGCATAGATATCGAAATAACCCCCAAATTCACGAATCAACACTAATATATGGCAGAGGAGCTGAGCTACGTGCTCGCCGAGCGCTTCGCGACAAAATGTTTCACACCTCTAGAGCTCACCCATTTCAAGGATAACTTCTTTACTCGTGCCATCGACCAGGCGGGCATGAAGTACTGGAACGAGAAAATACTCTCGGACTTTCTTGGTATCCCTGACAGCAGTGATGCCCACTGTCCCTTGGATGCGGGTCCGGTGATCTTCCGCATGGTCTCGTTTCTCGGAGCCTTTCCCTTCCAGAACACATTAGCCCCGAGCGTTTTGACGTTCGATAGCATGGTGAAGGTTGCTGTGCTTCTCACTGAGCGATATGGAAAGGTCCTCAGACGGGCCCGAAAAGACAGGATCCGCCTTTTATTCGGTAGCCTTGCTGATGTCGGGAGAAAAGACGCGGATCAGCCGCCGCCGCCTGACGAGAATGCGCAACAGGATGCGGACTCTTCGAATGCTCCGTCTCATGCTCCTGGCTTCTCCATTGATGAGCCCGCAAACGACGCGTATGATGATGAAGATGATGATGATGATCTGGCTCTAGCGGCACTAGAGTCTCTGGATGCTATCGAGGTCTTTAGACACGACTCCCGCATGGATAAGGCCGTCTATGAAGCTCGGATTTCCGTGGCCACGTTTCGGAGATTGCTGATGTTACTGCTTGTCATTTCGCCCTTGAAGCCTCTTGAACCAGTGCGAACCTATACGTCTGACTTGAACGAAAGTCGGATGGAGGCCGTCCGAAAGGAAGCAGACAACATTCTGGCTGCGTTTCCCCAAGAACACTCTGGAGGAATCAGCTATAAATCATTTGCAAAGACTATTGCAACTTCGCTGCCGTATCTATTTGACCCCCTAACTCCGTTGTTTGAGCACCTTCTCTTCAGCAAGAATCTAGACCTGTCGCAGAAACGCGAGAGGTCAGATTCTGCAGCTGCACAGTCAGACGATGAGACGGTCGACCAGCAACCATCCCCAGTGCCTGAGCCTGAATCGATCATGCTCCCCGGCAGCTTTGAATCCTCGATCCTAGACCCAGTCGTTATATCGCACCTCTCTTTCTTTCTGCCATCTACGAACACAAACTCGAACCTTCTTCGTGGCAATCTACGCCTACACCCTGTCTTCTCGACTGCAGCACACGGCTCATCATTGACCTCGTTCTCACACAATGTCATAACTTGGCAGTCAGGAACACTGTTTCTTCTAGAGGGCACCGTATCTGCTGGATCGGAGCAAGGCGAAACGATTACTCTGGGCGCGTACCTACCCCAGCCCTGGACATCCGGATCATCTTCGTCGACGTCCTCCCGCTCAGGCGACCAATCTACCGCGCCATGGTTTGTTCCAGCTTTCTCCTAAACACATCATTTTACCAGGAAAACCGTCTCCATCAATACAGAAATCAAACACACCCGTTGCCTACTTTTCAATAATACGGGCATATCCATTGGCTGTCAATTGCCCTCCTTCATCGCGAACCAACCATGCCCCTCCATCACCGCTAGGAGCAGGCAGTCTACGGATTGACACGAATCTCGAAACCGCAGACTTCCATGTGTCGCCTATTGGGCAAAATGGCGCCTTCCTTCCGCCGCCCACGGGAGGCCCTGAATGTCCGACCCAGATCCAGATCGACATTTACAATCTGGAGATATGGGGGCTTGTCCCCGATCCAGATGCATCGTCTGAGAAGGGAATGAGTGCCATCGAGTTACAACAGGCCAAATGGGATTTCGAGGCCCGCGAGGCAGAGCGAAGACGGAACCTGAATTTGAAAGCCGGTGCGGGTGATTCGGCTCGCGAGGGCGCTCGATGGCTCTTGGAGACGGCTGGTATAATCGGAGATGGGTCTTATCGGAAGTAATGTGTCTTAAGAGGATGGTTGAGAATCGACTATATGGCGTCTAGTTTGTTCGCCTATGACCCAACTTAACGGTGATATGTGTCTATGTTACGGAGGCAGATTTTCGGAATTTGGTTAGCTCATTCTATTGAAAAAGACGAGTAAAAGTGTGTGTATATCTAAACGAGCTAGGCAGATCTACTCGTCAAAGGCCCTTAGCACAGAAATAGCAGCAGCGGTGAACGTTGCCACGCGATTGTGACCTGATGATGTTAGTAAACGGGACGTAAATCACGAAGGCCTTAACATACCGCCGTAGGCAACACGCTCCCACCTAACCTTCCTCACCGGCGCAGAGCCATCAGGTGCCCTGTTCTCCCATACGAGAACCTCATTAGGGCCGTTCGAGTCCTTTCTCTGATAGACAATACTGCCAGGCGCATCTTTGACGTTTTCCCCGGTGGCCGCAACCCAAACCTGACGACCTTCATACCACGGGATCTCGACATCGTTCTTCGCATGGATAATGGCCAAATCTAATTCCTTACTTGTAGAAGCAGCATCAGACGTACCCGGCGCAACGCCCGTCAACCGGGCCACGCGCGCCGCAGTATCCCACGTATCGACGATATGACTCTTCACCCACGCCTGCACGCGGGGGTATCCCATCAGCGGGGAGAGCATGGGCGGGGTCAGACCCTTCAGGCTGTACGACTCGATTAGGTTGGGCAGGTTACTGAAGGAGGCGAGGAGGATGACCCCAGCGAACGGCTCGGGGTCTTTGATAGCCGGCTGGATGGCGGCCGGGTCGGGGGACCCGAACGCGAAGCGCTCGGCCACGGCGGCGCTGACGGCCGTGCCGAGGCTCTGGCCCATGAGGACTATGCGCGACGGCGGGATGCGCAGCGGCCCGGCTGTGAGGAAGTTGAGCAGGGCGACGCCGTCGGTGATGAGGGCCTTCCTCCGTTGGGGAGCCGGTGGAGAGGCCGAAGCCGCGGTAGTCGATGGCGAAGACGTGGAGCGGGTGGGAGGGGGTGGAGAGCCCGAGTAGCATGCGGTAGATCTCGGGGCGTTGGGCGGAGGCGAGATGGGCGGCGTTGCCGTGAACTGAGTTGAGTTAGGGGATCATGTTGATGATTGGAGGGGAGGGGAGAGGGTTCAGTACAGGCAACGACGACCCGGGAATTGGGGTCATTTGCGAGGAGGCTGAATGCGGTGGTTTGGGAGTAGTCGGTTGCTGGGCCGGAGGGTTCGTTTGCGTTGAGGGCCTCTTCGTGCTCCTTGCAGAGGTGCGGCGGGAGGAGATGCCAGCCGTAGAGGGTCTCGTTGTCGGGAGTGACGAGGTTGAATGGCTGAACTTGGGTTTCTGCTGGGGTGAGTAACCGAGTTTGATACTGGTCGAGGGGATATACTTAGGAAGCCGAATGACTCTACTTGGTTGATGTCTTGCCATAGCGTGGGGTTGACTTTGTGGGCATATAGAGCGCTGGACTCGACGGGTTAGAGTGCATCATCGGTCGTTTGGTGCGACTGCCAGAGGGCTCGCAGAGCATACAGTCTTTGGACATCGGGATATGTCATGGAGAAGACGAAGCAGACGTAAACAAAGCCGGCCGCGGCCAGAGACCAGTAGGCCTTTTTGAAGATGGGGAGAAGCTCAACCATGGTTACTGCGTGGAGGGTTAGTATAATCATGATTCCAGCCATAGATTGGAGTACATACAGAGTGAGCGAGGAGTTCTGCCTGTCTTCTGAGTTATTCATCGATACTTGAAGATGAAGGCATGAGAACGACAAGACACTTGAAGAGTGATGTTGATGTTGTCGATGGAGTGATGTGATGGATAAGCGGCTGCTGGCCAACTGGCGAGATGGCGACTCTAAGCTTACTGTACAGGGTACCCGCGTCACTTTCTTCTCCCTTCTTTTCTCCGCGACTAATCTTCCTCCCGTCAACTTCCACCTTTCTTCCACACACCCTTCTGCTACCCCTTCGTCTCGAGATGATCCTCATCTTCCGCAGTAATCTCCCCGGTTAACGCGTGCTCCTGACTCTTAATCGCCACCATGGCTGAAAAACGCCGACTCTCCGCACGCGACCGTCGCGAACCCGCCGCCAAAAGACGAGTCTCCGAAGCGACGCCGCAACCGCAATCCCAAGCGACGTCCAAAAAGAAGGCTTCAACTCCGGCCGCTGTCCCCTCGCCTCCTCCGCCTCCTACACCGGAAGTTGTCGAGAAACCGTTGCCTACGAAGCTGAAAGATGGAGAAGGCCTCCCCATAACCGACTCGCCGCAACCCCAGAATCTCTCCCCGAATGAGTACCAGTCGATAGCCGAAAGGTGGGTTTCCATGCGGAGGGAGTACCGCAGTAAGATGGTTCTCTAACTAGATAGTAGTGCCGTCCTACTTGCCTCCTTGGAACGATCGAAGAAGAAATGGCTCAGCGACGGCATTCTCGTGCGATACTGGACCAAACCCAAGAAGACGAAACGGGAGCAGATCGAAGGCAAAAACCCACCCAAGGATACCATGTCCAAGGTTGGCGCTTGCAGCATTGTGGTCGGCCCTCATCTATTTGATGCCATGCTCTACACCGTCAAAGATCCTAATGCGCCGCCACCGATTCAATACACCCCTCCACAACGACCGATGGTCCATTATGGCCACTCCAACAACTTCCAGCAGTACCACCATCCCTATCCGCATCCACATCCTTCTCAGCACGCTCGACAACATCCGCAGCATTCTCCCGCCAATGCCCCCTCGCCTCAACCTGGTTATCACCCAGGTCAAGCGACACCCTCACACCAAGCTCGGACCCCAAGCCACCCTCAACGCACGCCGTCCGGTCCTCAGTCCGCCCAACGTCCATCTCCAGCACAGCCCAACCAGCCGCCTCAGCCGGCAAAACCCAGCCCTGATCCAGTGATTCAGATGCTCGCTACGCGTGCTGCTTCAGACCCGGAACTGAAGGCTTTGATGAGAGTGGTGGCGTCGAGCAAAGCATCGCAAGAACAGCTTCGAGCATTTCAAGCCCATATTGATGAGCTTAATGCGATTATCCGGGCGAGGGAACAGCACCAGTTGAGGCAGCAGCAGCAGCAGCAGCAGCAACAACAACAACAACAGCAAGGTCAGTCCTCGACGCCTCAGACTCAGGCGTCTCGGACACCCCAACAAGCACAGCATGTGGCACCGCCTCAATCAGCGCCGTCACAAAGACCTCCTCAACCACCGGCACAGCCCGGCAAACAGGAGAGTCAGCCACAGCAAAAGACCACGACAACACCCAAACCCCAGCAGCCGCCACAGACGCCCCAGCAACCGCAAACCAGTGAACAGCGATTTCCTCGAGTGGAGGTGCAAGTCCCAAAGCCGTCGCCATCTCTTGTCTCAACTCCGCAACCGTCGACTCCCAACCCCACGGTACAAGTCCAAGTTCCACCGCCTCAGAAGCCCAACACCACTCCCCAGGTCAAACAAGAGCCTGGAGCAACCCCGAGCCAACCTTCACATCCACCTCCGGCCGCAGGACCTCCATCCAGCTCTAAGCCCGCGAGCCCAGCGGTGCAGCCTATGCCACCCCCACAACAACCCCCGGTGGCATCGCCACGACCAGGGCCCCCATACCCCCCTTATCAACAGGGGCCGTACCAAGGACAGCAGCCTGCTCTACAGTCTCGGCCCCCGCAATATGGGTCCCCGGCGTCACATTATCGCCAGGCTCCTCCGCCGCCGCCAAGACAGAACTACAAGTCGGTCGTTTTTGAGTTTACGTCACCCTTGACACCGTATGGAAGTAGTACTTCTGGCCACGCCGGCTCCGGTGATCGATACTTATTCCCTGAGTATTCTATTTTGGAGTGGCTGCCTGGTGGCAACACCGTCCTGGCGTCGTTCTTGTTGGTAAGAAAGGTGGACCTCAACACACCATTCCCTATCGAAACTGGGTCGGAGACGGGCAACTCGCGAGCAAAGGGCAAGTCATCCAAGTCAAAGAAGGCGGACAAAAGCAAGGGTAAAAATGCCGAGAGCGAAAAGGGGAAGGACACTACCGCAAACCAGAGCAGCACTCCAGCAACCGACGCGAAGGAAAACGCTACACAAGCCACTCCAGCTGGCGGACCGGCGGAAAAATCCGATGACAAAGCCGCAGCAGCATCGGGCAAACAGGCCAACAAAGACGCGTCCACGGATAAACCAGAAGATGCAAAGAAAGCCGACAACCTCAAGGAGTACTACCAACCGGTGACTTTCCGCATCCACAGCACCAACCCCAAGGTCCTCGAACCTCTTGGTCGAGTCGTGAAACCCCCTGATGAGGTCCGCAAATACATGAACGAAATCATGGACCGCGCCGAGCGCGCGCCAGATGGGTTTCTCGCCTTCCGTCTTCCGCGAGAGGAACCAGATGAACCCGAGGCCGAGGACAGTTATATCAAGAAAGGAGGCACGCCAGTTCCTACTGTTCGCAGTCGGCTTTCGAAGAGCAAGACCGTGGACAACGAGGAGTCGGATATCGAGAATCGTGAGAATCCGGCCGAGGACGAGGAGGAAGAGGAGCTGCTGGATTATTATGGGCCGCCTATGGGGCTTGTGCCGATGGGGGTATAAGCTGCTATGACGCCGTCCATTGTTGATATATTGTAATCTACTATTTTGCCTGTTGAGCGAAGAATACTGGCGACACATTCCCCCAAGCAGCCAGTCTTTGGTTTCGAATTAGTCTATAGCATCACGCCACGGCAGCGATGGCTGAATCCGTCTAGGCATGGAATTTACCAAAGCATTGGAGTATTCCCGCCCTACTTCCTCGCACGCCCGGAACGTACTTACTTACCTATACCCTCTTTTTTGCTTATTTTTAAAGTGAGGCGATACTTTGCATTCGCATCGGGGCCGTGCGCACATGCATACTCCGTACTATCTCCATGTATGCCATCTCCCACCCCACACCAAGTCGGACTGGTAGGTTCGTGCCGCGGGCCGTCTGATATGTATGGGATACATACGCGTCCGGCACTGATCCGAGGAGATGCGCCAGGTGGCACGTCCTGATTGGGGATTCGAGACGGCTGTAAGCTGGGATCTTTGTCTCTAATGCAAGGCTGCATCCGCTACTCCAATATCATGGAACGAGGCTCGAAGAAAAACGATGACCACGTCGCAACCCTCCCGGAACGCTTGCGGGAGCTTGATTATGACTGGAGTCCCAGAGAATCATCTATCTCGGTACCAAAGAGTCTTCCAGGCGAATGTGATTCGGCTTGCAGCGTTGGATGCTCTCGATCTTCGATTATGGCGCGAGAAGAGACATGTGGCATCCAAGAGCGAATTGTCGTCGGCACGAGCGGATGAGCGAAGACTCGAAGCTGGAAGAGCTGGCCTGGTATCCAATAATGCTATGCCAACTCATGGTCTCGTCATGGACTAGGGCGATATACCGAAGAATCAGGACGCCTCGGCCGGGCGCAAGTGCATCCTCTTTCTTACCCTTGTTCTACTCTGTGCGGAGAAGGAGAGGGTTCAATGACAGAGCCTCATGAGGGCCGCTCTATATATCAAGCTGCTCATCACCCGCAGAGCTGGACAGTCTTTCGAACCATATCTCTCAGTCTACACACCTTTTCCACTCTTGAATCTATCCTCTCTTGAGTTTGCAACCCATCTATCATGGCTCCTGCACTTCTACCCTCATCACCTGCACTGGCACAGTCGTCCACTTCACGTCTCCCGCAAACTTCAATGCAAGACGGCAGTAGTTACGACAGCCAAATGGCGCAGAATCCTAGTTTCCTAGCTGGTCTCCAGGTGATCAACGACAAGATGCAGCTGCAAGAACGGCTTCAAAGAAAACAGGCAGCGTTCGAGGAAGTGATGGAGATCAACAATAAGGAAAAGGAGGCACATAGCCGGACTAAAGAGGAGGTGCAATCTCTCAAGAACGATATCAAAGAAAAAGATAAGGCCATTGACAAACAGACAGAACAGATCAAGTCTCTCCAATCCCAGGCTGCAAGCTTGCAATCCAAATATGAGGACGAGAGGCACAAGGTTGCCGACGCCCACGGCGAGATTGGCGGCCTGTTGCAACAGATAGCCAGCAAAGACTCAAAAATTGACGAGTTGAAGAGTGCTGGATCGCAGTTGAGAGAGCGATATACTGCCTCAAAGGATAAGATCAAGCAGCTCCAGGCAGAGAACTCAGATTTGGATCAGAGGCTGAGAGCAGCCACTGACCGCGTAAGGGAGTTGGAAGGATTTGCAACCGGCTTCATTGAATTGGATGAGAATCACCTGTAAGTGATGTGTCGCTCACTCTATTTCTAATTTCCTGTTTCTGACGCCACTAGGATTGATGGGTATGCTATGCTCTGGGAATATGCCACGAACGAAGTCTACTCCCAGCTGGAGGCCGATCTTGATAGCAAGGTGCTTCGAGTAGGTCCACACCGGTACTCAGAAGGCCGAATTCTCGAGGATGTCGATTCTAACTCCCATTACAGGACAGTGCAGCGTGGGAAGAGCTGAGACATTGCGACCTTGCTATTCAGCACCGCATCCCTCTCCCATCTTCCAACTCTCCTGCGGCGAAACATATGCTCCTCGCCATGATTTTGGCCATGCTATCGAGGGAAATTGACAGATACATCTTCCAACCTGCGTACATTGCGGGTGAAGATTGCCCTAGCCGGCAATCGCTGGCTAACCTGGCGGCCGTCAATACCGAGAAAGAGTCCTTTTGCCGGTCCATCTTATTCTCCCTTGATCCCGAATCCCAGAGTAAACGCTGCCAATGGCGCGTTCAGAAAATCGTGCAACACGTCTCGTCATATCTCTGCGCATTGCTTTCGGACGAGCAACACAGTCGATTCTGCCAGAGTCTCGAAAACGTGGCCAAGAAAGCAGTGGAGGTCTGGCATCCCATTCAGCATGCTCGAAGAAAGTACGAGTCCGGCTTTGAACCAGCGGACAGCGATGATGAAACGGCGACTTTTGTTTTCCCCGGCCTAGAGTCGGTGGACACCCCGTCCAACAGCCAATCTCAAGCCCAGGGTTCTCTGATAATATTCCCTCACATCTACGCGATAGAGGGGAATAAGAAAATCTTGTACACGCCAACCTGGCAGCTCACCAGCATGCACCCGCAGTGGGTGGCCGCGGAGCAGGAAGTGCGACAAGGCCCTCCCAGCTCTGCATTTGAACGGGTTGTTTCAACCCAACTGCGCAAATTTATGGGCCGCAGATCTTCCTCTAGCAATTGAATGCCCTCTTCTCCTAGTGAAGGTGTGATTGCAGAATGACAGGTGCTTGAGGCGGCTTGGGATCAAGAGCCTATAGGGCTCCATGCTTTCGGTCTTTTGATTGTTTGATGATTGACTCCATGTTTGGTTTGTTTGTTATTAATATTATTAAGGCAGCTTTTACAATATGATCATTGTCTTCACCAATCGCCACCGAGACGAGGTAAAAACGGACAGATAATGTGCCACAGACATTGAACGAGGACGGGCGTGACAGGAACCGTAGTAGATCGGAGAAAAGGGGAAGGGAAGATATATACGCCCGTTTACATAGCAGAAGTTTTCGGCTTCCTACGCTTGTCACGGACGAAGATCTCGGTCGAATCATGTCGAAGGGAGCGGCGGGTCATTTCAAACAAAGAGGAGGCGGCCATGAGGTCGCTGAGCTTATGGTATTTATACGTCCGAGGGTCGAAGTCAGGATAGTTTGTAGTGAGTAGCTGGCCCACGGTAGACAGGTGGGCCCAACCATCGTCATCGGACGCTGCTTCTACCGTAGTTCGCAACTGATTTATCAGGCGGCTATCGTCGAGAGTGCGTCGGGCCGACGAATGAGTTTGCACATTGTCCGCATGGGGCACAAGCTCATCCACATGCACGAGATTCTCAGTGTAGATAAATTTATCGCATGCAGAGACGAACGGTTTGGGCGTGTTGTGCACCCCGAAGCCGTAGACAGTTGCGCCGGACTCGCGGATCCGAGCGGCGAGTCGGGTGAAGTCACTGTCGCTGGAGACGAGACAGAACCCATCAAATCGGTTCGCGTATAGAAGATCCATGGCGTCGATGATCATCGCGGAGTCGGTCGCATTCTTGCCGTGCGTATACGCGAACTGCTGGACTGGTTGGATCGAATGCTCGAGGAGCTTGGCCTTCCAGGGCAGCAAATTAGAACTAGTCCAATCCCCATACGCTCGCTTCACATGAGCTGTACCGTATTTCGCCACTTCAGAAAGGACGAGGTTCACGACGGAGGCCTGAGCATTGTCCGCGTCAATGAGAACTGTGAGTTGGGGAAGGTTGTTAGCAGCCATGACTGTGGATGTATCGGGGGGTGTAGGTATCTGCAGGAAAGCGATATAGCACGCACTGCGCTGGAGATGGTGACCTCGAAGTTACATCCGTGGTCGATTACTAAGGGCAGGGCTCAGGATCTACTCTCGATGAAACGTCGATGAAAACGGACGAAAACCAAGTCCCGTGGCCGTACATACTCCATGGGGAGAGTTGTATAGTAGCTGTCGGAGTAGACACTAGATCAATATGATCAAATCCATCGGAAACCCGGATCGACTGCATCCAGCAGTCCTCCACTTTCTGATATCCATCGGCTATCGTTGCTTCTCTCCGGATTGCCGTCTCTCCCGGTTCTCAACAGCTCGGACAGTTCACGGTTCGACATAGCTCCCCACAGACTGTTACTGTCTGGCGGTGGAAACTGGAGCTCGGACAGAGTCAAGCGGCCCTCGCCCTCGCCGTTATCCGCATCTCCGCAGAGCCTACTGACTTTGTACAGGGCGAGAGCGAAACGCTTCATTTCCTCCACACCCACCCAGATGGTGGTGATGTTGTCAATATCTTGGTACCGCGCAAGCATGGTTGGATAGGAGAAGATATTGTGTTTGCGGCAGGATCGTAGAACCGCAGCTAGTATCTCCCGGTCCGGCTGCGGGAGCTGAAAGGTGAGATCCCACTGACACGCGTGAGGGAGATTCATCAAGAGCGAGGCAATGAGGTAGAGCAGAATGCCCTGGTAGGTGGCGATGGGCCAGGCAGACGCCGGCTTAGCTGGCTGATCCCCCCAGTCTTCCCACGTTGTCTGCTGCTCGAGAATGCTCCGGCCCAGGCGTTCGTGCAGGACGCGGGCTTTCCTCTTCGCCGGCTCCTGCTCGGAACACCACATGCCCAGCATGACGACAGCATAGAGAACCAACGCAGGCTCATGTTCGATGCTAAAGGTACCTTGATGCAGGAGCGGCCATCGTGGATGGAACAGCGTGAAGTACAAGTGGACGTAATGCGGGATATCGGGTTGGGTTTCTTGCTCGAAAACCGCGTTTTCCAGTTCGAGGGCGGAAGAGTCCGTCGTCGTGTTGGCTCGATTGCGGTCTGGCGTGTCGAACACGCAGGCGTGCTGCTTCTCCTGGCAGTGTCTGCACGGCTGGCCGCCCCGACAACGCACCTTGGCGACGCGGCATTCCCGACATGCTCGAGGGGCGCGTGTTGGCTGTACCTGTGCCTCTTGGTGGTCTTGCCGGATGTGACGGTTCAGTGTGTCCCTGTGGATTTTAGAGATTTCAACGTCTGGATGGAGCTAAGGGAGAGTACTTTCTGGTGAATGTGCGGTCACAGAATGGGCAGACGGACATCGAGGTCCCAGCGTGTTGGGCTTCATGGCGACGCAGGTGCTCTTTGCGCCGGTAGCTGGCGTTGCAATTGCTGTAACGGCAGCAGAAACGGTCTGCTCCAGTTGTGGGCATTGCGAGAATGTACTGTGATCAGCAGGGAGAGTCCTTCCAGAGGAAAACTGGCGGTGATGTATAGTTCGGGATCCCACCGGCTCCCACCGGGATCCCATCGGAAGCCCACGGCGGGGATAGAGTCTAATACTACCAAGTATCTAGATGTCTACCTAGGTACACAGATCATGATTAATACACAATGAAGTAAAGATTCCTTTGCCTCCCGCGAGGCCACTTGCTTAAATACCGGGAAAGTCCACCTCCATCGTGCATCCTGTTTGATCTCCATCAGCTTCAACCTCAACTAAATTACTATATTACTATACATTATGTCTTCCGTCAAGTCCTTCCGCCAAACCCTCGGCATCCCTCCCTCCACCGCGACAGTCAAGGACTCAACCCTGATTATCGTCGACGCGCAGAACGAATACGCCTGCGGCCATCTCAAAGTCGAACACGTCGAGCAGAGCCGGGCGGTGATCGCCGATCTGCTCTCGCGGTACCGCCAGGCCGGCGACGGCAAGAACATCGTGCACGTCGTCCACGAGACTCCCAGCGGCGCACCCGTCTTCACGCCGGGCACGGAGTTGGCCGCCGAGTTTGACGAGCTGAAGCCCGAGCCGGGCGAGAAGGTCGTCACCAAGCACTTTCCCAACTCCTTTGCGGGCACTGATCTGCATGACTATCTGCAGGCGCTGGGGGCGGTGGGGAAGAAGATCGTGCTTGTGGGGTATATGGCGCATGTTTGTATCTCTACCACTGCGCGGGCGGGCAATGAGCTGGGGTATGAAGTCCTTGTCGTGAAGGACGGTGTTGGGGATCGTCATATCCCTGGCGTTGATGCTGATACGCTGGTTCATGTTGCACTGAATGAGTTGGACGATGTGTTTGGTACTGTTGTTCCTGCTGCGGATATTGGGGCTTAGGAGTTAGATATCAATCTGATCGAGTGGAAGAGAAGTGGTGTTGGTTTTGTAATGTAGATACTGCAACACAGTTCCTGATTGACAACAATGACAACAGTACAATCACAGCCCACCCTTCTATCCCCTCCAAATCATCACCTTGGCAGCGACCCTTCCGTTGTATCTGCACCTAAAAAACAACCATCGCAGCCCTCCCCGCGAGCGTCGCCAAAATCCCCGACGAGAGCGCATACAGCGTGAACCGCTGCGGGATGTTGTTGGTAGTGCAGTGCACCAAGCTGTGCAGGACGCGGGCGCCGACATACGCCCACGCCAGATAGGCGTCGGTGGCGCTGTTCTCGCCGCGGGCGAGGGCGAGCACCAGGGCGATCGCGTAGAACTGGGTCGGCTGCTCGAGCAGGTTGTTGAAGTTGTCCGTCTTCCAGCGCACCGACGGCGGCGTCTTCAGGTCGATCTGGCTGCGGGTCTGGGTGTTGTCGTCGCCGAGCTTCAGACGCATCGACACGGGCAGCCGCGTGGCGTACATCCAGACTTCCATCGCAAAGGTCCAGCCATTGAGGGCGACGATGGGGGCGAAGAGGTTGGAGATGGACATGATGCTTTTGGAGGTTGCTTGTGGAGGATGGATCAGGCGCTTGATGGATTGTAGAGGGAGGAAGAGTAAGACGGATGTGGCTTCATGCAGTGAGATTCCCCCTCCCCTTTATATACCCTGGCCTTCCGGACATAAGACGGCTTACGGCCGTATGATTAATTGGTTTTAGCAGTCTCTTGTTCCTGAGAGGAGAGGTAAACATATATGTACAATCTAGACGACATTGATTCGGACAACTCATAATGCGCAGTGATGTCTATACTGCAAACCAACATAACGAACCCCTTTGGAAAAGAACCTGGCCCAGCTTGAATACACGTCGAGAAATAAATCCAGTGAAAATAAGTCTAATATACATTGCCCAAAGTGGAGCGTCGCGCCAAATCAGTGATGCCACACTCAAAGCATCATGGGCTTCATCAGTGAGCAGTCAGGTCGACACGTCTATTTCTTGTGTCGGTCGGCCTGGGCCTTCTGGTATTTCGCAATAAGTTCCTTCCTGTAGGCGATATTAGCAGATGATCCAAGATATTTCCACCGCATAGTCAAGGAGACACGTACTGTAGTTGAGGCGTGGCCTTCTCATAGTGGCTAAACTCCATCGTGTATTCACCCTTACCCTGGGTGGCAGCACGCAGATGGCTACTGAAACCAAACATGCCGTTCAGACTGCAGTCGGCGTAGACGGTGACCTCATCCACCCCAACGTCCGAGTCGTTGATCGTGGCGTTGCGCTTGTTCAACAGAGCAATCACATCACCCTGGAACTCGGCCGGCGCCGTGACAACAGTTTTCATCATCGGCTCAAGCACAGAGGGGTTGCTCTCCATGAAAGCCTTCCGGAAAGCCTGTTGGGTCGCATTCTTGAACGACATTTCGGACGAATCCGTCATGTGGGTGGCACCGTCGTTGATCAGCATCTTGGTACCCAGAACCTTATGGCCGATCAGAGGACCCTTCTCGCAAGCAAGATGGAATCCCTTTTCACAAGCAAACAGGAACTTCTCGGAGATACTGCCTCCGACAATCTGCTCCTCGAACACGTTCTCCTCCAGCTTCTCGGTGGGCTCCATGTAGCCGACCACGCGGGCGTAGTCTCCAGGACCTCCCGACTGCTTCTTGAGCAGGTGATCGAACTCAACGTGGTTACCAATCGTCTCACGGTATGCGACCTGAGGAGGACCGGTCTCACAGTCCACGTTGTACTCACGGCGCATACGCTCGATGTAGATATCCAGGTGCAATTCACCCATGCCGGAGATGAGGGTCTGTTCACTCTCGGCGTCAAACGTCACACGGAAAGTGGGATCTTCGCGCTGGAACCGGGCCATGGCCTTGGAGAACTTGGCGGCATCCTTGTTGTTCTTGGGCTTGATGGAGAGCGAAATGACCGGCTCAGGAACGAACATCGACGACATGGTGTAGCCGAGCTGGCCATCAGTGAAGGTATCACCGGAGGCACAGTCAACACCAAAGACCGCACAGATCTCACCAGCGCCAATCTCGGACACTTCTTCCATCTCATTGGAGTGCATACGGACGATACGGGGGATTTTCACCTTCTTGTCGTTGCGGGCGTTGAAAACATTGGCGCCCTTGCGAAGGGTTCCTTGGTACACACGGATATAGGTCAGCTGTCCGAAGTTGCTTTCTTCCAGCTTGAACGCAAGGCCGACCAAGGGCAGAGAATTGTAAGGGACCAGCTTCACAGAAGCCTCGTCACGCTTCTTGTCGAGGGCCAGGTTCTGCACCTCGGAGGGGTTGGGAAGATAATCAATGACACCGTCAAGCATGGGCTGGACGGACTTGTTGGCGAGCGCCGAACCCATGAAGACGGGGGTGAACTTGAGACCAATGGTGGCGCGGCGGATGGCATCTCTCAGCTGCTGCTCGGTAGGCTCGGTCTCGCTCAGGAACAGCTCGGCGATCTCGTCATCGACGTCAGCGAGAGTCTCGATCAGCATGTTCCTCCGCTCCTCAGCCACAGCCTTGACCTTTTCAGGGATCTCGTCGGTCTCGCGGAGCTCTTCACCACTGGGTCCGACGTTGTAGATCGCCTTCATCCGGAGCAAGTCAACCACACCTTCGAATTCGTCTTCCGCGCCGATAGGCACTTGGACCGCAGCGGCCGGGATCTTCAGCTTGGTGTTGATCTGGTCAATCGCCTTGAAGGGATTGGCACCCATCCGATCCATTTTGTTGATGAAGGAGATTCTGGGCACGTTGTAACGTCTCATCTGACGATCGACAGTCATGGTCTGGGACTGCACACCAGACACGGCACAGAGAATCATGACGGCACCATCCAGAACTCGCAGAGCTCTCTCGACTTCGATGGTGAAGTCAATGTGTCCCGGTGTATCGATCAGGTTGATGTGGTACTTGTGCTCCTTGCCCTCCTTGTCCTTCTTCACCCAGTCACAGAAGGTTGCTGCAGACTGGATTGTAATACCCTTCTCACGCTCCAGATCCATGGAGTCCATCTTCGCACCGACCTTGTCTCCACCGCGGACCTCGTGGATGGCCTTGATACGACCGGTGTAGAAGAGGACACGTTCAGTACATGTCGTCTTACCGCTGTCGATATGCGCAGCAATACCGATGTTGCGAACCCGGGACAGACGTTCGGCTTCGACAGGGTCGAGGTTGTCGATGATGGCCTCCTGAGTGAGGTTGTCGGGGGAGGACGCGGCAGCCTCAAGACTGTGAAGGAGACGAGGTTAGTCTCTCTGAAGATATCTGAAGTAAAAATGAATTGCTTAATACTCACACGGCAGAAGCGGTCGCCGAAGCGTACCTCCGCTGTTGGAATTGTCTGTGAAGAGCAGACTGACAAGCCGGAGCAACGGCGGAGGCAGAACGGAGAGCGGCCGTGGACGCGCATCGCTGCGACAGGAAGTTCTGGGATTGGAGACGAACGGGAGCTCTGGCCAAGCCAGAAAGCGCACGGCGAGGCAACCGTGCAAGAGAAGGATACCGCATGGCTATCGTCCACCCACCGCAGGAGTTTGATCGAGGCTGATGCTGGGGATTCGCGATGATTTTCGGGCCTCCGAAAAAAAGTTCCAGGAACGCGTCACGTGAGCAGGCGCCCCGGCGCACAGCCAATGGACCGGCCTTGATTATTGATTCTTTCAATTGCGCAGCGATTGTAGATTCACTTCATCAGAGGACGGATGCCCGTCTAGTCCGATCTATATCGTCGTCTTATCAGGACTGTTCTGACATTCTCTACTTCAGAAGACCCATTGTACCAAGGTATATTGTTCTGTACGGTATTGATACATACCATGACAAAATATCCTGACCGCCTTTGATCCCGCCGCTGGCATCAGTCAACAGCTTCATATTAAATTGATATTCAATCATTCCACAGCACATACTCCGGATCCTAGATCCTATTGACTGAACAAAAACGTCAGTCTGTATTCTAGTCTCCGAGTCCCTCACCAAACTCACTCCAATGCGGTCGTCCCTATCACTACTTGCCACTGTCTCCCGTGGCCAACCGTCGAAGCTCCGGAAACCTGCGATCAGTTTAGATCATGTCAGTGGCTTGTCCCCGAACCAGACTTCATACTAACCGTCGCTCAGTTTATCCAACGACAGAGAGTGTTGGCACTGTGGCGAGAAATTGTTCGCACCCTGAACAGTCGGTCCAGCCCTGCTAAAGCCTACAAATGCACTGCTGATATCAAGAAGAGATCCCCGATTCACCTACGCGAAGTGAGCTACGCAACTATGCTCGTGATGAGTTTGAACGCCATCGTAATGTTACCGACTTGGTGAGTGCAGCGCCTGATCAACTACAAAATACAGCTAACGAGATCCGTCCAGCAACACATCCGCTATCTCCTCTCGGTAGGAAGCTCAGCTCAATTCAACTTTCCCGACTGACAGCATGCAGACCGGAAAAGCAGAATTCGACATGATGAGGAGATATATTGACGAACAAGTAGCAGGTTGATCCAACAGATCTTCGCTCTTGAGGAAACTGAGATGAGAACCTTCATGCCTGAAACCTGAATGTATATATGTACAATATGTATGATACCCAGCCCGATGAGAAACACAGAAACGTACAAATTACCGTCCGCTACCACCCAACACATCCCTACTTCTGCCTCGACATCAACTCCATCACCGCATCTAATACCCCCAGGGACTTTTGATCCGCAGCCTCAATGACAGACCGCGCCGCATCCTGCTCAGCAGTCGGCTTCACGGCCGCCTTCTTAGCGGCCTCGTTGGCCGCCGCCTCCATGGCCGCATGACGTTCCCGCCAGCCGCGGTCTTCCTGGTCTCGGATCTCCAACTCGCGCAGCCAGGCATCGCGCTTTTCTTGGCTCTTGCGTTCTTCGACGGCCTTTTCGAACTCGCGACGCTGCTGCCGTTCAGTTTTGAAGTACATGCCGCCTGCGACGACGGCGACGAGGGTAAAGGCTTGGGCGTAGATACGGGCGCGGAACATGCGGTTCATTTCGACCGAGTCGCCGGCCTTCATTGACCGGTAGGCGCGGTAAAGGGCATAGCAGGTGGCGGCGCAACCTGGTGAATGCGACGTCAGCACGTGCCACCGAGAACAGAATGGCATGATGGGATGGAGGATCGAGAACAACGAACCAAGTGGGATAAGAGGCTCTTCCTTCAGGCGTCTGCGGAACTTTTGGAGACCGGTTTCCTCTTCGAATTGACTGTGGATCATCAACGTTAGACGGTCCCAATGCATTATATGGGCAAATGCGGAGTACGCACGGGTTATCCTCGAACGAGGACGGCAGAGGGTCGCTCATTTCGGAGATGATGGGTACGGCGTGGCTGGGTTCGGAGAGTTTCTGAGTGGAGGTATATAGCTATGTATTTCCAAGGGAAATCACACGAGCAATGTCGACGATAGAAACAGGTCTGTAGGACAGACCTTGAAGGTTGATGGGTGAATAGTTCAAGCCGTTGGGAGGAGGAACATGACGTCGCGACAAAATTAGGCGGAATTTGCGTAACTTACCATACTTCCACATACGGTAATTCATCGTATCTATCTATGTCGACTTCTACTAGGTATCCAACTTCTTCATTCTTTTCCAAGTATACATGAAATTGACGTTGGTGTTCTCCAGAGTCTGCTATGACGGTATAGTCGCTGTATTCCTGCATCGGCAAAATTGTGTCTATATCAATTGGTCCCTATTGTAACCTGTTGCCGTCAATTAGCCTTGGTTACAAGATGGCATCCAAAGTATACGACCAGTGTAGGTATATGTTGGCATGACGCAGGAGGACTACCTATAAGACAATCATGCATTTGACCCGTACAATACTCTAAGATCTTCTTGCTACATCAGTTCACCCACATCCCAACATCTACCTAGATAGTAGATGTACATAACTACGCCCTATTGATGACATAACCATCGGCGCCGATCCCGGAAATTTTGCCCGCGGGAAGATAAGCAAGTCTGGTGCCACCGAACATTTCTCGACCCTTTGACTCATCCGCTGTCCCAGGTTCCTGTGTTTTTCTCGAGATTGTTTACTCTCTGTGAACCTCTGGACCGCACAATGTCTCAAGAGCCCACGACTAACGGTGTTGCCCCCCCGGCCTCTACAAAGATGAGCAATCTCGCACTGAACGAGTACAACACCCCGACACCGGCTCACGACCAGGAGAAGCACACGGGTCTGAAGCCCGACTGGGGTATTCCGGAATCTTTCATTCTCCCCAATGGATACCCTGATGTGAGTCGCGCCAATTGCGCTTGACATACAATTCAATGCTGACCATCCCGCTTACACAGTACCTGCGACTGATCCTGACGTCCCGCGTTTACGATGTGATCACCGAGACCCCTCTTCACCACGCCGTGAACCTGAGTAACCGCATGGAATGCCGTGTCCTCCTCAAGCGCGAGGATTTACTCCCCGTGTTCAGCTTCAAGCTTCGTGGAGCGTACAACAAGATGGCTCATTTGACCGATGAGCAGCGGTGGAAGGGTGTGATTGCGTGCTCCGCAGGTGAGCCACATTACACCAGGCGACTACCGTTGTTCCAACGCAGCTAACGCAATGCAGGAAACCACGCGCAGGGAGTCGCCTTTTCGGCCCGCAAACTCAAGATCCCCGCCACCATTGTCATGCCCTCGGGCACGCCCGCCATCAAACATCTGAACGTTGCCCGTCTCGGCGGTAGTGTCGTCCTCCACGGCGACGACTTCGACGCCGCAAAGGAAGAGGCGCGCCGTCGCGAGGTACAGCACGGACTCACGAGCATCCCTCCCTTCGACGACCCCTATGTCATCGCCGGCCAAGGAACCATCGGTATGGAGATTTTGCGCCAGGCAAACTTGCAGAAGCTGGAGGCCGTCTTCTGTGCTGTAGGTGGGGGTGGATTGATCGCAGGCATTGGTGTATACATGAAGCGCATTGCGCCACACGTGAAGATCGTCGGCGTGGAAGCCCACGACGCCAATGCCATGGCTCAGTCCCTGGGCCAAGGGTCACGCGTGTTCCTGAGCGAGGTGGGACTCTTCGCCGATGGCGCGGCGGTGAAGAGCGTTGGTGAGGAACCTTTCCGGCTGGCCCGTGAAGTGGTGGATGAAATTATCCAGGTTTCCACCGACGAGACATGCGCCGCGATCAAGGACGCGTTTGAAGACACCCGCTCCATTATTGAGCCTGCGGGCGCTCTTGCGCTGGCTGGTCTCAAGAAATACGTCGCGTTGCATCCTAGCCCCGACACCAGCCGCGAGCTGATTGCCATCACTTCTGGTGCCAACATGGACTTTGACCGCCTGCGTTTCGTTGCCGAGCGTGCTGCTCTGGGCGAGCGGAAGGAGGCGCTCTTGAGCGTCAACATCCCGGAGAAGCCCGGTTCTTTTGCCAAGCTCGTCGAGGTTATCCTTCCTCACGCAGTGACCGCCTTCAGCTACCGCTATGCGCGGAACGAGTCCGCCGATGTTCTGATGGGTATCTCTCTGTCCGCATTGACGGGCCGGGAGGATTTGGCCAAGATCATGAGCGAACTGAACAAGGATGGGATGACTACGAGGGATCTGAGCAATGATGAACTGGCCAAGAGACACCTTCGGTTCTTGGTCGGTGGACGCTGCGACGTCGAGGATGAACGTCTGTTCATGTTCGAGTTCCCCGAGCGCCCGGGTGCTTTGGCCAAGTTCCTGACGACACTCCGACCCAACCAAAACATCTCCCTATTCCACTACCGAAACTACGGCGGAGACGTCGGCAAGGTGCTGGCCGGCATTCAATGCCCTAGTCCTGAGAAGGCCGAACTGGAGGCTTTCCTGAAGGACTTGGGCTATCCGTTCAGCGAGCACACTGACTCGCCTACATATCACACATTCCTCCGTTCTTAGACGGTCCCGCGATGTTTCTGGTGCTTTTCATGCGACGCAATCAAAAGTTGTCCTTGCCTAGGCGTTGGGTTGGGTTGTGCCATTGATAGATCATGGACTTTCGAGCTGAGTGGGCTGGATGAGCCTTTTTCTTATAATGTATCTAGAATTAGATTGCATGTTTATAATCAGTGCTTGCAAGATTAGCTATGTCAATTTGCATGGGAGTTCATCTCAAAAGACGCTGCCTCAGCCTTGTACTTCACAACCTGCTGGCTCTCCCGGATAGTATGTCCCGCTGCAATAGCAACTATATTAATGAGAGGCGAATGTCTACCTACCGAATACCTCAAATCTAACGAACATCAACTATTGCTTCAACGGATTTAATGATGCCGATCAGACAAAAATCGAGTATAGAAATCAGACCCATGATTGGCCCCCCGGAGACTCGGCAAAACCCACCTCCGAGCGATATTTCGCAGCCGCCATCAACGCCGCATCACCGTCCAACAGAGTCCAGACAAAACAACACCTTCATCCCCCCTCCAGCGGCACCGACACTCCCCCTCCAAGCCGCCACAATGCTCTCCCTCCGCTCCGTCCTGGGGTCTTCGACCCGCGCCCTGCGCCACCTCCCGTCCGCGTCCCGGCCGACAACGACAACGACGACGACGAGCGGCTTCTTCTTCTCCCGGCAATACTCCTCGCAGCTGACAAAATCCCTGACGAACGGTCTGCAGAGACTGCGCGGCGCGGCGCAGGGCAATGTCGCGAGTCTGGGGTCGAGCGTGCGCCAGATCGAGCAGGTCCGTGGGATGAAGACCCGCTCGTCTGTGAAGCGGTTGTGTGATGGGTGCAAGGTATGATTTTCTATGTCTCCGACGGGTTTTGGGGGGTTGAGGATGAGATGCTGATGCTGTGTGGTTTAGCCTGTCCGGAGAAAGAACAGAGTGTATATCATCTGGTGAGTTTTGCTCCGTTGAAGCTGGAATAGGTGCAGAGGCTGACTGTGCGTGCGTTGTGTAGCTCGAAAAACCCCAAGCACAAGCAGCGGCAGGGCAAATAGATGCGGACCTACGGTATGGGAATGTGTGACTGTCGGTAGCGGATTCTGCCAGGATACTATCTGTGGTTGCATGGGAAAGGCTTCGTGCATATACTGAATCTTCGGCTTCTCCACTGCGGTTTATGCTCATTGTTATTTGGCTGGGATTATGGCGCTTGTTGTATTGTTTTCTGCTGTACATTAGACCTTGAATCGATCTATCTCTTGGGAAACACTATCTCTGCTCTTGGCTTTGTTACGACTTGGAAGGAATGCACGGTGCTCTGTAGATGGACGTTTGCTTATAACCAAATGTGCCCATTGGCCGTAGATGAATTAAATCTATACATAAAAAACATCGGTAGGGGAATATGTTTTTATTTATGTCCATCAGTCATCTCATGCACTCACCCCTGCAAAGGCTCACCCATACCGCCAAAGGTGACACTCTTGATGGTGAGGAATTCGTCGATGCCATACTTGCTGCCTTCGCGGCCGAATCCGCTCTGCTTGACACCACCGAATCTAAGACAAGTTAGCATAGCTGACCTGAAATGCTAGGCTACCGACGGAAACTTACGGCGAGGCCACATCGCTAATAATACCAGTGTTCACACCAACCATACCCACCTCCAGGGCTTCGGCAACACGGAAGATCCGCTTGACGTTGCCGCTGAAGAAGTAACCGGCGAGACCAACCTCGGCACGGTTCGCCAGTTCCACCACCTCCTTCTCCGACTCGAAGGGGAACAGTCCGGCCACAGGACCGAAGGTCTCCTCGGAGGCAATGCGCATGTCCTTGGTCATTTCGGTCAGGACCGTCAGGTTGTAGAAGTTGGTGCCGAGCTCGGGAACCTTCTGGCCACCGATAAGGACATTGGCGCCCTTGGACACGGCATCGCGCACATGCTCATCGACCTTGTCGACAGCGCGCTCGTGAATGACCGGTCCGTGGGTGACACCCTCCTCGAAGCCAGCTCCGAGTTTGAAAGCGCGGACCTTCTCCACAAAGCGCTTGCAGAACTCCTCGTAGATGCCCCGCTGCACGTAGATGCGGTTGGCGCACACGCAGGTCTGGCCGGAGCTACGGAACTTGGAGGCGACGGCACCGGCGACGGCGGCATCGAGGTCCTCCACGTCATCAAAGACGATGAAGGGGGCGTTACCGCCAAGCTCCCACGAGACCTTCTTAACCGTCGAAGAGGCCTGCTTCATGAGAAGCTTTCCGACGTTCGTGGAGCCGGTGAAGGAGACCTTGCGGACTTCGGGGTGAGTGGTGATCACCTCTCCCACTTCGGGTGTGTTCTTCATGGCGGTGACGATGTTGACAACGCCTTTGGGAATACCAGCGCGGTGAGCCAGCTCCGCCAGGGCATTCGCAGTGAATGGCGTCTCACCGGGGGTCTTGCAGACCACCGTGCAGCCCGCGGCGAGGGCAGGGCCGATCTTTCGCGTAATCATTGCCGCGGGAAAGTTCCATGGCGTGATCAGGCCGCAGACACCAACCGGCTGCTTCAAGGTAATGACTCGGTTACCGGCGACAGAAGAAGGAATTGTATCACCGTAGATACGAGGGGCCTCCTCACTGAACCATTCGAAGAAGCCCGCGGCGTAGTTGACTTCTCCCTTCGCGTCCGCGAGAGGCTTTCCGTTCTCCCATGTGATCAGCGTGGCCAAATCATCAGCATTGTCCATCATCAACTGATACCAACGGCGGAGCATGCGCGCACGCTCACGAGCCAGAGTCGAGCGGAAGGCGGGGAAAGCTTCGGTGGCGGCTTGGATTGCCTTCTCAGTGTCTGCAGCGGAGAACTCGGGGCAAGTACCGATAAGCTTGCCAGAGGCAGGATCTATACACCAGAGGTTATTCCATGTTCATAACCTTCAATAGGGAACCGATGTAGACGCCCGTACCATGGACCTCGAAGGTCTTGCCAGACTGGGCTTCAACCCACTCTCCATTGACATAAGCCTTCTCAATGAAGAGAGACTGGTCTTTTAACTGAAGAGTCATATCAATCAGCACCTCATTTCTCGCAATGGCAACCGCAGGAAGCTCACCGGAGGCACAGTATGGCCCATAGTGTACAGCCGCTTGGCGTAGATTGGAGGCGGGATAGAGAATGGGTATCGAGGACGAGATTTGAGGAGGTGGCGGGAAATCGGACGAGCAATCTTGTCCATCATGTGAGCCCGTCTCCGACAAGTGGTCTATTTAAGTGTTGGAGTTGATGATAACAGGGCCCTTGATTGTGGTGCGGGGAGCCTCGGGATGGACGACGGGAGAGAGTGTTGAGAGATTGCTACTGCCAGTAGGCTTTCTGAGCGAAGAGGAGGACCCTATATAGTCGGGAGAAGCAGGACCTGCCCGAATACAGAGAAGAAATATGGTTCCAGACTAAGTGTAAGATTGCGCGAGGGGAAGAATCGAAGCTCTCTTGCGGTGGTTTCGCCGGGAAGCTTCGCGTCACGTGGGGCGACGTCATGCTGCCTTCATTGCATCTCTTCTCCCTTAGGTATTCATGTGGCCTATTCGACATGTTTGGGTTCAAACGTCTTACCACGACTCTCTTCTTCGCTTTCTCTACTCTAGTATCCATATACAATTCTCTCGCAATTGACACTGCAATGCCATCTTCATTCACTCTCCTGTATGATCATCCCGTAATGTTCGTACCGTTCGGAACCAAGTCCGTATCCTCGGTATCAGGAGCCAATGGGACAGAAGACCGACCGGGCTGCGGCATTGTCGTCCAATAGAAGCACCAGAATGTGGCGGCCTGTTGGAGAAAGTACACGCGATACTGTGGGGTGCATTACAGGCCTTATCGGCGCTTATCAAAAGACATCTATACAGAACCACCAAAGAATAATATACACTATGTACACTCCTAACGTATCGATCCTCCCCTCTTATACATCAATCATCATCCGTGTCATCCTCAACTACCACAGCCGGGGACTTGGCTCCATCTCGTGCTGCATATCCAGGATGCATGCGTTTTAAATGGATATTGAGATTCCAGGTCCGTGAGAAGCCATTCATATGACGAGAACAGGACCGAACAGGGCATACCAAGTCCTGCTTGCGATGTTCGCCCTTCCCCTTAGGCCGGTCGTTCTCGTTCTCCCTCTTAGGCCGTCCGCCCTTTCCTTTGGGCCTTCCCCTAGGCCGTTTGTTTGCCACGCTCTCAGGCTCCGTGCTAACAGGCCGGGAAGTAGATTCCTCCCTCGGAGAGGCTGCGCGAGAACGTGAGCGTTTGCGTTGTGGTGGTAGCGGTAGCGGTTCCACCGAAGCCTCCGACAATCCAGTATCACTTTCGGCGTACTCCCAAGCAGCTGGGTCCCCGTCTTCTGTCTGTTGTAGCTTCCCTTCCTTGAACGTCCGATATGCCATATCCTCTCTGAATAGAGCGCCACACCGTTGAGCCGTACGCATCACCACAGCAGGCGGCCAGCCAACCATCGACGCGACTCCTAGTATCTCGCTCCAGTCGCGAAGGCCCATACGAAGTTTGCGTGTAGCCGGCTGTCGACGGTCGCTGCCCGCTGAACGACCTCTCGACCGCGACGACCGGGACGGCTGGTAGGTGCTCTGGCTAGCGGAAGAGGCTCGTCGGGAGCTGTGCGCACTTCGGGATCGCGGACCCGTCGAGCTCCCGCGAGAGGACCTGCGAGTGCGTTTCCTTCCGCGAGACTGGCTCCTAGAGGTCCCATTCTGTGATCTCCTCTGCCGTCTCACTGACACTGACGAGCCCGAGGTGATGCTTTCTGTGTCGGTTTGCCATTCACTCGCAGAGCTATCATCGCCGGCCGTCACATTTTTGCGCGCGTGATGCAGGCCTAGAAGAAGACGATCGAATTCTGTAATGATGTTCCGGGTAATGGGTCGGAGTTGCTTTCGGGATTGATCGTCATCGGCTTGGACGACGGGACGCAGTGGAATCGACGCATCCATAAAACCAGATTCAATCTTCACAGCATCCTCAGTGGCGGCACTATCATCCTGAGTTTCAGCTTGCGAGGCTGGGTCAAACGGATTCGGGGAAGTGGGCCGCGTAGAACGCCATGGTCGAGCATTGAATCGCTCTTTCGCATGTCGGAGCATTAGGGCCATGATCGACTCTTCCAGGTCTGCGCTCGGGCGAGGATCTGCCGGCATTTTAAGCGTCCACGTCTCATCATCTCGGCGATACTCGTCGCCTCGGGGAACCTCGTTCGCAGGCACAGGCCACGCGGCCCATCGCTTTGGCGGAAGAAAAGGTTCCGCGTCAGCAACTCCCACGTCCCTTTCCGCAGCGCGCTTTGCTATCTCGCGGGCCCGCGCTCGAAGAGCATACGCGTTGTACAGATGCGCCGCCAGATCCTTGGCTCTGAGATCTTCCAGCGCTTCGGCGTTCTGTCGGTCTTCCAGCGTGAGTTTTCTCCATGTAGGTTCTGGGCCATGGAAGCGATTGGGGCGATATGAAGGCGGCGATGGCGACGGACTCTCTATGATTCTTTGATTCGTAGTCGTCGTAGCTGATGTGCTCTTTCTCCTTCGCGACGTCCTCCGAGTGCTCCTGGTACTTATGCTGTCCTCGGATCCGGACTCTTCTGCATTGCTTTCTTCGTAGGTGTCGTCATCATCGGAGCCATTTGGCACCAGCGGCTGATCTCCCATGAGAACGTCAAGCTCATTCTCTTCGTGGTTGCCGTCCTCGAAGACGTGCGGCGGTTCCGAGTCGGGCACATTCTGACTGCTCGAACCCCCAAATATGGATCTATATGGCTGTGCAGATTGAGGAGGCACGAATTGCGAAGAGCTTGGATGGGACATCCCTCAGCGGCTGGATGTTTGTTCTTCCGAAGAAGTCAAAAAAACAGAATAGAACAGGAGGAACCAAAATGATTGCTCCTTCTTGTAGACATGGGCTAACCAAATCTATCTCGAGTGTCTAATTTCGCGGGCACTATGGTTCCCGGTCGAGAATACAGGCAAGCCTGCTGAATATGAGTCTGTGACAGGGGCCACGGCTCCTGAGGTACTGTTGAATAATTCTAAAGGCAGGAGAGCCGATCCCTGCGGAGGAGAGAAAATGTACGAGAGAGGATGGATGACGATGCATCCAGGACGACCCAAAGAAAACCGTGGTATCACGTGACATTCACATATCCATTTCTACGCCTCACGCAACACGGGTTCATCTCTGAAATATACGGGAAGTACTTCTCATATAGACGATACTGATGAGGGCTAAGGTAGAGTTTTGGCTCGCGAACTGTATTAGAAACACTCTATATAAATCCAATGCTGCCACAATATACAAGGACGCCTGGTAATATCACGAATGAGGATATCATTGTCAATATTCAACTTTTGTTTGCCCTGAAATCTATTTCTCGCCCGTCTTCTCAAGCTTTCTGCGCTTGGACCGCAACTTGGCCGCTTCTTCCGACTGTTTCTTGTTGGAGTACATCATCTTCTCCAGCAGCTTGCGCTTCTTCCGGCTCATCATCATCTTCTGTCGCTCGAGTTCCTCTTCCTCCTTGCGCTTCTTAGCCGCAATCTTCTTAGCTTGGGAGGACTTCTTCTTCTTGGCATCGTCGGTGGCACCGTTCGATGAGAAGGGGAGACCAGCGGCTTCGGCCTCGAGCTCCTTCTGGTGTTGTGTGCGAGCAGCTTCCTCCTCATCCTCCGACTCGGAGGCCGCTTCGTTATCATCGAAGCCGCCAAAGTCTTCCTCTTCTTGTCCGCTCTCACTTTCGTCGTCATCGCTATCAGCAACATCCATGCCACCATCGACAGATTCGTCTTCGTCCTCGGATTCGGACTCGTCAGCCTTGGCGTCGGCCTTCTTCGTCTCAGGGGCCTCCTCCATTTCTTCGTCGCTCTCTTCCTCTTCCTCCTCGCCGGCCATTTCAGCCTCGCCTTCCTCCTCCTGTTCAGCCAGAGTAGCCCGGGGGTCGTAGGCGCCCTTGGAAGGCTTGACCCAGGGACTCAAGTGAGGAGGCAGAGTCTCGCCAGGGGCGTAAAGATCAGGGCGAAGAAGCTTTCCTTCGTTGATGCAGTCCCACACCCACTGGGGCTGAATGTAGGTTCTACCAGGGATACGGGTACCAGGTCTCACCGCGGGAACCGCACCCTCCTTGGCGGCAGGGACAGCGGGCAGAGCCCCCTCAGGGAGGCTAGGACGGTCCACAATCTGGTGGGTGATACGGGTGTCTGCTTCGTTGTGGGTGAACGCGCCGTCTCCCATAACAGCATCCCAGCCGATACGCTTGCATCCAAAAGCACGAAGGATGAACTCCAAAGGTGCCTTGGGAGCCTCACGAGAGATGTAAAAGGTGAAGGGCGCGAACAGAGCGCCTGCCTCTTCACCACTGATGTCGGGCTGGGGCAGAGTATCCGCCTCCGGAGCTGCGGGTTCGAACCTATCGATCGCGTCGGTGTTTTCGTCCGTGGCCTCCACGGTCTGCTCATCCTTCGTCTTGTCCAACCCAGCAGTTTTGATCACTTTGTCGACCTTTGCTTGAACGTCGCGCGAGACCTCTTGGTTAGAGGAATTGTTGCTCTGCTTGTTGCTTCCCTCAATGGTCTTGGCGGCGTTTGCGACAGCACGACCCTCAAGGGTAAAGGCCGCAAGTTCAGCTCCATTCTCATCGCTGCGGGTATCAAACTTGGGCGGGTATCTCAAACCAATCGATGAGTACAGGCGGAAGTTGACAAATCCAAGTAGGGTTGTGTAGAACTCCACAAAAGTAGCCATAATTCGGTAGTCGACATCACCATTGACCCGCTGCACGAAACGATAAGGCACGAGCCACATAATATCTTGTCCCTGGATTGTGGCCTGATAATAGATACCCTTGATGGAGAGGAAGGATTTGCGCAGAGAGTTCGTCGTGATCAAGTAGTGCTGGAACTCGTGGCAGAGGCGCTGGCAGAGGGCGATGGTCTTGGGAGGAACGTGGGAGGTAGAAGGAAGGTTGGCGAAAAGGAAAAGAAGAGACAAGGCATCGTCGAGATCCCTCAGGGCATCAATGAAGGTCGGATAACGCTCTTTGATGATGTGGTCCAAGGTAAGCTTGGGCGCATGGTTCTTCTCAAGGCGAGAGGCGTCGCCGACTTCTCCACGGCCAAGGGAGCGGGCAATCTTTTTCGCAACGGCCTTTTGGTCACGGAACTTCCGAAGCAAGGGCTCATGAAGCAAGTATTGGATATCCTTCGTGTAGTAAAAGGTGGTGTTCGGAGTGGACGTTTTCGAGGCCTTCTTCTTGTTACGAGGCTCACGGGGATAGATGCCTGGATTGAGGAACAGAGAGGTTAGAATAATGAACGATCTTCCGGCTGGAGGTAGAGGACATACCCTTGAAGATGCATAGTCGACGAAAATCCGGCAGAGAAATCTGAAGCTTTCGCACGGCCTGAGTACGAGTGATATAGTTTTTGGCCTGGCCGGAGGTGCCTAAGGAGTGTCAGTACAGGGATCAAACAGAGTCTGGAGGATAGGAGTGCAAAATATTGCATGGAAAACAGACCCTTCTTCTTAATTTTCGCCATTGTCGATGGGATGCGTGGTGCAAGTGAGGACGAGAGGAAGAAGGAGTGGATGGATTTTCTGATAACCCCGAAAATTTGTCGATAAGTTTTTTTTTTTCTTTTCCTTTTTTTTTTAATCCGCGGGTGGTCCGTGCGTGGCAGAAAAGGGAAATGAGCGGAGGCGGTCTTGGCACGGCGGAAGAACAGCTGGAGGTACTTACACGCCTCATCCTCCTCATGATTGCAACAATGCATTGCACACACTCTCTCTGCTGTTGAGATTTATCGGGTGACCATGGCAGTCAATCGAAAGGCTGCTGTGTTTGTCGGCGCCCACACTTTGCGGCTTTTGCTCATCCTTCTGTTTCCTTCTCTACCGGACTTGTTGACGGGGAGAGTGGAAGTGTCAACGCCGGTCACCAGTTTCAAGCGACGTGAGTGTTAGAAGGACTCGCTGATAGATCTACCATAGATTCAGTCGCTAATTTGCTTGATCTAGTCCAGGAAGGCCTGTATCTCTACCAGCGAAATGTCTCCCCCTATGACGGAGGGGTCTTCCATCAGGTACGCAGGATACTGACTATATCTTGCTGGACAAACCGCGCTTACTCTGAGAATACCAGGCACCTATCCTTCTTCCACTGTTCTCGCTGTTTCCGAATATCGATCAATCTCCTCTAGCGACAGCTATATTCTTCTCTCTTGTCGATCTGTTGAACGCGGAGGCATTGGTTACCATATCCGAGTCAGGTCAGGCAGTTTCCGGGCGATTCTACACAGCGGTGCGGAAGCATATCAAATGGGACGGGGTGTCAATTGCAGCATGGTAAGTCTCAGTCGGTGTTTACTTAGGCTCGGTAGCTAATAATCCAGGTTCCTATTCAATCCTTTCACAATTGCGACCTGCCTCGGTCGGTCTACTGGCGTGTTCACTACGACGGGAATCCTCTATGCACTCTCGAACGCCGTCAGCGGGAACAGTCTGAATTCGATGTTGTCGCTAGGATTCGCCTCGTACCTTTCGATATATCCAGCCCTTCTGTTTATTCCACTCGTTCTTCTCTGCTATGACCAACGTGCCCAGAAAGCGAGCCCTCCCCCTGGAGTTGCTCTGTTTGTTCTGAAACACCTTGCGATACTCTTGTTGGCTGTTTCTGGGCTACTTTCAGTCTCCTGGCTGATTGTCGATGACTTCTATGACTTTATATCCGCAACATACGGCTTCCAATTGCTGGTTCCCGATCTGACACCAAACGTGGGGCTGTGGTGGTACTTTTTCATCGAGATATTCGACTCATTCCGGGAGTTCTTCCTCGGCATTTTCTGGCTTCACCTCGCATCATACGTCGGTGGTCTGACTGTACGACTACGCCGACAGCCGCTTTTCGTGATTACCTCTCTCCTTGGGATTTTCGCGATTTTCAAACCTTACCCAAGCATCTCCGATGCATCGCTTTTCTTTGCGCTCCTCCCGCTCTACCGACACCTTTTCCCCTGTGAGTACAAGAGATCATGTAAACTGATTTCTTCGCTAACCGCCGATAGTAATGCGTTATACCTTCTTTGCCGTCTCAGCTCTTCTATATGCTACTCTCCTGGGCCCTGCATTCTACCACCTGTGGATCTATGCCGGCTCTGGAAACGCGAACTTCTTTTACGCAATCACCCTGGTGTGGAGTTTAGGCCTGACAATCCTACTGGCAGACACTATCTTTGCAGCATTGCGAGATGAGTGGGAATATGACAACCCCGAAATGCGGGGGAAGGAGGTTAGACAGGTGTAATATATATGATATCATTATTTAATATGAACAAATTGCCCCAATGGCCTCATGAGTCGTCTTCTGGATGACTGCTTTGCAGCTTTCGTGACATGATCCAGTAATCAACATCGACGACCGTCCCGTTTCGTAGCGTACGGGGTGCAGGCGAATACTCATCCACCTCGTAACCCAGTTTCTTATAAAGCCGATTAGCCTTGGTATTGGATTTGAAGACAGTCAACATAGCCTTCTGGACTCCAACACGCCTTCCCACCTCCGCGAACCTCGTCATCAGCATCTCTCCTAAACCGCGACCTTGCGCAGATGGCAACAGGTGAACTTCGTAGCAATAGATAACTTCATAGCCATCTTCGTAGGTCACCATGAACGAAAGAAACCCCTGAAAGCCTGCGTTGTCGGGGGACATTTCTATTCCAGCAGCCTCTGCATTGTCGCCCGTGGCCTGTCGCAAGACGATGTACTTCATATCAGGCAAACGCATCTCCCTTCGCTTCTTGGATGGAGACCATCCAAAGCTGGAATTCGCGTAGGCCTCTGACTGCGTTTGCTCGATGAGCTTGAAGCATGCTTCGAAATCCCCTGGAGGGATAGTTTTTGCCGTGTAGATGTCAAGCGTATACTTCACGTCCGCGATTCCATCGTATTTTGCAGGAGCTGTTGACGTGTGTTCACGGTCCTGGGGTGGTATGTATAGCGAAATGAATTCTTCGCAAGAGAGCTTGTTGACGCGCTCTACGAGCGGAAGTGGTTTTGCTTCTGTGATGCGTTAGTTCTGTCTGTTGCATTATCCAAAGCGCTCATAATTTCAACGTGTAGTTATGGTTGTGCCTTACCTTTGTTCTTGTCCTTTTGTACTTGGAGAGATTGCGCTCTGGACGATTTGCGCCGCGAGGATGGCGTGGCTTTATTCTTGGTGACTCGACCCTCCTGGACCGATCCCGGCATTGCAGGTTTGTTAATTTGTTATATGGGGACTTATCAGTGATTGTAGAAGGTATTTTCACAATAAAACAAAAAGTTCATTGAAACGAGGAGAAAATGCTGTAAATCTTGTTATCCGTGGGTCTTTGTCGACGAGGAATTTCGCAGGGGCTGTCGGGGTTAGAGGGATGATTACGCTCCTCCCACCAAATTTTTGCATGGGATAGACTGGAGTCCTGAGAGCACCACCGTTGGTACCTTGTGACGATTTTTGAAAATTCTCTGTATTATGACTTAGACTGTCTGGACTTCTCTTTTGAGACGTTTATTGACAATAGATCCCAGTTTTCTGATGGACGCTACAAGATATATATTTGACCGTAGGTATTCTCGTTAGATTGGCTCTACCTGCTGAGACTCAACACTGCAAGCAAATAATATATCTACACCTACGCAGCTTCTCTCTGCTTAGCAGCAAATTCTTCGGCACGACGTTCAGCTTCTTCATCCCCCAATTCTCCAAAGACATCAATTCCCCAGCGGAAGGGGTAATTGTAGCGCTGGTTGCGATCCAACTTGTTCAGAGTCTCGAACTCCGCATCCGGAATGACAAAGTCTGTTGCCGTTAAATTTGGGTCACACTGGTCGGACATATGGATATGTGTGCATACCTTGAAAATTGCTCTCAATGCGCGACGGCGTGACACTCTTGGGCAAGACGGAGGTTCCACGTTGAACAGCCCACGAGATCAGCAAGGCCGCGGGGTCTTTGTTCAGCTTTTGGGCAATTTCCTTGACCGTTGGGTCGTCGACCACGCTGTACAACGTGTTAGTTCGGCTACTTAGAGGACGAGGGGATGAGGTCGTACCGAGGTGCGTTGTAAATATTGTTGCCCAGCGGGCTGTAGGCCACTGAAAGGATGTTCTAATGAGAGTCAGTATACAAGCTATAATTTGCTGATGCCATACTGTTACCTTCTCCTTTAGGTATTTGTGTAAAGCCGGCTGTTGGAGATAAGGATGGGCTTCGATCTGGTTGACAGCCGGAGGGATCCGCGCAGTCTTGAGGAGCTCCTCGATCTTCTCGATAGTGAAGTTGCTCACGCCAATGCTGCGGACCTTTCCTGCGTCGACTAACTTCTCCAGGGCGGCCCATGTATCAGCGATGGGAATATTTGCGAGACGGAACCGCTTCGATACAGGATCGATGGGGGTGAGAGTTTCATTTGTGTGCTCGAAAGCCACAGGCCAGTGGATCTTGTTGTTGGTTAGTAAAGAGAGTAAGTCATGAATGAGCACAAGGAGGGACGGAAATACCAGGTAGAGATCCAGATAGTCAGTCTGGAGGTCCTTCAGAGTCTTGTTGACTGCCTCCTCCACATGGTCGGGATGATGGTGTGTGTTCCACAACTTGCTTGTGATCTGAAATATAGTCAGTACTCCAATTATATCCAAGTTGCGTCTGATTCACTGACGAAGATTTGGTCTCTGGGTACTCCAGATTTCTTCCAGCCGTTTCCGACCTCGTTCTCGTTCAAATAACAAGCGGCGGCGTCAATATGGCGATAACCCAGACGAAGAGCGGTTTCGACTGCGTTTTCTACCTCATGGGGCTTTGAAAGCTACGCACATCTGTTAGTAGCTCTAGCAATCACTATGCATAGGTCGCATACCCATGTGCCCAGACCAACAGCCGGCATGTCATAGCCAGAGCTGAGCTTGAAAGATCTTCCAGAAGCCATGATGAATTCGGAGCAAAATCACTGGTGAGTTGAGAGGCAGCCGTGAGTGTGAATTGTCCAGTGGATGATGGCAAGTGTCAAGTTGGTAGAGTGAGAGGTTAAGGCAGAGGGGAAATGACTACCCCTCATCCGCTGTAGATCCATCCCATCGGCGCATCTCCGTTATGCGCTTAGTTGTTGTACCCAAAGTACACGATTGCCCTGATCAGATATCCTCAAACAATGGGCATGATTGGTCACTGAGAAATTCTTTTCTTGGACTCATTTTCATGGTGGATTGCGCCATTAGAAGAGCCGCGGAGCCGCGTGTCTAAGTATCTCACTCGTCAGTTGGTCAATGCATATGGGCACCAAGACTCATACTAGGTACATCCAGACGCCGAGCCCTTTGGCAGTTCATTGATAGGAAAGTTGTGATTCTGTTAGATTCCGCACGACTAAGCGATGACCCAACAATCAAAATGCGTCAACAAACATTCTCACGCTTTCTGTTTCTTCACACTGTCACTGGTGTGCTGAAGATACCCTCACCTAGCTGCCTTCAATCTCTCTCGATACTTGCACTAGTCTCAGTGTCTCAGTTCAGAAAAGTCTTGACTTTTCAGTCCGAAGCCTAAAAAAAGAGGTCTTTCACGCCTATCCTAATCAAATGATTCCCTGTCTCTCTTTGCCACGAGCTTCCCAAGCTCAGGAAGTCGGACGCGCCCCCGTGGACCAAAACGTGAACTTCCCAAAGTAAGTCGACACCTGCAAAGATAGCTGATCGTGCAAGGGTCTGATCAAGTATAATAGCTTCCTCGCATCGGACACTGTGACCCTGCAGGCGGAGAACAGCCATCGCCGCTTCAAGATCCACCTTGCTCTCCTCAGGGACAAGTCCGAGGCCTTGGCTGTGGCCTTTGACTCCAATTTCCGGGAACAGGCAAGCGGCATATTCGTATGCTCCGCTACTTCGGAAGATACCCTTGCTCGCTTCGTTGAATGGGCATATCGTGGTGAGTACCACGTCATCGACGACGTCGACGTTCTGAACAGGCTGAACTTCACCAACTTTCCCGTCGCCGAGGGCCAGTCTGTAGACTACAGCTGCCTGCTGACTGGCGACGATCTTCCCGCTGATATCAAGGACCATCCGCTGAACTCGCACCTTTTGGTCTACATCTTTGCAGACACCTATCTCATCAGCCAGCTCAAGAGTTACGCCTTCGGAAAACTCGCTGAGTATTTGAGGATGCTGGGCAGATTTCTGCGCGTGGGCTATGCAGAAGCGGTTATTGCCATCTTTACCACTGCTTTCGCCAGGCTCCATGTCAACGATCCTTTTCTGCCCTGGATCGCTCACTATGGCGCATACAGCCTCCGGTGCCTGCGTGAGCACCCGGCCTTCATGGAGATGGTCAGGACCTCGCCGGAGATATGTGTGCGCCTCGTTGAGCAAATGGACCCTGCCCTGACGGCTCCCTGGGAGTCGCACGCGCTTCGCCGCCATCTTTTGGAGACCATGAGAGGGGAGACGTTTGAGCCCACTCTGGATGCTGGTTGGTGACTATATGGCTACGGCAAGGTTCCAGTGCGGATGGACAACCGCGACATTCTCTTGGGGTAGTCTATGGCAGTCCAATGGTTGATGAGAACAGTGAGAGCTTTGTGTAGTCTGGGTGACAGCGAGAGTGAGAGCTTGAAGGTAGCGTTCTAATTGTGTCACTTAGCCCATCAGCAGTTGCTGATCATAAACAAGCTGGATAGGATGTTTTGCAATGGATAATTGAAGCATGTAGGCTCTGAGGACCCTGGTAGCGACAGTTTCCTTTCAGCTGAGGTAGCCATTTCAGTCTCACAACGTCCATTGCATTCTCACAACGTCCATTGCATTCTGGAACAACAGATTTATCAGCATATGTCTTGACCTCGGGGAGATGAATTGATTGATTTGTCAAGATGCCGATGGAACTCGGAGAAACGGTGATTACCTAAAGCGGGTAAGTAGACCCTCCACACCGACGTCACCAGTCCACATATTTAAGGATGCCCCTCCAGAAGCTCTTCTCTTTGCTTCTGTATAAATCTACTTCTAAACATCTGGTATTTGTTGATAATATTGGAATTCTACACAGAAATGGCTCCCGCACAGATGAAGCAGTGGACCGTCCTGAACAAGGACAACGACTTTGACGGCCTTTCGTACGGAGATGCACCGATTCCGAAAGTTGGAGACAACGATGTTCTCGTGAAGCTGCATGCTGCGTCCCTCAACTACCGGGACCTGATTATTCCCAAGGTATGGCTCGCCTAGAGGAACTGTGAATGTTTCTGAATTTTCTAATCGTCAATGCTCTTCACAGGGCAAGTACCCGTTTGCTCTGGACCTCCCCGTTGTCCCGGGTTCCGACGGCGCCGGCGAGGTGGTGGAAGTTGGACCTAAGGTCACCCAATTCAAGAAGGGAGACAAGGTGACTACCCTGTTCAACCAGCGGCACCAGTATGACCCAATTGATCCTTCGGCGGCCAGCTCTGGTCTTGGCGGTGTCATTGATGGAACCCTGCGTCAATATGGTGTTTTCAACGAGAACGGCCTGGTCCGGTCCCCCAATAACCTCACGCACTTGGAGTCCAGCACCCTGAGCTGTGCTGCACTTACCAGCTGGAACGCTCTGTATGGGTTGAAGCCCTTGCTTCCCGGACAGACGGTTCTGGTGCAGGGAACCGGCGGTGTTAGCATGTTCGCTCTGCAGGTGAGTTTCATCCAAGGAATGTAATCAAACCAGGCTTTTGCTCATTGCTGATCACTTGTGCAGTTCGCCAAAGCCGCCGGAGCGACCGTCATAGCCACTACCTCCTCCGCCGAGAAGGCCGAGAAGCTGAAGAAACTCGGCGCTGACCACGTCATCAACTACAAGACCAACCCGAATTGGGGTGAGGTTGCCCGCAGTCTGACTCGGGACAATGAGGGAGTCGACCACATTGTCGAAGTCGGAGGCGCGGGAACTCTTTCTCAGAGCTTGAAGTGCATCAAGTTCGAGGGGGTCATCAGCATTATTGGATTCTTGGGTGGTGCTGACCCCAAGGCCCAGCCCACCGTTTTGGAGACGCTGAGCAATATCTGCACCGTGCGCGGTATCTATGTCGGTAGCAAGGCGCTGATGAATGACATGATCCGTGCCATTGAGGCCAACAACATCCATCCTGTGGTTGATGCCAAGGTGTTCACTCTTGATCAGGCGAAGGAGGCCTATGAATACATGGTAAGTTGTTGATTGTCCGGGATATGTTCTGGATGTCGATGCTAATGTGGTGAACTACAGTGGGCCCAGAAGCACTTTGGAAAGCTCAGCATCAAGATCGACTAAATGACGAGGCTGTGGGAATATGTCCACCTCGAGGTAGAGTCGTTAACAGTTGATCTGTTGATACGTCCAGGATGAATAGAGAATCAAAAGTTCTACTTTATAAGGAGCTACATATGTCGTGATGACGTCATTCGTTGTATAATGTAGGAGCTTCTGTAGAGCGGACAGAGTACTTACAAGACCCCGAGTGCCAGATTAGAATTACTCCCCCTCAAGAATCATCAATGAAATCCCTTCTGGGCATGTCTTGCTTCTGCGATAAGGTGTAGTGCGTGATAAGCCAATGAAGCTGTGGTATCGGCCGCTTCCCCTCACCGCATCTGATCCTCGAGGTACCTTGGCTGCCACCACCGCATGTCCACGGTACTCTCGACATCTACTTGAATATATTCCAACAGATGCAACGAAACAGTTCCGCTGCCTCTACACTTGGGCCGAGTGCCCAGCCACATACACAGGCTCCCTTCATCCACCCAGCCCAGATGAGCTTCTTCTCTCGAGTGACGTGCTCCCCCGCACTGGGACAGGTCACTTGTCCCCAGCGGGTTCAGAAGGCCCTGGGGTCGAATGAAGACGACAGGGTAAGTCCATAAAGATGACAATACCCCAGGTCTGCCGTCAATCCTAACGTGTACAGTTGCGATTCACAGTGGTCATAGAGCCCAGTATCGAGTTTCCAGAGCAGCCATGGGAAGCTCAAATATGGCACAATATCGCCAGTGAAGAGTGGACTGCACTCCCGCTTAGAAAGTGTCAAAATGTGACCCCCTTGCTAAGTGGAAACGACGCAGAACATCGTTACTATCGTCACGTATTCTCCGAGCAGCTTATCTTACCCCCCAACGGGGGTTATGGCCAGTTTACAGTCCGCTTTCGCACGTGTCCAACTGCCGACTGGCAGTGGGTAAATCAGATTCAGCAGTCGAACGATGGCCAGATTGTTTTCCCACCGCGGACGCCTGTGGTTGAGTCGAATACCGACGTCCTCAGTAGATACTTCAGCAATCTATCGCACGACGTCGAGGTTCAACCTCGCAAAAGCGAGGCTCCGGGATCTGCATTGTGGCATATTTCTGGGGAAACGCAGTCCGCCGATGGCAAGGAACCTGGACTTCGAGATGTCGTCCTCGGAATTCCAACATCATTAGTCCGGTACTTTGCCCTCGTACGCATATGGACGCCATGGCTGGGGCCCAGACACGGAAGGCAGAAGTTCAGATTGGCAGAGGATGCCATCCTGTGCTCATTTCTTCGGACCGATGGTGTGCACGTTGTCCTTCTGGCCATCTCCGGCATAGACAACGTCCTGACAGTGCTCGGATCGGGTGAAAATGGCGAGGTAATCGTGAAAACGAAAAGTGACAGCGATCAACCATCGAATTTTCAAGTTCTCGCCTCTGCGGCTGATAGCTTCGACGTTGCCATGAGTGCTGTGGTCTACGAGGCACGAAAAGCGGTGCGACCATATGGCGCTGACGAACCTGAGCGTGTCCCCACCCCGGTTTCGCCGCTTGGAGATGATGTGGTCCTGGTTGAGAAGGATCCGGAAGCTCAATGGCTTTCTGAATGGTACGATGCGTTAACCTACTGCACATGGAATGGTCTTGGTCAGGATTTGAACGAGGATAAAATCCTTCGTGCTCTGGACACTCTGGAGAAAAACGGAATTCAGATTGCAAACCTCATAATAGATGACAATTGGCAAAGCCTGGATCATGAAAAAGAGGTCCAGTTCAAGCGAGCATGGCAGCGGTTCGAAGCCAATAAGCACGGATTCCCATACGGACTGAAACATACCGTCGAGAACATTCGACGAAAATACCCCAAGATTGCACATATTGGCGTGTGGCATGCCATGTTCGGGTACTGGGGAGGGATATCCCACACAGGAGAGCTGGCGACACAGTACAAAACAAAAGAAATAGATATTGTGAATCCCTGTGCCGGAGGACCCATTGCCCACGCATTCGAGAAGGGATCTCTTTTGATCATAGACCCGGAAGACGTGCAGCGTTTCTATGATGATTTTTACGACTTCTTACGATCTATTGGGATCGACGCCGTGAAGGCAGATGCTCAATTCTTTCTGGACCTCGTGAAGAACGCCGACGACAGGCGGGACATCATAAATGCATACCAGGATGCATTTTCTATATCGTCCTTGCGACACTTTGGAACAAAGACACTGTCTTGCATGTCTCAGTTCCCTCAAGCTATCTTCCACTCTCAGCTTCCCACGAACAAGCCCACCATTCTGCTGCGCAATTCAGATGACTTCTTTCCTGAAGTGCCAGCCTCGCACCCATGGCATATCTTCTGCAATGCCCATAATGCGCTCCTCACACGCCACCTCAATGTGCTTCCTGATTGGGACATGTTCCAGACTAGTCATCCATATGCCTCATTCCATGCGGCCGCAAGATGCGTATCCGGGGGACCAATATACATCACTGACGAGCCGGGGAAACACGATCTCGCGCTTATCGACTCAATAACTGCGCCCACTACCAACGGGCGCACAGTTATCCTTCGGCCTGGATTAGTCGGGCGGACCATCGACACATACCACGATTACAATGAAGGCCATATGTTGCGAGTCGGCACATATTGTGGATGGGCACAAACAGGAAGCGGGATCCTCGGGCTTTTCAACCTCTCCTCCTCCAGTATATCCTCCATAATATCGTTGCTGGACTTCCCAGGGATTCACGAGGATTACACTGGAAAGTATCTGGTCCGTGCCTATACAAGGGGCAAAGTTACCGAGCCCATGAGGCCTGGGGACGATAATTCCACAGTGGCAGTGAACCTGGACCACAAAGGCTGGGAAATCCTCACAACGTACCCGCTACACACTCGCACCATGAAGGGAGACAAAGAATGCAGCGTTGCTATTCTCGGGCTCTTGGGAAAGATGACTGGTGCCGCGGCTATAGTCAACTCTGATATCCAGGTCGAGCCGAATGGCAGGCTGCGGTGCGACATCAGCCTAAAAGCTTTGGGTACACTAGGGGTGTACTTCTCCTTACTGCCGGAGTGGAGCGTCGAAGTGAACTTCATGGTCATGATACTGGGTCGGCCCGTGCCACGAAAGACTGTCAAGAAGGATGGAGGGAGTGATACGACCATCTTGGCCGTGGACGTGTTGACGGCGTGGAGGGAGATGCGGCTAAATCCCGGATGGAGCAACGAGGTCATTGTACAGATTTTTGTAGGATGAAGGTACATGCTATGCTCTAAGGATATAGCAGTAGGTATACAATGCAGATTAGAAACTGAGTTGCAAACCAAACCTGTCTCATTCCAAGACTGCCCTCCATCCCCGACGGGGAACAAACCCTTCCACGCCCTCGTCCTCTAACACCTCCCGTCCCAACCGGCCAGTAACGACACTCCTCTCCACCTCCGGTCCTCGAACATAGAATGGCTCAAATCCCACCATGTCCCCCGTTTTGGGATCTGTCTTTCGAATCCACCGCCGGCCCGCCGGGCCCGTTCCAGGCACACTTGTAAACCCGCTGTTGACACGATCTAGCGTGATGAACCACCGCCGCTGATGGATAGACCCTATAGAGTTCGTGGACCCTGGGTAGGCGTTATTTTCCCGGATCTGGTAGTCGACTTCATCCTCTGCGTCGGAGTGCTCTGCGGTTGGCGCTTCGGAGGCTTCATCTGGGATGTCTGAGTGTGACGCTGGCCTGCTTGCTGACCGCGTACTAGGTGGGGGTGATGAAGAGTCTGATGAGGTGCTGGGGGGTTTAGGGGGTCTGGAGGTGATGTTCCTCCTGCGTCGTTTGCGGGGCGTGGCGGGTTGTTTTCGGAATTGGGTTGACTTGTCCAGTCGGAGGATAATGGTGTAGTTGGGTGGTAGGCGGGCGCCGTGGAGACGAAGACGGATTTTGCGCTGGGACTGGATTAGTTTGAGAGTCTACACGGGCTGTGCAGCGGAGTGGGAGGATATACGTTGTGGAATGCGTGCCGGAGTTTCTCGCTGTCGGTCCTGTCGTCCAGGGCGGCAGAGACATCCGATGAGATATCTGAGCGGGAGTCGTCCGTCTCTGGAGGGACATCTTGACTCTCGTAAGGGAGGATCTCGTACTCCCCAGTATCCCAGATAATGAGACTACCTGTTCGCACCGATGCAGTTTCAATCAGATGGTTCTATTCCACGCTTGTTAGTGTATGGCGACATGCTGTGGCAGAAGGCCGACTCACCCAGAGACAGTGCACCCTCGTCTCTGTCGCATTTCGATTCAAACGCCGACTGTTTGGGTCACCCGGCATTCCGTACATAACGGACCAACTGACTGAGCTCGAATCGGAGAACTGTAATCGGAGATCATAGTGCGGCCCCGCGATGGGGTGATCATGTTGATGGATGACGAAATGTCTCCCTTCCGGACGCTGGTTGCGCTTGTATAGAGCTACCCAGTCGGGAATCTGTATCTTGGGTGCATTGGGAAGCGACGGACGCACACATTTTTGAAGTTGCGATGAGACGACACCCAGATGGTCTGTCACTTCTGTTTGACCGGCTTCAAGGGCAGCGAGATTGGTGTCTTCTGCAGTAGATCCCCATTTTGCATCCACCTGGCTTAACCGCTTCTTCTGCGAAGGGCTCCTCGTTCTTGGGGGAGATACCGGAGCATCCAGGCTGGATAATCGTGGAATGCATGGTAGCGGATGTTCATGAGGGCTGGGGCTTCGTTTCATCCTGCGTAGCTCTACCGCAGAGACCCAGTCCTACAAAATATTGTAGCATGTGTAGTTGTATCGTGGATGGCTTCTGCTGGCGAGAATAAGATAATTTTAACAGTGAAGTTCTGACTATCTGGATGAATGGATGGATGTTTGATGTTGTATAGCTTAGTCATTGTCACTGCATATATTTATGCCCATCGCACGAGGGTTCACTAAATGTTGGAACTGGAAGCTGCACTGGCATTATAGCTCAGTGATAATGTCTATAGTGAAATATCTAAGTCTAATTCACCATACTCTAGAGCTACCACAGAAAGGCTGGTCCACCGCATCGAGGCACACAACTACTGTATATATCCACTAGTGAAGGTCTGAAGACCGCGAGATCGAAGAAAGGTTGTATACTGTACGACGGCTGCTGACAGAAGGAAAGGCCAGTGCGCCATCCTTTAGAGGGTGAGAGCAATTGATAGCCTTCCTTATAGGGCATCTGACAGCCTGTCGAGCATCCACGGCAACCGGTTTGCGACGTGACTGCCATGGCAGGAGCCCTTCTGTGAATTCCGTGGACAAGCAATTTGGCGCAGGGCAGTGAGTAGGTTCTGACAGTTGTCTTTCCTTAAGATCAAAATGCAACAATATTCACTGCCCGGGAATCTCCAAGTCTTAAAGCCCTCCAGAGCCTGATCTTCTTGTCTCCACTTATGTCCTCTCTCACAAAACTTGCATACTCCAAACTCTCGCACAATGGGTTCTGCTGGATGCACAGCAGTGATCAAGTTTGATTTATACAAGTGGGTATGTCCCTGTCGAGACGGGAATCATCATGACATCCCAGTCGAGCCTTGAAGTGAAGTGTCGGAACTGTGACCATCCTCTGTCAGACCATGAGGATTATCATCCACTTCATCTTCAACCGACTCCAACAGCAACCACACAGAGACGCACATCGCTAAAAGTAAGTATCAGATCCTGTTCCTTCAGAGGTTATGGTCGAAGCTGACAACTTTGCAAGAGAATAGCTACTGTTAACCCAAAAAGATGGTTACGCAAGGACACAGTATCAACGGTAGCTGCTGCTATAGATTCTCAAAACGTCATGTTAAAACGGGAACACCAGCAAGCGGCGAGACGTTTATCTCGGAAATTTCAAGGGACTATTATCTCGAGAACCACAGAAATACGTTGTTGTTAAAACCATGGAAGTCTTTGGAAACTTTCCCTGGCCGTGATCCCTGGATCCAATTCGCATCGTCCCTACAAGAAAGGTTTGCGCCAAACACCATATCCATGTTGATGAGGCCCAGAGTCCGTACTCTGACATTGGGTTCTGGAATACCATTATCAAAGAGCGAAGGTCTAAAGACCTGTCTCTTCTGCTCTTAGAGAAGCCAGGGCCTGCGCAACAGATCACGTTAACTCCGCAACCCGGGGAAACTTCTCTCAAGGTGAGCTTATTTTCAACCTCAGGTGGATTTTCTGAGGCTGTATTGCTTCGGATTATGCATGCATGCAAAGTAAATTGCACGTTCAATTACAACGCCATGAGGTACTTACACAACCTCACAATCGGACATTCCGGAGGGATGACATCTTTAGTCAGTCTATTCATGATGTAAGTATCTGTCTTGGAAGTCATCCAGTATCTCAAGAGCGAGCCTGTTAGTCGCTCATTCCCTAATGGAGCGAGCATAAAACATGAAGCCCGCGCGACATTAAGCAAGACCCTAGAGGAGGGAAGCTTGCAATATAGTCGTGATGATATGGGCATGCAGATATGTTACAGGATGGGTTAGGTTCATCGGATGTTGTCCTGCCATCACGCTTGCGTGAGAAGTAAGTTCTTCTGCAAGTTTTCTTGTGTATACCTGACTCTGGCTTAGATGGCTCGAATACATCCTTGGTAAGGCGCAAAGGCCGTTGCCCGCGAGATTCAACCGGCTAGATGTTTTATGCCTGGCGATTCTGAAGGAATTTTGAATCTTCGGCGATGAACCTCAGAAATGCCGCAGAAGGCAAGAAATTATCGACTTCTGAGAAATGTCGGCTTATGGAAGCACAATACCAGGACGAGTTCTACGGGTCATTCAATCTCGTGGCAGGCCGAGGAGTACCAATCTGCAGCGAATGGTCCAGAAGCAGTGATGGCCGTGTTGACTTCTATATTCCGGAGAAAAAGTGGGCGATTGAGTTGCTTAGAGACCATGACCGCGTCAATGAACACATCTCTCGGCCCAAGGAAGGGGCATCATATCATTCTTGGTTGAACGAGAAGACGGTTGAAGACTTTTACTGCATGCATTGTCTGAGGACTGCCATCTAGGGCTACGTCCCTGATTATGAGGAAGTCGAGGCGTTCAAGGTGGATTGCGTTCTCGATGCTCAGGCGTTCGTCTTGTGTTGCCAATATCACCAAAGGAATTCGGTGTGCGAGCCAGTACGTTACGGTTACATTTCTGTCGGTTTGTCCAACGCTACTGCTGTCTTGTCAAGGCTGCGATCAGAAAGCTTGCCAACGCAAAGTAGCCCTCCCTAGCGATCGAAGCCGCGGCCGATATCTTTGTTCATTGTTTGGACTCCAATGACATCTGGCCCAACGACGACGTTCCCAGCTGGTTTCCGGTGGCGCATCGCAACCTCGCCCACGCATTTGATAATGCGGAGACCGCCCATCGCCGCGCTCACAAGCTGACTGTGGCCAAGGAGAAACGAGGTGTAAGTGGCCGTTATGATTGTGCGTCCTCTCCCACACGAAAATGTATGTCCTCCTCTGCACCGTCTTTTCCCGCCCACTCTGCTCACGACTTAGTAGTGTATTCCGAGCCCAGACTGCGGATTGCTGTTTCCACCAATGATTATTCTGAATTGAAGGGATATGATTACCAGAAGAAGCCTTTGATTGACATTCGTCCGCAGAATTAAGCTACTATCATCGTTAATGTCCGGTTTGTAACCCCTCTGGAAATGTCAGGATGGACTGCCAGGCCAACAAAGGCGAGTCAGAATACAGAGCAGTTAGCTTTTAATGGCCATGAATCTTCTGCGTCTTAACATTGTCAAACTCATCGTCTCAATACCTCCTCGCTGGGCAGTAATCCCAAAGCAAAACATGGAGTACCTAGTCCGTAGGCCCCAAGATATAACTATCTAACGGGGTTAGCGGTGATGATCTACGGAATCATGGGGAGGATGTTGGGCAATAGTGTTTGAATTCCTGGTTACGAAGGGAAGGGAGAGTGAGTATGTTGGCAAGGCCATCACTATCACCTATTGATGCCGGTCCTGGGTACTCAACCATATCGGAGATTGAACGGAGGATATTCATCGATGGGTTATTAACTTACTCTGCATAGCAGCTGTATGTTGTCTTTTTCTGTATGATACTTTCCTGTGGTTTTGATCTGGGCGTACTTGGGGATCAATCCAATAAAATATGAGAGAGCTATCGCTTGTATGATCTCTGAGGCCAGAATCGAATACACAATGTACGAGTTGGAAGGCCTATTAGTCACATCAACTGAGGCCATGCTGAGACCATCTCACGCAATCCCGCTTGGATCTACTCCCACCCGAGTGCCGATCCGAGTGCCGATTAGCTACTGGAAGCGGGGAGATCTTTCATCACGCGAGATTAACGACTACTGAAGATGAATGGCGAGTACATCCATGACCAAGCTTGGAGCAACCTGAAAGGCATCTGCGTTCATCGACAGCTGGAACCCCACAATCATCACCTGCAGTCACTTCAACACCACCGCCAATTCTACATGACGCGTTCGGTTAGATCCACGGGAGGTGAGACATCGTTCTCTGCATTGTGGGAATAAGTACATTGTCATTTTCTCACCAATTTACAGGGTGTGTGGTCTGCAAAGCCCGCAAGGTACGGTCCCTCTGAAACTACTCCCATCCAGGGGTCTAGTTAGTTCCTCTCGCTAACACTTCTCAGGTCAAGTGTGACCAACAGGATGGCTCTTGTGGGAATTGTCGCCGTCTCTGCATTGACTGCCCCGGGTATTCGCTTCTACCCCAGGAGGACCGACGCGTAGTCGTCGAACAGGCATTGCATGCTGCAGGCCATCGAAAGCGAGGCCTAGGCTCTTGTATAGAATGTCGATCGGTCAAGATCCGCTGTTCCCGGCACAAGCCTCGGTGCGAAAGATGCCAACGTCGCAGTTTAGGGTGTACATATCGCTCTCAACGGCGGGCTGCGCAGGCAGACTCAGCGGCAACAAACCCAGTCGTTCAGACCCCGGCGTCCCAATCGCCGAGTACGCATGGGAATGACAGTCCTCCTTTTCTTGAGAGTTCCGCAGCGGTGACAGCCATAGATGAAGCCCATTTGAGTGTCGAGCGGATGCACTGCCGGCCACTCTCACCTACATCGTCCGGATTACCCTCTCTTGCGGTCATCAAAGAGCTTGTGCTTATATACTTTTCAAGAGTCCATTCTCTTCGGTGTCTTGGGTTTCTCCACAAACCTACTTTTATGCAATCTTTGCAAGAAGGCGATATAACTGAAAGGTATACTGAAGCGCTACTATTGGCCATTTGCGCATTCGGTGCCCGGTGAGCAACTCTCTGTTCGTCGATAGATGAAAGTCTCATATTATGCAAGGTACAAGTTTCATTCGGCAGTAACATCACATATGGACTATGCAATCATGGACACAGATGAGATTCCGGGAAATATCTGGCTTCAGAGAGCATCGGACCTTGTATTTCGGCAGATAGGCCAACCGTCCATTCACAATCTCATGGTTTACCTCACCATTCGTTTGCCCCTTTCAATGATAAGTCTCAATTAGCTGATTTTTGGCAGACCCTCATCTTGCTTTGCGAATACAACCTGCGTTGGGGCAGTCAGAGCAGCGCGATTATGATTGCTACCTGTTGTTCCCAAATGTCCCGTCTCCTTCGTCTGGATAGCCGGGTCACATATGAGCCTCTGGCAACCGAACACACGTTCAAGACTCAGCTGGATCGACAGACCCGAATTAGGTTGTTTTGGTCTTGCTATATTCTCGACATGTTAATGGCATCAGGAGTGGAGTCATTCACCAATACGAAGATGACCCCCACAGTTCCACTGCCCTGCTGCGGACAAGACTTTACCCTCGGCACGCCATATGATTATCAACTACTGACCAGCCAAGAATGTGATTTCCCGGATGATCAAGCTGGTCGTATTGGCGTAGAGGTATGCTTCCTACGACTCATATATTTACGGTCGTATATCCTCAGGTATACCGCATACAATCTACCCTCTCGTATCCGACGTAACATGTTGACGGATAGAAGGTTGATCAGAAAGACCAACTCCGGTACGGATCTCTGGTTGGAGCAATCTGACTTTTATCGCCCTATAAGAGGGCTACAACAATGGATAGCCACGCTTCCAGAACATCTTAAGTTCACCGAGCTGAACAGTTACATCCAGCGTGATCAGCAACAGCTCTCCGCGTTCTACGCAATCCATCTGCTTTACCACCAAACTTTCTGTGACTTATACAGAGTTGTACTACCCGGGTACCGTTTTCCCATAAAGGAGGCGCTCAAAGATGCCCCACGGACATTTATTTTAGAGTGCCAACACGAGTGTCTAGAACACGCCGAGGCAATATCAACCATCTTGAAACGCGCAATTCAGCATGGCCCGGAAGCCCTAGATGACCCTATCTCCGGCGTATGTCTGTACGAGTCTACCAAGATCCAGGTCATCATTGGACGCAGCTGCTCTGCTGGATTGCCCATTGAAGATTGGGACCGCATCTTGGGGAATGTAGTGACCAATCTGAAGGGAGTTGATCAGTGCTGCACTCACTTGGGATGGGGTATCTTACTGGTGAGTAAACTTAGGTACCTTGTCTGCTAGCTATTGCTAATAAAGACACCCTGTGTCGTCCAGATGACCGCGCTGTGCAATCTTCTGGACCAGTTCAATCTATCTGAGAGAACAGCTCCATGGAAGCAGAAGTATGGGTTAGTTAGGACCATAGTTATTCTCCTTCAAATTTTTTTCTTGAGACTTATTGGAGGTCCAGGTCGTCAAATGAGCTTTCAGATGTTTTCCCAACCGCAGACAACCATCACCTACATCCCCTCTCGTCCTATCAAGTGGCATGGAAAGAGGTACGGAGATCGGAGGCGAATAGAGCTCAAAATCAGCGCGCTCAAGACTTGTCTGTTGGCCGAGAAGCTTCCAGTGGCTTTACGCCTGGAACAGATCGAGCGGATACTGAACAGACCACGGACGTCCAATTTGATGCGCCCCTTGCGCAAGTGTACTACACCCAAGTGGCTACAGACTTGCAGGATTACATCTCTTGGAACCCGTTCTCTCTGTCCGCAGATGACCCAGACCTTTATATGGAATTGTGATACTTGTGCTATGCAGCAAACAGACACATTCTGGCATAACTGCCAGTACTATTGTCGCGCAACAGGTTAAACGGCCATCTGTGCCCTGATCTGCTCAGGGATCTCTTTTTTGCCTAGGAATCGAATCCATTTCCCAGTGTCCTGGAACTCATCCATGTTGTCGCCCTTTGACGGGTCTAGCTCCTCACCTGCCAGTCCTACCACTCCAACGTCATCCTTATACTGAGTCCAGAGACCCAGAAGCTTCTCGAAAATCTCTGGTCGAGATCCACTAAGGTCCGTAGTCTCCCCTGGATCTTCAATGATGTCAAACAACTCCCAACGTTGTGGGCCGTGTGGGTGCGGTACGTAAGTGATCTTGTACCGGCCTTGCCGCAAAGCACCACTGCCTGCAATCTCCCATCCAGTGACATGATCCTCCGGATGGATAGACGTGTTGCGATCGGAACGACCTAAAGCGAGAGCATCCAGATACGCCTTCCAGCTCTTTCCCCGGACAGGAGCCACCGGCTTCCCTCTATACTCGGACGGATGTTGGAGGCCGGCCAGCTCCAAGATCGTAGGAACGACGTCCATCACAGTGCAAAACGCGTCGGTAATTGCGCCACCCTTAGATCCACCGACGCTGCAATCCTGCACAAAGCGCTTTGCAGGCTTCAGCACAAGCGGCACACGACAGCCCCCCTCGGTCGAGAACATCTTGTACAGTCGGGACGGTGCAGTCGCCGCCTGAGCCCACCGGCTCCCGTACCAGACAAAAGAGTTATAACGGCCAATATTGTCCAGCGAGTTGTCGTAGTACTTCTGGATGTGCTCCGTTACACGGGGCCCGATGATGTCGCGGGCTTCGTAGCTCGCGCCCTCGGCGCCGTTGTCCGACATGAAGTAGATGTATGTGTTGTCGTATTCGCCAGTCGCCCGCAGGTAATCTAGCACGCGTCCAATGTTGTGGTCCATTCGGTCGACCATCCCGGCATACACCTCCATTGCGCGTGCGGACTGCGCACGCTCGTCGTCGCTCAGTTCAGTCCATGCGGCTGGTTCGCCGGGGACCGTGACGACGTCGTGCGGCTTGATATCGCGGCTCACTAGCCCCAACTCTTTCAGTCGCTGCAGCCTCTGGGTGCGGAGGACATCAGGTCCTGCGGTGTAGAAGTCCCGGTATTTATCGGCTGACTCTTTGGGCGCTTGCAGGGGCCAGTGGGGTGCGGAGAAAGGGAGATACGCGAAGAAGGGTTTCTCCTTCTCGGAGTCGGTGCGTTCTTCCAAGTACTCGATCAACTTCGTAGCATAGAAATCAGATGAGTAAAAGTCCTCCGGAAGGTCAGAGACATAATCAGATCCCTCCATATGGAGCGCTGTAACAGCAGTCTCAAAGAAACGCCCAGGCTCGTTGATGATGTCTTCATATTGAGGCTCCCAGCCTAAGTACATGTTAGTCTCGCGTACATTCAGGTCTAGTTGTCTCACGTACCGTAGTGATTTGCACAGCCGGGCAGAAGAGCGAAGGATTTCTGGAACCCTCTCGCCTGAGGGCTGTATTCCGGCTTCAACCCGAGATGCCACTTTCCAGACATGATAGTGTGATATCCGCCATCACGAAGCAGCTCCGGTAAAGCTACCACTCGGTCGTTCAGATACCCTTCATGACCGGGCTTTCCTTGATGAGCAGGCGAGCTCCGGATGAACTCGGATAACTGGCCCAACCCGGTAATGTGGTGGTCAGTCCCGGTCATCAACATAGAGCGCGTTGGAGAACATGCGGCTGCGACGTGGAATGAAGTGAACCGTAGACCTCCGGTGGAGTCTTCAGCCAGGGAATCAATGTTTGGTGTTTGTATCTCGGATCCAAAGCATCCACAGTCGCTGAATCCAAGGTCATCGGCGACGATGATCAGAAAGTTGGGCCTTTTGGGTCTGGTATTATTTTCTGAGGCCATTTTTCTCTCAGGTCAAAAAGCACACTGCTGACAGATGAGACAAAATGCATTTTAATTTGCCCGACGGGAGAGTGGGAGCTGACGAGCTCATTGATATTTGTCTCGCCATCGCATCTCGGGCTCGCCGCATCTCGGCTTCTCCGCATTCTCGGTTTTCGGATTGCTCGTGACAACAGTAAGATGTATACGGCCACTCATGTAACAAGCATCTGCGATATAAAGCCACGCGATGTGCAGGAGTGAGATTTTGGACTTGCATTCCTTTTAATTTATCCCGTCTAAACGATCATGGCTGATGCCGGAAAGCTGTCCTTCACCAAGCGTCTATCGCTTTTCACCCCAACAGTGTTCTTCCTCACAATGTATGCCCATATAGATCGATGACTGCACGCCTTGAGAATCTGACTGTGCCAACAGATATCTCTCGCTGGCTACGCTCAACTTTGGATATGACGTGGGTACGTCTACAGTGTCTTGTTACTATTCTCTGACTAAACTAATTGTCTCAGGATCTTTTGCTGGAGTACAGGCTCTGACCCGTGAGTTATACTCCATTCACGATCATTGCCCACCCTTACAGCTAATATACATGTAGCGTTTGCCAAACGATTTGGCCACTATGACCGGACCAGCGAGACCTGGGCGTTGCCCAGTTACCTTGCATCTCTCATGAACTCGCTACCGTTTATTGGGAAACTAATCGTGCGTATACCCCTAGGATACGTATATGACCTTTTGCTCTAACCCATGTAGGGAGCCTTGACCTGCGGACCCATTGCAGAGAAATACGGGCGACGCGTTGCGGTGGCCGTCATGGCCTGTATATGTTTGATGTAAGCATCGACTAAGACCCCAGACACACCAAGAAAGCTAACGAGAGAACATCAGCGGCGTTACGCTGCAAACGTCGGCTACCACCGCCGCCCAGTTTACCCTGGGCCGGATCATCAACTTCGCAATGACGGGGTTTTGCATCGTAGTCACCCCGATCTACCAGTCTGAATGCTCCCCGCCGTCTTTGCGGGGGATGATCTCGTCGACTATACAATTTCAGATTCTGCTCGGGCAGGTCATCTCCTCCCTGGTCAACCTAGGAACAAGCCATATGGATACAGATGCTGCGTGGCAGATTCCCGTTGGTAATGACCCTACTCTTCATCGAGGCTCTCTTGTTAATATATTCAAGGTCTCCAGTTCGTTGTGCCAGCTTTTATGTTGGGACTCTTACCGTTTATGCCAGAGTCTCCGCGATGGTGAGTCGACATATACTACCATGCTCATCTTTTACTTGCTGATGTTACAGGCTCGTCTCTAAGGGGCGTCTAGAGCAAGCACTGCACTGCTTATCCAGGCTCCGCAATAAGGAGGCGGACGATCCGATGATCTCAGAAGAGATCCGAAACTTGCAACATGACCACAGCAACGAATCCAAAGGGCGATGGAAAGAGCTTTTCGATGATGCAAATCGGGTGTGTTTATCAACGCCATTTCCATGATGTCTTGCTAATTGATACAGACCAGGACATGGATTGCAATTCTGGTCATGTTCTTTCAGCAAATCACCGGCCAGGCATTTGTGTCGCAGTACAGCGTGTCCTTCTACAAATCACAGAAGATTGGCGACCCCTTTCTTCTCAATGTCCTTCAAAATATAGTCAGCATGATCTGCAATATGATCACTTTTACATACGTCGACAGTCTTGGCCGCAGGTATGAGAATCTCCCACCCACTCTTCATCGTATGCTCAAATCCCGGCTATTAGGCCTCTGCTACTAGTCGGAAGCTTCCTCATGGCGTCCTTCCTTATAGCGCTAGGCGGGCTAGCCACTACACCCCACCCAAGCGAGTCTCAAAAGAACGCAATGGCGGCGTCTATGATGATCGCGTTCGGATTTTACGGGCTCTCATGGGCGCCGATGTAAGTTTGCTGCGAACGTTTGAGTGACCATCACGCTAAGTTAGACAGCTCGTACATTGTGCTGGGAGAAGTCTCCAACAGCCGAGTGAAGGAAAAGACCAGCAACCTGGCGGTATCTATCTCCGTCATCACCACCTTCATCGTCTCCTTTACCGTCCCCTACCTGACTAACGCACCTTACGCCAATCTCGGGGGCAAAGTGGGATTCCTCTACGGGGGTATCACGTTCGTGTCTGTGGCCGTGGCCTACTTCTATGTCCCCGAATTAAAGGGCCTGTCATTGGAGGAAGTCGACCGGCTGTTCGCGACTGGACGCCCTGTTCGTCGCCTCAGTGGGAGGATGCTGACTCTGGCCCACGATGACGACACGGCAATGAACAAGCCGTAGGATTCCGTCTCCGCTTGGGGATCTCGCTACACCTATTAGATCAGATATCCGATCATTCTGCTCCATGAGAGTTAGGGCTTAATATAGAAGGATTTTACCCATAAGCCAAGCACTTCCTAACATTGTTGAGATAAAGGTGGGGGCCGGGGGGCTCCTTTATAAGACCATGAGGAGCAGAGACGATCGTATGGAGGACGCCGTAAGCGTCAGGCGGACAGTCGGGATTCCTCGGGTCATCGATGTATCGCCAATGCGTCCCAAAATAGCAAAGCCAAACACCTAGATCTTGAATTAGATCGTGATAGCTTGGGCTCGCCAAGCATTTCCATCTTGAGGTCTGACAGTGACAGATGGCCCGGATAAAAAGATCACGAGGCCATCTACCTTCCGGTCCGAATTCGTGTCGGCTTTAGGACGTCAACTCCACCGAAGGAAGCTGACTCACGGTGCTGTACGCATGTTGTAGGCTAATATCGCAGACGGCACAGTAGAAAACTCTGAATGCCGATTTCCGATCATGCAGATCGCTTCTGTATATAAGAAACATTCCTGCCGTATATTGCAGCAGTCTGAGACCAAGACATCTCACTGTTCTCACGAGACATTGCGAACACTATGTGTGGTATCTGTGCACTTATTACCCTGCAGGGTTCTCCCACGCCAACTGAGCAGGAGAACGTGGCCCTGCACAAACAACTCAGCGACAGCTTGGACGTGATTCAACATCGTGGGCCTGATGCACGAGGCGAGTGGGCGAGTGCTGACGGGAGAGTTCGTAAGTCCACCATTATCTCGTCCCGACTTTCATGACTAATACCTTGCTCCTCCAGACCTAGGACATGTCAGACTGTCCATTATCGATCTCAGCCCGGAGGCTAACCAGCCGTTCCACGATGATCAAGACGACGTCCATGCCGTCGTCAATGGAGAGCTGTACGACTATGAGCATTATCGTAAGCTCCTTGGTGATGAGTATGATTTCAAAAGCCACAGCGATTGCGAGACCGTTCTTGCATTGTACAGGCACTACGGCCTTTCCTTTCTCTCCTATCTGCGTGGAGAATTTGCCCTTGTCCTATGGGATGCGCGGCGCAAAGTCCTTATTGCTGCAAGGGATCGGTTCGGAGTCAAATCGCTGTACCATACGGTCATCAACAACAGACTTATTGTTGCAACGGAGATGAAGTGCTTCAAGGCATTCGGATGGGAGCCTGAATGGGATGTGCAGAGCTTCCGGGAATATAGCTGGACGTACGGCTCCGGCACGTTCTTCAAGGATGTCAAAACGGTTGGTAGATGTCTTATCGTCTCCATTCGTGTACTGAGCGTTTCTAGGTTCAACCAGGGCACTACATCATCAGCAGAAGCTTTAGAAACATCGAGGATGGTGTATTCTGGGACGCCGAATATCCCGACAAGGTATAAAGTGTCAGGACATACTTGTTGGCCAGACATCTAACAACATCCTAGAACACGGTAGATCACCGATCCGAAGCGGAAATGATCGCAGGAGTAAGGGAACGTCTCATGGAGGCAATCCGTCTGCGACTTCGAGCCGATGTACCCCTGGGAATTTATCTCAGTGGGGGCATTGACTCATCAGCGGTGGCAGGGATGGTTGTGCATCTTGTGAAAGAAGAAGGCGCGCGTCTGGGAAACGATGACAGCCAGATCCTGTCGCGCATCAAATGCTTCACAGTGCAGTTTGACAAGGATAGTGGAGTGGATGAGTCCGGTAGGAAGACGTTACCTCTATATGCAACGGCCTTGATGACTGAGGTTCACCAGATATCGCCCAACGTACCGCGGAGTGGCTCGGCGTCGATTTTCACCCTGTCCCGATAGACGAAAATGCCATGGTAGCCAGGTTTGAGGATCTTGTGTGGCATAGTGAAATTCCCCTGCCCGATATCAACGGCATTGGGAGACTTGCCATGGCGGAGACTGCCAAAGCGCACGGGATCAAGGTCATCCTTACAGGTACGGATACTTCTTTTGAGCCTCCATGTTGTTTCCGCTCACGAGTTTTCTTAGGAGAGGGATCCGACGAGCATTTTGGCGGATACGCGGATCTGACCAGACAGTACTTCCTTGAGCCCGACCCCTCGTGGCCATCGGGCCTGCTGTCTGATGCCGAACGCAAGGAGGCGCTGCAAGTCCTCCAAGGAGATAGTGGGACGGCTGGAGTGGAATTTACGAAGCGGAAACTGCCCGAGTCCGCACGGCGGATGTTGAACAACACGACTATGTTCAGCCGTACCCTGCTCCTAGGTGCTTTACCTTTCGCACAGTGGACGAACGCGCACACTGCAACCGCACCCGAGACCGGCATTATGGAGAGCCTAGATGGAAGAACGCGCTATGCGATCGCGAATCGCTGGCACCCCCTTCACGCAGCGGAGTATATCTGGACGACCGGTTATTTTCGGACTTTCCTACTCCGCTATCTTGGGGATAATGTCGACATGGTTCATCATGTCGAAACTCGACCGCCGTTCCTGGACCACCACTTGACCGAGTACGCCAACGGCCTTCCACCGAGCGTGAAGATCAAGTATTCGCCAACGAATAAGACGGTGGTAGAGAAGCATGTCTTGCGGGAAGCGGTTCGACCCTTCGTCACAGACGAGATATACAAGCGCAAGAAGAAGCCGTATCTAGGGCCAACTCGGTTTCAAGAGAATGGTCCGCTGCATCAGTTGATTGGCCGTCTCACCTCGCAGGAAAATATAGAAGCGCTGGGCTTTGTGGATTGGCAGCGGACAAAGGAGCACGTTCATAAGGCGTTCGTGGAAAAGAATGGGATATCCTTGCGGTACGCAATGATGGCTGCTCAGTTCGTTGTCCTATCTCAAAGATTTGGGGTCAAGAGAGCTACTCCTTGTATGGTATGAGGTTGGTCAGAGCGGGCGGAGGCTGGACGAGGCTGGAGGCACCTGCATGAAGCGATTGTTTTCACGGCCCCTCCGAGAAGATCAGGTGTATCCATACCAAATTCAGGCAGTGCTTTTCAGGAGTAGTAAATAGTCCATTTGGCGGGCTGACACAAAGTCGTACAACGCAGCGAGAAACCAGGCCTTTGATAAGTCTACGTCGATCGTCGCGTTCTTGCTCTGCTCAGAGGTGGAGCGGGATGGTCGTTAGGACTGGACATATGCAGTTATTCTGCCTTGGTGTACGGTGTAAGTGGTATCGTCGATGTGATGGGTCATCTAGGCTGATCACGAGAAATTGTCGGGCTGTCTGCTGGGTGATATCTGTCACGAGAGTCGATTGTTAGCTTGATAGCCTGTCCCGTGGACACTCTTTCTGTGATGCGCACCATTGGTATGTGGGTTTCCGTTGAGATCTCAAAGCCATTGAAGGAATAGAAACAAGTTCGTTTCAGTCAAGTTCAGGAGCTGAACTGATCCTCAATTTTCTGGGACTGAACTTCCACGTGTATTCAGGGGTCGACCTGCCTACATTGCAGTTAGCAACTCCACGTGGCTTACCTCAGCTGCAGATTACCATCGCTGCGGTGCATTATGGCACCGCTTGGGGCCGACAGGATCGTCCTTTTGGCGCAAGGATTCCGAAATCAAATCCAACGTTTGGTAGACCCACTGGGCTCACCCCCCGATCTGAACAGGTACTGATCTTCCCGCCTCGGAAGGTTACCGGCTCCGACGACCGTTGACTACTCGGGGTAAGGAAACAAACTCTTGTTGATGAATTTGAACGAAACAGCCCCGAACCATATGGGGTGTCTTGTGTCCGTGGTTACTAATCCGCAAGAATGTGCGTCACTGTACAGGAGAGATGAGCACCCAAGCTCTCCAGAAGAATATCACTCACGTGCGCATCCATGTCCGATCGACATAGCAAACGGTCGGACTCTCTCCAATAATAGGGGGCCACCTACCGCCCTCTCTTCTCCATTTTGGGGTAGCTGCAGTCCCTCACTCCTGGTGGACGGGTCACCGGAAAGGCTGGACTCAACAGCTAGGAGATGTACCTGTACAAAATAGGCGGGTGGCGTCCGGGTGGCGTCCGGGAGGCCCGACCGATGGACTGGGATAATGCGGCGATTCAGAGAGTTATTTCGCATCACTCTCTTTCCAATTGGATCCAGCTTTACTCAACACGGCATACATCGCGATCTCCAGGTCAAAGCCAGCAGCGTATCATGCCAAGCCGTGGCCAGTTCGAGGTAAATAGAGTGAAGCTTATCCGGCCGGAAAACCCCCCGAAGTGAGTTTTACTGGTCCATCGGAGCGGGTGGATTACGCCATGTGCAGGGATCTAAACCCTAAATTGCGGGCCTCGCAGCCCGGACCGAAACCTTGCCTGATCGACTTTAGTACGGAGTCCAGGTACTCCGGAGTAGTTACTCTACGGATGCAGGGGGGATGATCTACGAACTAAGCCCCTGTCTCACTCTGGACTGCAGCGCATCACAGAACTAACGCGCTGACAGGCTCCGAGGAACCCCCGACTGACATGGTGACGAAGCTTCTGGTCCACTTTGCTGCAATCCGTGCTGCAGCATCGGGATCTGGTTCTCCGTTCTCCTGGGCCCGATAGGAATAGGTAAAGGGGGGGGCTCGAGCAGGGCTGTCCAATAGTTAGCAGTCGAATACGGTGCAGAAGGTAACTTCCAAGCAGTGATGACGGGCGGGTCCGACCTTGGAGTCCAAGCTTACGGAGTACCTGTACGTATCTGCCAACGGCGCGGCAGGGTATCTGATCATGCGGGAAGTCTGGGCCCCCATCCGAGATAGAAGAAAATGGCGGGCTACTCCGATGGCTGAGGTTCGGCGAGGGGACTTTTTTACCGGCTTCGGCACCGCCGAAGTGTACGGAGTACGATTTTCGCCCATTATGGCATACTCGACGATGCTTCCCTAATTGGCATAGTGCAGTCTCATATGTAGATAGAGCTAAGTTAATTATGCTGCGTAGGGTGGATTAGTCGACCGTTGGTTGCCAATATACGCAAAGCAGATGTGCAACGCTAATTCAATTCGCCTTGCTCCGTATATCTACGGAAGTATGGCCAGGATTGGGCATTATTATAAGGCTCCGAGATTATATCACGGAACTGCCTTCCACCAAACCAGTGAGCTGGAAATTGACCTAGCTCGACTAGTGGAAGAGAAATTCATACATCTAGCATGCCATTCACCTCGGAGGGATATGTACACGATTGGCACAAGAAGAAATGGTACTACCCACTATTGGGCACTTCAGCCCCAGTATTCTGACTCGTATACACCGGCAAATCTGCTAGATTCAGACCATGCTAACAGAAATATCTATTAGCCGTCTACCAGGTTCGCCAATATGTCGATATGTCAAGGATAAGTAGCGAGTCGGACTGTCTCTTGATGTTGCTTAGTAGAAGACAATAGGATAACTAACCATAGCACAATGCATAATTATGCAGATAAATCTTCAGTTAGCTAAGAGATGTCTAGGGATAGTGGACCAATCCGGCGTATTTCCGTTAATCCCTGTCGTGATCGTCTCGCCCTATAGTTCTATAGTAGACCAACTATGGCTTGCCACCTTCGGAACTGGTGCAGAAACTGTTCATGAGGTCCGATGGCTGTTTTTAGGGGAACCTCATGTATTCTACATAGTGCGCGCTTACAAGAGCAGGTGGATCGATCTACTAATTGTGTCTATCACCATTTGCCCGCCTGGCGCTGACTTGCTTGTGCTGACCGTTCCTCAGGAATAATTCTCCGAGGATGAACCGACCAAGCCATCAGGCTGGTGGAAAGGTTCCGCATTGACCCACTGCTATTCCAGCGTGAAACCAGCATGCCTCTAGTTCGCTTTCTAATAGTACTAACGCATAGATCACCATCCTCAACATAGCTGCCATATGTCCTTGACGATTCTTCCTCCCTGGCTTTTCATCCAGACAGATTCATCTATGTCGTTTCTTTATCCCAAGAAACCTCATAGCCCTGATGCCTCAACTCCGGACTCGGCGCAGTCTTTCTCATGATGATTTCGAGACGATAAGCGATGCGCTGGTCATATTTGGCATGATCGCCAGTACGGCCGCGGTGACCGTTCATACCTATACGAGCGTGCGTATTATGCGCGACTTTGGAGCGCAAAATAGTAAGCTTTTTCCCGGGTATTTGGCGGATCAATAGCTAACGACACCAGTTCTCAGTATTTGCTCATGGGTAAGTGGCCTAGAGATGTACACAGGCGAGTTGGACACTTACTCGATGCTAGGTCTTTGCCGTTGGGCTATATGCACTATATACCTGTTTGTGACCTTTCCCTCGCTGCAGTATCTGCATTCGCTGATTAGATTTCTTCGCCTTGGTATAGGGAGTTTCCGAAATGCAGGGCTTGGGCACCATGAAGCCGATCTCACTCAGAAAGACATGGATACTCTCACAGTGGTAATGTTATCTGACACAGTTTACATGCTTGTACACGATCGCTAACCGACTTAGGCACTTCTCGCTATTGTGTCGGTTTTCATTCCAACGATGTGCATGGCCAAAATGAGCATGATAACCCTCTATTATCGCCTCAACCCCTTCGGCACCATCTGGAGAGTGTCAGTCTTAGCCATCGCCATTGTCATCGTTGTTCCCACCCCGGTCTTGGTTCTCCTGTACATCTTCGGCTGCAAACCAGTGGCCCTGGCATGGAACCCGGAGGTCGGCCAGGGGCAGTGTATCAGTCGTCTTGGCATCATGTTCACCAGTTCGGTGTTAAATGCTTCCACTGACCTTATGATGGTCTTGATTCCGATTCCCCTCATCCGCCAGTTGCAAATGCCATTGTTTGTTAAGGTTGGAGCATTGGTGATGTTCTTTCTGGGTTGCATGTATGCACACCTACCCTATCTCTGTAATGCTTGTGGCTGACCGAATACAACACACAGCACGATAATCACCAGCATATTCCGTGCAATCGCCTTCGGTGATCTTTTCCATCGGTCAGATCAATCCTACCATATGGCGGTTCCCATCCTCTGGGCGTGAGTTCTCCCGCGCTATAATTGCAGAAGCCATACTCACGCCACGCCAGGAACGCGGAAACCACCCTAGTTATTATCTGCGATTGTCTGCCGTCCTTCCGTCGCTTCCTATCACACATGATCGCAAACTCCGGCTCGAACGCGTCAGGAAACGTCAGCAGACGTCTCGGCAGTGTCGGAACTGGCAACGCACCACAGCCGGGGCCAGGAAATGATTTCGAAGACGATGTGGAACTGATCCGCCGCGACGCTGGTAGCACTATGAGGATAAATCGGACGGTTGAGCTGAGTATGACATATCAGCAGAAAGAGGTGGATACGAGCGTGCATTCTATCCCAGACTCTTCGTTCTTGAAGGGACCGAGCCCGAAGCATAGTTCGACAGATATGAGGGGGCACGTCATTGTGTGATGTGATCTTAGTGGACATGCCCTAATGCCATGCCTAGCGCAGTCGCTGGCCACTTTCTAATATGAATCGATGATTTAGATGTGTGGTGAGGTAGCTAGTCTATCCCGAATGTTGATGGGACAGGACAGCAAGTATAGAGAAGGAGCTGGAACTCCCCCCATCATTTCTTTGGCAGATGATCCAGCAGTCGACTAGTGAAACAATAATTGATTTAATTACCCAGTTTAACTAGCCAAACCCGCATGGAAAAGGTTTGATTTTTCAAATCAATCTAGCTCTGTCATTGTATACCTCAAGTGCTATGAGACGACGGGCTACTGTTGAGGAATGCACGATCATGTCTGCTCCGACCTCAACCCCACCACGAAATAACTCCCTTTGACCGTCCTTGATGCGCCAGACCCCATCAACCTCACAGATAATAGGTTCCTTCTTCCAGGTCCCATATATCCCCAGCCGCAGCATGACGAAGAAACCATTTTCTCGTGTCCCAAGATCGGTATCTTTGCCCCCCGCTAGAGTACAGTCGAAGAATATATATGCATCCTGGCCGTTGGGCCAGATGTGAGCTACCCTGCCTAGCATGCCATAACCACCCTAAGAAATTGTCCTGTTCGCATAGCCAGTCGACGAGCGCTTCGTAATCATCATCGTGCACCGCGAGAACCAGACGTTGCAAACGAGGAAGAATGACTTGGCTATCGCTGTCTGATAACTCATCGTCAGAAGAGCCCGATGGTTCTGGAATAATAGGATCGACGAGGACAAGGTGTGTCAAATTTGGAAGCTGGGAAAGCGTTTCCACGAATTTGTCGCAAGCGAGCTCGGACTCAGCCAACGCAAGCCTGCGAAGATTGATCCAACGAGGCGTTCTTTTGGTGGCGGATTGCAGGGATTCGGGAATGCAGCTGATGTCGCAATCGATGGAACAGAAGTCTTCGATCTTTGTGAGGCGAGCAAGTGCCCTCCGAAGGAGCCATTCATGAAGTTTAACTCCATTAGAGCAATCCCACATATCGCAGGTACAGAGGACAAATCGTGTGAGGGAGCTTCTCATCTTCTTAGATAGCGTTGTGAAGAACCGAGCTATGAAAGGCTCATCTTCCCAATCCTCCTTACACAGACTGAGAATGAGGTTGGGTGCTGAAATGCGTCCACGATTATTCAAGCTGATCATACGGAGACGGTCTTCTCCATCAATGCAGACAGTGCTTCAAGAGAAGACCTTTCGCGACTTTGGAGATCGATTTAGAAACGCGGGTCAGGCTGAGCAAGGTTTTCGTAACTGGATCCGAAGCTGGAAACGCGATAGGTGGGTTCGGTGGGATCACGAAGTTGATGATGAGAATGATCAGCTCTAGTGGCAGGTTCATCGTTGAGAAATTGGAGATAATCTGTCCGGTCAGATTCGTATGGATAGAGGAGGCGTGTGAATGGAGGAGGCGTGCGAATAGAGGAGAGAAGATTGCGAGTGGATGGAGAGATGGAAAGGAAATAGAGATGGTGAAGTGATCTGTGAGGTGAAGTTGAGAGTGGAAATCAAGGTCAGGACGAGACAATCCTTTACCCCTACGTCATGTCCCCTTCAAGGTGACCTGAGATGTTTTCAATATGAATGTTGCCGTGGATTAATCAAAAAGTACTTTTATGGCGTATGTTTTCAACGACTACGAATTGTGTCCAGTCACCGCGCCCCAAATATATGCAGCCCAGCTTCCCAGAGTCAGGAGCATAAGGAAACTGAAACAGCATATCGAAATCCACCAGCTCCGTCGTTCATGAGTCACAAGGTGCTTTTCGCGAAGAAGGGCAAAGAGTTCACCACCTCTTATGATGCGTTGCTTTCGCGTCCACTGCAACGGAGCCAGGTTGGGACTGAACTGGGCTCCCACAAAGATGGCCAGACCGACGACTACAGATCCCACCGCGAGGAAGAGGTATACCCTCACCACTCGGCGGTAGGAGTCATTATCCGCGTCTTGGAGGGCTCCTGTGATGATTCGGATGATGATGCTCATGCTGTAGTTTTGTTAGTCGTTACCTTCCGTGTAGGTTTGCTGAGACATACGCATTATTCATGGTGACCTTCAGTGCATAAGCGGATCCAAAGACTGACTGGTTCCATAATGTCGTCCGGATGCTGTCAATGATTGAGGTTGGCCCCAGGGTGCTTGCGATAGCATAGATGCCAAAGGACGCAGCGGTCCCAGCAGAGGTACTGGCAAAGTTTACGAGAACCATGCTGAGGAACACGCCCGTTCCGCAGACCAACACTACACTAGTTAGCTTTCGACCTTTAAATGGCTATGCTGGAGAATATACTTACTGACTGTGGCGCGATGTCCGAAGATATCGATGAAGATACCCAGAAACGGCACCAAAAAGAAACCTGCCAATTGGCTTGCATAAGCACGCATCGCACAATAGGATTGATATTCCTTACCAGCGTATTGAGCCAGAGCACTGTACCAGCCTGCCGTGATTGAGCTGACATTGAATCGCTTCTCCGCCAGCTCGGTGGAGTTCTGGCTGAAGACCAGCGCGGTACTAGTCTGGAATATGGAAAACGCCATGACCGACCAAAACATCCATGGAAGTTGGAAGATCTTCCGAAACTCAAACTTCTTATTTTTCTCCGTGAGAGTCTCGCCTGTAGCCGTATCCTGGCGTCCTCGATAGTGGTTGTTGCAGTATCTGTTGAATGCCCAGAACACCACGGTAGCAGCGTTCCCAAAGAGATTCATGAACACAGAGGTCCAGAATACCCACGCAAAGTTTCCAGTGTTCTATCCTGTCAGAATGGGTCTGGAATATTCAGTCGGCCATTCTTACCTTGGAGATGACATTTGCTGTCGATTTGCCAACGAAGCCACCAATCTGATGCATATGAGCTCCTGGTCCTCGATGGTTCCATGGGATCGACGTACCTTTCCAATGGCCAGTTCAAACCCGAGAGTGGACGCAAACCCTCTACTCGGCGGGAACCAAGAAGAGAACATCTTGTATTGGGCGATCTGGGTCGCAATATCTCCCAAGGCGAGAATGACGCGTCCACCAATCATGAAATTGAACGATCGGACTGTCGTTGCGGCGGCGACGAGAATCGATCCAAGGGTATAAACGGCCGTACCGGAGATGATCATTGCTGGCGGATAAAGCACTCAGTATAAGCAGTAGGAGGCGGGGAAATAGGGGACCAGGTGAGACATACCAGCGCCTCCCACCCGATCTGTGATAACACCGCTCGGAAGAAGCAACAGCGTCGCCATGAAGTCCTCACTAGCCTCGAGAAGAGAAAACTGGGTATTGGAAATGTGAAGGTCCTTGTCGATTATCAGCCACCCGTCATCCAAACCATATCGATTCGTAAAACCTTTTTCAGTGTGCTCTTCATGGCCCCCGTAACACCCGAACTCCAGTGCGATGCGAAGCTGATACACGAGATGAGGAACACCGCAAGCAATTTGGCCAGCAGCGGCGGGGGCTTTCTGCTGTCGACCGAATCGTCATCTTGCTTATCTTTACTGGGAATCGCCGGCTCCTCAGTAACTTCCAGATCCGTCTTTGGGACAGGTTCGTTGGACGGCATGGTGTGCATTGAGCTGGTGTCCGTCCACTAGACAGAAAAAAAGATCTCAGAACCCCGCTGGGGAGGCTCGTTATATATGGCATGATGGAACGCGTGTCTCCGTGGTCGGAATTGGAGGCCCAATTGACTTCGGATCAGATAACCCCTCGAGAGGGAATTCCGATCCCACTAATTCCTTCATTGGGTAGAGTGACCGTGGTCAGACGGGAGATAGCTGGTATTTTGTTTGTTCTAATGCGGCCGATTTCCGAATAAAAGACGTAAAAGGCTCGGCATGGGGGCAGTGGATGGCCACGAGTGGAAGAATTGAAGAATTGGACCTTGGAAGCTTCCCAGAGTGGACTAACGCTGCAGCGGGGCGTTGATTGATAAGATTTGGTTCTCGGAACCTGTCCGAGACCTTTTCTTCTGGTCCGATGAAAGTTGGTTTTGTTGTCTTGGAAGGGAAGAGATTTTGGCAAGGCATGAAAAGGATGGTGGTAAGGAGTAGTGGTGTAGTGGTGTAGTGGTGTTATTTAGAGAGAGGCTAGTGTATATATATATGCGCATGAGGTCAGTGTACGAAGCCAACAGCATTGACCACTTCCAGGTTCCCATTGCCCATTCCAGATCCCGGAAGCCTCAGACTTGACTTATGAACTCAAATAAATAGCCACTTGGAGAGAAAAAAAACTCAAACATTCAGTTAAGGAGATAGGTGATGCGACTTGTGTCTCGCGCGAACACATTCCGCGTCGATATTATTGGAGTTACAGGCACTGTCTCTCTGAGATAGCATAACAGCTTTAGCTCTGCATACCGGCTACATTACTGAGACGCAAGGGTCGTGCATAAACCGTTTATTGTATCCGCAGCATGGACCAATTCGCCTGCACCCTCAGGTAGGTAGATCATAGCCCTGGGTCTGATCTACCGCACGCTGCCCACAGACGACACTATCAATGTGATTAAGCTTATATCAACCTGGAGAGGAACCGAGAACAATCGCATGCAGATCTCGGGGACCATTGCAGCCTGAGGCAACGAACCACCGATCCCGGCAGTCCGGACTGGCTGACGTTTCACCAACTATGCGCAGTGTTCTTTCTTCGGCTCCAGCCGCTAAATTCCCCAGGTACAAAGGTCCAAAGGTTCCCAAAAAGTTCCATTCCCAGGACAAAGCCTGGCATCAACAGGTCATGCATTCCCGACCCAGTGTTATCGAAACCTTCTTGCTCGGCTCGGGGACCATAAAAGGTCTTGACGCAATGATGGACGGAGAGTGCTGGTCCCCGACCCATACTCTGGTCGGCGACTTCACTCAGAACCAACGTCGGCGACATGAAGCTTCTTTCGCGGACAGGTGGCAACTCGCGCTAATGGACAATGACCTCTACGATGTCTGAAACGACTTAAAGAATCTATCATTCACTTCATCTACGCTGATCTACCGCCATGTTCACCCCCGTGCATACGTCGCTTGGAGCCCTGATGCTCTTCCAGGGCTCCTCCGGCCTCCTCCTTCACAATGGCGCGGTCTTCGGTATCTCGTCGCTGCTCTCGGGCTGTGTCTTCAACCCGAATCGGGACAACGTGCCTATCATCGCCGGCTTGATCTCCAGCGTCGCCCCCATCTACCTCTTGATACCATCGTTGATTCCGTCCTATCCAGCCGCACCCAACTCGCTGGTATCCTTCGCATCGACGGTAGGAACCGGTTTCTTACTTGGCTGGGGAACAAAGGTAGGCCAAACCATCACTGACTGAGAGATCGCGGGCTCTAACAACGGGATTCTAGAATGGTCGCGGTTGCACCTCCGGCCACATGCTATGTGGGCTCTCGCGTCTCTCGCCGCGCTCCCTGATTGCAACAGCCATCTTCTTCACAACCGCGTTGCTCACGGCCAACTTTGTATCCGGTGGCCAGAACATCCCGCCGTGCCCATCCGGGGTTCCGTGCTATACGCCGACATATCCCTCCTCCGCAGAGTTCATGGTGATGGCTGCGACGACGGCCTTGACCTTCCTCACCAACTATGTGATCGTTCCCCGCACCCTCGACCGATCGGAAAAGTCGAGAACCATATATTCGTATCTAGCGGGCCTGCAGTTTGGACTGGGTCTCTTCTTCTCCGGGATGGCCGATCCGGCCAAAGTGCTTCGATTCTTTGCGATCCTGATAGATCCCTCTCGGTGGGACCCTTCGTTGGCTCTCATTATCCTCTTCGGAATCGGTCCTTCGCTCTTGACATATCTGTCAAAGAAACCAGGACAGAAGACAGCCGACCAATCCGAGAAGCCGGAGAAGCCTACCCTATCGGAGAACTGGAGACTCCCGACTGCGACTGTAGCGGACATTGATTGGCGGTTTGTTACTGGGGCAGTAGCATTCGGAGTCGCGTGGGGATTGCGAGGCGTTTGCCCGGGACCAGCTGTGCTTCGAGCTGTTTTGCAGCCTGTTTGGGGTGTCGCGGAAATGGCCGGGTATATGCTGGGAAACCTGGTGTAGAGAGTTGAGTGGTGTGACAGTGGATTAAAAACTGTGCAGACGGAAAATATCAGCGTGGCTCGCGAGACGCCATGGGAATGACCTATGTGTAACATGTGTAACATAGATTGTACGAGACGTGGGACAAGACGGGCGATAGTCATTCTTCTTTTCGATTTTGAGGTAACGCTTACAACTCAGTTTTTTTGTTGGGCTGCTTAGAACCATGCATTGAGCGCTTAGTCCCTGTGTCCTGCATCGAGGGATCCTTGTTGGTGGCGCTCGGCATGAAGCCCTCGAGCTCCATCCACTCAGCGGCAAACGCGGTTATCAGCGTACCCCAGTCTTCCACCGTGTCCAGGTCAAGATGTTCCCCATCGTCCGGGATGCCCTTCATGTTATGCCAGACGACGGGAAAGCCGCGAGAAGGCGAAGCGTCTATGACATGCAGAATCTCAACCCCGCGCCTTAGGAACGGGATATGATCATCTTCAATTGCAAAGCCCATCGGTATCTTATCCTCGGTTTTGGCCACGTCGAGAAACCAGGGCGTCCCTGTTGCTTCATTAGAAGACTTGAACTGTTTTAGGTCCCGAAGACGCTTCTCCAGATTGGCCAGCTTCAGGTAGGCCCAGTGTGTTGTTGGGAAATAAGACTGAATGCCAGGATCCTTGGCCCCAAGCAGATCCAAAAGAACAAACAGGGATATGGAAGATAGAGGGGTCTTGAAAGTGGACATGACAGGATGCATTTCTGCGTCCCACTGTTCTGCCAGGGACCGAGCGCCGTAGAGAGAGTCGGTGTCGGTCCATTGGGCAAACGCCTCTTCGCCGTCCAGAAACAGGAACTGGATTCCTCTCTGTTCCTCCAGGGCATGCGCATGGCCTTCTGCTTTCATCGCCTTCCATTTCTCTGTCAAGGCGCTGTCGATGCTCCGCATCGCGTGCATCATGATGGCGCAAGGAGCAGCGCTGTCCGTCGCGCCGATGAATCCCTCTGGTGTATATTTACTATCGTAATGCGCGACAATGGTCAAGCGGCTGACATCGCCTGGCGCAGCCCATGGGGGATCGCGCGACGCAATGAGATTAATGAACGGGACTTCCTTCCCATTCGACACAGGTGTGGTAGAAGTGGAGTTCTGGAACTGGATATTCCAGTCTGGGAGGGTCGTGCGTATAAAGTTCACAAAATGATTGAGCACCGCAGTTGAGCCCGCGGTCCCCGACACACGGGGAATTAGAATCGGCGACAGCAACGCGCCGTTGTGTATATCGAAATCATTGTCCGGCCGAGGGAGTGATTTTAGCGAGGCGTCAGAGAGATCTTGATAGGCTTCGCTAGGAAGCAGTAGAAGAAGAAGCGTAATACATAACGAGAGGAAGGGGCGGAAAAGGCCACCGTTACGAGAAGACATTATGCTCCGCAGTGTCGAGCTCGTACCGCGTCTGAAGCAAGCCCAGCTCGACGCTTGGGGATTTAGAGACGTCGCAAGACAGCAGCGAGTGCAAAGCGACCGACAACGGCGAGATGATGGGAAAGATGGAGTGTGTTGTTGACAGGTAAATGACGGGAGATGTGCACTGAAGATACGCCGGAGTAGATGCGTGCCAAGCCCCGATGGGTCACGTTTCGGAGATCTCCCTGTTGATTCCGTCATGCCGATTATTATTTCTCGCTCCTCCACCATTCACATCATGTCGTCCATTACGAGGTTCCAGATCCTCTTCCACCCCCAATTGCGCACGTCTCTTCCTCGAACGGTACAAAGAGACCTCCGGAGCCGATTGTTTACTCGCTTGAAGACGCAGAATGCCTTTCGCGCGGCCCCGGAGACTAATGCGCGCAACGCACCCGCACAACATGCAAAGACCACGATAAGACGAGGTACGAGGAACTTGCTGATTCCCCAGTATGTGTCTGATGGTGTATGGTACAGGGCCACCGGAGCGCATATTGATCTACAGTGGTGGAACAGGCAAGACGATGTTCCTGAGCATGTTGCGTCTCACGACGGTCTTCTTGTTCGGAGTAAGCTGCGTAGTCGTTGCGCCAGGGTTTGACGGACCAGAGTTTCCGTGGTATCTTCCGGCAGCGAGTAAGTTCTGAAAGCCTCTACAATCCTTGAACAAGCTGAGATTGACTCTCCGCGTCCTATAGTTATTGTCGGTGGCTCCCTACCCATGCTGTTCGTCGCCTATACAGCTGCTCCCTATGTCAATTTTGTACATCTTGCGCTTCCAGTCTTTGCTCGACGATCCCGCGAGCAGGCCATTCAATATGCGAAAAATCTTCCTCCGACGGCGACCCTCTACATCAACACCATGCGATTTACAACCATTCCGCGACAGACCGAAGTGCAGCTGGGAGATCTGGTCCGCGACAGGAAACTGTTTCGCCCCATTACGTTCCGCAACACGAACCCCAAACCTGTCCCCTGGTGGCAGGGGCGTCCGCTACGAGAATTCTACGCGGATGAGAAGAGTAAGCCCGGGAGGCAAACTTCGGCATTCTATCCTGAGTTGTGGGAGCATGTATATCGACGGATCCAGTCTAACCAGCCAAAGACAAAACACGGGAAATGAAATGCAACTCAGCCTTTGATTGGATTCTACCACATAATCGTAGGGCAGCTCAGTATAGCCCTTCAGACATTCCATGCTTCTGTGGGAACTATCCGTTCAATGGAGAACTTCTTCGTTAGAGGCCCTTGGGGACCAAACACGCCTACGAGCATGCCCAAGCCATATCTGACGCTTGCTTCAACCGGCCATCACCATCGAACGGACGTCACCCTCCAGAGTCAGGTTCTGGTCATCTTGCGGCCTGTTTACCTTTCTTAACAATTGATGCAAGGCTTTTGAATGCGAGGGAGCTATTGTAATTACGGGCGTCTAGACAGTAGCCTGGTATACCTCCGAACAAAAGCACCCAAGAGCAGCCCTCCAACATAGGTGGTAACAAGAGAAGGTGGATATGTAGTTAGTTATACCACATATCACCAATTCACCCTGGTTCTTCGGTAATACTTGGGGGAATACTATTATAGAACCCACTAAATAGTTTCGAACCTGTGGTCGTCTTCAGTGAGACCTATGTCAATACTCCCCTTGACATCACTCTTCTGTTTGTGCCAGAGAGCGTCGAACATCTCCTTCTGCCCACTTCTCTTCCTCGCCTCACTAGATCCTCCCTCACCACCAACCCATACCAACTTCTTCCCTCACTCATCTTCTCCATTCTCAGACTGACCCCGCCATACACCCCGTCTCTCTTCTTCGTCTTCTTCACTTCTCATACTTCTCTTCCCCTAAAACTCCCTCATCTCCACACCTCATCAACCTCTACCTCTACCACCGTCCTGTCCACTGAACCACGTCTCATCAAAATGGCGTCCCCCGTGAAGAACAAGCCAGGAGAACTCCTCGGTCTGTCCCTGTCCGAAGCACGCCTCCTCATTCTCGGCACGCTCTGCACTGACGAGTCTGGCAAGGTATGTATCACCACACTCTACAAACCTGTCCTACACGATTAACAACTGCCAGGTGGATTGTGAGAAGCTCGCCAGAAAAGGAAACTACAAGAACGCCGCCTCAGCCGGCACATCCTACCGCACCGCGAAGCGCAAGCTCAACGACCTCAACCCTCCTGATGGCCAGGATGCCGCCGCAACGCCCAGCCCAGCCAAGTCCGTCGCGACCCCAAAGAAGGGAAAGGGAAAAGCGAAGAAGGATGACGCGACTCCGGGCGCTGGCAACGACGCCTCCCCATCCAAGCCGAAGCGGCAGAAGAAGACCCCAGCCACGCCTGTGAAGCTCGAGAACAGGTGCGTTTGTCACCGGGCTGATAAATATGATCGACTCACTGAATTTTCTACTGATTCCAGTGATAGCGAGGACGACAATGACGTTATGAATCCCGAGCTGAGCAGCCCTACCAAGGCCAGGGGCGCAAAGCCTGGCAAAGCCCAGCCTGCGAATCCTGTAAAGCTTGAGTCTACCACCGCCGACACTCCGAACTCTGCCACCAAAGTCGGCCCCGTGGTCAAGGCCGAAGAGGGTGACTCTGGACTGATGGTCTCCAGCGACGACGAATGGGTCAACAAGCCTCTTGATACCGAGGCGGAGTGGAAGGCCATGGAGGAGAAAGGCCATGTCGTTGAACCGAAGAAGGAAGCTTGATTGCTACTGGGGATGCTCTACTATTTTCATGCTATGTTGCTCATCGACCCCTGTTTTGAAAGCGCCCATTCCATACAAAAATTGGTGGTGATGCATACATCGGGCTGCGTTCTTTTGCGAAAATAGATCTGTTCATAAGGATGGGCATAGGCTGTTGCACAAATAATCCTGAGTTTCTCATTTAAGAAGTATTTCCACCGCAAACATTGTCCTGACATCATACCATTCACCATGGCTTGAATGAACCATGATTACATCCTCCCATACCAGCAGGAAAGAACACCGTCTTACTCGAACAGACACTCCCAGATTCAAAATATCACCCACGAATATCTGCCAGGTATTCCTCTCTCCACGCCCAGCCGATGGCGAAGGCAGCACCAGGACCCAGTACAACCGTCGCCACGGCCATAACCAAGCCGACCTTGAACAAGGAAATATCAATGCCATACAGCTGAAGATCGCGGAACGACAGGAGGACCCAGATTAAACCGCTCGCCATAGCAAACACCTGATCATACTGCAGAAACCGGCGGATAGCCGCCGCAAATGAGTCTACGGGTGCAGCATAGTCGATCGAAGGCAAGAAGATGTCTGAAAGAGATACGTTCTCTGGTGCAGTGAGACACACATATGAGAATACCGCGGCAGAAATGACAGTAAGGAGGATGACGACCAAACGAATGTAGGGCATATCGGGTCTCCGCGATTTGCTGGCGGGAGCCGAACTGGGTAACGTCCGGACAACCGCGAGGAGAGGTATTTGTGCCACAGGGACGAGCAGTGGGAAGAACTGCCAGACTATGTTGCTGAGCTGTTTGTCTAACAGTGTCGGAGCAGAAAAAGAGGCCCACAAAGGCAGGTAGTAAGCCACCATGAGAGCTGGGAGTAATGTTTTCACTGCGGAGAGTCGGACTGAGGCATGGTTTGCCACAAGGAGGGCCTGAAGAGGTGATTGCAGGAAGTCCAGGAGGAAGTAAACAGGGGCGACTTTGCCGATGCCCCTCAACTGGAATGCAATCCCCATCGCCACAGGACTGTATATCCATATCAGTATCACGTACGACATTGTCGGGTATGAGACTCACAGGAGGACGCCGGGCAAGCTATGTGTTCGACGATAGCTCTCCAATAGCCAGATTCCGTATAGCGGCCCCAAGTCGGTGAGGAATGAGAGCATCTGTGACCGGGATATCGGATCCGAACCACTAATAGACGGCAGAAAACAAGTAGTAAGCCTCCCAAGAATCGTATCCAGGATTTCCTTGTGGAAGATGGGTCGGAGCAAAGGGACAACCTCCCCGTTGACAGATTCAAATGAACCACGGGAGATCAGGGGCTGTGCGTGAGTCTCGAGAGGCTCGATGTCCATAGCGACACAAGCTCCAACAAGATACACAACCAAAGGAACGGACCACAGGAGCCGTTTCCACGATGAATCCTGCTGCACGTTCCGGTATCGTCTATCCGCAGGTATCGGGCATTCCTGGGAGACTCTCGGAATCGGGAGATACTCGAGCACTTCTGTTCCAATGAAGGTTGCGCAGGCCCTATCGATGAGGGTACGACTCATATATGGTAGCAGATAATAGGTCATCAGTTTATGCTTCAGCGTAGCCCACGTCTCGAGCCGGGTAAGGTTGTTGGCGTTCGCCCAAATATCCTTCGCTCGCGGTTTTCGTGCAACGGCCCACGCAGACAACGCGCCACGGAGATCGCTCATATTGTAGGATGAATCCGGAGCAGCGTCGATGAACTTTTTGAAGCAGTTTGCTAGGCTTGCTGCGCTCTCGATGGCAGTGTTTCCCCCTTGGCCCATGTTAGGAGTCATCTTCATGTCCAAGTGGTCAGTGTTATATCAGAACGTCGAAGACGTGATTTACTACATACCTTGTGAATGGAGTCGCCAATGCAGGCCATCCGATCCCATGTCCAGTGCCGATAGAAAGCCTCCTCAAGAGGCACATAGGCAGTGGAGACGAGATTACCATAGACGTCCCGAAACAGCACATCATGGGTGATGTTTATATGGAGGTATTTCGAGACGTGTTTCATCTGCTCCTCAGGAGTAAATCGTGGAATGTTTCCCAGAGTATACTTCCGATCCATTTTCGCGAAGAAAAACCAAAAGACACGATCATTTTTCCCGACAATAGTCAGAGTAGAAAAGTCCTTGCTGAACGTCCGATGCATGTCCCCAGCGTTAAGCCCTTTGGTGGCTGTTGAGATGCCAAAGACGCACGAATACACCGATATCATTTCTACCAAGTCAGTACGACAGTCAAACACAACGGAATCAAGTTCTATCTTACCGTCCTTCTCACGGGCCACGGTATGACTTAACTGCTGCTTCTCCATACGATTCCACATCTCACTTCGTATCCTGCTATGGACCCCATCGGCTCCAACGACCACATCCCCCGTCCATTGACTACCATCGGCGCAGTGAACGACTGCCGACGTCGCTGTATGTTCCACCCGCACGGCTTTCGTGTTGAGGAACACCTTGGACTTATCCTGGGCAAGATGGTCATAGAGAACTGCCAAAACCTTCTGTCGGTCAAGGAAAGAGACTGGGTAGCCATGTCTTCATTTGATTAGCAGTTACGCGTGCCATTTCCCTCATCCAACCCACCTTTCATGCATAATAACGGGGCCTTCAGTCTCAGCAATCATCTTCCCAGATTTTGTCCAGTATTTCGTGCTCTTCAGCGGCTCTATCTCCTTGCGAATGTCCTCGAAAACGCCCAACTGGTCGAGAATTCCGCAGCCAGAGGGGAGTAGGCCAATCGAGGCACCGACCTGGGGCGCGATCTCACCGCGAGATTCCAACACGACATACTCGATGTTGTATTTTCGCAAGGCATGCGCAAGTGTGAGCCCTGCGATCGAACCGCCGACAATAATGACCCGAAAGTCCTTGCGTGGTCTTTGTTTATCCATCCTGCCACGATCCGGGGGGTGTCGATGGGTGAGAGAAATTCCTGTGTCCCGGATGTGAGGTCTGGGCCACAGATTGAAATATGAACCCCCCGGTCCGGCGTACAATCTCTCTACCGACAAGGCACGGCCATCCGGAAAACGGACAGTAGCCCGGATTTACACGCACTGCATTGCAGCGGAGATAGTGCTTACATTATTGGCCGTTCTTTCGGTGGATGAAGCTAACGATGAAACCGTCATCCGATGGGTTTGACTCGCCTGAAACCACGCATCTATTCGCAGTTTCGTATCAGAGGCATGTGCTTCTTGCGTGAGCCATCAGTTCCCACGTCGTCGGCTATAGCATTGCGGGAGAGGAAGTCCCATTGCGCTCCGGAGTGGTGGGTCACTTGATATTTATCTTGGGATCTGCGTGGAGGGGGAGGGAGCGAGTGTCAATCTCTATCTCCGCGCAGTGCTGGGCATACGTGCAATCTTGGACACGACGTGGCACGGTCAGCCCCATGAGTCTATTCTCACCTGAAACGAGATATGCCAGATTCCTCCAGGCCCCTAGCACAGTATACGGAGTACGATTTGTCCAATCGGCAACCAACCACCCGCCAATGTACGGAGCCGACCGACGAAGGAGAGATTGACATCGGCAAGGTGACACGTCAAGTTATCCAGACCGCGCGTTTGGCTGGGATGACCCTGCATCATGGCCGCATCAACACCGGAGCTTCTGGCGGACTTGGTCGGACAAAGACTAGCTGACTGCCGTTGTGCGACTTTTCAACTTGCTTCGCTATTCATTGGATAGCTATTGTCGCCCAATTCTGTCCTTCACAGAGAAATGGCGAGGGTTACTATGTTGTCAAACTACAACTACACCCATATATTACACTTCACGTACCACTAAGAGCCAAGGCACTTTTTGGTAGTGTAACCGTTATTTTGGCTCGACATATGTCCAAGGACGGCGTTACGGCTGGCCTGTAATTGCGTTTTGGCCTACCGCGGGCTGAAATCCTGGCCCAGTTTCATGCTGTTTGAGCTAGTCAATGAATCTCGTATCGGACTGGACACATCTGGCCAGTGTCCGAACTGCCGGTGTCAGTGTCATGTCCGCGGCGGCAGTGCGGTCAGATGCCTACAGTAGGTATCATCCGCTCTTGGTGATCAGACATGCATAATCGCCGGTGAAGACGCTGGAGATCGTGCATAGAATATTGGTTGCTCGGCTAAGTAGTCCGTAGATCGCTTACACACATGATGGGACAACGATGCCGCGGAGAAATAGGCTACACCGCCGGAGTGTCAAACAAACTGACTTAAGAAGGATGGGATCTAAGCAATCTGATACACAACCCTGTATGGAGATGGGACGAGAACATATATCAGTAACACAACTCTACTCCCAGGCGCCTCATCCCAATAGTATAGCCGAAATGCGCGAATATAATATATTAAGACCGTCTTTCACCACGCAGAGTCCGTCAAAAATATCCACATAACAATGGCACAGTTGAGAAAGGTAACAGGGCCGTCTACCAGACCCCAGACCACAAAAAGAAACATATAGTAGAAAATCCACAGACATATAAAAGCACATCGTCTTAATGTGCTGCCATAATCACAGGGCTTCAATGGCTTTGCAGAGCACCTCCAAGCTTCTATCGGTCACCTCCGTGTCGGTATCGGCTGTGGACTCCCGAAGCGCCCAGGCAATGTCGCTCCACCAGCCGAGTCCGATCAAACCGCCGCCCTTGCGCCGCTCCAGACTCTCCTTCAGGCGACTGGTGTGCTCCCATTGCTTCGCGGCAACTTCAGCCCGCTCGATCACCTTATCGGGGATGCCGCACATAGCAGCACAGTGCATACCGAAACTGCCCTCTGCGACGCCATCTTCCAGTTTGTAGAGGAAGGTGATGCGGCGCTCCTCATCGTCCACATGGATTTTCATCCGCTTGGGCGCAATCTCAGGATGGCCTTCGAATTCTGTGGCAAGGGAGTGGTAGTGTGTTGCGAAAAAGCCCAGGGCCCCAATATGAGTGGCAACATGGTGCAGCACCGCTTGAGCCACAGCCACGCCGTCGTACGAGCTGGTACCACGACCCAGCTCGTCCAGAATAACAAGGGATCGAGGTGTGGCCTCCGAGAGGATCTTCTTGGTTTCCGACAGTTCGACAAAGAACGTAGATTGAGCGGCGAAAATGTTGTCGTTTGCACCAAGGCGTGACATGATCCGGTCGACTGGGGTCAATCGCGCTGACTGGCAGGGCAGATAACAACCGATCTGAGCCATAATCACAGCAACGCAGGTCTACGGAAAGCTAGTCAGCAGAAGCAGCTTCATGCAGTCGAAACAAACATACCATGCGAAGAACCGTGGATTTACCGGCTGCATTAGCACCGGTGAGAAGATCGATGTTGGGACGAACACCTCCCAGCTGGATATCATTGGGAATGAAGTCGTCTACAGAGGAGACCAGGCACGGGTGACGCAGTTCCTCAAACTCAAGAACGCTTCGCTCATCATCAACGAACACTGGGCGACAGCTTGGCTGGCCCAGGGACGCGGAGGCTTTCGCAAGACTGATCAGGCAGTCCAGCTGGGACACGATCCTGACGGCCGCCAGCCAGGTGGCGTAATGCTCATCAAACCGCGCGTAGAATCGACCAGCGACCTCTTTCACGATCTGACTGTGAGTCTCTTGGGCCTCCTGCAATTTGCGAATGAGAGTCCGCAATTCGGGGAAGTAGTAACGCTTGACCTGCTTGGTCGCCGACATCTGGTCCCAGTTCTTGGGTATACCCTTCACCTTGATAGGGACTTCCATCTGATATATCTCCTTTCCATTATCCCTATAGCAGATAGCTGTTGATCCCAACTCTTTGCGGACTCTCTTGAGGAGGTTGTCCAGGTCATTGTGCAGTTGGGAAATGTTCGCTTGGGAGTTGTCAAAGTCTTCTTCGACTCCTAGCTTGGGCACCAGAATCCCATTGTCACGGGCTTTGCTCCGGTCAAAAGCAGTTTTCCAGTACTCAAGCAAGTCATCCAGATTAGGCATCGCGTTGATCAACTGTCCGATGACCCCTTCTCCGGAGCCGCTCTCCTTCAGGAGGCTCATAGTATACGCAATTTGCTCAAATCCCTCTAGCACTCGCAGGAAATCTTGGGCTTTGCAGTTCGCGGCATGAACTCGGGAGATGAGACGTTCAAGATCAGGCATCTTGGTCAACTGTGAAGAAAACTGGTCCCTGACACTAGGGTCAGCGTTGAGCGCATCGACAGCATCTAATCTAGCATTGATCTTCTTCGCATCCACCAAGGGATGGCAGACCCATTGCTTGAACATGCGCTTCCCAAATGGTGTAATGCAGCGGTTGAGGAGCTGGAAGAGTGTGCCATCAGAGCCACCGTCGAAGGAGTTGGCAAAGATTTCCATATTTATAAGTGTTTGGCCGTCCAGCACCAGGCTGGATGCCTTCTTTATAGGATCGTACCACGAGAAGTTACCGATGGTGATCAAGTCACGGTCGAGTTTCAACACCCGGAGGTATTGCACCAGGGCTCCAAAAGCAGACATGACCAGCTCCTTATCTCGTGCAACTCGGAGCGCTTCAGGCCATGCCTTGAGATTGTCGTCATCTTCAGAAACAAAGTACTCGCTGACGTCGAGCTCCTTGACTGTGATATCGGCCTCCCAGAACTCTTTTCCTGGCTTCAAATAGTTCCATATCGTCGTGGGGCCCGTGTTGTTTTTCAAAATGCGCAGCGCCTTCGGAGAGATAGTCGACTTCTCAAGGAGAAGTTCCTGAGGACGGGTTTGGGCGACAAAGGTTTCGAACTTTGTCATGTCTGCATCGTCCATCAACTCGGACATGAAGAATTGTCCCGTCGCAGTATCAACAAAAGCCAGTCCAAAGGCAGGATGGTCATCTATGATGGCTTCCTTGATAGCGACACAAAAGGTCGACATATCGTCGTGCAGCATTGAGCCCTCGACGAGGGTACCGGCCGTGAGAACACAAGACAGCTCTCTCCGAATAACTTTGTCCTCTTTCCCTCCTTTCTTGCCATCTCTCTCGCGCATTTCCTTGCCCAGGGCAGATTCAGCTTGATCCACACGAGCGATCTTGTATCCTTTTGCCACGAACTGGTTCGCCCAGTGATCCAAACTCATCTCAGGAACGCCCACCATTCGCATGTTGACACGGTCCGTAAGTTTCAGGTCAAATAACTGGTGACCAATAGTCGCGTCGTTCTCGTAAAGTTCATAGAACTTGCCCTTCTTGAAGAAGACAACAGTGTCCCAGAACTTTTGCTTGATCTCCCAGTATTGCTTCTCGAATGGAGAGAACTTTGACCAGGCCAGGGGAGGAATATAGATGGTTCGAGGATCATAGTCTGGGTGACCAGGGGGGTGCCCATCGATGTCACGAATATTCGCTAACCAAGGATAGCGTTGCTCGGGTTCCGTAACATGAGCTTTTTGTTTGACGGTGCCGGAAGATGGCTTCGAGGATGGTACGGTGGCTCTTTCTTGACGAGGCTCTTGGTTATCGGGGTCATAAGTCCACTTGAGGGCCGTGCCGGATGTAGCTTCAGGGATGTCCAGGTCAATGTCCTCGTCGGGTGAGCCCGCAGGCGGTAGAGACGAAGACTTGGGCTTTGGCTGAGACGGCCGTTTCCGCTTTTTCGGTTGTTTTACCTCCTCGTCCGAGTCGTCGGCAACGATGAAATCGTCCATTTCTGAACCCTGTCAGTACTTCGTCTATACAATCCCAAACATGACACGCGACTTACCATCATCCGAATATCCCGCATCGCCACCATCTTGATCAAACTCCTCGTCACTTTCTGGCGATACCTTTCTTCTTTTCGGACGATTGTTCTTTCGGCCTGGACGGAAAATCTGCTCGTCGTCATCCTCTCCCTCGGAGTCAGACTCCATATAGTTGACCTGTTTCTTCGCCTGTGGATAGTCAGCTCTTGGTCAAAGTCGAATCAAATGAAACAGCAGTATACGACATACCCGACGCGATGGAGATGATGTTTTCTTCTCTAGACTCTCGCTGGGGCTCTCCTACCAGTCAAGCATGTCAGTAATATTACAAACACTCTCCTAGAAGGAAGGCCATACCCTTGCCTTCTTCTCTTCATCTTCCTCTTCTGGAACAACTAAGTCACTACTGGGAACGGGAGCCAGGTCTTGAGAGAATTTAGGAGCACTCTTCTTCTTGTCACCCTTGGCTGATCCGTTCGCGGAGCGCTGCTCCGACGCGCGCTGTGCAGGAGAGGACGCAGGTCCTGCATTGCGAGCAGTCGACGGTGTTGACGGCGACGACTTTTGGAAAAACCCGAGGATTGATTTCTGGTTCTTCATATTCTGGGTGCTGGAGGTGGATCGTTTCAGCGCTCCGGACGGAGGAGTCGCAGTAGGAGGAGAGGAGGCTGGGGGTCCTCTGGCCATGCTGAATGATGGTCCGAATATATGGATTATAGAGGAGCTGCAATCATTCCGATGGGGATAGAAGTCAATTCGAAAAAAAAAAAACTGGCGAAGAAGACGAGCGTGGGTGATGGGGTTGAGAGCGAATGCAAGAACCCCAGGGCGGAAATGCGATGGATCCAATTCGGGGCGGGAGTCGCGCGTCGACGCGTTGAGTGGTTCGGCCTGAGGCATTCCAGCCGATAAGGCATCTGCCCCGTATCCAATGAACTCTACTCAGCTCAGACACTCGACAAGCTCTGACGACCAAGAGAGAATTCCCAATTGAGATATATTGTACATCCATGAAATTTACATGCTCTACATATCTATGCTATAATACAAGTTGGAAGTCACCACTCAAGCAGAGTTGTCGAGGTATAGCCGAGCCACGATCACTCCTTGCTCTCGCTGTTGTCCGAGTTGGTCTGCTCTGACTCCCATCCGGGCGCACTGAGGCCGAGACGTTTGAACTCCTCATCGCTAATAATCTTCACCATCTTGAATTTCCATTTGCCCAGTTTGAGAAACAAGAGCTCTCCGTCAACAATAAAGTCCTGCGTCTTAGTGCTCTCCCACGTCTGGATCGGGGTGAAGGAGAGGTCATCACCCATAGGTCCACTATCACCAGGGCGACTTCCCACATAGGCACCCTTGTTGGCAATAACTCGGTGTCCTTCGCTCTTGGACGACACAAGTCCAGCAGACCACAAGATCTTATTGAAAGTCTGGTTGTACACCAGAGACTTCGGGAGCGTGACGTTCATGTTCGGCATGTTTGCGAAATTCGTTTGCGGCGCATGCACATTGCCTGACTGGGGATTAACGAAACTAGCGTCTGGCCCACGCATGGCGCGAGACTGTGGGCTCGTCGTCGGGCCTAGCGGTGTCGGCTCAGCGGTCGACGACCGTGGCCGGAAGAGTTGACGGTGCTGAAGGGCCACAGCGTCGGCTTCTTCCTTGCCGTGGATAAGCTCCACGAACTCGTACGCAAGAGCGTGTTGGGCAACCCGTTTAGACGGATCTTGGTTCTGTTGCTCCATGATCTTTGCGATTTCGGGCAAAGGAATAAAAGTAAACATCTTCAGGTAGCGTTCAACAGCGTCATCGGGGGTCCTGACAAAGAACTGCGCGATTGTAAGCTGAGGATTGAATGATGCAGACGCACGCACGAACCTGATAGAGCTCGAACGTAGAAGTCATATCCTTGTCAAGCCAGATAGCATTACCAGCGGATTTGCCAAACTTTTCACCCGATGGAGCTGTGAGCAATGGTGTTGTGAATCCAATGGGCTTGTCGAGGTCATTCTCCAAAGGATCTTGTTGCTGTTCCATCACGGTATTCTTGCTGATAGCCTTCACGGCATCCATCCCGAAAAGGATGTTCCCATACTGGTCGGACCCTCCGACTTGGACCTGAACGCCGTTGCGGAACATGGTCCACCAATCCCAGCCTTGCAAAATGGGGTAGGCGAACTCGGCGAAGGACATGCCGTCTCCTTTGGCCATCCGATTCTTCACACTAGACGATTGGGTTCGTAAAAGTCTCATAGGGAGAAGGTCAAAATGCAGTACTTACGTTTCTCTGCCCAGCATGGGACCCAGTCTTGTGTGAGAGCCGAGGTCTCGAAGCACTTCGAGGAACGGTACTTTATTCCACCATGTGTTGTTGTTCACCAATGCGCGCTTCCAGATCCACTTCTTCTCATATCCATGTCGTTTACCATATCGCTCTATACTGGCGCCCAGCTTCTTCAGTTGCATATGCATACTCGCCATATTGGCTTTTCGAACCGAAGAGTGTACTTGCTCTCGGCCTTTTAATCGTCCAGTTGGGTCACCGATACGGCTTGTAGATCCACCAAGCTATTGTGCGTCAGTCAGATGTGGATCAACTTGCGAGCATCATCACATGGGGATGTCTTACCAAGAAGGTCACTGGCAAGCCCCAAACATACCCCCATGCCAGCACCATGAACGGCAACATGTGTCCCACATGCATAGATGGAGCGGTCGGATCAATTCCGGCATACATTCCCACTCTCTTCTCGGTGAATACCCGGTGCAAAAGGTCCCGTTCTCTAAACACCATAGAGAAGATATAAGTCAGTCACTACTCAACTTTCGACATGGAACTGTTCTTACCCAACAACATCATGAATAAGACCTCTCTCCTCAAGGTGTTCCACAAAGCTCTTCCTTTTTCCAGCCTTTATTTGCTTCGCGAACTCGGCCCATTCTTCCTCCGCCTCCTTCATCCGCCGCTGGTGCTGTTGCGTGATCCATCGTCTAGTTGCAGGAATTGTTCCGGCCAATGGAGGTTGTGCTATAGGACGGCGATTTACCGGAGGTCGGGAGATGTTCGATCGCAATGCCTCAGCTGTCCGCGTGTAGGTACGAATGCCGCATGCTGGCCGGGCTGAGAGGACATTCGAAAATCGTAGGCGTGCCATGGGAGGCAGCGACCCAAGTCGCGGTCTCATAAGACCTGATTGATATGCGACACGGGTGGTCGCACAGTAAGCCGATTGTAGTCCGGGGGGTGTTGTCAGAGAATCAATTTCTCAAGTCTTGAAGCTACACTTTTGTTGCCGGCCGCCAACGATAAGAAGCCGATCACCGACGGAGAATCATTGATGCGGAACAGCTCCCCGATTGGCCGAAGCATTCCTCGACCGTCCAAGACTTCCAAGAGTAAACATCGAGCAATACAGACAGTTGGCAGTAAGTGTTAGGGTCCAGGAGAGCTCGGTGCCATGAAGCGTGACGGTACATTGATTGATGTTCGTCTGGGATGTACGGGGGAGAAGTACAGAAAAAGCATACTCCTGTCTGGTCTACGAAGGAACTCGAGCTGGAATAACTCTAGAGCTAATGACCTGGATTCATATAAAGACTTGATTCGTATGCTACTATAGAACAATGTTATGAACGGGTATCATAATATCAGCAGATGTCAAAGAACCCTATCATCGAAATGCATCGTGCACTCCTCTAGATTCATTCGAAACTGCGGAATTCTCAAAACACCCCCTAGTTCTGTGTGGATCAGAGATGCCTTCATCGCGTCCGTCGAAGTAACAAGGTTGTGTGCCGAACGCATATATCAGCCTCCCTCCATCCGGAACCCAGCAGCCCTTAGGCCTCGAAAGGAGAGCCACCAGGCTCCAGGAGGAGGAATCGATCATATGGAACACGCTAGGCTTTCATCATCTAGGAGTGAGGTTAGCAGGTGCAAGCGAACAGATGGTACTTGGATAGAAAGGTAGCACTCACGTTCACAAAACTTGGAAGGATGAAGAAAGAAAAGAATCATCATCAGGAAATTTTTGGTTGATTTTGTAGTGGGCGGAAGCCATGCTAGTCCCAATTTGGCGGGCGGCAGAATACTGCCGGTCAGAGCATCCGATCTCAGTCGGACAATCTTGCTCACTGCCTCCACGACAGCTACGCAGTCGGCATTCAATTGTCTTCTCAGACCCTCTATTTCTTCGCCTGGTTCTGCGCTGCCGGCAAAATGTACTTGGCCCGAGCCGCGAGGCCTTCCCGTCGCCTCTGCGCAAGCTACATTGAGATCTCAAACTATATCCGCGGCAGGGAAACAACGTTGCGCACTGGATTGCATACTTGCCGTCTTTCTAAGAGGTCATTCCATGCCAAATCCCGTCTTCTAGAAAGATGTTCAACCGTGTTCGGATCATCGCCAGCTTCTAGAGCAGTACAAGAAAGCAGGTTCGACTCCTATACTTTCCGGTCAAAGGCCACGATCTCTTTGCAGGCGAATGCAAGACTAACGCCGAGTGTGATGTCTTAGTTGAATTTCCCCCTGCAACGTATGATTTCGAGACGTTTCTCTCCCAGGCGGCCCCAGACCAAGAAGTCGTCCTCCATGGTTACCTTGGAGTCCGCAAAGACATATCGAAGAAGCTCGCATTCGTGCGCATGACTGATCCCACCATGAAACATAGCATCCAGCTCGTCTCTACGGCGAAGAACGGCTCACTGGAGAAGCTCAAGCCCATCAGAGCGAATAGCCCCGTTGCCGTTCGCGGAAGAGTTCAGGCAAAACAGGCGAAAGGCTCGGAGATGGAGAAGACTGATCCTTGGGAGATTCAGGTGGATGATGTGCATGCTCTCAACGACTTCCCGAAAGACATTCTCATGAAGTCCGACACGGTTTTCGCCCCGAAACACAGATACCTACAACTACGAGTCGACAGCGAACTGCGGGAAGCACTCCGATTCAGAGCCCAAGTGCATAACATCTGCAAAGAGGAGCTGGAACAATGTCGACCTGCGTTTGTGGAGATTGAGACACCGCTTCTGTTCAAATCTACGCCAGAAGGCGCTCGCGAATTCCTCGTTCCAACCAGGAAAAAGGGTCTGGCATACGCCCTTCCCCAAAGCCCGCAGCAATACAAGCAGATTCTCATGGCCAGCGGCATCCCGCGCTACTACCAATTCGCGCGCTGCTTCCGCGATGAGGATCTCCGTGCGGACAGACAACCGGAGTTCACACAGGTAAGAGATCTAGTCTCCCTTACAAGCAACTCTATGCTCATCGTCTGCGCGACAGCTGGATCTCGAGATGTCCTTCGCCACTGGGGACGATGTGATGCGGACGGTCGAAGGTATCATCCGTCGCCTTTGGTCCTCTCTAATGAAAGACACTGCCCCTTCAGGGCCGTTCCGCAGAATGGCGTATCAAGACTCCATGAGCCGCTATGGTTCCGATAAGCCAGATACTCGCTTCGGCATGGAAATCTCACGTATCGACTACCTTCTACCCGTGGATCTCGTGCAAAAGATCTCACCCTTGACGACTCCAATCGTCGAAGTATTCAAACTCGAAAACAACGACAATGACCCTGCAGCTATGTCCGATTTTATCACTCAATTCCTCGACTCCCCCGCTGGCGCGCCCTTCAACGAGAACCCAGAAGGCGGCCCCGGCATCTTCGTCTACGACGCCAAGAAGCCTCTCTGCGGACTAACTCCCCTAGGCTTCGAAGCTGCAGAACATCTGGAGGAGCTTCTGGATCTGGATCACGGGGACCTCATTGTCCTGCAGGCCCGGAAACAAGGTCCCTTCGCCGGCGGTTCCACCCCTATCGGCGACCTGCGCCGCGCTCTGCACTCCGCCGCCGTTTCCTCTGGGTTCAAGCCCGCGCCTACTGGTTTCGACTTCCTCTGGATCGTCGATTTCCCTCTCTTCTCGCCGTCCAGTGACGCTGAGCCGGGCCAGGGCGGAGCCGCAGGCATCTCCTCCACCCACCACCCGTTTACGGCACCCAAAACCGCCGCGGACGTGGACCTTCTCCTCTCGGACCCTACCCGGGTCGTCGCCGACCACTACGATCTCGTGGTCAACGGTGTCGAGCTCGGCGGCGGCAGTCGGCGTATCCACGATGCGGCCGTGCAGGAGTTGATCATGCGCGATGTGCTCAAGATGCCAGCGGAGCGATTGGCGGATTTCTCGCATCTGCTCGATGCCCTGCGCGCCGGATGTCCACCCCATGCTGGGTTGGCGCTCGGCTTCGACCGTCTCGTTGCTCTGATGCTGGGGAAGGAGTCTGTGCGCGATGTCATTGCTTTCCCTAAGATCGGGAAGGGCGGCGAGGACCAAATGGTGAAGGCGCCCAGCCCGGTGACGAAAGAGGCTTTGGAGACGTATCATCTTCAACTCACTGGAGAGTAGACGCTGTATGTGTTTGTATCAGTAGAACATTGTATATAGTGGGCTTGTATTATAGATGTGATACCCAATCTCATCTCATGTTGTGTTCATACCAGTATTCTTTCCAAAGTACTTCCCAGAAGACAAAGGTGGATGGTAAATGCAATTGTCATAACTATATATCTACACAGCCGAAGAACAGCAAAGAATCATTCCTAGATGATGGATATGTTGTACAAAACGCCGCCCAATCCAATGGAATTTAATACAAAACAATCGATGGGGATTTCGTTTTCAGGTTCCACCAGTCCGACTTCACGCAGTGGAAGTCGTACGACGCGACGCCGAATTGGATGCTGAAGCACTACTCTGTGCAGTTGATTCCCTCTCATCAGCCTCTTCCTCGTCATAATAGAGGTAATCATCCTCGTCCTCCTCGGGCTGACCGAATGCGTTTCTCCACACACCATCCCACAAGCCCTTCTTGGTCACAAGGCCTCCGACCAGCAAAATGGGAAGTTGCCAAATACTGGCCCAGAAGAGACCACGGGCGGTACCGTTGGCACCCTGATGTTTCCAGAACCGGTACGCCTCCTTGACCAGCCAGCCGTTGGCTACCGTGCTGCCGACCAGGAAGCCATGGCCGACCACGCCGACCCACCAGAGACCGATAGAGAGGGGAAACATGAGAACTGAGTAGCGCAGGGCGACACGAGCATTGCGCGCAGGGTTGGTCCAGGCGAGCATCTTGTACCCGGCGGCCTTGTACTCTTCCCGAATCGTATGGGAGAGAGCGTTGAAATGAGGGAACTGCCACGCGAATAAAATACCGCCCAGAAGCCAACCACCAATGCTGTCCTCGCTGAACAGCATGTCGCGCCATGTGTCGTGCCCGGTGGTAGCGGTTTGGCCAGCAGCAGCGACCCAGCCCATAAGCGGCGGGATTCCCCCAACGATGGCGCCAACCCAGGTATTTATCACGTGTATCCGCTTCATGGGGGTGTAGACAAAGGCGTACAGGGCGATGTTGCCGGCGGACAGTGCCGTCACGGTGGGATTCGTACCGAAATATAGGAGGCCTAGGCCGGCGACAGCGGTTGCGATGGCGAACAGCACGGCGGCGGGGCGGGAAACCAGTCCGCGGACTAATGGACGATTCCGTGTACGCGACATCTGCGCATCGTACTTGGGTTCAAAGACCATATTCAGAGTGTTTGCGCTGCACGAGGAGAGGAAAGTTCCGGCGGTTAAGTAAAGGAAGGTCAAGGTGGAGGTGGAGAGAGTCGGTAGCGGGGCTATGGACGGGTCGAGAGCCAGGAGTGACGAGATTGGATACATTCCATATGCCGACGTCGTCGATAGCACGATCAATACCGAGAGACGGGGTTTTGTGAGGGCAAGAAAGGCGGCCAATTTGCGGCGGAGGGACGTTGTGGGGAGAGAGGAGGACATGGTGGACAGCTGCGCAGAGGCATCGGGGGGTATAACATGGTCGTCATCGGACTTGTTCCTGGCCGATTCCTCCTTGAGCCGTTTCCTTCTGCGATGTGGAAGTTCTGTTTGATTTGTGTCCGCAGCAGTTGGAGGGGAACTGTTCTCGGTTTGCGCGGTTGCTGCGGAGGAATTGGGCGGAACGGAGGACGACACGCCATGTTTGTCCAGAGAGTTCTTCGTCGCACTGTTCGCCGAGAAATATGTCTTATTCAACGCCGACGACGGGGATTGGGTATCGACGACACCGGACTGCCATCGCGCAGACGAAAGGAAGCTGCGGACAGCGGAGGGAGGAGGATGGACGCGACGGTGGAGGCATTGGGAGCACAGAAGAGAGACATCCCGGGACGGTCCTAACCTCCGCAGAGAGGACCGGAGGAGGATCATGGCGGAGAGAGGGACATGGAGATTGAGGCTGTCTCGAAGAATGGAAGAAAGAAAGCAAGCTGATCGGGATTCGGGATGATTGTCGGCGCGGAAGACGAAAATCTTCGGCGGAGACACAGCGACCACAAACGCAGTTCCGTATCCGGTAATCCAGCGACATTCATTGGATATTATTCGCACTCGAACATCTATCCCCTCCATATCACTGCCTCCGTATCAACGCCGCCACCATGGAGCAGATCATGGAGCCCATCCAGAAGACCCTCGTCGACCCTCTCCAGCCCTACCTGCGACCCGTCGTCTCCTCCCTCCCCGAACCCGTACACGATGCCATCATCTCCTTGATCGGCTCGCCCTGTCACAACACGCTGCTGGTGGATCTCGATGTCACCAAGGACCCCGCATGCACATCTCTGGCGATCTCCAAGGCGCTGGGCATTGCCATCGTTGGCGCCAGTGCGATCGTGAAGGTGCCCCAGATCTTGAAGTTGATCGGATCGCGCTCCTCGGCCGGCGTGTCGTTCGTGTCCTACGCGTTGGAGACCGCCAGCTTGCTCATCACCCTGTCGTACAGCGTGCGCAACCAGTTTCCCTTCAGCACGTACGGCGAGACCGCCATGATTGCCGTGCAGGATGTGATGGTGGGCGTCTTGGTGTTGACCTTCGCGGATCGCCCTACTGCTGCGGCCGCGTTCATTGCGGTGGTTGCGGCCAGTGTTTACGCGCTCTTGTTCGACCAGACTCTGGTTGATGCGCAGACCATGGCATACCTCCAGGCCGGGGCTGGTGCGCTGGGTGTGGCCAGCAAGCTCCCGCAGATCCTGACCATCTGGCAGGAGGGTAGTACTGGACAGCTGAGTGCTTTTGCTGTATGTTACCGTCGTCGTCGGACTGTATATGCAACACGCTAACAACTATATTTTACAGGTCTTCAACTACCTCGCCGGCTCGCTCACCCGCATCTTTACCACCCTGCAAGAAGTCGACGACAAGCTGATCCTGTACGGCTTCATCGCCGGATTCAGTCTGAACGTCATCCTGGCGGGCCAGATGCTGTATTACTGGAACACTCCCAGCAAAACCAAGAAGCAGCCCGCGCGTAAGCAGACTGAGAAGCCCGCGGCCGTGAAGAGCACGGGGGCGTCTCCGAAGCCGTCCGGACGGACGCCAACCACGCGCCGACGGGGCTAATCACGCATGAGATATAATTGCTTCTCGATTCCACATCTATTGATCCTTTAATAAATTGAACCACTCGTAACCCATTATCAACCCGGCCATAAAATCATATCACATTAGAAACTACAATTCACCGCTGTCCCGGCGGCACCCCCGTAGTCATATACCTCAGGATCTCATCCAACGGCACAACCGGCTGCGCCACCTGCTGATGCGCCGTAGCGGCGGCAATGTCAAACTCCAGCGCACCGCCGGCCCCGGACTTCCTCACCCCAACAACCTCCATCTCCTCGTCTCCTTGCCCCTCCTCCTCCTCCTCTCCCTCGTCCTCCTCGTCCTCATCCTCCAGCTGCCGCCGCAACCCCGTAACCACATTCTGAACGCCCAGCTCCTTCTCCTCGAGCGTATAGTTCCCGCCCCAGTTGCGGCGGCGCGCCTCCTCGTTCGCCGCGACGGGGGCCCAGTCCCACAGCGCGGCGAGGTCGTGCTCGGACAGCGCGTCGCGGTCCGCCAGCGCCGCGGTGCCGGCTTTGCGGCCGCGCGCGACCCAGTCGTCGACGCGCGGGTCGAGCTTCGTGCGCAGCAGCTGCTCGAGCGTGTTGGCCTGCGTGCGGCCCGGGTAGTCGGGGCCCGGGAAGGCGACGAGCGAGGTGAGCAGGTCACGATTTTCCGAGAGGTGCTCGGACACGCTGACGAGGTTGTTGGAGATGATGCTTGCTTGCGATTGGAGGGAGGACCTGCGTGCGGTGCGGGTTAGTTGCGGGGGTGCGTTTGGAGGGTTGGGGGTGACGAGGAGTACCAGGTCGGGAGCGGGTCGCTTTGGTTTAGGCTGCTGATGAGCGAGGCCAACGATCGCGTTAGGTGGGCGAGTCGCTGCCGGGATTGTTCGAGGACTTTGATTTGGTCTTGCGAGGGGGTTGTCATGGTGGGTTTTGGTTTGGGGGTGGAGGGTTGGAGTGTGAAGATGATGTTGGTGCTGGTGGAACTGCGGAGAGTCTTTGATAGACGAAAGGGGAATAGTTCCGTTGTCTATCTACTTCTGCATTATTGATGTGCGCAGCACCAACTCACTTTTTTCCCCATGGATGTCATATACTCTTATTCATTGGGTACAATTTCATTGTAAAAATGTATAGAAAGACGGTACAACCCTAGGGAATATATCCAATCGGCTGGATGAAGGCCATTGTTGCAGATGTCCCTTCGGATTATCTTTCTTTATCCGTGTATAGCAGTATCTGGGCATGCATGTGTTGCACCATCCTCTCGTCCCAAGAAACGAGTATGACTCCGTGCATGATAATACTTTCGGAATAATTCTAAATATAACCCTCTGTGGTGAATGACTGGCTCAGACACCTCGTCCTGAGCGGAGGGCGCTACGTGATACACATCAGCAGTCCTCTGACTGCTATTATTAGCACTGCTGCCTAGTAGGACACATATATAGACGCTCTTCTTCTCCTCTAACTCCACAGTTCTGCAAATCACTCTGAAGAAGTTCTTCGACCGCCAATAATCACCAGCGCCTACACGATGGACGGAACGGAGAATCATTATGATTATGTTATTGTACCCAAGCAGTATAACTCGATCGCTCGCTAACAACGCAGAGCACAACAACCAACACAAGCAGAACGGGTGTGGACATGCAACAACTATCTCAACACCGATACATCATATCCCCTTCTGCGGCGGACTATCCATGTACGCCTGACCCTTCTCCCTCTCGGGGGAATACATCGTAGCCGGCACGGCCACCGGCGACTCAACCACATCCGTATAATGCGCCTTGGAGTACCCGACTTCATGGCCCTGTCCGTTGGTGTCTACAAACCCAAATCCTGGCCCGTACCCGGGCGGATACGTCTGCTGGGGCCCGCCCCAGTTTCCGTACGCCGGCGTGCTGATGGTGGTGTCGTTCCACCGCGCGTGGAGATGGCCTGACGCGCGCCGCTTGCGCGCCTGCCTGCGGCGGTGCCGAATGAAGAAGAAACACCCGACGGCCAGCGTGCAGACCAGGATGATGAAGCCTAATATTGGCAGCGCGATCACCAGTGCCAGATTACTGATGCCCCCGCCGGGTGTGGCCGAGGGAGATATCAGGTCCACCGTGGAGGACGGCAGCAGCGACGTGCTGAAGATGCGGCTGGGGCTGATTGGGAACGCATGGTCTGTTGGGGTTTTGAAATGGCAGTTGTACCGGAGGGCTTCGAGAACTACCCGCAGACCTGGTTAGCTGACAGAATGCACAGTGGACCGGGGGAACACACAGTTTGCCATGTACACCTCGGTTTGGGTCAGATTGAAACAAAACTCGCATTGCGAGATCAGATTGTCCGCAAAGCTGGAGGCACCGCACCAGGTGTCAAAGTTGACGCCGCTCGGGTTCGCCAGGTCATACTCCAGCGCGGAATCGAGTGGCTGACAGGACACCGTGCAGGGGGTCGACAGGTTGGCTACCGACTCGGGAAATCCGTAGACACAGGTCGAGAAGGCATAGCGCAGATTGTCTGTGAAGGCGCGGATGTGAGTCGAAGTCATCGCCTTTCGCTGGAAGATACATACAAAGCCCCCATTCGACGTCAGATTGGCCGGTGGTGGAGTCCGTAAACGAACTTCGCAGCTGGCATTCGACGCATTGCTGGAAATTGGATCCGGCCGAGGTGTCACTGAACTGGCGATCCAGACACACGATATCGGCGCCAGTGGTGTTGGTGGAACGCTGCGTGCAAGTGTCCGTACAGGGCGATCCGGGCGTCGTCCGTAAACCCACGCCCAGAGGAGTCCACTGGCCTAGTAAGACGAACGCTGTCGCCCATAGTGAAGTGACCCGCGGAAATAAACCCCGAGGGCCAAGCATTTCGACTCTTGGTCCCTACCTATAAAGGGTCTCGATAACGTCTGTTCTACAACAACCAAAAGAACAGAGGCTAATCGCCGTTAGGTCGGCAGTTCTGGCATCGAACTGACAATCCAGGCGGCGTGAAGCGAGCGGAAGGGTCGTCTCGGGGAAAGCACAAGAGATGGGAAAACAAGAATCATATAACGAACGCCCGGGAACTGCGCACGATGCCAAGTCGAGGACATGGCGGTTGATCCTCCGGGGGATCGAACTGATAAAGCACTTGGGGCTCGGTGGTTCGACCGTGACTTCAAGCTGCTCACTTTTGCGAGAAAGGCGAACCAAATCGACGGACAGCCGATGCGCATGGGCTGGGCGCTAGAGACGGAGGGGCCACGGCCTAGTCCAGTGATGGGGATGCATTGCGGGATGCGTGTGACGACACGGTTGTGACTGTGACGAGAGCTGCAGCTGGTCGCATCGCGCCCGCTCCATCGGAGGGTTTTCATTCGCGGAGCGACCAGAAACCCCTCTTTGGCGATAAAGTCGATGACTGGCGGACTGCACGGGCTGGAAGTACCGACCAGGGCGTTAGTGTTGCCGCCATTAATTAGTCGTTGGGTAGTGGTAGAGAGTAAGTACGCTGTGGGGGAGAGGGTGGTGGTGTTAACCCTAAGGGATTGGAGGAGAGCGGCGGAACACTCCGCTAGTATAGAGGTACTAAGGTACAAGGTACTTGACCAGGAACAACTGTCACAGTGATGACAGTGGCTACTCGGCATGATTCCGGACAATAAGGTCATCGAATATAGCCTGAGATCGCTGATCATTCCAAATCATTGAATCACACCCTAGCATGGATCTCTCCATGGTCACGACATTCCACGGTACGGAGTATAGACAAGAAAACAAGCCACCCAAAACGATGAGACGCCACAATGCACGCTTCTGTATCCTTCGATCTTCTCCCGTGGCCAGAATGGGTAGCATATTGAAAATGAAAGGCAAAGGAACGAAAAAGAAATGGAAAACTGGGCATGATTACCGACTTGCCCCTCAGCGTCAGCAAGTCTACAACCCAGTCAATGTCGCTGTAGGGGGAATAAATTGTGGTACACGAAACAAAGACGCAGAAAAGGAAGGACAATGAAAGACGTAGATGTGCCACACGCCCAGACTAGGCAGTTGTCATTACAATCGCCCTATCCATACAGATCCTCGTAGGACGGCACCAACTCCTGCCTAACAACAGCGTCAGCCTCTCGGGGTTTGGATCGACGAGGTTGCTTTTTCTCGTGGTACACAGCAAGGGGCGCCGGTCGAATATCCTCCATCGGTACAGAGGGCAGAGACGACGTCAAGCTTGTGTGCTTGCTGCTGGCGGTATTGGGCATGGATGGTGTCGGCTCCGTCGTGGAGCTCTGGGCGCTGTGACGGCGCATGCGAGAGGTGACCGATAACGGGGGCGACCTCGATGCCCGCGAGTACGGGTCAGCGTCGTCTCTCGCTCGACGATGGTGTTTCTCATCAGAGAGTCGATCTCCTCGCGAACCACCCGGTGCGGAACCGGTGCCGTCTCCTGGGTATAGGACATCATCACGCAGGCTGTCGTGAGAATGACGCCTCTGTCCTGAGGTCGACCCCAGAGGCGGAGGAATCCGCTTCGAGCGACCTCGGACTCGAGCATCGTAATAACCGGTGGGAATCGTCGCAGCCGAGTCGGTCGACGAGTGACGCTCCTCAGGGCTTGCGGATCGTAGAACACCGTGGATCGGGGGTGAATGATTATATCGGTCCAGAGACTCGGCAGAGCCGTGAGGCCAACTGCGCATAGGAGACTGTCCCCGCGCCGCGTTGGATACGGCTCCAGGCGGCACTTCGCACTGGCTCCAGGAGCCCTCATTCGGATACGTGATGGACATGTCGCCCCATCGTGAATGCAGCTCAGACGAGAGCTTTCTCTTTCGCCGAAGCTTTTTGATAATAGCCGTCATGATACGTAGGGGACTCTTCATAGAACGGGGACTGGGGATGAATGCCTGTAAGCATTCATCGACTGGAGTCACAGCAGAAAGAGGGCCAGACAGACAACCGGGGGGTAGGCGGATGCAGCAAAGGGGAAAACTAGAGAGCTTGGTTGACGCATACCTGAGGGCCACAGGCAGTAGCTATGTAATAGGTCTCTTCGACCTTAACCCCCCAATACTGGACAAACCACTTCCAAGAAGGGCAGAGGACGAAAGAAAGGAACTCGACAGCCACGGATCTGCATGGGATAGGGCAAGTATCAAAGCATCTCCATCGTCCACAGCCCAACACTGGTCGAGGGACGGCTGCATAGTTCTCAGAAGAAGAGTCCAGAGGGGAACGATGTCCCTCGCGGAAGAACCCTCTTTCAGCCAACGGACCCGGACAACAAGCATCATCCGGGTAGGAGGACGCGTCTCAACCCGACAGTCTGGTTCACCCTCCTTCAGCATCACTTCCGGTGGAGGTAGAGGGACAGAGTCCCCTTGGACACCCGCGGCGGTTTGAAAGCGGGATGACGAGCGGCTGACGATCACTGGTCACAGAACGGGCCAGGTCAGGGTGCCTGGACGCGGGCAGCGTATGTGAGAGAGGGGGTCTTTCGGGGTGGTGTTGAACAAGGAGTCCTTGCAGGTGCGGCGCAGTCATGCCGCCTATCGAGTTACCCTAACGGGCAACGGCTGATGGATACTCGCAGGCGTCCGTCATCTTGGCGTGGCGCTTGCTGACCAGCATCCCAGCATCCGGCAGACTGGAGTCTGACAAGAATCAAGCATTGGATGGCCGTCGGTGGGACGAATTCTACCGACCCCAGTCACATCGTGTCATTCCGACCCTGTTCATCCCTGGCGATGCGACGCCAGAAGGCCAGACAGTGGGGGGTTTCGGGAGGGGGAAGGACGGATGTTGGCAAAGTACGTCCATCCCACTGGAGATGTGTTGGACACTCCTGGTCGCAAGGATGCCGACCTGCATCGCGACATGTACCGGCGCGGTGATTTGCACGAGTTCCACGGATCTCTCCCGCCACGATGTGTCAAGAGGAATAATACCAACAGCCGCCTCTCGCTGTCGTTGGCTCGTGCGAGACTAGCTGTCGGTTGATCGTCACGGTTGGCTCCGAACCATCCTCGAGCTTATTATGCACCGTGATGCACACGGTCAGCGCGGAATCTGGCCGTTCGAGTTCCCTTGTTGGTCATCGTGGATTGTCTAGTCTGTTAATGGTGAGATTCTTGAATCCTTGATGGTGCAGGGGGAGACGGGGAGACCGGCAAGTGATAACGACTCCTCGTTTACGCGCCGTCCGGAGAGTAGTCTGGATTAGTCCTCTTTGTGGACTCCGTTTTTTCCGAATAATTTAGGCGAATTGGTAGTTGTCTGTATCGAGAGCGGGATTTGTGGTAGGAGAGAGCTAGACACTCGGCGTGGAATTAGGGTAAATCACTGAATGCAGTAGATATATATCCAGCGTCAGGATAGGCCTCAGCTTAGTTATTCTTGAACCGTCTACAATATTTATTCTTAATTTACTCCAACAATCAAATGTCTGCCATTCTAAGACTACCGGGTTATCTGTTCTGCTTTGCCTTCATGATGGGCACAGGTACGGGTACTCTTGTATGAAGCCGTGGAAGTACAAGGCAAGAACATTTTGAAATCTTCATCCCATCAGCCAGACACTGCTAACACTGCCTTTACTTAGACAACACCATGCGTCTGAATGTCTACGAGATGTCTTGCACAAGGCAGATCAGCCTTGGACGATTTCCAGCAGTTGGAAGATCTGCTGATCGGTTCTTGTACCATAGTAAGTCAACACAACCGATGAACAGTACGACTATATGGATTTACTAATTCTACATAGTTAAACAAGATCATATCATCAATTATCATTAACCTAAAGCACCCACAACACCAAGTTTCCCATCGTCCAGACGCCGACAGAGAAGTGAACTCCCTTTCTCCATTTCCCATTCCAAACGCCCGCCCAATAACCCAAACGCTAACCAATAAATATATCCTTTACAGAACAAAGACATCACAACGACCATAACATAGACGCAGCGCCGCTACCCAAAGTTCGTGATCAGCCTGGACAACGCCGGTTTTGGTCGTCGAGGGGGCGCAGCTGTCCCTTCAACCGACGGCCTTCCAGCCGTATCATCCGACTGCACGGACATGGAGCCTTCCGGTGAGAGACCACGCGGATCGCGCTGATACGACGGTCGCGATTGTATGGGGTGCGTCATTGGTTCAGAGTGTCCGAACTGCGTGAGCGGGATCGATCCAGACGCATCCTCGGACCCGATCCCCAGTCCCGGCCCGGATCCAGACAGAGCATGACCACGGACACCGGAGAAAGACGATGATGCTCTGCCGGTTGACTCTCGAGGGGGCCTCACGCTCGCTGGTAGGCTCACTCGAGGATACTGCGACGGATCATATGCGGGATATGGTTGGTGATATGCCGGTGGTGGACTCTCAACGGACGGTCGTCTTTGTTGATGCTGCTGCTGGTCGTGGCCCTGTTGTTGTCGTGGTGGCGGACCATACGACCACACGGACGAGTACGGACGATTGGATGTTGTGTAAGGCTCTGGTGTGAACCCCCGGGGCTTGTTGTACTCTGCTGACGACGACGCCCGCATAGCCAGGAGGTGTTCTTCGTATCGCTTGATGCGGTCCCATTTTCGTTTTTTAAAAAGGAAGAAAAAGATTCCGGCGGTGACTGGGTCCAGCGTCAGCAGGGACTGCATACACGGGAGTGGTAGACTGACTTGCGATCGTGGCAACCCCGCCAACAACAACGCCTATGATGATGCGATCGGTGGTCGCGCCTGAGTCCGGCTGTGATGAACCCGAGTCGGCGCCGTACTGCTCGTCGTAGCGGGCGTGCAGCCCCAGTCCATAGCCCATGTCATACCGGCGGACCATGGCAAGCATGTTGACTCCCCTCCACTCCACCGTTTCTCGAGTGTGGTAGGACAGGGCCAGGGGACGAAGCGACAGAAGAGTCTCCTGTGCAGTGGGAGACGCACATGGCATTAAGTACGCATGGTATGTGTTGGACCCCGTTTCAGGATGCTGGGTTGAAGCTATTTTAATCTCAGGGTCAATCCTTCCATGCAGATAACTACGGCAGCGTCTGAACTCGGCATCGAACACACTCCAACCTCGCCCAAAAATAGCAGAATTGCCCAGCGAAAGAGGCCTAAGGCTGCAGGCGTCGGGATTCATTGGCCGTGCGGGCTCGATCGCCACGCTTGTAAGCGCCTGGATTCGTATCAGCACCAATGGCCTGTTCGTCCCCCGCAGTAGGCGATCCGTCTATTTTCGACATCAACAAACGAAGCGGAGAGGATCATGCTTGTTTGATCTTCTCTGTGGTTCTAAATATGCTTCGCGGAAGTGGTGGGATTGATCTATAATGTGCTTAGGGCACGGTACCAGAGCAAAAGAATCCCGTCATTTGGCCGGATCGCACAAGAGGTGCTAATATCTCAGCGTTATTAAGATAGCCAATGCATTATTGCCAGGGGATATCCAACAGTTCAGCCTACTCCGCATACGGGCGGTACACCGTCAAGCTCTCGTCCGTAGCAAACTCCAACTCCACGCCCTGTCCAACAAAATAGACGTATCCCTCGTGGAGCTCAAAGCTCCCGCCATCAGACGACTTCATTCGACCGCTACCCTCCGTTACAATCAACAGACTGGGCCCGGAGACCGCCTTGTGTGCCTCGCTCTCGCCGGCACCCAGCCTCGTAGCCAGCACGTTGAACTCGCTAATCGGGGGCGCATACAGCTCCGTCTTCCCCTTCTCGCCCTTGTCGCTCTTCGCACGGGGGAGATACACATCCTCCCGACTGTGCGATTTGAACGTCAACGCCCGGGCGAACAGCTCGACGCTGTCACGCGCCGGACGGGGACAGAACCCCGTATTCAGCACGTTGTCCGACCGCGCCATGCACTCGACAATATCGCCGCTCAGCCAGGCGTGGATGCCGTCGGCAGGCACGCAGACCGCCTCGCCCGGCTCAATCGTCATGTAGTTCATCAGCAGCGCCGCGACCAGGTTCCCGTTGTCGAACTCGGAGTACTGCGCACGCAGCCGCGCCAGCATCTGCGGAATGTACTGTTGGCTCCCGAACTGCGCCGCGGGCAGCGATACAAGGCCCTCAATGGTCTCGGCCACGACCTCCGGCGCCAGCGTCAGGAACGCCTTGCAGATCTGCCGCAGGGCGTCGTCGTCGAAGGGCTGGTTGGTCGGGACGAAGCGCTGCAGCGGCTTCAGCTTCATTAGGGTTTCGATTTCCGCCAGGGTCTTGAACCCCGCGAAGAGCTCGAATTTGGTCAATGCGACTGCGATCTCGGGCTTGTGGTTCGGGTCCCCGAATTTCTGGGGGTCCTCCTGGTGCAGCTTTTCGGCGAGGGATTTGTCTGGGTGGATCTGGAGGGGGAGGGCTTTGGCGAAGGAGAGGATCTACGTGCGGTTAGCGATGGTTCCTGGCGCCTGGGAGTTGTTATCATCGATGAATACCTTGGGTAAGAAGGGGATCTCAGCGCCGTATTTTTTCAGCACACGTTCGCCGACAAGCTGCGGGTTGTCCTTTAGATAGTCTCCCAGTAGCTGGCCTGTAGACAAGACTCGCGAGGGTACAGTGGGATAGGTACCCATCCACATCTATGTATTGTGAGAGCCAGTCCGGAAAATGTATGATGTGGCTGGTACCTCTGAGTATGTTTCTGTTTCCTCTACTTTACCGGACCCTGGTGTTTTGGACCACAGCTGCCCGGCGACAGAATCTTTCCCTTGCTTTCCCCATGGATCGTGCTGAGAGATGTTAGTGATTATTCGTGATGGCACTTTAGGGCTAATTGTACTTTGCAGTCGCATTTTAGCTGGACCACCGAGTCCGCCATTGTGAACAGAGTATATTGATTTTCAGAGAAAGTAAAATACTGTACAAATAAAGCAATGGAATTCGAAGTAGGCGTCCCCGGAATATAGTGGGAAGTAGAAGTAGGTGGTGTGTTGAAAACATCAATCTATATAGTTAGACCGCCCTATGGCGTCATGCACTGATCCGGACATCGGAAGTTTCAGTATCCTCATTGTCGTCACTCGGTCTTCAAGGAATCTAGAAACATTCGGCGAGTTCTGTGGTCCGATATCTTGATAGTAGCAGCTCCGGGCGAATCGCGATGAAATCATCAGCGGATATCGTCAGGTTGACGTCAGGATAGGTACTGTGTCCCTTGTAGTAAAAACCCACATACTATACGCACCTTAGGCGATTACTGAGCACAGGATATGTCTAATCCATATAGTAGGCAAAATTATATCCTGTCACCTTCTAGCCAACTCTCAAGGCTGATCCGCAGTGGGATTACCTCCCGTTTCAATGCCCGATTGGCGCTCTATGTACTATATCTCGACTGCGCTCCGATGCATATTCCCAGTCACTTATCATGCTACTTATACTCTAGATAGCGCATGAAATTAATTCCTGAATACAGGGGAAACCCCCCGACAGCAGAATTTGCCCGTCCTGGGCTGTGAGGTAGATGGGAAAAACAAAATGCCTGCAATACCAAACAGTCCGTTGCGTTGCATACTGGCATTACCTCCTTCGACAAGCCGTCCAGGCTCAATCAACCCTCATCTTGTCCACCGCACTGAGCTCCTTTACCGCGTCCACCCCCTCCAGTCGCGCCTTCAATGACATGGTGATCAGCCCCGTGGCGGTGGTGCTAACAGGCAAGTAGAGCGGGATCTTCTCTCCTCGGCTAGCGACGTGGTAGAGCAGCGCAGCGAGATCGGCGGCCTCGACAGCGCCGCCCGAAGCCAAACTCTGCTCGACAAACGCCTCGAGCATGCGCGAGGGCATCGAAGGATCCGTGGGATGCCGGAAGATTCAGTCGGCCTACGCTGTGATTGCTTGTGCCCTGTGTGCTCGGCTGTCCAATGGTAAAAGAGGATGAGGAGGTCGAGGCTGCTGAAGGGGGAAGGGTCGTCGAGGGCCGGCGGCATAAGGGCAGACAAGATGTCGACGAACTCAGCTGCTATCGTTGGACGGTGGCGAGGGGGGTAGTAGATGCCAGCGAGGAACAGCTCAAGCTGCCACGACCGCTGGGCGACTCGCACGATTCCATGTGGTGATGATGGTGATGATGCACACAGGTGACGCGCAGGACCTCGGCCAGATCGCAGTGGTCGGATTGCAGGCGAACTAGTTGTTTGTATAGCGTCTGGTGAACATGGGCCAGGTACGTGCGGGCTTTCCCGAGGGGCCTATCAGCCGACGGGGAGAGCTCCAGGTCCGGCATATCATCGTCGCCGCCGATCCTGGAATCGGGCAGGGAATCGTCCGCGTCTGCGTCCGGGGAGAGGGGTGTGATCTCCTTGGAACCCCAGAAGCTGGACGGGAGGTCGTAGGACACGTCGATGGCGCTGAAGTCGAACGTATCATCCCCGTCCAGGCTGAGCGGAGCATGCCAGATTTGAGTGATAGCGAACCACCTAACGAATACAAGATCAGAAGAAGACCGAATACGGCCAGGTATAAGTCACCGGCTAAACAACCTGCCAAGCTTCCAGATGTATAGGGTAGGCGGGGAAGCGGGGCGATCAACGAGGGACCACAGGAGGTTAAACTCACCCTCGTATATTATATTCCTTTTATAGGCTATTGATATCTACAAGACGACGCCATAGTGTCTTGAATCTAGTGAAATCTTTTACGTTAAAAGTCCAGAGCCAAGTAAAACACTCAAGGAATATGTTGCAGACTTCAGCACGACGTGTTTAGATAAAGAAAGGGTAGCATATTAATCTGGTATAATTCTACCCACCAATATCCAATATAAAGATTACAAAATGTGTTAATGGATTAGCACTGTTTAGCGTTCTAAGAATCCCCGAGCTTTTAGGATATCTAGAGCTGTTTCTATAAATGTCTAAATTTGTGCTATTGTTATGGGACGAACAGAGATGGATCTTCTTATCTAAGGGTGCCGTACAAACAACAAGGAATAGCTAATAAAAAGGAAGTCAAGTAGCGGTCAGGTATTAATCCAGAGGGGACGAAGGACGGTAAGTAGTAGCAGAATAGTAGCCCGTAGGGCTAAGCTTCTACGGGACCTTTACATTCGAGGACCTACCGAGCTTCAGCCTATGGTTCGTAATTTTAAAAACTAATCTACTCTTAGAATAAGTATCGCTCCTCTTCGGACTAATAGATTCTAGTTATTCTTGTGCTTGAACTACTAAAATAGAAGGTCGCGCAGCATAGGCGGATCCCAAGGGTTTGGCACGAAGGTCACGTCGATTCTAGAAAATCAGGTCTGTATAGTGACCTACAGCAGCAAGTTACAATTATAAGAAGGCAACCATCCGCAATATATTCTGCGTGCATAACATGATCATAATTAAGTCCCCATGCGCCATCAACACCATATCGCAATGCTAAACACAGAGAATCAACCAATACCCATCATGTCATACCATCCAAATGGCAAGCCACATCCTCGCACTAAAAACAATATACTATTCTATCCGTAGATATCCTCCGGGTCCGGAACCATCGTCATAGTCATATATCGTGAGGACCGAGCCGTCTTCCTGCCCTTCGAGGAACTCGCATGTTTCGCGCCTGGGGAACCCGCCCGCTGGCCAGGATCCAGCTCCCCGCGATGCACCAGCCGACAAGATGCAAACGACCGCGCATGAGTGTCGTCTCGAGGCAAGGAGTGGCTCCTCACCCCGTCAGGAACTGTTTCTCGGTAATGAGGCCGCTGTCGCGCGCCTCGTTCCGGCAGTCCAACTACGCCGTTGACGGGACTCGCTCGCCCGGTCGACGTGTACCTCTGGCATGAGCCGGCAGTTTCTGGCTGGCCCGAGTACTCCGGGTTCGCGGGAATGTACCGGAAGCGAGACGACGAGTGGTGGGGGTTCTGCCGGGTCATCTTTTCGGCCACCTCGCTGGGGTAGTCTTGGTGGATGGGCTTGTAGGCAAAGTCGGTCCGTCGGTCTCTTTCGGACGACGGGTATTGTTTTTTGTCTTTTGTGCCGTCGGCGGGTGTTTTCGGCCGCGGGGTGAGACGCATGGACAGGCGACGCGGGTCCAACGTGCGCACGGAAAACGAGTTCTGCCGTGAGGGGACCGGGCTGTTGTCGGTCAGGCTGAGAGCTTCGTCGTAGTCATCGTCGTCAGAGGCGTAGGAGCCTCGCGAGCTGTTTGTTTCGGGGATGCTGCCATGTCGGCTGTGTCGTTTGCGAGACACAGGTCCATCGCAGGCGTCGAGTTGATTCCACGCGCCGTCTGTCGGGGCGGAGATGGCGAGATCGCCCCATCGCTCGTGGAACGTACGCTGGTGGTCTGACTTGCGGAAACGGTTCAACGGACGGTGCACGATGCTGGCCATGTTGAAGGATGTTGTACTGGTCTTGTCTTGTAGTCGAGTCAACCCGAAGGTTGTAGACAGGGCAGCATGATAAGGATGCTCTTCAAAGAAGGGAGGTGAGGAGTCAATGAACCTCGTCACCAACAGCCAGCGCCCCCGTACGCAGCAGGCAATGCGGGTAGCTTCTGGCTGGCTGAATGTCCGGTATGTTGGACAGATGGCAAGCCACGGGGCATACAACAGGATACGACAGGAGGGGCACAGCAACCCAGTTGAGGGAAAGACGATGACCGCGTCGAATTACAACAAGAATGAACTCGCCGTTGTTGTAGCGTCCAAGCTTGACTCCTGGACCAACAGTTCAAGATCCGTGGCGGCGAACCTGCCGGATATAAAAGCTTGTCCATGAGTCGCACCCCGGTCAAGACCCAGTCCTAGTTTCATCTTCGCAACTGACCTCATTGAGCTGGCCCCAGGCGGGACAGGGAGTATCATGCGTCGATACAGGGCCAGTCTGGTTAGTGATGCAGTAGTGTGAGCAGACAGAGGTTAACCGCCCGGAAGAGCGGAGATGCAGCACTAGTTCGCCAGGGTTGGAGGGACTCGGATTGGTCTCCTTGGGTTTATTCTTAGCAAATTTCTCCTCTCAGGGACACAAACAACTTAATTAGCTGCAGTTTCTATAATTACACCTGGGTAGATCTCCCAAAATTAGCACAACCACGGAGATCACCCGCATCGGCGAAGCGCCCACTCGATCAGCTCTGACACGCCGGCTTCTCTTCCCCGCGCCGCGGCCGGGATCATCGCGAGACTCATTCGTCCGTCGATGTCTGACATACAGCCTTTCGACTCAGACACCCTGGTCTCTCCCTCATGGTGGGTTACATGGCGGATCGCTGACTAGGGCACGAGCAAGCTCGGCGGCTCGATTGCCAGCCACCTATCCTTAGATTGAATTGCAATCTCGCTATATTTACATCATCTTTGCAGATCTGAATTTACGGTGTATATGTACACCACAGGTATCACCATAGAAACCACGGTCATGACCGTTGTAGCAGGTCTGAGTCTATAGATTAATGATGACGCCATATCCTGTATGTTACCCCGCGTCTGCAACGCCTGCCCGCAATGGAGAAAGAAAAAGTCGAAGTGAGAAGAATAGCCGCCTGCCGGGATAGATTGAAAACAGATAAACAGATGGACCCGCCCCTGCTGACCTATCCGCTGTTGCAGGTCTGCAGCTGAGAGACACTGCTGGGTGGCATCCCAGATAATGTGAATTTGGGGTTGCGGGTCATCTGAAGCAGGGGCGGCTGTGAGGCCTGGTTCAACTTTGGATACAATGGATGTCCCAGAGGCGACAATCTTGCGACATCCGAGGACGATGGATGGGTACTGCTAATGGAGGGTCGTCTGAAGTAAACGGGAGTCGATGACTCGGGCATAGATCGGCCAGTCTGCATGGAGGTCACCACGTCATGGTGGTCATGCGACGCTGGGCCCCAGGAAAACAATCGTTTAATAGTCCCAGGCCGTTTTAAACCACTTCTGTGGGGTACATCCTTGCGGTCTGCCCCCTCCGCCATAGACGGCAGGTCACCGAGATGGCTTTCGAGAGAGCTCTCGGAGTGTTCTGCGATGCAGACATGCCCCGTCGGTTCCGGTGATGTAGCGCTACAGGCTCTTCGGAACGGAGGCCTTGATTGCGAATCAGTTCCGTCTGCCCGCTTGGGTTGGTCGACGTCGTTGCTGTGGGAGCCCCTCCGATTGGAGAAACGCCGTTGATGTCCGTTATCTTGAAAAGTCCCAGACGGCTGGCGAGGAAGGCCGACTGCTCGTAAGTCTCTCTGACTAAAGTCAAAGGTCACTCGCGCTCGCATTTGCTGTATGGCTTTATCGAGTGCTAATTCTATAGCACAATGATTCCGGATACGGCCGAGATTAGGCCATGTGGCTTGCTCTCCGCGGTCTTTTGCCCTCTTCAGGAATTCCGCCGTGGGATTTTGCAATATCAGCGGGAGATCGCTGTAGGACATTTGCGGGTAGATGTTGATATCTCCAGAATATTTCTGATTCACAACAGATACAACTTTGGTCAGGGCGTTGGGAAAGATTCCCATGTCGGCTGCCAATGACAGTCGATGCAAGACTTCATCCTTGGCTAGATCCGTCATCAGATGTATCCAACGAAGCCATCCTCGTTCTGAAGAGAGTGCAGTTGGGTCGCTTCTCGGGTAACCGTTCTTCTGGAGGAATGGGATTACGTGGGGATTGACCTGTGAGACGATAAAGTGGTTGACGTTGAACATCTCCGACAAGCGATTCATTGGCAGGTCTCCGTCCACGGATCCATCAATATAATGCTTATGCAGACCATTCCACGGCACAGGGATCCCTGTGATTGGATCCTTGGCCATGAGCACAGGTGGTGTGAACACCAAAGGGACCGAGCATGAGACAGCGCTGATGAAAATTAGCCAGTTCCCCAGGACGCAAGCGACACGCCCGACGGCTCACTTACACTGCAGACCAGATCAAAACGTTGGGGGCAGTAATGTAATTTAATAGCCTCGGGAGCTCATAGATACCAGCACATGAGACGCAGATGTTAAGGATCCTCCGGCTTCTGTTATAGGCCTCCTGGAAGGTCATGTCGCCCAGCCATGACCGTAAGTTAGCTGCCAGGAGAGAAATATCCATGAGCGACCCGTGCTTGAGAAAGCGAGAGACCATCTGGAGAATATTTTCCTCTTGACCAGGCTCATTGAAAACGTACATATCTCTGGTCATGTATTTTTCCATAACCTCCGGGAGCTCGTCTTCGGTGTGACAGCAAAAGAAAGCCGCAATCACGCTTCCGGCGGAGGCACCCGAGATGATACGAGGCATCAGATTATTCTCCCAGAGGGTTTTCAGGACACCGATGTGTGACATTCCAAAAGCGCCGCCCCCGGAAAGCAGCAAAGCGCTCCGGCCGAAGGCCTGTCTTGCTTCTAGAAGCTGTTCGAGAATATATCTCATTTCTGCTCCATCACATCGACCCTTTACTGAAAGGTCTACCAATGTGGAGATGGTATCGACTGCCGTCGTGATATAGCGATCAATAAGTTCTTTCGTGCCGACATGCGAATATTTGTACAGAGCAGCATTGCTCATGTCTCCTAGATCACGGCTGAGGGAGGTGCGGATGAGGAACAGCATACGACTGATATCACAACTTATCCGAGCCTCTTCCAGCTGATTCAGACGTTCCCTGACAAGGCAGGGATTGTATTCGGAACATTCAAACGTTTGCTTCCAGGTATTATTACCCTCCAGCTCATCGAGTTGGCTGGCACAGTCTTTCCATTCGCTATATGATACCGCCTGATGCGCATACGCGTCAGCAACCGGGAGGCACTTTCACGTACCACGGGGAAGACTCACATTGCGCATCTTAAGATGTAGGATCTGCTTGCGGTCTTCATTATCAGGGTGTGACCCCCGCTGATCTTTGGGAGGTCCATTCAACGAAGCGTCATAACACGTGGTCCCCGCCCATTCTAAGGAACTCTTCACAACGGAAGACAAGGAGGGCATAGATATGGACTTCATTCGAGGCCATTGCCGGCCAGCGGAAACTTCCCGCTCCAATATTGACTTTGCGTTCCGTTTTGACGCGGCATGGCAAGGGGAGTGAGCTATTGCGGAATCGTGTAACAATGACATGGCAGGCTTCTAGCTAGACAAGGAGCCATTCGTTCAATCGACAGAAGACCAGGCGTTGTGGATGTGGTGTTCGATCCACAGTAGATATATAACGCCACAGGGGCCTATAAGGTCTCACACTAGACGTGATCGATGTGGATGCACACGGAGAGAGAAAGCCAAGAGCGAAGAGAAGCACGTAGAACTGGTCTTGTCGGGCATCGGGGTATTTCAGAGAAGAGGGAGAGGCATGAGTGCAAAAACAAGTCAGATGGACGGTCCCATATAGAGAGGTCACACGTCACGAGGGCCTGTGGCCTTGGGGCGTTCCAGGCGGGGAGTGCCGCTCGCCACCTCCCGTTGTCACTGCAATCACCACAGTCCGTCGTCAGTTCATGTCATGTCGAGGAGAGTCGATCGAGATGAGGACTTGGTTTCGCTGTCTTTCTATACCTGGGTCAATCAATCCAGTTTCCGACAGATGATTCTACGATTTACTTCCATCTACACTCTACACCGGACATCCCGGAGGCGGTGAAGACAAAACAGACTACCAAGTCTACCGCCACGTTTCCTGAATGAAAATGATCTCATCCCCCACATTACCCCTCGGAGCCAGTGGGGATGGGTGGATCTCATATTTCGAATCGCGCGGGCGGATGCAAGCGACGCGGTAGTCATGCTGGTCGTTGGCCCCTATATGCCGGAATCACTCTTACTCATTCAGCTGAACCCTTCCTATCTTGAGTCAGCATCGGTCTCCTGCTGACTCGCGGAAACAAGGCAACGATCCGTGTCGGGCACGCGGCCCTGCAGTATGGTACGTCCGATATGACTACCTAGAGACCTATACGAAGAATATCACACCTCAATCACCAAATTGAAACATGTCAAGACAATCTCCAGATCGGATTATTTCGGTGATTCATCATTGTACCAGGTTTCCGGTAGTATAACCACATCAGGAACTGCGGGCGAACCTCTGAGCGCACCTTCACATGTCATTCAACTCTCCCACACGTTGCATGTGAGTAGATCGACGGGAAAAACCTAAAGGGCTTCGTTCGGGGTTTGAGATTCGGGCTCAAACAGTATCGATCAAGCCTACCTAATCTACTCCGTAGGCTCCATATGATCAACTTAATTGGCGTAGCCAGTTATTCACAGCATCCTTCGCGCGAGACTCGGCTCCGGCCTCTCTCCAGAAATGCCCAGCACCACCGACTTCCACCGACTGAAATTTACTCCCGGGGACTTTCTTCAGCTCTTCGGTCCACTTACGAAGCTTGGAAGCAGAGGTAAAGGTATCGTCGTCCCCATATATGGCCAGTGTTGGACACGTGCATAGTTGGTCGATGGGTTTCGGACAAGGGATCTCTCTCTGTTTACCTGAAGGGCCGTCTCTGACCTCCAGCCACAGTTTGGAGAATAGCGTCAGAAACTGGCTCACGGGGGGCAGAAGAGGCGATATTAGGAGATATGAGATACTTGTTTTCGTAGGATCTATAAAACAAGCACCTTGAGGCGCGAATGCCTGCTTTTTTTGTGGCGTATCTCCAACGGACAGCCCATACATGTCTCTTGCGGCCAGAAAAATTTCGCGAACCGCTGTCGAGTCGACACTCCCGTTAAATATGTCCGCGATGACACTGATCGCTGGAAGATTGGACGCTATTAACGAGCCAAAGGAGTATCCACTCAAAACAAGTTGGACATCTGTCGAGCTTTCGCCATGCTCCGGAGTAGGCGCATCATCACTTCTGCTTCCGGACTTCGAGAGCATATGAAGATAGTTAAGCATGAAGCCGTAAAACGAGACATAGTCAGCCACCTCAGGCCTAGCAGTCCAACTTGTCCGGCCGTCCGAGTCCGCTGCACCTCTACGACATGATTCAGCGTGTCCCTTGGTCTAAGGACTGAGTGTAATCGAAATATACGTACCGAAAGTTAAAGGTGCCCACGACATACCCATTCCCAAGAAGCTCCCCTCCAATAAAGCTAACCACTGCATCATCGTAGCACCCTCCAAGAGAGGCATAGGGGTGCGCAACGATTGCACCGCGTAAAGGCTGGCTGGATGAGGGTTCTGCCATCAAACCCGTAGGGAGATAAAGCCGACAATCGAGCCGGGTCTCATCGTGAACCGATGGGATCGTGAAAGCAAAGGTTGGAGCGGGGAGATACATCTCATCACCGAAAATAATTCCAGCGTCAAGCTCTGTGGTTCATGGACAAGGTATCATTGTCGGGTGGGTAGTGGTTGAACTTGTCTGGCGGAAGAACCTGGAAAGTCTGCTGTTGCGATCGAGAAGGGAGGATAACCGGGTTGGCCAAAGCGTCCGCTGTACATTAGGTAGGTTTCAACTTTCCGCCTTACTCCTAACCTATGATGATGCGCCCAACTCTTCGCACAATCTAGTGTTCTGCTTTACGATGTATAATCATCTATTGAATATTATAAATGTCTGTAGTCACGCTTCAGGAAGCAGCCAGGCTGGATCTGGTTCGTCGTCCTCGTCTGATCGGGAGACAGCGCCTTGGCTATGCACATCAGCGTCCCTCAGTAGATCAGCTGGGGGCTCAGGGTTGTCGACCCCAAGAGGATCGGACTGAGTCTCGCCGCGTTGACCTTCTGGCGCTTTTCCTTTCTCAGAAGGGAAGAGTGCATCTTCCGTCACCCCGAAAGCGTCGAGAAGAAGGCTCCGTGCTTCCCGTAGTGCTTCCAGTTCGGCCGCGATACAGCATATAAGGAGCCTCCAATCTTTCGCTTCTGCAATCTCCAGATGATGTTCGACACCTGTTGTAGTATTCGACAAATCTTCCAGGATGTTGCGTATTTCGCCAGCGGCCGCTTGGTCATGAGGGGACTCGTCAGGGTTCAATAATTGCGACTGCCTTTCGATCGACTGGCGCATGGTCGCTCGTAACCGCTTCTCAAATCCCGAAATCTCTCCAACGACCTGCTTCCATACACCGCCCCCTTCTTCTAGGGCTTGAATTTCCGCAGTGATCTCCTCTTGTCTCCGCTGTAGATCTGACTGTTCTGTATCCCAGTACTCTTTTGCCATGTCGAGGGTTCGGCGTTTTGGATTCAAGGAATAGAACGCCGTCTGTTCAGGATTGACCGGGTAAGGCTCAACAGGGGGGCTTTGGAGGAACCTTTGAATTTTCGACTTTAGCAAGGAGAGCGAGGCCTTATAGGATGATAATTTAGATTCGACAGAATTATCCAATTGCGATATCTCCTCAAGAACATGCCTATGTCTTGCTTTCATCTGGGACAATCTCGTCTCCATTTCGTGAATTTCTGTCTCAAGCGTGGCGCTTTCAGCTCGGAGCTCCTTGGACCGTTGGCTCTCCCGGTTCTCGTGGATCATTGAAATAGCTTTTTCCAACCCTTCACGTTTCCTGTTATAGTCATCGACCTCCCCCAGTGCTTTCCTTCGTTCATCGACTCGGAAAGTCACTATGTCACGTTCCTCCTCCCGGAGCTTTAGCAAGTCGTAGATTGATTTAAAAATGCCTTCGCGTGCGGTACGTAAACTGATCTTCTCTGAGGCCGGCTGTCTCACCGGTGTGGTCGGAAGCCTTTGTGACGATTGCGTGTCGCTTCTCCCGGGCGATAGGGTTCGGTCATCGTCTTGTAGCGGTTTCCCGAGACCAGCCAAGAGTCCGTCGCTTTGAGCATCGATAAGAAGTTGTAGATATCGCTGGATGTGTTTTACTTGACGGTTAATATGTACCAATGGGTCTTGGTGGTAAACCGATGCTCTGATGGGTAGCGATAGGAGTGACTCCTTGTCGTGACGCGACATGGTAGATAAACAAAGAATTCCAGCGAGTGATACAGGGCAGAAAAAGAATGTTTCTGAGATTTGCTGCTGGGAGAGAGGGAAGAGTCCTAGAAACAATCACACCATGAAGCCACTCCTGACGGTTTATCACTTTCCAGACACCTGAGCTGCCATTATCTCGTGATCCGGATTAGTGTCGGGGCGCATGCCATCACATTGTCACGTGATATATACGGGTGTTGGCAGCAACCAGCCGCGCACCCGCTCGACAGCTTCCGTCAGCAGTCCGTTGACGTGTGAACTGGTAGCAAGCTTCTTCCTCCAATCCTTCTCCTCCTCCCCAACACACTGACATTTGTTTCTTTTTGTTTCATCTTTCCATCTCCATCTCTCTTGATCTATTTTCCTTTCGGTCTTTCACCGACTCCTCCCAACCGCGCTCCATCTCCCCGGGTCGGCCTAAAGCTACGTCGAAGCTATCGCCTCATCCCTCTTGCGATAGTACAATCCTTTCAGAGATGGTTGGACTTGCTTCAGCCGCCGGTCTCGTCGGCTTTCTCTCTGAGCCTGACCCAGAATTAAGAGTCTTTGCTTTGAAGACCCTGGATTCACAAATCGACTTGCTTTGGACAGAAGTCGTTGATGCTGTTCCCCAGATGTCCGTATCCCCGTTGACCTAGCTTAGGGTGACCTCTGCATCCATCACTCCCATTCTTGCTGCTTCACCGTGTTCCCATCAAGCAGATTAATCAGTCTAATCAGAAGCTAATGAGACGGTGTCATACAGAGAGGCTTTGTACGAAGATGAGTCCTTCCCAGAGCGCGGCCTTGCGGCCCTAGTGGCGGCAAAGGTCTACTATCACCTTCAAGAGTATAACGAAAGTATGGTATTTGCGTTGGGAGCTGGCAAGCTTTTCAACCTGGACAACGGCGGCGAGTTTGAGGAGACAATCATTGGTAAGTTTAATGGGATTCCACTATATTCAACTGGGGTCATCTCTGACACGGTCTCTCCTTCAGCTAAATGCGTTGACACCTTCATCTCGCTCTCGGCTGCTCAACACCCTGCAGGCGGCGACCAGCCTCCCAACTTAAATACCGCCTTCCCGACCTCTGTTGAAGGAGCCACCAGCACCTCCGCTAGCCTGACATCTCCGATCACTCCTTTCTCCCAGTCAGCCTTGCCATCGAAGTCCCTACTTTCTCGACAGGAACTGCCGGGTGTGGATGCGACGTATCCAGGCGGTGAGGATGCCACCGTTAGTCACGTTGAGACCCCTCTCGTTTTGAGACGAGGTGTCCAGGGTCAGCTGCAAGCGGTTATCGAACGGCTATTCGAGCAGTGTTTCCTCCAGAAGCGCTATCGCCAGGTGATCGGTATCGCTATCGAAGCGAAGAACCTGGATGTGCTCCGGAGAACGATTATTAGAGCCAGCGAGGATGAGCGGAAACAGCACGGCGAGTCCCGTCGCAGTGAAGAACTTATGGAGTATGTTCTGGACATCTGCATGAGTATTGTGCAGGAGCGTGCTTTCCGGAACGAGGTAAAAGCGATTTCTTTCCCCGGTGATCATTTCCTGAGGCTGACCTGATCCAGATTCTCAAACTCATCCTCGAGCTCCTAAACGAAATTCCTGCCCCCGACTATTTCTCGATCGCCAAGTGCGTTGTGTACCTGAATGAGCACTCGATGGCGTCGGTTATTCTTCGGCAGTTGGTAGACAAGGGCGACGCGCGGTCGCTCGCCGTTGCCTACCAAATATCTTTTGATCTGTACGATAACAGCACGCAGGAGTTCCTCCAGAAGGTTCGCCAGGAGATTGCGGAACTCGTACCGGAGAACACTGAAGCGGATAAGCAGGATGCAACAGAGGGCAACCAGGAAGAGCCAAGGGAGTCTGACCCTTTGTTGGCCGATCAGTCTAGCTCCACACAACCTAGGGCCATCGGCGCCAGTGGTGATGCCAAGATTTCGACCGAAGCACGAACAGCATACAAGAACATTCTGGATATACTCGATGGCATTAAATCCATTCAGCTCAATCTGGAGTTCCTCTATCGGAACAACAAGGCTGATATCGCTATTCTGAATAAGGTGCGAGACAGTCTGGAGGCCCGCAACTCCATTTTCCATACCGCCGTCACTCTCTCGAACGCTTTCATGCACGCTGGGACTACGCATGACAAGTTCTTCAGGGACAACCTCGAGTGGCTCGGAAAGGCTGTCAACTGGTCCAAGTTCACCGCGACCGCCGCTCTTGGTGTCATTCACCGTGGAAACCTGAGCCAGGGACAGAAGCTTTTGCAGCCTTACCTTCCCCGAGAGCACATTGCTGGTGTTGGTGGATCGGGCTCCGTCTACAGTCAAGGTGGCTCTTTATATGCGTTTGGGCTGATCTACGCCAACCACGGTGGCATGGCTGTTGATCTCATCCGGGATCATTTCAAGAAGGCCACTGAAGAAGTTGTCCAGCATGGAGGTGCCTTGGGTCTTGGTGTTGCGGGTATGGCAACCGGCGATGAGGGAATTTACGAAGACCTTCGGAACGTTCTTTACACTGACTCCGCCCTTAACGGCGAGGCCGTGGGTCTTGCCATGGGTCTTGTCATGCTGGGAACTGGTAACATGAAGGTGTTGGAGGATATGATCCAGTATGCTCACGACACGCAGCATGAGAAGATCGTACGTGGCTTGGCGATGGGCATGGCGCTCATCATGTACGGCCGCCAGGAGGCAGCCGACGAGTTGATTAACGGTCTCTTGGGAGATCCGGACCCTACCCTCCGTTACGGTGGTATTATGACTATCGCCCTTGCCTACTGTGGCAGTAGCAGCAATAAGGCTGTCCGCAAGCTTCTCCATGTGGCCGTCAGCGATGTCAATGATGATGTCCGTCGGATTGCCGTGCTGAGTTTGGGATTCATCTTGTTCAGAAAGCACCAGAGCGTCCCCCGTATGGTCGAGCTTCTCTCCGAATCATACAACCCCCATGTTCGCTATGGTGCCGCAATGGCTCTGGGTATCTCATGCGCTGGCACCGGCCTGGATGAGGCGCTTGATCTTCTTGAACCGATGCTGAAAGATTCCACCGACTTCGTCCGTCAGGGAGCCCTAATTGCTCTTGCGATGGTGTTGGTACAGCAAAATGAAGCCATGAACCCCCGCGTCAGCAGCCTCCGTAAGGCTATGATGAAGATGATTGGTGACAGACATGAGGATGCTATGGCCAAATTCGGCTGCGCCGTCGCCCTTGGAATCATCGATGCCGGTGGCCGTAACTGCACCATCAGCCTGCAGACCCAGACCGGTAACCTGAACATGCCCGGAATTGTGGGTGCGGCTGTCTTCATCCAGTACTGGTATTGGTTCCCTCTCACGCACTTCCTGTCGCTCAGTTTCGCCCCGACTTCAGTCATTGGCGTCGACCAGAAGCTTGAAGTGCCGTTCTTCAAGTTCCACAGTAACACGCGACCGAGTCTTTTCGACTATCCTCCTGAGCAACAGGTCAAGGCAGAAGAAGCTCCGGAGAAGGTCAAGACCGCTGTCCTGTCTACGACCGCCCAGGCCAAGCGCCGTGCCCAGCGCCGGGAGAAGCAACAACGACGAGAGAGTATGGATATCGACCAGACTCCCACCACTCCTAAGGTTTCGGACCAGATGCCGGAGCGGATGGAGACGGAAGAGAGCGCGGCCAAGGGCGAAGACGAGGCCAAGGACGGAGAGAAGGAGACTGGGGAGGGTCAGAAGAAGAAGGTGGAGCGGGAGAAGGTGGGATATGAATTGGAAAACATGTCCCGTGTCCTGCCTGCTCAGCTGAAATATCTTACATTCCCCGACCCGCGTTACGAGCCGGTCAAGCGAGTAAGTGACCCCCTATTTACAATGGGACCCAGTCCAGTGTTCTTATGCTAACGATGAATTTTCCCAGCCGACTGGTGGAGTCGTTGTGGTGCTCGACAAGACGCCGGAAGAGCCACGAGAGACGATCGAGATGAAGGCCAGCAAGGAGGTCAAGCAGCCTGCTGCCACCGCCGAGACGCTCCAGGACCGCCTCCAGGCCGCCATTGGAGCCACAGGGCCTGAGACGCCTCAGCGGCTGGTCCGTGGTTTGGACCTTGAGGGAGCCACCGGGGCCGCCGCCGCCGCCGGTGTATTGACAGCGGTCGACGAAGATGATGACGAGGGTGGCGAGGATGCGCCCGTGCCGGACGAGTTTACGTACGAGTCCGATGGAGAGGAAGAGTGAAGGAAGACGGAGAGTTGGTAGACACACCTCCTGGTTTAGGGGGGCTGTTGTATTAGTAGATTACCTAATTACGGATCTATGTCTTATAACTAGGGGAACATGCATTGATGTGTCAAATGTGTTGATTTAGTTCCAAGGTTCCCTTGGAAAGCTTTTCTTTGGGCTGGGGTTTACCGTAAGGCTGAGTCGTCGGAGACGATAGGTTAGGTACACTACAAGTACATAAACTCCGAGGGGTTTCTGTCAATCTATGTAGAAATTAGGTATGAAATTATGCTGAATAAAGCACATTCATTGCTTTCAGCCTGCACCAAGCTAACCCAGTACGGTAGGCGATGCGATGTTCCACTCGGGATCGTCTATGGAGATGGATACGGGGCCTCCGGGGTGAATGTGGAGGATAAATATGTATACCAAATCGACGATGTATACGGGGTAAAGAAAGGACAAATCAGAGAGGGAGAGTAGGTAATAAGGGGAATTCACATGTCACCTTGTGATATCACGGCATTCATGATGGCCATACTCCGTAAGTAGTAAGCAAGGATGATGAGGACGTCACGTGGACAGTGGCCAGCCTCGGTAGTTTCCCAAAGGAGCAGGATCGCCACGTGCCCCGATGACGCAGCAGGCATTCTCCCCTCTTCCACCAATCACATAATCAGCACGGAGAGCTGACCACGACCGACCCGGGCATCCGATTGGTGGCGCTCTGCAGAGTGCGGCATGTGAAACACCCTTTGCTCTCACTCACATCGTCACTCTCACTCCCATCGTCGGCATATCCACACACATCATCTGTCTCTCTCGTGGGCCTCTCTTTTGGGTGGTATCTCCGACCTAGGTATTATCACGGGTCCAGGTGTTCTATTGCGTTTTCCCCGTGGCGGAGTGCTCCGTGTTTGTCCTGAATAATATATCTATCTACCCTCCCCACTGCCTCCTCCTTTCTTCTTTCTCCTACCCCAGATTTTTCCCTCCCTCTTGTCATACCCACACCTTCACTCTCGGCATCCTATATTCTCAAACACTTCTCCCTATTCGTTCCTTCTCTCTCGCTATCCCTACCTCCCCTTCACACTCACATCATGTCCAAAACGTTCTCCCAGGCCGACGTCGCCTCGCATAACAAGCCCGACAACCTTTGGGTTGTCATTGACGAGGACGTCTATGATCTGACCAAGTTCCAAGATGAACATCCCGGTAAGCTATCCCGCATGGTTTCTCGTATACATAAAATCTTCGTGTGCGAAACTAACGCCATGCGAATAGGTGGAAAGAAGAGTACGTGACCCTATGCAGATCCGGCATCTGCCGTCGACCGACCAATATTAACACCATCTTGCATAGTCCTCACGCGCGTGGCCGGAAAGGACGCCTCGAAGCAGTTCTGGAAATATCACAATGAGGGCATTCTGAAGAAGTACAAGGGACAGCTCCAGATCGGTTCTTTGGATTCCAAGAAAGCTGCTGCGCCGGCACCTGCACCGGCTAAGAAGGAGCCCTCCAAGCCTGTGGCTCCCGTCGTGGATGTGGCCTCGGCCAAGTCCGATGAACCCCAGGACCCCTTCGGTGAATTGATTCCGTTCTCTGACCCCTCCTGGTACCAGGGTGTAAGTTCGCCTTTCGGAAAGCGGTCGGGTGTAGAGTTCTTCAATAACGTGCTAACGATGTGATACCATAGTACCACTCTCCTTACTTCAACAAGACTCATGCTGCTCTCCGTGAAGAGGTCCGGCAATGGGTAGAGACTGAAATCGAGCCTTACGTAACGGAATGGGATGAGGGCAAGAAGGTCCCGGATCACATCTACAAACAGATGGGCGAGCGTGGGTATCTGGCTGGTTTGTTGGGTGTGAAGTACCCTGTCAACCATACCCCCTATCGTGTGCAATCTGTTGCCCCTGAGAACTGGGATCTGTTCCATGAGATGCTTCTCACAGATGAGCTCTCCCGTGTCGGCAGCGGAGGTCTTGTCTGGAACCTGATCGGTGGTTACGGTATTGGATGCCCGCCTCTGGTCAAGTTCGGTAAGAAACCTCTTGTCGATCGCATCCTTCCTGGTATTCTCGCGGGTGAGAAGCGCATCTGTCTGGCTATCACCGAACCCGATGCAGGAAGCGATGTCGCCAACCTCACTTGTGAGGCCAAGCTGTCGCCGGATGGCAAGCACTATATTGTCAACGGCGAGAAGAAGTGGATTACCAACGGTGTCTGGTCCGACTATTTCACCACCGCGGTCCGCACCGGTGGCGACGGCATGAATGGCATTAGCGTGCTTCTCATTGAGCGCGAGGCTGGTGGTGTCAGCACCCGACGCATGGATTGCCAGGGCGTCTGGAGCAGTGGGACCACCTACATCACTTTCGAAGATGTTAAGGTGCCCGTGGAGAACCTTATTGGCAAGGAAAACCAGGGATTCAAGGGTAAGTCATCCGTGCGTGTTTCTGTCTTAGCCGCAGCGACTGACTTTGCTTCTAGTCATCATGACCAACTTCAACCATGAACGTATCGGTATCGTCATCCAGTGTGTCCGGTTCGCCCGTGTCTGCTACGAGGAGTCCATGAAGTATGCCCACAAGCGCAAGACCTTTGGCAAGCGCCTCATCGACCACCCTGTTATTCGGATGAAGCTGGCTCAGATGGCCCGCCAGATCGAAGCTACCTACAATTGGCTGGAGAACATCATCTTCCAGTGCCAGTCTATGGAAGAGACGGAGGCCATGCTCAAGCTGGGTGGAGCAATTGCTGGTCTCAAGGCCCAGTCCACACAGACCTTCGAATTCTGCGCCCGCGAGGCCAGTCAGATTTTCGGTGGTCTGAGCTACAGCCGTGGTGGTCAGGGTGGCAAGATCGAGAGACTGTATCGCGATGTCCGAGCCTACGCTATCCCCGGTGGAAGCGAGGAGATTATGTTGGATCTGAGTATGCGTCAGAGTTTGCGTGTGCACAAGATGTTCGGTATGAAGCTGTAAAGCTACACTCTTTTGCAACTGCTTTTGCTACGGTTCTATTTCCTGTTTTATATCCCCCGTTTCTTTTGGGTGTGTATAGAGCTTGCCGTCGATATGTTAGTGCCTGCGGCTGATACACGACGTGCTGGCTTTCAGTTCATTGTATAATAAGTTTTTGCCATATCGTGCAAAATTCCCAATATCTTTATTGTATTTATTTTAACCATATTTCCGTAGTCTACGACTGCAGATAGATTGTCCCAAGAAAACTAGATCTCGGGATTGACGGATTTTTCGGCCTGAGGCAGTAGATACGGGTGGCGGAAGGCGCCACGTGCGCAAGGCCATCATCAAAGCGACGGGCAACGGACCTTGCGACAGTCAACCTTTCTCAAATCTCCCCCCGAAGAGCACACCCACCCCCTTTTTTGCACTATTAAAACCCTGCGCATTTATTCAGGTAACATTGTTGTTGCCAGGTCTGTCCTCACTTTCTCTTTGAATAGTCCCGCAGTCAGCACATTCTCGTCGCGGTCGCGGACTCGGCGAAGCACCGGGGACCAACGCCGCCCGCCTGGCTGGCAGGAACCATCATTGCCCATTAAACATCACCAACCCTGACTTCAGAGATCGCTTATTTATCTCCGTGTGGCGCCGCCGGCCATTTTAGTATTGAGTGACCCCGTGACTGAAGGTACATTTGTCCTTTTTCTTCCGTTGAACACCTTGTCCTCGTTCTGCTCTCTACCTCAACCTACTCCACCAACCCCCAACGCTCTTGCTGCCCACGGCAATTTCGAAGTGCAACTCTTACTAATTCTGACCTCGCGTCGCCTAGTCAATTTCACTTGTTACGTGCAGCCAGCTTTCCACCTCTCCCCGACCAGCGTCTAAACTAGGCGAATCCTTCCCGGACAAACCTCCGACGCCGACATGTCACGAAACTTGCTGGATCAAGACTTCGGGTCAGAGGAAGAAGACGATGACTTCAATCCCGCCCCCGCGGATGTCTCCGATGATGAGGGTGCTCGACAAACGAAGGTTCGTCTGAACAAGCCGGTGGCAACGTTCATGCTGACGCAGAGAACGCAGACTTCGAATCGCGGACACGACGACGATGATGCCGACGATGCCGACTCCAAGTCTGAGCGCGCGGGGGGTCACCGTCGGGGGAGTGATGATGTGAGAGAGGCAGACGACGATGACGCCGAGGAAGGAGAACCCGCCGGTGCTCATGATGAAGGTGATAATGACGACGAAGAGGAAGGCGAGGGAGAGGAAGAAGAAATAGACGAGGAAGAGGAAGACGAAGATGACGAGGACGCCAACACCGTGAGTGCTGTCCCTGACGCATTACTGCGGCTCTAGGTTTCGTTGCAGCAGCTGACCATGAGGCTTTCCTCTTTGACAGGGTCGTCCTCAAAAGCGTAGAAAAAGGGGAGGTGTGCACTCCTTCTTCGAAGAGGAGGCTGGCGTTGATGAAGATGAGGATGAGGCGGAAGACGACGAGGATGAGATGGCTGAGCTTGGCGGCGAGATGCATCCCGATGACTTGGATGTTCTTCCGGTCGGTGCGGAAACGGACGACCGTCGACATCGACAACTCGATCGCCAGCGTGAGCTGGAGGCTAGCATGGATGCTGAGAAGCAGGCACAAATGCTTAAGGAACGCTATGGACGGAACCGTGCTGCTGCCGCGGACGCGGTAGTCGTCCCCAAACGGTTGCTTCTTCCTAGTGTCGAGGATCCGAGTATCTGGGGCGTTCGTTGCAAGGCTGGAAAGGAGCGGGAGGTGGTGTTTGCGATCCAAAAGCGTATCGAAGAGCGGCCTCCGGGATCTCGGAATCCGATTAAGATCATCTCGGCATTCGAGCGTGGCGGAGCCATGAGCGGTTACATTTACGTCGAAGCCCGCAGGCAGGCGGATGTATTGGAGGCTTTGCAGGATATGTCCAATGTCTACCCGCGGTCCAAGGTCATCCTCGTCCCGGTAAGAGAGATGCCGGACCTCCTTCGGGTTCAGAAATCGGAGGAGTTGATGCCGGGTGGATGGGTCCGCATCAAGCGTGGCAGGTACCAGGGCGATCTGGCTCAAATCGAAGAGGTGGAAACGAACGGTCTTGCTGTGACGGTTCGCCTGGTGCCCCGACTTGATTATGGGTTGAATGAGGACACTAGTGCGCCTGTGGTCGACTCCAAGCGCAAGCGTCCTGGAATGAATCCCGCTGTTGCTCGGCCTCCGCAACGTCTCTTCAGTGAATCTGAAGCCAAAAAGAAGCATGCCAAGTATCTATCCGCGACATCTAGCCTAGGTGGCAAGTCGTGGAACTACATGGGCGACACCTATTTCGAGGGTTTCCTGATCAAGGATATGAAGGTCCAACATCTGATTACAAAGAATGTCAACCCCCGGCTTGAAGAGGTTACCATGTTTGCTCGAGGCTCGGAGGACGGCACGTCGAACCTTGACCTCGCCTCACTCGCGGAGACTCTCAAAAACCAGACCGCGGAGGATTCATATCTGCCTGGTGATCCAGTGGAAGTTTTCCGCGGTGAACAACAGGGCTTGATTGGGCGCACAAGCTCTACTCGAGGAGATATTGTCACGGTACAGGTTACTGAAGGTGATCTTGCTGGGCAGTTAATCGATGCTCCCGTTAAAACCCTCCGCAAGCGCTTCCGTGAAGGTGACCACGTCAAGGTTATCGGCGGTAGCAGATATCAGGATGAGTTGGGTATGGTGGTCCAGGTAAAAGATGACACTGTCACCCTTCTCAGTGATATGAGCATGCAAGAAATCACTGTCTTCAGCAAGGACCTTCGACTTTCTGCTGAGACTGGTGTTGATGGAAAGCTCGGCATGTTCGACGTTCACGATCTCGTCCAGCTTGAGTAAGTCTCTCTAGACCCTTACATGCGGTGTTGGTGCCATTTTCTAACGAGTTTATAGCGCTTCTACTGTCGCTTGTATTGTCAAGGTGGATCGCGAATCCTTAAAGGTATTAGACCAGAACGGTTCTATTCGTACTGTTCTTCCAACCCAGGTCACCAACAAGATCACTCCCCGTCGGGACGCCGTTGCTACTGATCGCAACGGCGCCGAGATCCGACACGGCGACACTGTTCGCGAGGTATATGGAGAACAGAGGAGTGGTGTGATCCTTCACATCCATCGTTCGTTCCTATTCCTCCACAACAAGGCTCAGGCCGAAAACTCCGGCATTATCGTCGTGCGGACTACCAATGTCGTTACCGTGTCTGCGAAGGGAGGCAGATCGACTGGTCCTGACCTGACCAAGATGAACCCTGCTCTCATGCGGAACGGCATGCCTGGTGCTGGTGGTATGGGACCCCCCAAGACCTTCGGGCGCGATCGCATGATAGGGAAGACAGTCATGGTGAGGAAGGGACCCTTTAAAGGTCTCGTTGGTATTGTCAAGGACTCAAGCGACGCACAAGCACGTGTGGAGCTTCACTCGAAGAACAAGCTGGTGTCGATTCCGAAGGAGATTTTGGTCGTCAAAGACCCAGTTAGTGGAGCGACAGTGGATTCAAGCCGCGGAAAGGGTGGATCGCGCGTCCCCTACGGTGCTTCCTCCGGGGCTGCTTCATCTGGATGGCAAGGGGGCCGTACTCCAATGGCTGCTTCTGGTTCGAGAACTCCGGCATGGGGCATGTCATCTTCAGCTCGCAGTAAGTCGCCTTGGGCGTCATGCTTCCCTAGTATCAGTCAGTTTACTAAGACATATTTTAGCACCTGCCTGGGCCGGAATGGGCGGCGCTCGCACACCCGCCTGGAAAATGGACGGATCACGCACGTCGAACCCCTACGACGGAAACCGCACCGCATATGGCGGCTTTGCATCAGGTTCAAGGACACCAGCCTGGAACGCTGGCGCTCGAACGCCGTACGATTCTGGCGCAGGATCCAGCGGCTTCGACGCCTTTGCGGCGGGCTCCCGAACTCCAGCATGGCATGCGTCCGGCGGCCGTACTCCAGCTTGGTCCGCGGGTGCCACCGCAAGTAACGGCAGCAAGGACCCCGGCGACTACGATGCCCCGACCCCTGGCGGGAACTACTCGGCGCCCACCCCTGGCGCATACGCCAGTGCCCCAACTCCTGGTATGTCGGCGCCCACACCGGGAGCCTGGCCTGACAGTGCCCCGACTCCCGGAGCATTCAACGCGCCCACGCCCGGTGGACCGTCGAAGCGCGCGTACGACGCCCCGACCCCCGCCGCCTGGGATAGTGGCAGTCGGCCCTACGATGCGCCTACCCCGGCAATGGGCGGTGCTGCAGCTACGCCAGGCGCGGGGTACGGCGACGGCGATGACGGTGGACCACGCTACGAAGAAGGAACGCCTAGTCCCTAGTGCGCATGAGTCCAACCTTGTATTGGTATAAAACAATTGGTAGAGGGAAATGGGATGCAAAATTTCCGGCGTACCGATGACTTTCTGATTTTCTTCTCCAGACGTGTTTATCATATCCTTCTTCGTCTCGTCTTTGTCTCGTATAAGAATACAGAAATGGTTAATTGGTGTGGCTAGTGTTCTTTGGATGTATTATTTGCATTATGCGTGGCAATTCGAGAAGAGCGTGAATTCTTTAATGGACTACATCTAGATACCGATGTTAAGTCTGTCGCGGTAGCGTAATGACCACTCAGCGAAATGTCCCCTCCAGAGAAAGGAGACAGGGTAATCAATAGCATGGAGGCATATATTCAAAGGCTGGAAATATATGTCGAATCAAGCTAAAGGTCGGTTATCATAATATAGCACATGAGAAAGGAGATGGACATCAACGAAACCAATGCCTCCCATGCCGGTAATCATGCCCCAAACAGAAGAAACTAAAATCAAGGCCATAACGCATCAAACATTTCACCGTCTTCCTCTTCATAAACCGAGCTCGACGATAATTAGTGCCATGTATTAAAACATTCAAGAAGAAAAAATTGTGGGAATCCCCTTGGCGATCTTTCGCCAATATAGTATTTTCACCATTTCTCGGCTGCAGCGCGACCGCTGGGAGATATCGCCTTTCGTTTCCCGTGTCCGTGAAAGATGAGTATATTACAATTGTAGTCTAATGGTAGAACCGGTAGCAGGGTGGGAATCATTGTATGTGAAAGGAAAAAGCGCAAAAGAGGACATGGAATGGAAGAAGCCTGGGCAGATCACTTGGGCACAGCTCGTGCTAATACACGAACGTTGTCCACGAACCCTTTGATCAAGTCCTCGTACTGGTTCTTGGGGTCACCGGACATGGCAAGCTTCCCCTGGCGGCGGATCTCGGCGGCGGAGACTTCGATTTCGAGTTCGTGTTCGAAATCGCCTTTGGTTGGCGGCTGTGTGAATCCATTAGTTGAATGTTCCTTGTCGATTGGGCCATCTCTAACTCACCTCCGACTTGGCTACTTGCGTAAGATCGATCTGGTAGGCCAAATGCCGGTAGCTCATCCGATCTTTGTTTCGATCTCCACCGCGACCGCGACTGGCGTCGACCACTGGTAGATGGCTGACATCCCCGTCGTAGCTGATTTCCAGATTCACGCTGAGGCGCCAATCTACCGTGGTACTTGGGCTGTAGATATCGAGATCTGCAATCCGGCACTTCACGATCTTGGCGAGGACTTCACCTGTTCGCTGGTCGACAGTAACACGAACTTTCGGCTTGTGACGAGGGTTGAGATTTTGCCGGATGATAGGCGGGAGTTCAGACGGGGCAACCTCGTAGAATGTATCCCGCTCCTTCTTATGCGCGTACGACAGGGGAATGCGTCCAGGGGCAGCATGCGGCATGGAAGCCTTGACAGCTTCATTCAGGAAGTTGTTCATGACGCGATGTTGAGCCTTGCTACCTGTTAGCTGTAATTCTGTCAGCCGACGAAAAAAGGGGTTCGTACCAATGACATGCGGCTCTCGAAAGCTGTTCGGAGGCGGGTATTTTCCTTATTTATAATGGTCTCCGTTAACACCGGAAGTTGGAGTCGGTCGCCTCGGTCCATGTCGATGATTTGGCCCAGTTTAGCTTCCACCTCGATGATCGGTCCCTGACCAGCGGCTGCTGTGCCTGCAGGAGCCGCCGCGGCATCGTTTCTGAGGACCACATGCTGAAACAGGAAATCGCACACCACTTTCGTCAGTTCTTCGTGCGGTATATATCCCGTGATGGAAGGCTCCCACGGCCCCAAGCTCCCAGTCTGGGAAGGCTGGGGGACTGTCTGGGTGGCCGGTGGCCCATTAGCTGGAGAACCTTCGACCTTGGCCTTGATGGGATGATCCGTGGCGGATGGTTGGGATGAGATCCGTCGCTGTCGCAGGGCCCAGGGGTTTTGAGCAGAGTGTCTCGCGTGCTTCGGGATAGGCGCAATTGGATTCGGAATCAATGGACACCGGCCCTTTGTGCGCTCCATCCTTCTCGCATATACTGGTGGTTCGTTGTATCGACGGCGTTTCACTCGGGGTACGCTGGGGCTTGAATTCATCTTCACATCTTGCGGTCCTTTCGACGCCACCGAATGGGCTTGGTCTGCGGGAGGGGTCTCTGTCGACATGGAGCCCCGAGGGGGTGGTGAACTATCCATTGGGATCGTAGAATGCGCGGGATGGGAGTCCAAGCCACTCGACCGCCGTTCCTTCACATCCGCGCCGTTCTCCACGTGGTTTAATTGACGCTGGTGTCGTTGATCGAGATGTCCCACCGCGCTTTCCTGTCGAGAGCCTGGGGGAAAAGCAGTCTTAGGACTCACACTGTCCTCCATTTCCCTTCTGTCTGCACCCACGGACTGAAGTCGCGAGATTTGGTCGGGCCTTGACTCCGGGCGCGCGACGCGGTGGACGGAGGTCGGGGACATATGGACCGGAGCATCCGATCCCACCCATGGGCTCGAAGCTCGGTTAGACAGGGAATCATGGCCAGATGAGTGGGGTCGCGCGGAAGACGGAGGGGTATTGCGTGAATACGAAGGTGCAACCGAGCCACGAGGTGTGCCTGGCATCGACGACTGCGCGGGAGGGGAGAAATGCTGCGACGGATAAGAGAGTGGAGCTGCAGCCGTGGGGCTATCCCTGGGATGGAATGAGTGGGAGGAGGACGAATAGGGGGTCGTCACAGACTGTAAGGAGTGCGAGCGTTGTTGCGCGTATGGCGACTGTTGTTGCGGCGGTGGCTGCGATGCGGAATTGTAGGGGGCAGGACCCCCAAACGAATCTCGCGTCGCAGAGGCGCCATAGGGGGGAGGGGGAGGAAGCGGTGCCGGAGGACTCGGGCCTCGTTGGGATTGCGCGCTGGGACCGAAGGTGGATGCGGATGGCGGTTGGTACTGATATGGGGATTGCAGGGAGCCGTATGAAGACGAACGGTCTGGTGTAGCATGCGGTCGCTGCAGTGGTGGCGGCTGAGGAGGATATCCGGGCGCCGGATAGGAGGACGAAGAAGAAGAAGCGTGTTGGTCGCGAGAAGGATGGGTAGCCGAGTCCGAAGGGTTGCGCGACGGTTGCGACGAGGATTGATGCGAAGGAGGCGACGGGGCCGAGGTGGCCGCCGCATCACTGTTCATGATCGTGCGCAAATCCATGATGAAGCAATGTCGCCGGTCGATGAGTCAAGGGAGGTATCTAGAACGAACGAATCTGGTTGTTCTCCCGAGGGGGGGCAGGTAGGTCGATAGCTAGGTAGGTAGCTATCGAAAGCGGCCCCCTTCCACGACAGCGCCGGCCCGAGATTGCGAGCTGAAATTTCGAAGACGGAGGAAAGAGACGGAAGAGGCGGTTAGAACATGGAGGGAGAATTGTAACGAAGGGTGAAAGAAGGGCGACGGCGAGAGGGGGGAGGGATAAGGGGGAGGACACGTAGAGGAGTGGAAAGGAAAGAAAGGAAGAGAGAGAAAGAAGAAAGAAAAGCGAAAACGACGACGAAAGTCAAGTCGGCAGGACGCGCTTCTGATTGGCCCGGGGGGAGGGAGTTGTATAGGGCTTAGTGGTTCTTCAGAGCTGCTCTTGCAGATATAATAGAGACAGAGAGAGAGAGAGAGAGATGTAAAGAGAGGAGTAATTGTATCTATCGAATATTGTATGCATGGCTTCTTTATCTGGATCGCGTGGTGGACTCGGTGCGCAGAATGCTTGTACTTCGCAAGTACCTTTGCACGTCAGCATGCAGGGACTATACATCCCCGTGACTTGACCACTCTCTATAACATCATTCTCTCCATCTCCACCTCCACTCTTTCTTTCTCTACATGAATTCCTCTATCAAACGTCTACTGAGTAACTAGAACACCATCTCTCTATCCCAAGTGGCTCCTATCCGACTTGCGTCAACCCGGCGTGGGTCGGACAAGATTCGCCTTTTTAATAAGCTGGATCGGCGACTTGATTCCGCCATTTGTCCTCTCCATCTTACCCGTTTCATCTTCTCCGTCTGTCTTCTCCGTCTCCTCTTCTCGTCTTCTCTTCTTCTCGTCTCTCTTTCTTCCGCCTTCTTCCTCTTCTTGCGCTTCAGGTACATCCATCGTCCTTTGATCTGGAACCTTCTAATCAACCGATCTCGCAGCATGTTCCCTCCTTTCGCTGGAATACACCGTTAATTCCGACAACCTCCCAGTCTCCCACCTGGCCATATCAGGCATATGGATTTTACTCTCCATTCAACCAGGCGCTTGTCAGTATCGAGATTAATTTCGACCAACAAACCATCCCTCCTGAACCCACACCACTGAAGAATCCTTCTCGCGCGGAACCGCCTGGATCTCCGCGTTACGCAATCTCTCATCGATCCTTGTCGAACAATTGCGCCTCGTTTCCTTCACGCAGCTGTCAACCATGTCGCTCACCGACAAGGATTATCCTTCGTCGCCCGCCATTCACAATATCCCGCTGAATGATCTGGAAGCTGGCTCCGGTCGCATCAGCACGGCGTCGTCGAAATGGTCGAACTTGTCCGATTTCTCCCCGTCCCACCTCCTGTCGGACCCCTCACACCTCTCTGCGAGCATAGGACACTTGTCGGAAAATTGGCAGGATTATGCGCACGCGCTGTCGCGGAGACTGTTGATAGCGCTCACTCCAAGCTATCTGCAACATTGGGTCGGCGGACAGCCGCCGGAACCCACCAAACTTCATGCCATCGCAGCGCTGGACGGCTTGCGAGGTTGGGCCTGTCTGCTCGTCTTCAATTTCCATTTCCTCTTCACATACACGTGGAAAGTCGCGATCGGCTGGGGGTTCAACGGTGAAAACTTCAGCGTCCTCCAACTCCCCATCATCCATATGCTGGTCTCCGGTCATATCATGGTTGCCATCTTCTTCGTGATCTCCGGCTATGTCCTCTCCTACAAGCCCCTCAAGACCATTCGCAGCCGGTCATTCGACCAGACCTTCACCACCCTGGCCTCTTCAACCTTCCGCCGCGGCCTGCGCCTGTACATCCCGTCCATTGTCGGCATTGCCATGGTGTTCATCGCCGTGCGACTGGGCGTGTACAACTACTCGCACAAGGTCCTCAACGCGGGCCACACCATCGTCGGCACCAATGAACAACACCCGCCCATCATGAAGTCCTTCTTCAAACAGTTCTGGGACTGGTACTACACTGTCGTCCGGCTCATGAACCCCTGGGACTGGGCCCTCTACTACAACAACTACAACCCCCACCTCTGGACTATCCCCGTGGAATTCCGCTGCTCCATCGTGCTCTTCCTCACCATCCTCGCAACGTCGCGCGTCCGCACCGGCATCCGCCTCGCCCTTGTCAGCACCCTCGTCTGGTTCTGCATGCGCTGGGGCCGCTGGGACGTGGTTCTCTTCCTGTCCGGGATGCTCATGGCCGAGGCCGACCTGATCAACGGCACATGGGAGCGCCCACCCGCCGCGGCCGAAGAGAAGCCTTGGATCCCGCGCTACCCATCCAAGCACCAGATCTTCCGTTTCTCCAGCCGCAGGTTCTGGATCGGCCTCTTCGTCCTCGGCCTGTACCTGGGCTCCGCCCCCAACGTCGGCTACAAGTGGACTCCCTTCTACATGTGGACCTGGAAGGTCACGCCCAAGACCTACCTGGAGCCGCACCGCTTCCCGCAGACGCTCGGCGCCGTGGCAATCGTCTACAGCATCAACCACTCGCGCGACATCCAGCGGCTGTTCGTGAACCCGCTCTCCCAGTATCTCGGCAAAATCTCCTTTGCCTTCTACATCGTCCACGGCCCTATCCTCCACTCGCTCGGGTACTCGCTCATGCCCAACATCTGGCGCATCACCGGCAAGCAAACCGACTTCCAGTACTGTCTGGGCTTTTTCATCGGATGGGCCATCTGTCTGCCGTTGTCTCTCTGGGCTGGAGATATCTTCTGGCGCGCCGTCGATATCCCCAGCGTCAAGTTTGCGCGATGGCTCGAAGACAAAGTCATTGTCAAGACGATGGGCCCGGCCAACCGGGATTCTATTTCTAACCAACGCCAGCAATGAGAAATTTGTACAGCTACAGTCCTTTCTAACTCTATCTTCTGTCCTGGTGCGGATACCTTGTTGGAGAGTTCTTTTTGATTAGCGGGCGCATTCGGGTTGTCTTTTTTTTTGGATGGAGCTTAGTCTCTTTTCGCTTCTTGCTTCTGTTGCTTCTCGGCTTGTGTCATCTTTCTATACCATCTTTACCTGGGGCAGGATCCAGCCATAGACTTCTCATTTCTAGAAAAGGAGTCCCGAATATGTGGATTCTTACGAATAATCAAACGCAGGCGACTATTCAATGGCTCGTTCATTCATTCGTTCACTCGTACCAGAGCATAGTGTACCAAACCACCGACCCAGCCCCGGACGACATCAAGCCGCCCACAAAGCACCAAGTCTCAGATAACACGCAGATAAGGAGGTATATAAGCCAGAAATGGAAAAAGAAACACAAAAATAGCGAGCAAAAAAGACAAGAGCAGACGTATCTAAGATGCATATCTTCTTTTAGTTGTCTCGGTCAGCAAGAAATCGTTCATAATGCAACTCCCCAGATGCCGCGTCCACCGCACACGCCCAGCCAGTCCCGCGGGTGTCCAGAGGCAGTAGAGCCACCTTGAGGCGACCAGCTGATGTTCGACACCTCGTAGTCATTCTGCCAGGCGGCTGCGGGACCGCGCTCGGAGGTGGTGGACGGGGCTCCGGGGTTGTGAACCACCGGTGGCACGGGCACGGCGTTGTGCTGGTTGATCAGGTCCCAGAGCAGGACAAAACAGTCGTCCGCGCCGGATGCGAGAACACCACGACGGTTGGGCGACCATTCGACGCAGTTGATCGAGGAGGAGTGGCCTTTTAGCTCCAGAAGGGCCTGTCCAGGCTGTCGAACGTCGAGCACACGGACGATGTTGGAGTCTTGAGAGAACGTGGCCAGGAGATGGGCGTCATGTGGCGAGGCTTGGCCGGGGATGAGTATAGGACGTGACAGACAATACGGCGAGATGACTTACCTGCGATCCGCAACAATGGCGGAGGCCATGCCGTTGATGGGGCTGAAGGACTGCCATTTCCCGGGCTCATCACTGCAATTGACACTAGATTAGCGGGGTCGGCTGAGGTGGGGATCCGGGGATCGTACGTTTCTCATTCTTTTCCGTAGGTTCGTAGATGATCGTGCTATGTTCCAGACTCCGAAGGTCAAACATGCGCACACTGCCGTCGGCACCGCAACTGACAAAGACATCGACGCTGTTGGCGCAGAATCGGACATCATATACTTCCTTGTCGTGGGCAATCAACTGCGTTTTTGCCGTCAGGGTCGGAATATCCCAAATTGTACAGGTGGTGTCGATGCTGGACGTGATGATCAGACTGGGTGAAATGGTGTTCCAGTCAAGAGACGTGATGGGCGCCGTATGTTCCGGGGATTTGGAATTCGAGAGCAAGGCCAGCGGAGCCAGTTTCGGCGTCGGCGCCTCTCTCTGGTTCGTCGGTCGCGTGATTGAGTTGGAAGCCGACAGAGCGGATTGTGCCGGCAGGGACCAGAGGCGCAAATGGTCGCCCGACGTCGCCAGGAGATCGGTAGATGCTTTTTGGCTCGATGGCGGCTCCCACACGATTCGCGTGACCGGATACGAATGGTTGGCTTCGGCGCACTTCACAAAGTCCAGCTTGATATCCCCAGCAACCGCATCGGGCGTGTCGGGGTCCGGTTGCGTCCAGTTGGTGTCAATGATGTGAATCTGGGGTACGTTAGCCAGGATCAAACCACCCTCGAGAAGGGTATACTATACGTAGTTATGATTGTCCTCCAGATAGCTACCCAGGGCGATTTTCCCGCCTGAGCCAGAACCTCCGGAGACGGGCCATTTGCACCAATCTACCGCATAAATGGGCCACGGAGCGATGTAATTGCTGTTAGTCGGTACCGGGTTGTCCCCATTGGGTTGCGGCAGCCCAGGATTCATCATGGCGTCGCCCAGGAGGTCACCCGAAGGCCGAATATCGGCTAGCCCCAAAGGGGAGTACTTTGCGCCCTGTGGAGTATGCGGTTGGAACCCTGCACCAGGCGAGGCTCCGTATCTCGTGGTCTCCGATGCACCGGGCTTGAACTTTGGAGGCTCGAACCCCGCGGGGCTGGACCGAGAGTGTCCGTGAGCGTTGGCCATGGCGGAACGCGGGGTCGTCGGAGGCTGTTGCGGAGGCTGTGATTGTTGCGCCGATTGCTGTTGTTGCGCCATTTGTGTGGATAGCTGAGGCAGAGTCGGAAGTACCGATGGGGCGGTGTTCACCGAGACAGCTGGGGGTCGATTCGCATTCCCGGGTTGCAGCGCTCCAGGGAGAGCTCCGCCCGCATTGCTGTTGCCAAACTGATTCGGCTGCGAGCTGGACGGATGGACGTTGATTGAAGGGACATGGTTATCCGCAGAGGCGGCAAATTCGTGAGACATGGACTGTCGCTGCAGGTTCGCGGCCCCCGTGGGGATGTGAAGCTCCTCTGGTTGACGGCCGTAGGTGGTCGCCCGACGGGAATCGTAGGGCTGATTCGGGTTCGACATGGCCTCGAAACCGGTTTGAAGCGACTGGAACTAGTCCAAGAGGAATTCCAATTCTAGTTGGCCGCTGCGGAATGGGATTGTAAGGGAGGACGATGCTGTGGAGGGACGAAGTCCTACAGGGCGGAGAGAAGGAGGCAAGCTAGAAGCTCCGACTGCACCAACGATAAGTGCAGTCAGGGTCGTACCAGAGCGAACGACGACAAGAGGAGTTTACCAGAACATTGTGAAAAGGAGCGAGAGGGGCAGTCAGGGGAGAAGAACGGTGAAGGAGAAGGAGAAAGAGAAGAAAGCCAAAGCGTATTGTCATCGTCGTTGATTGTCGCTCTCGCATGTCTCGGTGGCTGAGTCAGCGGGATGGGCGGGGAATGGTAGAATGCGGTAATCAACTTCATCGATGTTCTGCCTGTACTACTTCTCTTCCACTTTTCTTCCTCTTCTTTCTCTCTTCTTCTCTACTCTTTCTGTTGAATCGTCTGGCTCGCTCTTGGTTTTCCTCAATTTCCCCCCCTTCCGTTCATTCCCTACCAACCGCCAGCATGCCCCCTTCGCCAGATCGCATGGCTCAGACCTCGGCTCTATTGTTACTGCCTCCCCCGCCATCCGCATCATTCCCACAGTTTAAAGATGCGTATGAGCCCATTCTCTCGGCGGTCTACTCCAAACTCGCTCAATCTCTTGACGGACTGAACCAATCCGCGATCCTGGATATTGCTCTCTCTTTGCCGGGCTTGTTGTCTCCCGAATGTCAACCTCGGGCTCGTATGTATGGAAGCCTCCGCCGGTTCCTTGCAAACATCTATAGGCTTATCGGCATCGTCTCGGTGGAACGAAACATCGAGCTGGGTGGCCCCGGTGGAGTCGATGCCCGAGTAATCTTTCTGGATTTCGACACCGTGATCCATCCCTCTCAGGCCACGATCCCCGTTTCACAGACCGGCCCCATCTTGGATCTGGAGACGCTCGCGCGCTCGGCACGTCTGTGGGATGCCGTCTATTACCCGGACAATGCAGTAGGTCAAACGCTGGCCACAGCGTTCAGTAGAATTTATTGCCAGGCCAAGGATCCCAATGCCGGGGCTGTGGAGGCCATTTCCGGAGTTCCCAATTGGACGACCGCAGAATCGCTCATTGTCCCCGGGGACGCAGCGAAGGCCGTGGCCCATTACTCCATCGCCGTAGGAGGCACATTTGATCATTTCCACATTGGCCACAAGCAGCTCCTCACCGCTACCGCCCTGGCGTTGGACCCTGTGCAGGACAGCACCTCCGGCAGAGGGGGTTTGCTCACGATTGGCGTGTCTGGCGATGAACTACTCGTGAATAAGAAGTACGCCGAGTTCCTGGAGAGCTGGGAGGAACGCTGTGCGAGTTCGGCATCCTTCTTGATGGCTATTATGGATTTCTGCCCCCCGGCGAGTAGCGCCCCCCGGATCGAACAGATCTCCCAGCCGGGTCCCAATGGGAAGTACACCCTGATGGAGATTCGACGTGGGTTGACGTTGAAGCTGGTCCAAATCTCAGACCCATTCGGACCAACCATCACGGATGAAAGCATCAGCGCGCTGGTGGTGTCCCAAGAAACGAGTTCTGGCGGCGCTGCGGTCAATCGGGAGCGGGCAAAGAAGGGCTGGAAAGGTCTGGAAGTGTTTGAAGTCGACATCCTGCATTCAGGGGAGGTTCCCTCGGATGATGTCGATGGCTTTGCGTCCAAGATCAGCAGTACGGATCTCCGACGACGACGGATGGAGCTGGCGCAGAGATGACCCGGAGGAGGATGCATGCACAGCAAAACACATCACAGAGGCTCGTGAGCGATGTAAATTACTTGACGGTTGTATATATGCCGCATACCAATCATTCCGGACAGGGCTCGCCCCCGGCAGTCTTCCTGAAACGACCATCGCTCGGTTTGCGACGACGACTGGCGCTTAAGCGCCGGCTGATCGACCCCCAATAACCACGGCCAACACAGCTCCCTCCACTCCTTCTCCCCCCTCCATCGTGTCTCCCCAACCACCAATCCGTGCTGGCAATGGCCGTCTTGCTGCAGAACCGTCGGGGATACTCGCATGCCCGTTCGGTCATGTGATCCGCATCGCGTTCGAGGGGATCGTGGCCCTTCGGCATCGACTGGTCACCGACGTCTCTATCTCCAAGCGCTCTATGTATCAAGTTCGTCAACATGGGAGGATCTGTCACTTCCCTCGTTTCTTTTCTTTTTCTCCGCTGCTAGAATTTTGTTTTCCGTTCTTTTCGTCTGCTTACTATTTATTCGCGTCGTTTCCTTCTTCCCCCGTCGGGTCCGCATCCAAATCTCTATCCTACTTGCATGTCCATGTTGTCGCGGGTGGACAGACCAGCCGAGCTCACGGCTACCTCATTGACGGATGACAATGGACAGACCACGGCAACTCGACGACCTCGCCGACGAATTGATTAGTGATATTCTCTCGTTTCTGCTTCTGAGCTGCGAGCATCCCTCCAGCGACGCCTCTCCGATCAGCTTCCACCAGGATGCAGCGGTCCCATCGAATGGCATCATCATCTCCCCCACCACCGCCTACGCATACGGCGAGCGCTCCGAGCTGGATCGATTCCGTCTCGTCTGTCGCCGCTTCATGCGCATTGCCACGCCCCGGAAGTTCCCCCGTTTCGTCCTCCGCTTCTCCCTTGACGGCTTTCAACGCCTGGAGGAGCTCCTGCACATGCAGCTGGCTTGTCATGTGAGATACTTCACGTACATGGTGCGACCCTTCTATCAAGGAAGCGGTACCGACTCTGCAAGACCTGCCCATCCCGCAACAGGACGCGAGCTTGCTGACACCCCCCACGCGCAGGCTGGCCCGATGTCCTTGCCGATGACCACCTCCCCGCAGCCTCCATCCACCGGCGCCGTCTGCACGACCAGACTGCCATCGTCGACTGCAACCAGGACCTGACACTCCTGCGCCGCGCACTCGCCGCCTTCTCCTCCCTCCAACAGATCAAACTCCTCCGGCTGCAGGACGCCGCCGACGAACGCCTCCTCGACCATTTCCGCCAGTGCGAGCCCCGCGAGCCATCCGCCCCCCGCCTCGACTGGGACTGCGCCTGCACGCGCGCCGTCTCCAGCCTAGCCATCGCCCTGCTCGAATCCCCTTGCACGGCCGTGCGCTTTGTCGGCCCGCAGATCAGCCCGGATGCCGCCCTGCACCTCCTCCACACGCCCACACCCACCCTCGCCGCACTGGCTCCGCGCCTCACCAGCCTCGAGGTCACCTTCCACGCCGCCGCTCCCAAGCACATCCCCTCCAAGATCCATGCCCTCTCCCCCGTCTTCCATGACTTCTTCCTCGCCGCCACCAACCTCGCCGCCATCCACCTCGGCTTCCCGGCCACCCGCCCGCTCGCCCTGCCGCTGGACCGCGTCTTCCACCGCGTGCAGTGGAAGCGGCTCCGCGCCCTGAGCCTGCAGGGTTGGCGACTCGGCGCCGACGAGATCATCGCCTTGGTGCGCCGCCACCGCCGTCCACTGCGCGATCTCCGCCTGACCAGCATCTTCCTCGACGCCGGCCGCTGGCGCGATGTGCTGGCTGTGATGCATGACGAAATGGACCACCTCGACCGCGTCGACCTGCGCGATATCAACTACGCCGCATATTTGGACGCCCTGGACTTCCCACACGGTCATGCGCACTCACAGGCCCAGGCGCACGCGCCTCCCCCGCCCGGCATCGTCCTCGACATCCCGCAGCCTGCCCTCTTTGCTTCTTCCTCCTCTTCTTCTTCTTCGTCATCGTCGCCGTCGCCGTCATCTGGCACGGCGCAGTCGCACGGAAACAGGCGTCCTTCGCTGACGCCTGCCACGCGGGACCGTCTTCGGTCCTTGACGGCGGACGAGCTCGGGGATAACGGGGTGAGCGTGGGATGCGGACAGAATGCGCTGTGGGAGGCGTGGGTGCTGGCTAGTCCGCGGGATGTGGTTCGTCGACGGTTCTAGTTCTGTAGATAGTGGGAGGATAGCGTTGACTTTGCTCTTTGTGTTGGAAATAGTTTATGCAATGTACTTGTCATCACGTTCCGTGGCATGAATATACAAGGCTGTTCAGCGTCTTTCATATACATAAATATATGGATCTATATAATCGAAACATGCCCTGAATCATCACCTGAACAAATGGGGAGACGTCACTCAACTCTCAACCAATATACAACGGGTAAAGGCTACATGGGATTGAAGAATATGTGAAAACCAAAATCACAAAGAGAAAACATGATCATGCCCCTGGGGCCGGCACGCCCTGCTCTACAGGAACAGGTACCGGGCCTCCTGTGCTGGCCGGTTTGGTGTTGCGCTCGCGCAAACGCCGACCCTCCATCAGCCCGCGCAGACCACGCTTCTGGAGACCGATGACGCTGCTGAGGTCTCCCGTCCAAATCTCGCGTTCGGGACGGATTTCGGCGTCGGTGTCGCGGCGGCGGTGGTGATGGCCCGATGCGGACCGCACCTCATCCGGGCCGGGCGAGTGGTCGAAGCTGGTGTTGGTGGACGCGGAGGTGGATGTGCTGGCATTACTGATGGAGTCTTCGCGGTCGCGGTCGCCCGTGGCGCTGCGATGTCGGCGGGTAAAGATGTTGGTGTTAATGCGGAGGGGAATACCGCGCGACCCCGTGGCACTGCTCGCGACGGACTGTGCCGCAGAGGCGGTGCCGTGCTCGGTATCGGACGAGTCTGACGTGAGGTGGCTGCGTGACGTCGTGTCGGTGCCAGTCCGGGAGTCGTGCGAGTGCACGCCGTTCAGGGCTTCCAAAGTACCGCCGGGGCCGCTGGTGAAGCCCGTGCCCCGGCCGCCGCCGGCAGCCATTGCCGCAGCGTTGAAGACAGCGGCCGCATTCCTGCCGTCGAGCAGTTGGTGGAGCCTCTCGACGGTGGCTTCCAAGAGCCCGTCGATCTGGTAGGGACGCGCGAGTTGGAGGAGAGAGCAGAGAATCTGGGGAGTGCAGAGCGAGGATCCCGCAGGCGGGAGAGAGGAGGTATAAAAGTAGTAGACGAGGACTTGTAGGGTGAGGAACGTGTGGGGGAGATAGAGAACACGGGGGCGAGAGGTTGGGGGTAAACTATGCGCAGAGGGTATCTCAAGATTCGCTAACAAGGATTTGGAAGAGGCGGAATTATTGCTGACAAGAGTGGTGGCGTTAGAGTAGCTGCTGTTCTGTCCGATCGAAGGGGTGATCGTGATGCTCGAGTTGCGGTTCGGATACATCTGGACGGCTGGCCGGAGGGTCGCCGAGTCCGAGAGGCCACTGTCAGAAGACTCTCGGAGGAGCTGGATGAAGTAGGGGCCCCATCGTCGCGACAAAATCCGGGAGTTGACGGGGATCCGCTCTCCCCCGACGGCCTGCAGCTCCATGTCTGCCATTTCAGGGAGAGTCTGGGCGAGTTTCCCCAATTCGTCGGAGGCAGCAGAGAACGGTCGTCCGCCTGATGTCAACTGGGTTAACTTGTGCTGGAGCGATGCAGGGACGGCTGGAGCACTGTAGGACACATATCCGGACGTTGGCGAGGTTCGGCAAGGATTGTTGTAGAGCCCGTACGCCTCCAGCTCGACCAAACAGACGTGGGAGAAGTTGAGTCGACGATGGTTGTAGTCATCGACCAGACTGCGCTTCCGGTGACCCAGGATCACAAATGTGTTTCTTCTCGGCCATAAGACACCACGATTCCAGCTACCGTGGCCAAAGACGGAGCCACCAGCATCGATCCGACCCCAGGTGAGGGTCTTCAGATCCAGCGCCCACAGCGCATACTCTTGCTTTGAAGATGTCAGATAAGTGCCGCTTACCACAAAATGGCCATTGATGACGCCGCCGTTGGGGAATCGCAAGCCCGGGGGCGATGTCGCGTTTTGCATAGGCTTTTCAACCAGACGGCCATCTGGCAAGCGCACTTGAAGTTCCAACTTGACATCCAGGAAGTTGTAGTTGGAATAGATTAGCATAGGGCATCCCTCGCCCTCACCTTCGTCGGCGGGCTCGTGAGCTTCCTGATCGGGAGAAGCCGATCCAATATCCGAGACTTTCATCCCAACCAACGGTGCAACTACGCTGCGGTAAGCACCGCAGCTCCGTCCCAACATACTTGTGTTGGTCCATTTCAGACTGCGCAAATTAAACACGCTGATCTGTTCAATGTAATGGTTCGAGCTGTCCTGTCCGCCGACCACCACCATTTCGGCGCCCCCAAATCCATCAATATCCACGCCGATAGAGCCTTGGTGCGGGTTCGCCGAAGCCGGGTTGTTGTGGATCGCAGAGCGCGGCGCCGTGGCAGAGGTGAAGCAAGCGCTGGAAGGGAGGATTGTGGCGCAGTGAGCATACCGTCCCTGGGGCGACTCTGCCGCGGGAACTCGGGTCCAGGTGCGCGAAGGAACATCAAAAATATGGATATCCGACATAACGACCACTTCCGGTTGCGCCTCCTGACCCTGGGCCCCCGCAGTGGCCGGGTCGTTGGGTGCATTCTGAGCGGGAGACATTCCACCATAGCAGACCAGCTTGTTATCACCGAGCGCACAGACACTGTGGAAATACCGCGGACGGGGGATATCGCCGGTCGCCTCGATCTTGGTCCAGTGACGCCGAATCAAGTCCAGCTCATATAAATCTGACGTCAACTGCGGGCGGCTCTTGGATAGGATGCGTCCTCCGAACACGTAGAGCCTATCTCCCAAAATTGTCGTCGTCGCCCCGACTAGGGGGTGTGGTTCTCTCCCTGTCGTGCGGCGGACATTGCATACCAGCCCCGAGAGGTTGATAGGGCCCGACGCCGCAGGGGGGTGAGACTGACCGGCAGACGCAGAATCGTCTCTAGCTGAGTCTACATAGCCCAGGCTTGACTGACTTCTGGACATCATGTTGACGGTGAGGTCTTGCGCACGGAGATGATTGTTCCAAAAAAATTCCCGGACCGCACGCGCTCTGTTGCAAGTCCACGCGTATTCGTGCTCCGTAAATCCCAAACTCTGGGTTTCTTTGCAGGATATAATTGTTCGACAGGGTCGACCAACAGGGCGATATCTCGGGAGACCGTCTAATCAGCCGGCCACGAACGTATTCGTATCCGCACCACGAGTCAACAAAACTAATCCGGACGACTCGTAAGGGGAGAATGGGCTCGGTCTGCGAGAGTGGGACGAATAAACGAAAGGAGGCCTTTCGTTCGGTCTCTTCTTTCCCCGCCGCGAGCCAAAGTTGAGACTCGGGTAAAATGGAGAGAAGTCCCACTTGCGGGCTGATGGAAGACCGCCTAGAAGAGACGAAAAGCGGGCGACGATTCGCAGCGGGGGGTTCGACACAGACGACGAGATCGATGGAGGGCGACAACTGGGGAGGGAAGGGGAGTTGGTTGACGGAGGAGGAAGGGCGAAGGAAAGTGAGGGAAGGAGGCCGGCCAGGCGGCAGTCATCATTGGGTCTCGGCTGGTGGAGCCTCACGAAGACACATGCGAGAACAATCCGATTCTTCTGATTATGACTAGTTACGGGCTCGATCCTCGCTACGAGTATCCCTCCAGCCTGTCAACCGAATAATAATACTGTCTGCATGTCTCAGATGGTTTGTCCGAATCAGAACTGACGGTTGGTGATGGAGAGAGCCTCCTGCACCATGACATCGTCCACTGCCGCGGCAGGTTAATTAATCTCATCCTTGCAGGACATGGTTCCTGCATGACTCCACAAACGGCCCGTTGAGATTTCATATCAATCATTCAGTTAAAGAAATAGATTTGTATCATCAGGAGGTATCAAATAGTACTAGACATAAACCATCATACCCTTTTTCTTTCCACCGGGGTCATCCATCATCCACATGTCACAATTTACTCCTTCTTGAGGTTGGTGAAGCGCAGGTAACTATACACCCCGTCAGTTGGTTCTCGATCCCCTAGGGAAGGACAGTGACTTACGGCTTAACAACGCGGACCTCGCCGAACTTCTTCTGGGCATCCTCGGTGGAGACGGGGGGAGGGATGACGACGTCGTCACCCGGGAGCCAGTTGATGGGGCAGGTGACACCGTGCTTGTCGGTGGTCTGGAGAGCATCGACGACACGGAGGACCTCGGCGGTGTTACGGCCGGTGGAGGCGGGGTAGGTCATGATCAGACGGATCTTCTTGCTCGGGTCGATGATGAAAACGGAGCGGATGGTCAGAGCCATGCCCTTGGAGTCGACGTTGGTGGTGTCCTGGTAGTCGACCATGTCGTACTGGTGGGCGATCTTGCGCTCGGGGTCGGAGATGATGGGGAAGGTGAGCTTGGAGCCGGTGACCTCGTCGATGTCCTTGATCCAGGCGTGGTGAGACTCGGTGCCGTTGGCGCTCTAGCCAGGTGTTAGCAAATGCATTTCGACGATTGCATGCCAAATGGCCGTGTACTCACCAGACCGATCAGCTTGACGCCGCGAGCGGTGAACTCGGGCTCGAGCTTGGCGAAAGCACCCAACTCGGTGGTGCAAATGGGGGTGAAGTCATCCTGAGGTGTCTAGTTAGCTTGCGAGTCCCCTATTTGCGGCGCTCCGTGTTGGGGGATATCTCGAAGGCGAAAGGGAGGACTCTACGCACGGGGTGAGAGAAGAGGATAGCCCAGCTGTTACCAATGTAGTCGTGGAAGGTGATGGGACCGTTGGAGGTGTCAGCGGTGAAGTTAGGGGCGACGGAGCCGAGACGGAGGCTGTGAGGTGTTAGCTAGAGGCCAAAGATGGGGGGGAGGTGGACGTACGGAGCAGCGCGTTCCTGAGCCATTGTGAATGGAGGGGATGGGATATGTGGGAGCGGGATGAAGCAATTCAGAGAGTTGATCGAATGAGACAGGGGGGAGAAGAAGAGAAGAAGGAGGTTCGCAATGTTGGTAGATCTTTATAGAGCGACTTGTGCTGCTGCATTCAACCCCTCCGGATCCCGCAATCACGCAATCCGTCGACTGCCGGCCTGCGATTGGCGGGGCATGAGCTCATCCGGGGACCTTCTTTTCTTTTGATCGTTTAGGTAGGTTAGTCAGTCACCAGCGTTGCTCTGGGCAATCGAGGTAGTACTCCGGTCTAGGACACTCTGGGACACTCTTGGTGGGATGTTTAGTGCGGGGCTAATCCCTTTCCAGGCACCCCTGCCCCACGTTCCCAAAGGAGGGGTTTCATTCTTTGGTCTTCCATGGATTCTCATCATCAGTCCAATCGTCGAGTCCTGCTGAAGTCTCAGGAACGCCGGTGTACTTGACGAACCGCTCTAATTTCTACAGAGTATTGTATATCATTTACAACTCAGATTCTATATCATCATACCCCCTCCACCTTCATCCTCCGTCTTCGTGCCTCTCCGACATCAACCAGCTTCTACTCTCTCCCTACCCTCCTCTATTCTCACCCGAACGTGTCGGCCGACTTCTGCAGGCAAGCAATGGCTCGGCCGACAGTCATCTCAGCGTTCACACAGCCAACCAATCGATTCGGAGAAAGATGGCGCAATTGCGCATCCCCTCCCACCATCCCCTTCCATCATGACTTCGTGTCTACTGTAGGTACCTAGGCAGATGCTACTAAGTAGTTCGAGAGCCTAGCGTACTGCAACGTGGTCTGGCATTCACAGAGATCATCTGGGACTGCCGTTTTGGACGTCACCATACTCAATCGAGAGCGGACCCACCATGACGCTTTTGTCCATGTCCAGAAGCGGTTCATCTCCCGACGAACCCTTCGGTATGTGCATGTCTTTGATCTTATTAATTTATATACATGGGTACCTAGATCCTCTCATACCTACTATATAGTTGGAGAGCCCATCCCGTCAGGCCGCAAGAGGAACTACATGAGTCCCCGTGCCATATACTTCAATGTTGATTCACAAGCTCCTAGTGACTGGTTAGAATCGATTCCAATCCAGGTCCCAATCTCACATACACTGGCAAACTTGCTTCGCGCTCGAATCTGAGGTCCAAAAAATACTAGTACCCACGGAACGATCGCCAACAAGATTCCCTGTTCAATGTCAGCCAAACAACGGCTCAAGGGTTCTTCAATTCTCTCACAATCCCACCCAGGAGACTCGAGGCACCGGGATATCCAAGATTTCGAAACATTTGCTCGGCCACCAAAGGAAAGACTCCCGCTAGAACATTCCGGCAGAAAGACTGCGCCGCAATGGCAGAGCTCGCATACCGGTGGTAAGTGTCGGCAAGGTAATTGAATGTGGCCAAGTAGATCGAAAAGATCCCCATAGTAGCACACCCAACCGCAATGGTCGGCACAATCCACGGCACAGACGGAAAAGAAGTCCAGCCAAACCAGAATAGGCCGATTGGCATCAGGACGGACTCGACACAAGCGAAAAGAAGTCGGCCTTCCGGGGTGCTCGACATTTTACCAATCCGCATGGCGAATTTCTCTTGGTAGATACTAAGAACGGTTGCAAGCAAAGCTCCAATGGACACCGCTGCGATGTCGTCAGTTGCTTGTACAGAGCTGTATAGCAGCTTCTTCCCCCGACATACCAGAGAACACAGCCCCATACTGTTCCATGTTGAAGTTATGGTTGGTGCGGAACACTAGAGGGATTGAGCTGAACTGGAGATACAAAACACCCCAGCTGAAAGAGACATATGCCGAGAAGAAGAACACCACCGGCTCCGTCACCAATAGATCTGACGTCGAGTTAGCTGGTTCAACGATGCAGTGGTGCTCGACTTACGAAAAGGTCGATAGCATGAAATCGAAATCATCTTTGCCAGACTCTCACGTTCTTCGTCGCTCTTGACCTTCCATCGGATGCGTTTCACCTCCTGCTTTTCCGTTGAGTCATCGGCGCTGAATACGACACCATAGTATCCAGCATTCTCCAGCGCTTCATAGTATTTGTTGAGAGCTTTCGCCTTTCGACTGACGAGCACACTCCCCCGAGTCTCTTTCAGGAAAAAGAAAATGATGGCAAGAAAGCCAGCTGCGGCAATTGCTTGGGAGTAGTAAATCCAGCGCCAACCGGCACGGTTGTTGATGAATCCCGTCACGAGGGGCCCCAGGCCGGTTGCAAACAATACAGCTCCTGAGAAACATGACATGGGAGCATTTCGGTCCTCGGCATGGTAAATATCACTTAGCACTCCGCCAACCATTGTCGAGAAGGTCGCTGTTCACCAAAGGAGAGCGTCAACCACAATCAGCTACATAAAGGGGCGTCTCAAACCTACATCCGCCGATGCCCAGGAAGAATCTCGCGACTAGAAGGCCGGCAAAGGAGTCTGTAGCTCCGCATCCAATCAGGCACACTATGATGATGGTCAGTGGTGGGACGTTTTATATACTAGCGTCATGCACGGCGATGACGATTAGGGCATACCGGTAAAAACTAAGCCACTCAGTATGAAGATACTTCGTCTTCCATTGATCTCCGAAAAAGGTGCCAGCACCATGGGAGCAATGCCAAACCCTAGGGTGAATAGCGTGATACCGAGGTTGTAGACTACCTTACTGATACCCCATTTGCGGGTCAACTCATCCGACGGCGGAGTGTATTCTCCTGCAGCGTACGCAGACATCGCTGTCACGCCGCAGGAGATCATGGTGACGACGGTTTTGCGAGACTCGGACCATAGAAATGGGGAGGCATATTTGGTGAGGTCGGGACATGGGGGTGGAGCCGCTTGCCCAGGCTGCGGAGAAGCAATACCCACGGGGTGTGGCAATGGGGTCTCAAAGGTTAAATAAAGATATTCGATCTCGTTCGGTTGCTGGTATTCGCCGAACGAGGGCGATGCTATTTTCTCCTGATCGGCTAGGACATCTCCGAGCTCAGCATTGAGCTCTGCTTTGGCTACCCCATCAATGGTTGTCGGGTTCGAGTGCCGTCGGCTCTCTCTCCGGGGCGGATTCATCCTCGGGCGCGGTCCAGGTCACCGGCAACTCAGCATGGAGTGAACACACCGCATGCGGAAGTGAGAATAGTAATGAAGAGAGATAAGAGAAAGCGAGACAGACACCAGTTGCCAGGGAAATCTCAACTTCAAAACGAAGGGTCGGGGAGAAGATTGGCAAGATTATGGCTCTTTATTATTATTAAGAACGGGGAAAGGCATCCCATTCTCCGGCGCGAGGCCCGTCGGATTCGGTCATAGGCTCGTTATGACCGACTCTGACTCAGCTTCGAGGGTAATCAGGGTCTCTTCTGAGTCGTGGATTTAATTATGTACCTTCTTTCTAGGGTTTCTTCTAGTCGATCATCCCTCCACTTGATGCTGAGATGCCCTACTCTGTAGACTCCGGAAGCCCAGATGGAGGGCGATGGGAAGATCCGCATTCCGCACTGACCACATTAACGGCCTCCACGTGTATGCCCATGCCGCCAATGCTGCCCATGGACAATCATGCCCATATCACGGTGGAAAGACAGGTTGGGCTCGGGGGCCGTTGCATTTTGTTGCTTTTGGACGGTGAGATGTTATTTGCTTCGACTTGTCACTCGCACAGTCTTCGCATATCTATGAGTCTGGAGCTTTCAGGCTGATAGGTACAAACGTATTTCCGGTTTGGTAAGATGTACTTCGTTTTTGTTCCATTCATTGCTCTGAACAATTGGTGTCAAGTGAAGTATATAAGGCGACTCGGTCATGGTTTCCGTTGTGTTCTCCCTTATAGTTTATAGAATCGGCTTGCATATTTGTATATATTTCCACGCAGCTTGAGCACCTCCGATATGGGATCAGCTATTGTGTTTCATATCTAGGTACCTAGCCTGTCTCCTCCCGTGTCTCATCAGTAAATAACATCTCTTCTTGCATCTATATAACACGTTTGTCTACTACGAAAAGAATTCTTAACTGCTCTGCTTGATCTACAGCCCAAATACGGAAGCTCCTTACAGTGGCCTGTGTACACTACCTTATTTGGTTAGTCCGACCCGCTGCTTACCTGATCGGAACGGGAGCTTGTTTCCCTCTTTCTGTCGTTTGACCTCAATGCAAAACACCGGGAAGCTGCTCAGAGTCTGGCGCTCCAACCATCAAGAGTAAGGTATGTTCATCTGAATCCATCTCTTCAATGCTTCTCCGAATCCTTTTCCCTCTGCCTGACTACTCTTTAAAAGTTCGATGGTGTTGAGATATACCAACTAACCGTCGCGACATTCCTCTAGACGCGTCTGGAGATCTTCGTGTCCCAAGCTGACTTCGCGCCTCCATCCTTTCCCCCACCTGTCATTTTCCTTCTCCTATTGTCAATTCGGTTAAATCTGTTTTCGCGTCGTCTCTCTTCTCGACCGTCCGCCCCCTCACGAACATTGGTCAGCGCGCCGCGCTTTCTAGTTCCTAAACCCATCCACTATGCCGAAGCGCAAGTCTGAAAGCGCGCCTCCCGCCGACGAGGTACGTATGCCTGGTAGAACCCCTATACCTCAGTTCCCTCCATGGATGAAGAACGGGCAGATCGACAGTTCCGACGCGAGTAGCATGTCATGCCAGTCTTCATAGTCACTCAAGATTCTGGACTTCGCGCGATCACCGCTCGCTTGATGGACTCCCACATCATTCCATTCTTGACCTCCCTGTCCTCCTATTTAAGCTACAAAATTCGTCCAATCTAAGACACATTTCACATCCCGCTACCATCGCATCTACATAGCATATCTCTTAGCTTGGATTCATCCATTTATTTCTTCTATCCATTTCTAAATCTCGCGGAAGTCAAGAGCAAATCACTAATGTCATCGTCACCGCAGCCTGCTCCTTCTACCGGAGAGAAGAGAAAGAGAGGTCGTCCTCGGAAGTACCCCCCGGGATCTCGTCCTCAGCCGGTGCCAGGTCGTGGCCGCGGTCGTCCTCGCAAGGACCCCAACGCCAAAGGTCCGTACAGATTTCTTTGTTTCTGCCTTTGATGCGTCTATCTTGCCACCATCGATTGGAAATATCTCTTCGTACGAGATCGAGCCTCGGACATCGTCACGCGTCTGTTGCTAACGGCAGTAGTCACTTCCAAGTCAGAAGCTCCAAAGTCCGGCAGAGGACGTGGACGCCCGAGAAAGTCCATCGACCCAAATGGCACCAATACCACTACGGAAAAGACCGAAAAGACCCCAGAGGAAAAGTCCGAGTCTGCTGATGCCAAGGCCGAGGATGAGGAGGCTGAAGAAGATGATGATTCGGGGCGTTCGTACTGGTTGATGAAGGCCGAGCCCGAGTCGCGCATAGAGAAGGGAGTTGACGTGAAGTTCTCCATTGATGACCTGCGGGAGCGCACGAAACCCGAGCCGTGGGATGGTAAGAATTTGACATCGACGCTCTAAGCGTTCCTGTATTTATATATGCTGACTTGTCGTAGGCGTGCGGAACCCTGTCGGTGAGAATGACGTTTCCAACTGATTACACCCCGGAATAACCCATCTGACCAGAATAGCACGAAACAACATGCGTGAGATGAAGAAGGGTGACTACGCTTTCTTCTACCACTCGAACTGCAAGACCCCGGGAGTTGCGGGCATCATGGAGATCGTGCAGGAGCACACGCCGGATGGTAGGTTGAACTATCTTGATTTGGATCGACCTCGGATGACTGACAATCCCTGAACTTGTAGAGTCTGCGTTCGATCCGAACCACCCATACTACGATGAGAAGTCTACGCGGGAAAATCCCAAGTGGGAGGTGGTTCATGTCGAGTTCCGCCGCAAGTTCGACAACTTTGTTTCGCTGAACGACCTCAAGGCTCACTCGCAACCGGGACAGCCCCTGGAGAACCTGCAGGTGCTGAAGCAGTCCCGGCTGAGTGTTTCCCGGGTGAGCAAGAAAGAATGGAAGTTCATTCTGGGGCTAGCGAAGGAGAACGAGGAGGAGAATTGGGTATCGGCTGGCGAACAGGAAGCGTAGAAGATGGGGGCGTATCTCTGGAGTAGGTCTCGACAAGCATCAGGTACGGTTAATCAGCAGTCTTCCTCGGTTTCCTTTTGTACAATGAATGGGATTTGATTCGGTTCAAGCCTGGACGTACGTGAGAGTGTAGTAAGTATGAATAATGGGCAGCTCCACTGGCCTAAGGGTCGGGGTGCTGGAAGAAGCAAGTGTATCCGACGAGGGGAGGGGCGCTGACTCAGCCGACACTTATCGCTGGCGGCGAATCCATCAAATCGGAGCCGCTCCTCGCCTCCGCCGATTGTACATATATTATCCTCCATCCAATCCTTCTCCCAAATCCCATGCCTCCTCTGCTTTCCCCCTCTCTCCGCTTCTGTCTGCGTGGTGCTCCCCTCTCTGCTCTTTCTCGTCCCTCTTTCTCTCCCGCCTTCCCCTTCGTTTCTACCCGATTCTTCCACCGGTCCGACGGGTCCTCGTCCATCATGTCCGACGTAGCCGTCCAGTTGACTGCCCCCAACGGGCGCAAGTACTCCCAGCCCATTGGTCTTTTCATCAACAACGAGTTTGTTCCCTCCAAGTCGGGGGAGAAGTTTGCTACCATCAATCCTTCGTGCGTATTCCTGTGTCCTGCGTTGGTCCGGAAGGCGGCCCTGTATTGAGACACGGGACGGGAGCTGACCGTTCGTAGCGATGAGTCGGAGATCACCTCCGTGTTTGCTGCGGGTGAAGAAGACGTTGACATTGCCGTCAAGGCGGCCCGCAAGGCTCTCAAAGACCCCTCGTGGAAGCTATTGCCCGCGACGGATCGTGGAAATCTCATGCTCAAGTTGGCCGATCTTATCGATCAGCACAGGGAAACCCTGGCCACGATTGAGACGTGGGATAATGGTAGCGCCCAGTCTTGGTTTAGACATGTCTTGTGGAGATCCTTGGCTGACAACCGCTAGGCAAGCCGTATTCCGTCTCTCTGAATGATGACCTGGGTGAAGTCATCAACACCATCCGCTATTGTGCCGGATGGGCCGACAAGGTCCACGGTCAGACCATTAGCACCACGCCCGCCAAGTTTGCCTACACGCTCCGCCAGCCGATCGGTGTGGTGGGCCAGATTATCCCCTGGAACTTCCCCTTGGCCATGGCCGCGTGGAAATTGGGTCCCGCCCTGGCCTGCGGAAACACCATTGTCATGAAGCCTGCCGAGCAGACCCCCCTCAGCATTCTCTATCTGGCCACCCTTATTAAGGAAGCTGGCTTCCCTCCTGGTGTTGTCAACATCCTGAACGGATTCGGCAGAGTTGCCGGAAGCGCCTTGGTGACCCACCCTGGCGTCGACAAGGTCGCCTTCACGGGATCGACCATGACCGGCCGCGAGATCATGAAGATGGCCGCTGGCACTATGAAGAACATTACCCTCGAGACTGGCGGCAAGTCGCCGCTGGTTGTCTTCCAGGATGCGGACCTCGACCAGGCCGCTAAGTGGGCTCACATCGGCATCATGTACAACCAGGGCCAGGTTTGCACGGCCACCTCCCGTATCCTGGTGCACGAGTCAGTGTACGACAAATTTGTCGAGCTGTTCAAGGAGGCCGTGGTCTCTACCAGCAAAGTGGGCGACCCCTTTGCCGACGACACCTTCCAGGGACCCCAGATCACCAAGGCTCAATACGAGCGGGTGCTCTCCTACATCGAAAGCGGCAAGTCGGAGGGCGCGACGCTCGTCAGCGGCGGCGAGCCGTACAAGAACGTCGGCGATGGCAAGGGCTTCTTCATCGCCCCGACCGTCTTCACCAACGTCACAGACAACATGCGCATCTATCGTGAGGAGGTGTTTGGTCCTTTCGTGGTGATCGCCAGCTTCAAGACCGAGGAGGAGGCCGTGACCCGTGCCAACGACACCACGTACGGTCTGGGTGCGGCGGTGTTCACCCGGGACATTGAGCGCGCCCACCGCGTGGCGTCCGACATTGAGGCCGGTATGGTCTGGATCAACAGCAGCAACGATAGCGACTTCCGTGTGCCGTTCGGTGGCGTCAAGCAGAGCGGTATCGGTCGTGAACTGGGCGAAGCCGGCCTCGAGGCGTATTCGCAGATCAAGGCGGTGCACGTCAATATGGGCACGAAGCTGTAACCTCCTCCCTCGGTTTGTATAGAACTGATGCGCTGTACGTATGATGACCTTGGTTTGTCATTGGCGCAGGTGGATCTGCATGTGTTGTATACCGATTCAATGATGACCCAATGATACGCTGTAATGTTGAACGACTCTGGGATCTCTGCAGGCTGCATCATTGCACCCGTGATGTGGCGGTATCATATTGGCCGCGCGTCGTAGAACCTGAGCCACGGGAGACTGGTCTATGAGCTATGTTCGGGCTTAAATTAGTAGTATATTGCTTGATGAGGTGAGGATCGTAGGTTTATTCCCTGAGCCGTGCAAACATGCCAGTCAGCATGCAAACGTTTCGAAGAAGCAGATGAGACGGGCAGAGGAGTGTGATCCTACTCTATAACACGCCTGATATCCGCTGAGATGGACATGCCAGACGCACGGCGAGCGTTTGATTGACGGAGAGTATATATGTATCACCCTCCACCGGGAATGGCAAACACACGACACGTTACATGAGCATTGGTACCCGATGGTTCCATTAGGTAGACACTGAAGCTGTGTGAGTTGTGGTATGATGCCTTGAGCCAGGAGACATGTAACATGGTGTAGTTGCCGGTGGTATATTCGTGATGTGTTCTATCTGATTGCCCGGTCCTGGTTTAATAGCAGGGCTGTACGTATTGCGAGGTGCATGCTGTGTAGCTACCCGGTAGTGTAAGTGACCTCATTTCGAGAATCGATACTAGCCGAATTGATTCATTGAGGGTGAAACTTTCCCATGCAGGTTATACTCTGAGATACTCGATCTCGAATGCCTAGTTTAATTAGTCTTATCTGTCTGTTCAGCGACTTGTTTGTCCACGCAGGTGATATGTAAGGAATGCGCACACCCTGAATGAATGCGAGATAGACTACCAGGCCCCAATACAGGGGCAATGCACGTCACCATGCCAGATCCAGATGGCAGCCAGGCAAATAAATGCATTGTTCATGCATGCCATTCATCAGGCGTTACTGTCAATTAGAGCCCTGTCTATTGTCTTGTGACAGGCGTGGTGGCAGAGGCCCAGTCCACCATCGTCAACAATGCATGAAGGTGATGCTGGTCTGCGCAAAGCCATCAATGAATCAGATTTAGTCTACTTCTTCGTGTCACTGAGCCCGATGTAGGCAGTGTTTGCGCCTGAACGATCATTTGATGTCTGTCTGGGTGCGCCTCCTGCATCGTTGCTGCCTCGAATGCCAGGGTCAGTCGGATGGTACGCATTAGTAGCGATGAATCTGAACGCCATTTGAACCTAGGCTTGGATCCTGGATTCACGTCCTAGTTCAGATGCTACCGAGGTAGCCGACGCAAGCAACAGTTCGCGCGGTCTTCGAGAGGCAGCGCAAGCAGCGCAAACGCACACATGTCGGTTGACCCACACCGACAGCCCGGTCAGTAGGTAAGGTACTCACTACCGATGTAGGCAATCCAGGGCACCGATCACCCGCAGATCACGATCCATATCCCATGCATTGGTTTGTGTCAAGGACAACAATGCCGGAGCCGACGGCCAATGGCACCCGGACGGGCGGAGGGATTTTCTGGCGCCGCGGCATGTGGTTGGCTGCGGGAACGGGGTTTCTGATGCTCTCTGTCGTGGCCGTGGTAGAGTGGATGATGAGCGAGCGACCTTAGTTTCGAACTGCGGCATGCAACCTGCACGGCGACTGATTTGGAGGATGATATGCGGGTTGGTAGAGGGACGGAGGTGAGTGGGATCTGGTTGCCTTTCGGAGAGGGCTCGAGAGGAAAGATGGGGTGCCTCTTCTGAACCACCTGCCACTGCAGCAGATGTCAGTTCGATTCGGATACTTACACGACCTGCCCTGTATGTCGCGGTATGCGTTTCGGTACGATACATACCGTTACCGACGGTGCCTTGCTGAGATCCCTGCGGTGCCGCCATGTCAGTCACTGTCTTGCATTGCATGAAGAATCAGTCATGTGAGCTGCCTATTGCCAGATCATCCATCGCCCAGCAGGAGGTACATGCGCTCGCATACTGGACAGCAACGGAGACAAGTACCTCTTTTTGACAGCTCAAACCAAGCAAACCCTTGATCTATACCCGATCTACGGGAGAAATATGATCTCTCATTCTCAACGGTCGGGGCCATGGCCGGCTTGACGGTCAAGCATTGCGCCCGTCGCACTTGACAGCGTTCACCGCATTTTCCGCATCTGGAGGCCGACGCCGAGGTTTGTTCCGTTGTTTCATTTATTGTCATTTTTCTAGTGATTGAGTGGACCGCCTGAATCGCCGATGCCGACCGTCTGCCCAACCGCTGTGATGCATCGACGTTGAGCTGGCACATTCCGGCCTATTTTTAAGGCTGTGACCTACAGCAGCGCGCCTCTGGGCCGACCGATGGATCATGGGTCCCAAAGACGAGTAGTTTCTACGGCGCTCCGTCTCTGATTGGTTGTCGTCCTCTAAAACGGTTCTGTAGCTGGGATTGGAGCTTGTCGGGGCGGTCAGATTGCCTGACCGCTTCCTCGTCTGTTCGGGATTCTGGATCAGGAATGCGACGAGAAGACCCCAAGCTGCTCGAAGGAGCATGGCCAGCTCCATCGGCCGATCTCCATCGCTGCCATGCGAGGTGACTCCCCTTGACGCCCCCGAATCTTCCGCCCGTTATTCCCGCGTTGAGAGGATTCTATTTGGTCATCGCGTCAGGATGATGTCTGACCGCGATGCAGGACAGAAGAGACGGGCACAGGCCTCACCGCGCATGGCAAGAACGGGTGATCCATGCAGGAGCAGTCATACCTGTCATTAACGGCTATATGTACGTACGTACGGACGGTACGTACGGAGTATGATTGACGGCTGGGGACGAATGAAGCCAAGAATCAGGGGCCATCGGATGTAGTGAAAGGAGACCCAAGGACCACTGGGACGGGATAAGCCGTGTCGGTCTGGTATTCTGTTGGACCCATCGAATTCCTCCTGGGACGCAGAGGAAGGAATGGGTACTTTGTATGTATGTATGGGCTCACTAGCCATTGTACGGAGTATGTCCCTAACCCGCTGGCCGAATGCTCGGATAGCTTCCTATTTGTTCGCACCGCCCCGTTCTCCAGGCTCCACCTCCAGCTCCTTGTCTGGAACAAATGAGGCGTAAAACCATGGGAAGGATGACGGGCCTCCCGCATAACTGTCAGCAATGGAGTAGTATCAGCTGCATTTGCCTCTGGCCCCCAAAATCAGAGCAGCTTTTGGATGCATCCAGAGATTGGTCAGCGGCTGTAACAGAGCTGCAGTTGGGACGGGTTTTGTTGCGCCCCCTTTGCCATCACGTTTGCCTTACTCGCGGCGGGCGAGAATCTTATTTTCCTGACATGTGACAGGTCTCGTTGGTGGAGCTGAAGTCGTATAGCGGATTCCAATAATGCGGACCACCACGGAGTCAATAGTGCGTGTGAGCTGCGCCGATGGGGAGGAACTCAGATGGAGACGAGCTGAGCTCCCCGGAGGCTCTGGGATTCTCGTAACATCATCGATCCACTGCATTGAGCGGTGAGAGTTGATGAACGGATCCACCGGTAGGGCGGGGGGAAGTGATGGAAGTACAATACAGAATAGGAAGATGGTATGGAGAAAGAAGACGAGGAAGAAGGCTGAACAGGATAAAAGGATGAATTGCTACAAGGTACCGGGAGAAGGCCAAGTGGGGAAGGCTTGGCGCCACGCGAAACAACAACACATCATCACCATCATCTGTTCTTCTCCGTCTCTGCGATAATCCACTCTCCCCGTCGGCCGTGAATCCTCTTAGCATTATTATTATTATTCTTGATTTGCATTCGTCTTGACTTTGCACCAGTCGATCTCTTGCTCCTCCCAGTTAGCCTGATCCGTCCCGTTCCAGCCCCATCGTGTCTCACTCCTGCGGTATCATGGCTTCTATCCCGCAATGGACGGTCTCGGAGGTAAGAAGAATACATCATGCATCACAGACTGCGGTCTCACACTGTCCCTCATAGCCGTATGTCGACATTCCCGGGACCCTGCTCGAGGGCCCGTACTACGACGCTGCCAGGAACGAGTTCCGCTTTGTCGATATCTGGGAGCAGAAGCTGTACGTTCTGGACCTGGCAAAGGGCCCAGAGTCGCTCAAGACGCTTGACACGTCTGCGTCGATCGGGTGCGTCTCTCCCCCTCACCCACCCGGACGGCGACCCGCCCGTCTCCCCGCGGCATATCCAAAGCTGATCAGCTGGACGGTACCTCAGAGTGACCGCTAATATCAAGGACGCCGGCGATGCCCACAAGGACCAGATTGTCGTCGCAGCAAAGTACGGATTTGCGCTCGCCAATCGCTCCACCGGCGAGCTGTCCTACCTCTGCAAAGCCGGGGACGTGTTTCCTGAGCAGGATGATCCCGAGAAGCCCCATCGGTAAGTCCCGACAGCCAAAGCCGTGATCGGGGCGAATCCATTGCCCCGGCACCCGTATGACAGATCGTTCTCTGACACCGCCAACAGAATGCGGTTCAACGACGGCGCCGTTGACAGCCGCGGACGCTTCTGGGCGGGGTCCATGAACGACCCCAAGGTCAAGTCGCCGTCGCCCGAGGGCGCGTTGTACCGCCTGGATCCGGACCTGACGCTGCACTGCATGGTCGAGCAGATGACGATTCCTAACGGCATCGGGTGGAACGCGGCGGACGACACTATGTATCTGACCGACTCGACGACGGGCAAGATCTTCGCCTTCGACTTTGACGCGGCCACCGGCGCGATCAACAACCGACGCGTGCACTTTGACCTTGGCGAGCCCAAGGACCCAGATGGCTTCGCCATCGACGAGGAGGGCTGCATCTGGAGCGCCATCTACGGCGGCGGCCGGGTCATCCGCATCTCGCCGGAGGGCAAGGTCATCGGGCAGGTGACGCTGCCCACGCGCAACATCACCTGTCCGGCGTTTGTCGGGACTGAGCTGTTCATCACGACGGCCAAGGATGACACCAACGATGAGCAGTTCCCGGAGTCGGTGCGCTACGGAGGACGGCTGTATCGGGTGGATGTTGGGGTCCGGGGACAGCCGAAGAACGAGTTTCGCTTTAGTACTTGATAGAAAGGCCGTAGGAGCGTGTAGATGAGTTACGGGAGCCACTGTACATGCTTGGAGCGTCTGTACATACGATGTCAGAGTTCACCATAGAGGCCGAGAACCGTGTCTATACAGCAATGGATACAACAAAAATAGATACGCAAGAAAAAAGTCCACCGATGCAGAAAAACCAAAGTACCAACAGGCATGGAAACGCATAGCCAAGCTCCGCTGCACAGGCAATCGAAGCTGCAGCCCCAGAGCCCATACATAATGTGATTATTCCACGCCGGGGTCGAGAGCCACGGCGGGCCAGCCCTTAGCCCAGCCTGCACAGCAGCTGGCGTGCGGCGTGCGTCGCGAAGGGCGTCCCTTAATTTCAAATGGCGGCGTGACAAGTGTGATGGGTGCGTGCTGCATGCATGGCACCAAGCACCCGGCGCACCTCGTACGCGCCCAAGGGCTAGATTAGGGGGCCGAAAGGCGCAGCGAATGGAAGACCCCGGGGGGGAGGGTAGTAGTGTTGGGCTCAGGGCATTGCAGGAATGAAGCAGCCTTGCAGGATGCAACACAACCCTGCCAGCACACCGGTGGTGCCGGGTATGCAGGTGAATGCGGTGCGATGCGATGCGATGCAGATGCTCGTGGTGGTCTTACCTGGGCGTGGGTACGTAAGTGTTTGTTGCTTTTTGATCTATGTAGAGCAGTGAGGTGCGGAGTACTCCGACGGTCTAGTACACCGTGGAGGTACCGACTTCCTCAGGTGATGGTACTCCTGGTACCTGCAGGTCGGCTAGCACGAGGGTGATAGCGGTTGCAGCGGTACGGCCGGAGACGGTAGGTAGGTCCAGCCAGGGGAGCGAGGAAAAAGAAACGAGCGTCGAACCTTGTCCGCAACCCAGAAGCGTCACAGCCCCTTAATTCAGGTGCTATGGCGATGAGATGGAAGATGATGTGTCGGTTTAGGTTCAACCTGTATAGGAATGAGACCATCTATACTGCGCATCCCAATCAGCAGATAGGCCCCGTGACCACTACAACTCCTCCGACTTGGCTACTCCGTACGGGCTACTCACTTGGGTACCGACTATCGACAGAACCATGCTTCTGGAACTCCGTCTCTGAGCGGTCCAGGGTCACGGACGGTGTGGGCGACTAATGCATCCTGCTCCCCACTCGCGTATCGTACGGAGCACATCCTACGCTCCGATCTTTGACCCGGCCGAGTTTGTTTCCCCGTGTAGAGATACTGAAACTAGATATGTGCCAAGCTATACTCCGTAGATACCCCAAGTGTCCGTATGATGCAGACGGAACCTAATTCCGGCGACGGACCGTTTTTGACTTTTTTGGGTACTTCTTCGCTATCTACCGAGTACAATACCTAGTAGGTATCCATCGGAATCTCGGAAGTTGAGCAAGCTGTACTCGGAGGACGGTTTAGGACTTGGATCAGCAGTGGTGGTGGTGGTGGTGGTGGTGGTGGTGGTGGTGGTGACTCAAAAGAGTGCTTCTGACGAGCCATATCCATCGTGTTTGATTGATCTATCTTCGACATGGGTGCTCGGAGAGCTATGGAGTGTCCAACCTAGGTATTGGTTAACACTTGGTAATATCCGCCCTAGGTTCCCGAGTGACTGGGAGACGGAACCAGTGTTCCATGGGGCTGTACCTGTAGGTGATTTACTAAGTAAGAAGCATTCTGTAATATCAATAGGTGACATCGGGCGCTCAGTCTTCACACTACTGAAGCCGCTAGAATCCTCCTTGTGTTCCATCCCAGACCCAGTCGGACCACAATTAATATAATTAAGATAAGTGAGCTAGCGTGGTTCTGGCATGACCTCCACGATGCAGCTAGTCTCCTGTTCATCGCCATGACCCGCCCGCCCATGTAACAACTATCTCCTCCCATCTGGCACAGTCTGTCCGCCACCATACGCTCTCTCATAGACCCGCAGATCTACATATTGCTGTCAGCGACGGAGTAACTACTCCCTACTCTTATTGTGGTTGACTGATGAAGTCCTCCGAGCGTGCAGATCAGACGGGTAACGATAATCGGTTCGTGCCCCTTTTCCCACCCGGGTGACCGATCCTGGACCGGCCAGGTCGTCCGTGGGGTCGAAGCCAATAAATTGGAAGCCAGCAGACGAACTAACTAGTGACTAGTCGACTACTGAGGTACGCTGAAGATCGTGCTGACAAGTTGACCGGGCCATCGTCTATGTGTCTGTAGGGGGCTAAGTCCACTATCGGCACCAACTGGAGACCCTAAACTCGGCCGTGCAATTTCCTGGGCCCATCGAAAAAGCAAAAAAACACACAAAAAAAAGGCCGTTCAGACCAATGGCCATGACTCGACCCGCGAAATTGCACCGAACGAAATTCCCCAACCGAATGCAAGTCATTTCGTGGCTTGCTGCAGAAGATGGACCTTCCCACCGATCCTGATACCACTGACCGACAGATAACTCCTGTAGTTAATTAGATGGCATGGCTTGACAGATCCTTTTCGGCCGTCGTTCGGTTCGTCCCTTTGACTAGAACCGTCACCAGTCCATCACGAGGACTCGCTACGTTGGGGACGAAGACCCTTAGGACGGCGCAGGATCTGTGATCTTCATTGATCCAGAACCATCCATATACCTGTATTATTGAGCTCCCATGCAGCGACTGGTTTATACTGATCAACTGGGCAACACTCTTCTCCTTCTCCAGCCCGGACCCGAGCCGGGGAAAGGCAGCCGCCAGTCCTGGATAAACGACATGATTGTCTTTACCAGATAGAACTCTATACCCCATCGGTGCCCAATGACGTAGCGGGAACAGTACTATTTACAGTTTTCCAACTGGGGCGGCCACGTCGGACCGGTGATGGACACCTCATTCTGACTTTCCTCGTGGGGAGCTGAAGCGAAACCCGCACGTCGGGACTAGTTGATCCTCCGTTCTTGTCGCAGATGGTGTACTATAGTTACTCCGTACAACCCCCCCCCCCCAGTCGTCGGGGTTTGATGAGTGGACCGAGCTTTGCACCGGCGGGTTGTCTCCTTCGATTCTGTCCCGTTAGCGCGGCCTTCTAAGTAGCCGGGAGTAGACTGAGGCATGGGTGGAGACGGCAAAGGTTAGAACCAGGGCGACCAGTAACGGCGATCAGCAGAGGAGATTCTCGGGCGGGACGATGCCATCATTAGTCCGTCATCCTATGCGTTGCTGGGCTGTTTTAGTGCGGCACGCGTCTGTCCGTCATTTGCGCTGACCGGGGAGGCCATGGGGCTGCACAACATTCGACTGATTGCGTTGGCTTTTCCGATTGATTGAGAGGGAGGGGAAAGAATGGGAGACGCCTATCCACCGAAACTCTAAGAGTTTCGTCCGGAAGTGTCAGAAGCTATCCGTTGTAACTGCCGGCATGGGCTGTCTGCGATCCTGCGATGGGCATGCTGTCCATACAGGGTACGGAGTACTCTACAGGTTTGCCATGAGGACAAGGATTTGACATGACCTGGGATGGATCTGGATGTCGCCGATCGGAGTCGATAGCGAAAGACGATCCTTTCTCAAAGGAGACTGACACGATGGAATTGGATGGATGGATGAGGCCATACCTATCCAACAGTTTCGGATGGTGTAGTCCCTGACCATTCCCTTGATGACACTCGTCTGGTCGTCACCGTCACCGTCACCGTCAGCGAGCGTCATACTCTTGATACGGTTAGTACTCTGGATGCTCTTGAGGACCATCCATCTGACCGCATTATCAATCGACACCGTCATGGCGTGGTATCTCCACTTGAGGAACCAGAAAACCCTCGACCTTCCCACCGGGATGGCGAACCATGCCCAGCTGGGGTAAGTGGCATCATCCGCGTGGCGGACGGGAGGAGAACACCGCAGGATGGAGCCCGACTAGAGCGTTCATCCCGGATCCAGGCCATGGCCACGGTGACGGGCATCGTTCCCCAGCCCCAGTTGCTACCGTTAGCGGCCCCTAGTGAGGGGGCTAGCTGCGAATTTAGTCGGCTGGAGTGGACGACGAGGGGGGACCCGGGAAGAGGATCGTTTCCTGACTCCAACAAACAGGATGGGGAATGTTCGATGGTTCCGGTTCATTTATCTTGCGACTAGTGGTGGAACCGTTGAGCTCTTCATTTCCTACCTACGGAGTAGACTTTGTTATGTCTGGGTTGAATGACTTGGCAAAGATCGTTGATGTATACTACTCCGGACGAGGTACTTTTGCCCCTGAGTTGTGTTTCTTTGCTCAACCAACTCTGGGGCTTCCGAGGCCCGGAATACTCCTGTTGGCATGAGGCCATGCACTGGGCAGCAACATGCGTGCTGTAGGTACAGCTAGGCAGTTGGTATCGTACCACCGATACGCAGAGTGTACGGTATCGGGTTGTACGAGTACTGAATCTTACTTGAGGTACTCGTGAGCTATATGATACTACAATAGGTAGGCAATCCTATGTCTATCAAGAATATCAAGAATCTCTGAATACTGCTCCACCGACTATTCGTAGTGAGGAAGTCGTAATAGTAACTATCCAAGAGATACCTAGGTAGAAACTACTAGGTACTTCGTTCTTAGTTCTTCTGTCTTCTGTCTAGTAGTAGTGTGTCTACACCGCCGGATGCTGCTCTTAACGGCTCAGAATGGAGACGCATTCCTCCATCGTTCTGCTCGGTTTCTTTTTTTTTATTGGCGAGCATTGAATCCCAATATTGGATCTTCTATTATTATTTCATTATTATTTTATCGTTCTATTTTATTTTATATTTTAGTGTTTTGATATTTTGTTTTGCTATTTTGTTTTTATTTTCTAGATCCCCAACCTATAATAAGATAGCCAGCTATTCCTTTTGCCTCACTTTTTAGCTTCTTTTCTTTCTTTTTCCCTTCTCGTCTTGTTCCAGCACTCATCATTCGTCCAGAGCCTGTTAATTGTCGGATCTCCTGCTGTACTTGCGCTGTTTTTGCTTTTGGGCCTATTTTTCCATTTTAAACCTCCCTCCCCTTCATCGGTACCTAACCATCTGTCCTACTATCTACTCCTCTACCTGCCCTCCTTCTTGTCATCTCACTCTCGTCATCTCTCACGCTCGCCTTGAGGTTGACCTCCATTGTTCTATTCACTAACCAGCATCTTCTGCCGTGGTCGTGATCCAAGTCCATCATACCCTATACCACTATCACCTGCCTGTAGCGTGTTGGTTTGATCTACACCCAAGGATCAAAGCAAAGGATCAAAGCACCAACTCCATCAGACCATTTACATAAGTCGGGTTGATCCTCCTCCCATCCTTCATCGTGGCGACCTTAGGCATCAGCGCGTTTGCCAATCCCCCATACGCCCATCCCCCTCTTCGATATCATTCGTCTCCCGCCTATACCTTGGTCCCTGCGTCTGGAGCTTGCTCGCACTCGCCTCGCCACGAGTCTCCGGCTCATCGGGCCACCGGAGCGCCCCCGCCATGCCCCAGATCCCTCTCGCCCGCCGACGAAAGGAATCTGGAGCATATGTCGCAGCCTTCCCCCAGCTCAGCTCCTTTGTCGGACGATGCTCTACGACCAGGGTCTCGTGCTTCTCGCGAGAAGAAGAGACCACTCGAGGAGGACTCGTCCTCGGAGGCTCCCGAGTCGCTGCGTCCACGACCGCTGTCCTGGCACCCCTCGGCCCCCGTGGAACCACCGCTGAGGCCCACCCAGCTGCGTTCCATCCAAGTCCATTCCATCTTGAATCCCCCGGCCAAGACGACCGCGCTGGTGACCGACACGGCCGTTCCCGGTCGTGAGGGAAACGCGGCGCTGTCTCCTCACCAATCTCCCGCCGTGCGTCTGCCATCGCCAGCTCTCCATCCTCGCCGACTGTCGGCCTCTCCGGGCATGAGAGGCGGCCAGATCATCCATCCTGCCTCGCCATCGACCCGTTTCGTGGGACCGGGCGCCCCGTACCCCAGAAAATCCAGCGCATCCCAGTCGCCTCTGGCTCAGGAAGCACGGCCTGGTCTGTATGCAGGATCCCCGACATCGCCTTTGACGACGGATGCAGCGTCCGTGGCTCCAGTACCGGTCTCAGGACACCCGCAGTCCATGCCGCTCTCGATTCAGTCCACGCCGACATTCCACAGCCATCGAACGAGTGCGAATCCCACGCCGAACCCCAGTTCCCAGGAAACTAGCCCGTCGACGCCGGTCTCCACATACAGCCAGTTTGGGCGGTCCTCGCCGGCCATCTCTGGCGCCCCCGCGCCCCCGCCAGGCCCCGGCTACCCGCCTCCGCCGTTTGGCACCATGGACCCAGCGACCCGCCTACCTTCAGGGACTGCGGGAGGTAGACCGACAAGGGAAGAGACGCCCTTGATCGGGGCCCCGTCCCAGCCCGAGAACCCGCCGCTGCCGGGGATGATCCCGTGTATTCTGGACCTGAAGTCGGGGTCGTCCAGTCAGGCGGAGAAGCGCAAGGCCAACAGCGATGCGTCGCGGCGATTCCGCAACCGGAAGCGAAATGAGATGCAGATGGAGCAGAAGATCACGGCCCAGCAGGACGAGATCCGGAAACAGTCCGACGCCCTGCAACGGCAGTCGCAGGAGATCCAGGCGTTGCTGCAAGAGCGCGACTTTTACCGCGCCGAGCGAGACTTCTACCGCGAGCATGTCGCCCGCCTGGTCCCGGCCAGCCAGCTGCCCGCCCGGCCGGCGTCACCCCGGCGGTCTGACCAGGCGTTCCGATCGCCGCTGGAGAAGGACCGCGAGTCGGCTGGGTGGTCGGTCGATGCGCCGACAGGCCCGCCGCTTCCGCCGACGAGACCACCGGGGACGTGGTCGTCTGCTCCGTCGTCATATGCGACGACGACGCAGGCTCATACGGAGCGTGGGGACGAGTCGATGCGGACTTTGCCGCAGTTTCCTGGCCCGTGGCCTCGGTCTTGACGTGGGCGTGCGACTGAAGCTGGCTTATACATACGGACGGATACCCTCGCAGTACCGTCATTCATTAATCTTTTTTCAGTTCAACAACCGAACAAACGATTCTTTTTCTTGTGAAGTTCTGGAAACTCATAAAAAGTCTTTGCATTCCCGCCAGCGGCGCGGATTCCCTGCATCTTCGGAGGACACCGTCTGCAAGCAATTTGTGTAATCAGCATGGATTTTGGGTGTATTTGACTGGGTGGACATTGGTCGCTTTCTGCTTTGATTTGTTGCTTTGCTGTTGATTTGTGCACATATCCCCCCACTGCGTTCGTTCGTTGGCTACAGCTGTGTCTTTTCTTGCGCATCCTGGGTGGCACATTGTCTGCGTTGCATGGAGATTGCCTGACTGACTGTTTGAGATTGAGCGGAGGAGCGCCTATTGCGGTTGGCATGCGTTGTTGGGTGTTCTCGCGTTGAAACTTGTGAACTTGTATTGATTTGCCCTGCTTTAGACGGAGATACCTTTTACAACACGGCGTGAGCTTTCCATCTACGAGGTCCTACTTGTTGGTTTTTCCGAGGATGCGCCGAAGCCTTCCATGTACGGAGTAGAATAGATGCCACATCATCGCGCAGGTACCTTATGGACGGACGTTGCGATATCGGATATCGGAGATCGGCCTTTGACTACCCACGTGGGTACAATATTTCCGACGGCTGTTTGACCATGTCTATGGCGCAGACTATTCACGTCTGAGAACAATATCCATACGGAGTACTAGGTGTATGGGAAAGGTTGTACTCTGTAGGGATGTAGGGCACTCGGGCACCAACCACCACTCGCGAATGCGCACGTGGTGTCGCCAACCCCTTGCTCTCTCAAGATGCTGAGGGATTCTATCCATGTCGACTCTTTACCCTCACCATCTAACTAGTGAGTTATCTGATGCAACCTCCCCGCTAAGCTCTCGACGATCGCTATTTCTGACCGATCTAACAGACATGGTGGAGTACTGATTCGATCAATGCCCCTTGCTTCATTCCGGAGTTCGGGAGTTTGGACACATGAAGGGCTTATATGAGGACATCCCAGGTCGGGGACCACATCCGCTATGTGGTCCTCTACTTCGTCGGAAGAATATACTGTCTATTATGGCTACCATGGGGGTTTTCGTCGTTCTATTATCCATCGCGACTCTGTTCGGGAGGTATGTGTACCGCTCTAGGTTCAACTCGCCTGGTACTGACAAACAGCACAGCACATCGGGCACTGCGCTGGGCCCCCGTGGAAATCACAGCGACTGCAACTCAGTCGACCACGGGTATCAATGCTTCCCTGAGCTCTCCCATAAATGGGGTCTCTACGCGCCCTATTTCTCTCTCCAGGATGAATCTCCGTTTCCTCTGGACGTCCCGGATGACTGCCAAATCACCTTCGTGCAGGCGCTGGCCCGACATGGAGCGCGGTCTCCAACCGATAGCAAGACAAAGGCGTATGCCGCGACTATTGCCGCCATCCAGAAGAATGCCACCACGTTCCCGGGCAAATACGCCTTCCTGAAGTCGTACAATTACTCCATGGGCTCCGAGGACCTGACGCCCTTCGGGCGGAACCAACTGCAAGACATGGGCGCCCAGTTCTACCGTCGCTACGACACCCTCACCCGGCACATCAACCCCTTCATCCGGGCCGCGGATTCCTCCCGCGTCCACGAATCAGCCGAGAAGTTCGTCGAGGGCTTCCAAAACGCCCGACAAGGTGATCCTCGCGCCAACCCACACCAGCCGTCGCCGCGCGTGGACGTAGTCATTCCCGAAGGCACCGCCTACAACAACACGCTCGAGCACAGCATCTGCACCGCCTTCGAGGACAGCACCGTCGGCGACGCCGCGGCAGATAACTTCACCGCCGTGTTCGCGCCGGCGATCGCCAAGCGTCTGGAGGCCGATCTGCCCGGCGTGCAGCTGTCCGCCGACGACGTGATCAATCTGATGGCCATGTGTCCCTTCGAGACGGTCAGCCTGACCGACGACGCGCACACGCTGTCGCCGTTCTGCGACCTCTTCACCGCCGCCGAGTGGACGCAGTACAACTACCTGCTCTCGCTGGACAAGTACTACGGCTACGGCGGCGGCAATCCGCTGGGCCCCGTGCAGGGGGTTGGCTGGGCGAACGAGCTGATCGCGCGGCTGACGCACTCCCCCGTCCACGACCACACCTGCGTCAACAACACCCTCGACGCCAACCCGGCCACTTTCCCGCTAAACGCCACCCTCTACGCGGACTTTTCGCACGACAGCAACCTGGTGTCGATCTTCTGGGCGCTGGGCCTGTACAACGGCACCAAGGCGCTGTCGCAGACCACTGTGGAGGATACCACTCAGACGGACGGGTACGCGGCCGCCTGGACGGTGCCGTTTGCCGCCCGCGCCTACATCGAGATGATGCAGTGTCGCGCGGAGAAGCAGCCGCTGGTGCGCGTGCTGGTCAACGACCGTGTCATGCCGCTGCACGGCTGCGCGGTGGATAATCTGGGCAGGTGTAAGCGGGACGACTTTGTGGAAGGACTGAGCTTTGCGCGGGCAGGAGGGAACTGGGCTGAGTGTTTCTGATGTACATGCTGTAGTTAGCTTCGAGTCCTGAAGTACCTTCTGTTACTCTACCTACTCCATATTTGTCCTCAATCCACTTCTCCTTCAATTATTCCCCCCACCAACCCACACAACTGTCTCTTTTATACATCCTTCTCACCATGGACTCAGACGCAGATACAGACGCAGGCGCAAACGCATCCGAAGAAACAACAGACTCGCCCGAACACAGCACCTCCACCACCACCCCCAAACCAATCCTCCTCCTTATCTGCCCCCACGGCCAAACCTTCTGGTCCCGCTTCCGCCGCACCCTCCTCAAGCTCCAGCGCGACGCGCAACTCGTCCACGCCGCCGACCTCCCCATACTAGACACCCACCTCGCCACGCACACCGACAAACCGCCCACTATCGCAGGGATCCTGATCACCGACGCGAGCATCATGAACAGCAGCGAACCATGCACATCCCTCTCGACCCGGCTCGCCACGCTCGCACACACATACCCTGTGATCTTTGCGTTCGACTTCCCAGCGCAGGCCGCGCGGCGCCCGCTGCTCTTCGCGCGGTACATGCGAACCACCTTCGGGCTGGCGTGGCAGATGGCCGGATGCACGACGGATCGGGTGGAGCTGAGGCTAGGGCGGGGTGTGTTGTGGATGGCGCAGGGGCGGGATTGTTGGCGGTATTGGTATGAGATGAGGGCTGTGGTTTTGAGGGGCGTCGAGAGCGAGGATAAGGTGCTTGTTGTTACTGGGGTTCGGGCCGGTGGACAGCCTGAGGATGAGGGGATAGCGGGGAGTGAGAGAGGGGACGCGACTAGCACCACTGATGACGGGGACGATGATGATGAGGAGGAAGAGGAGGAGGAGAATGAAGATGGAGATGGGGATGGAGGTGAGGATTATGGGCTCGAGGGGACGAATGCGTCATCGCCTGGGTCGAAAGGCACAAGATCGCAGCCTGGTGATGAAGACGCGCACGAAGAGGACTGGGCCGACGATGAGATGAGGGCCGTGCCGGAAGTAGCTTCAGGGATGTCCAGGTCAATGTCCTCGTCGGGTGAGCCTGCAGGCGGTAGAGACGAAGACTTGAGCCACGACGAGGACCTAGCGTTGACCGCAGACGACAATCTCCCAACATTAACTAATTACAGCTATGTCCTATCCGACGATGGAACCAGCCGTGTCCCGTCATACATCGAACACACTATCGATGAGACGCAGGTGGCCGACAGCGCGGTGGTGTTCCACGAGGTCGCAGACCCAGCTGCGCAGGAGACAGGCACGGTGCGCGGCTACGTCGGGTTCGTCGGACACGTCGAGGACAACCGGTCGATGAGCTCGATCATCCTGGGAATGTGTTTTGTCCCGCCGTTTGCTGCGTAGCCTGGCGGATGAGTATTCCTATGTAGCTCCATGCGTGTATCACTAGCTTGAATACCAACAAGAAAATGAATTGACGCCGATGCAGTGTGTAATGTACAGATAGAACAAGAGACAGAGACAAATCACTTCCCATCATCCTCTTCCCTTGCACTCGGCGGCGTCACCAGCCGCTTCTGGCTCTTATTCCCATACGCTAGACCCGTTAGCACAATATACATCAGAAGAATGAATGGCGATACGCACTCCGCTCATACAGCACCCAAGACGTATACATGAACACCGGCAAAGCCACAATCGTCGAGATCCATCTACACCCGTCAGTTCAGCGTCTCATTCAAGCCAGTCAGTCAGTCAGCACGAGACATACCGCCGCGCCGCGACTTTGTATTCCTTCGTCTGGCGGATGTCGCGCGGAGCCTGGATGGGACCCGGCGCCGGTCGTCGGTGCACCTGCGGGTTCATGACCACCCGTGGTTTGTTGTCTCTTGGGGACGCCATGGAATCTATCTTGAATGGGATCGTTGTGGAAGATGAAAGCCGGAAAGGAATTTGGATTGTTGGATGTAGTTGGTTGTATGGCTTTTGCATGGGGGTTTCTTGGCGTCATGTGACTTTTTCATCCCTACGCTACAAAGTACAGACGGGATATACTTGGAGTGCATAATGGAGCTACCATAATATATTCGTGGTGTACATAGACTATGCAAAGCCGGATGCAGAAGAGAAACAGTGAATGGCCCAATTATACAAAATAAATATACACCTTTTGACCCCCTCTATATCAATCCAGCTCAGCTCCGCCCCCAGCCCTACCAGGCCAGTGCCCACAAAAGATGAAGAAAGATAATACACGAAGATGAAGTCGAGATAGAATGGAACGAAAATGTCAAGAAAACGACAACGCCAGCGACTGGTCACGACCCATCTCGAAAATATGCTATGCTTTTACCGTAACCGGCCATAACTCCGCTGCCCTAGGTCGAACGCGTGAAAGTAAATGTTCATCATTTGATTGAAGGATGCAGTTGTCCATTGAAGAGTCACTCCAAGTCCGTGAGAATGATGATAGCTATTCATCTCTGGTGGACACGGGCGTCCTCGGGTCAGGACCATTGACTTCCTTCCCCGTGGATTTCCGGCTGCGGCGTCGGGCTTTGCGGGCTCGCTCTTCCGCGCTCTGTTTAGACCCGGCCATCATGGCGGCCGCTGCAGCCCGACGAGGACGACCGCTGGGCGTTTCGTTCTGATGAGATTCACCGGCAGACGGGTTTTCGCGAATCGCCGATGGGGTCTCGGGTGTAGATGGCGCCCCGTTGGGTTTGCCTTCATCCGGCTTCGGCTTGTTCGTTTCAGGCGAGCGCCTCTTGATTTTGATCTTCTGAGGCCATGGTTTCGGCTCATCGAGCTTGGGGCTCTTCCGGGCCCTTTCTTCCGTGCCGCCACTTTCAACCTCAGAATGTGGGCGCTTCTTCGATTCTTTGGCATGTTCCCCCGCCTTGTTTGCGTCGTTCTGCTCCTCCTTCTTCGGAGGGAGGATCCTAAGTTTGACGAGGGGCTTGTTACGCCGCCGCCGACGCTTTTTCGGGGCCTCAGCGTCGTTTGCAGCACTGCCGCCGGTTTTGTGCTCCGACGGAGGTACAGGCGCGTTCTTGGGTACTTTTACTTTCGTACTGCCGGACATGTCTTTGCTTGGTTTTGTCTTTGGGGTCTCCGCCACAGTTTTGCGCTCCTTGATTTTGAGCTGGGATGCAGGCTTCCTTTCCTTTGTCTTGGGAGGTTCGGCGGCAGTCTTTTCCCCCACCGCCTCGGACCCAGTTTTACTCTGTTTCCCATCCTTAACCCTTTTTTGAGAACGCGGCGTGGGGTTAAGCTTGGATGCAGGGGTGGGTTGAGGCGCAGGACTCGGTGCAGTCGGTCCTGTAACGGTCTTGCGGCGTCTTTTTGGTCGACTGTCGTCCGGGGTCTCCGGAACGGACCCATTCAGATTCTCTTCAATGACCGGATCAGTGCGTCGTCGACGCTTGCGAGACTCCTTTGGTTTCGCATCTTTCCGGTGTTTAGCCTCCGAACGCATGTTGGAGGCCTGTGGGGACGCTGGAGAATCGTGCTGGGCGATCAAAGCCTCAATATCACCCACCGACATAGACCGGTTCGTGGCAATGCCCCTCTTCCGGGCTTCCTCGCGAGCTTTGATCTTAGCCTTTTCCTCGTCAACGTCCTCCACGAAAAAAGGACTATCCATATCACGCGGCAAGTTGCGCTCACCAATGCGAGGCGGGAAGCCATAGATCTTGTCCTTTTCGATCTGCTCGCAGGACTTGAGCCGGATAGGCGGCTGAGGCAGCGCATCATCTCCGTAGGTGTTGTTTGGTCTGACCCAGGTATAGCCTACAGGTATGCCGAGGAGTTCTTCCCCAAATTCATTGAATTGGCCTGCGTGCGTCCAACCATCCTTGTCAGTCCACGAACTCGAAGCGTTACCAACAGTAGATGGATGGTTAGGAGGTGATGGCATACTTTCTCCTCCCGCCTTTCCTGCGTCCCCAGCAACTGAAGTTGGCTCTCCTCTTTCTTTCTCACGCCTGTATTTCTCTCGCAGCTCTTTGAGCCAAGTTTTGGCTTTCTTGTTTGGTGGGGAGTCGGTCTGAACGGCAGTAGACGCCATCTCAATCAGTCTTCGAGCGAGATCAATCACATCTAGTTGCTGGCTAGATGGCGCGGGAGTGGGTTGGCCTGACGCCGTATCGGACAGCTGGGTAGATTTCGCTCTGTTGCTGCTTTGTGACTGAGTGCCCTCACCGGAAGGCCTGGGAGTGCGAGTGCGGTTGCGCCGGAATTTCTTCTCAGACTCAAAAGATTCCAAAGCTCTGATGGTGGGCTTCCGGGTCCGGCCCGAGGTGCGCGCCGCCGCCGAGGTGGTCGTAGAAAAGCTAGTGGGAGAGGCAGGAGGGTCCATTTGCCCGTCTAACCCGTAGTTGTTGCGGTACATTTCGGTGTCATAATCGAAGTGGAAGCTGTTGTCATAGAGATGGACTGGAGTCGCCTCGACACTGTCGGCGATCTCGGGGCTGTAGGAAACTTGCTCCATAGGTTTGGGTTTGGACAGGACGGATTCCAGCGCCTTGCGGCTCAAGGTAAGAGTGACCATATTACTCTTTCGAGGTTTCTTTGTCGATTCGGTGTCGGTGGAGCCCTTGCTTGCAGACCCAGCTTTGTGGCTGTCAGCGCCGTCAGAGACGATTGCGGTCTGCGAGGCCTCTTTGCCCTTGTCTGACAAGGCAGGTGTAGCGGTAGTGGTAGACTGGCGATTACGGCGGCGAGTTCTAGTCGACGACCTATTATTCGGGCTGGACCGGCTAGTCTTTTCGGCGGGTGTGGCTAAGTTCACACGCTCCAGAGCATTATTCTTTGCCATTCTAGAGACAGAAGAAGTGGCAGCGGCCGGTGGAGGTTTGGGGTGCGGTGTGGTTGAGGGATCCATGGCCTGTTGAGAAACGGCCATTGGTCCCAATCTTTGCGCGAGGATTGAGGGGTGGCGGACCGAGGAGTAGACGTGCCCGATCGAGTACCGTTGATGTTCTCCGGCATAGACTGTCGAGGCCTGCGCCTCGTGGATGCAGAGGATCGGGCGGGTGATGGTTCTTTGGATTTAAGCCCGCTTTGAGCTGAGTCCGTCCGTCCAGTCTGTGAGGCTGCAGCCCCACGGTGCTTTAGTCGAACAATAGTCGATCGAGGCTGCTCCGGCTGACCATTAGATATTGCAGCAGAAGAAGTCGGAGTGGGAGCTCGGGAGATATCAGAAGCCGTGGTCGAGGCAGCGTCCCCGTTGGCGGTATCTCGCGTACGACTACGACGCTTCTTTGACACACTGCTCGGCACATCCGACAAGTCGGCGGCGTGCCTCAAACCTGAGGTCCCAGTACGCGCGTTTGGGTCCGATGGTTTCTCGCTGTAACTGAGAGAGCGTCGCCTGCTGCGCAACTTGCCTGATGCGGCGTCCTCGAAAGAGGAAGTAATGGGAGTGGAGGGAAGAGAGTAAGCAGTGCGAGATTGCTGGAAGGAGGCCGAATCTGGCTCTTGAGTGGCTTTGCGAGAAGCACGAGAAGAGCTGCGCCGAGTGGTGGACTGCGATAAATGTTAGACGGAAGATTTAGGTGAGAGATGTAGAAGGGTAGCGGGGAAAGCTGCGGAGCGGGGGGTAACCATAGGAATTGGACAACATAGTACGCATGCGGAGCACCAGGACAATAAAACAGCAATAGAAATACAAAATAGGAGACACTTACAGGAGTCGAGCCTCTGGTGGAGGGAGCAGGAGAACCCTTCATCTCATGAGCAAGAGAAGTTCTGCCCATCACTATGGACTGATCGTTAGCATTCTCGCCTCTTCATGAGGGACATTCTACGTCACCACAAGCTGACCAGTCCAGACTTACTTTTGTCCAATCCCGACTGCTGACGTTAGGAGTATTCTCAATGATATCTCTTTCTTCCCCGCGGGTTTCCTAGTATACAGGATTCATCGGCGCTTCGTCCGAGGTACCGGGTTGCGACACGGTCGTGACAGGAACTAGCGGTTTTCTTGACAAATGCCGTCGCTGAAGTCGGAGCCACAGGTAGGAGAACAGATATTGGGTATATCTTGTGGACTGGAGCAGGCATGGTTGTTAGCTTGGTTGAACGGCACGGGCTGCTTCGGAAACCAGGAACGGACACTCCTTGCGATGAGAAACGGCCACAACAGCCACAAACCCACGACGTTTACAACCCGGGAAATGCAGACGTACCATTCAACACCCAGAAATGTTGTATATAGCAATCAGAATTGCCCCAAGACAAATAGTAGTCGCAACTACAGCGTGACCGTCGGGGCACCAGAGGCGAAGGAGTCGGAACGCAGGGCAAAGATATAGCGGCGCAACGCCTCGAAATCTAGATGGATGCGATATCGGACATGATGGAGCGATGGAGCAGCGACTGGCGAGCCGTTTGAGTATATTCGGAGACACCGTAGCGTTGTAGCAAAGCCAGAAAAGCCGTTGACGAGCGAAGAAGAATTGTTTGACCGTCGACTGACGACGATGCCGGCCGGGAAATTAGGGCTTGCAAAGGCGGGTGCAAGGTCACTGGACCGTTGCTTGCCCCAAAGCCGCGGGCGCTTATCTTAGCGCAGCTTCCGCCTTTCATCTGGACACCTCTCCAGCGCGTTCCTCTTTCTCCCCTCATTCCCAGCTGTTCTCTTCTTGTCATCGGTCGGTCGGTCACAATGCAGCTCTGGTCGTCTCTTCTGTCACTTGGTCTGCTGGCGTCAACTGCGCTTCCGACCGCCGCAGCATCCGCTTGGGGTTTCACTGATGCCACCGTGTCAGTTCACTCCAAAGGTTCCGGAGTTGGCGCTGGACTTAAAGAAAAGTATGTACAGCTTGTGCTTTATCGTTGATACTCTCTCAAGACAAGTCCATCTAATTTGACACCAATTGGTAGAATTCCCGATAACAAGGGCCTCTCGAAACCCATCGCTCTCGGAGACACCGACACCCTCAAGATCACCCTCACATCGCAAGACGGCAGCACCGCCAAACGCGCGCATCAAGTCTTCCTCTTCCTTCAGGACCCGCAGACCGGCCTCGATATTTCGTACCCGTTCAGCGTCAAGGACAATGGCAAGGCACGAGTGGAATTGGTAAGCTCGACTGGATACGGCCAGCTATTGTTTGGACGGCTCTGACCTGCCATGCTAGACCCAAAAAGATCTCCCTGTCCAATTCCTTTCCGCGTCGGAGCCCCTAGATGCTCGATTCTTGATTGGTTCCTTTGGAAACTCGAAAGCATACAATGAGGCTGCGTTCCAGCTTACGGTGGCTCGCGACGCAAACGTGCCGGTCCCGTCGGCGGAGAGCGCAAAGTACGGCAAGCTCCCGGAGATCCACCATATCTTCAAAGACGACCCTCGGAGCCCTCCCATTGTGATTACACTGGCGTTTGTCGGAATGGTCCTAGCTACTCTGCCTCTCCTGGCTGTAGTGGTGAGTCCCGTATTTCGTAGCCACTGACTCTGCGCTAACTTGTCTTAGTGGCTCTTCCTCGGCGGCAATGTCAGCCATCTCCCGACTGCTTTCAAGTCGTCTCCCATTCCTCACGCCGTTTTCCTCGGCTCTCTCTTCTCGATCGAAGGGATCTTCTTCCTCTACTACACCTCGTGGACGCTGTTCCAAATCCTCCCGGCGGTTGCTGTGGTCGGCACGGTCGCGTTCATCAGTGGCAGTCGCGCATTGGGCGAGGTGCAAGGCAGACGTCTTGCGGGCCTCCGGTAAACTAGGCTGGTACGGGTTTACCAGCTGGTTCGAGCTCTGTATCTTTTCCGACGCGACCCTTATGGCTGCCACGCTTTTCTGACAGCGGTTCAATTAGCTCTCAAGTGTATGATTGGAGATCATTCTAGATATCTATGTCTGACCCATCACAAATAATCTTCCCCCTAGTAGAGCTTCAATAACATGTACGGCGTACTCTGTAGATATAGTTCCAAGCTCCTGACGTCACCCGCGCGGCTGCGGCGCTGCCCGATTTGGCTAGTTTGCCCGCGCGCCTTTCGCGGAAGGCTTTCACTGTGAATAACCGTGATTGAACTACAACCTCCAGATTCAAGCCCTAACAGACACCATGGGGTCATCGTCTTCGAAACCGGTGCGCTCTGCCGCGCAAGCCGCCTCTCGACGTCAATATCCGAAGCAGCCCACCGCGACGCCACCTCCCAGGCCTTCTCCCGCGGCGCCGCCGAAGCCTCGTCAAGCACCAGAGTCCGCGCCTCGCGGACCGACATATCACTCTAAGGAACAGCCGTCAACAGTAAAATCAGCTGGTTCGTGCAATTCCTGCGTTACTTAGTCCAGTATGCGGTAGTGGTGGTGGTAGAAGCATCGTTCAACCCGGACCATCCAACCGCGACCACAAACGACAAAAAGCTAACCACACGCAATGGCACAGGCATCGAACTCGATGGCCGCGACCCCGACTTCGCAGCTTCGCTCCGAAAGATTGGACCCGTTACGCCCACGCCCACCCTCTCACACTCCAGCACCTTCACGCAGCAACACCCGTCCGGACCGCCGCAGGGCGAATCTGTGCAGACCGTCTTCCCGTCGGCATCAAACCCGGCCTTGCTGGTGTTTACGGCTCGCCAGCGGGTTGCGAAAGCCGCGGAGCAGGAGGCGGAAATGGTGGGCCGGCCGAACTTTGCCGGGCGAGAGTATGTCGATGCGTTTACGCTGCGGCAGGCCTTGACCATGCGCGACCGCCAGGGTCTACCGGGCGATGAGATTGAGCGGATGTTGCGGTTGAAGAAGGGGGTGTTGGAGCGGTTGGGGGGGAAAGGGGTTGTTTCGGAGGTGGCGTGATGGGTGTTGATGGGGTATCTGATTGTTGGAGTTTTTGCTGCGTGTGCAGCCTGTATTATATTTATCGTATCAATACGACGCTACGAGAAGCATAAGTATGCTGGCGTTGTGTATACCTAGTTGTCCTTAAAGAGGTGGGTTGTATAATGGATATATACATGTACCTTAGCGCACTTTATTTTTGAGGAACTTGAGGGTTTATATACAAGACAAACAATGCGATTGCTTCCCAATCAATCTGATCTAATCCGGAATATATTCCGTATACGAAGCTCTATTGTCTACCAGATCGAGCCTCGATTCACAACACCTGCGAATGGATTGACAAGTCGCGGGAGTACGGTACCCATAGTTGTGTTGTGGGCTTGTCACGCTGAGTATCAGGAACAGGAATAGGCTTTTATCATTAATGCTTCTGCACTCCAAGAGACTTGTACTTTATTAGTGTATAATTGCATCTCACTGCAGCCAGCTCATAGACAAAACACAGCGGAAGATGGATCTGGCAGAATATGACTGCCACTAAGTTGATGTCGCAACAAGTCCAGTTTTGTGGCCAGCATAAACCAATACGGAAACAAGTACCCCGTAATTCATCCTCCGATAGCATTGTACATCTTTCTTGTGACCATTGATTACCTTAGTGAATGGGTCAAGCCTATCAATAACGAACAACAAACTTCTCAATCATCATCCGCTGGCTTTCGGGTGACATTTTCGGAAGCCCTATTGGAGTTAACATCCATTGATCCGTCGGACTGATTCTTTATGCAAGAGCATCCTTAAGTCAGATTTTTTTGTGCGAGACACGGAACAAGTTTCCTTATCCAACGCCCGACAAACAGACGCACGACCCGGAATACAACCCCCATCTGCCCTTTCAGGCAGTCCCGAGCAAGTCGGACCTGATACATCCCTCCAAAAGCGAGACGCATACACTGACCTCACGAGATGGACACCCATCAATCTCACTCGATATCAGTGCCGGAGAGATGCGTTGTCCAAACCATCGGGTCGCAAGGGACGCAGCCCTCGTGCGGTCTACCGAGCATCGCTGAATCGGGCGAAGCCGCGAGATCAAATGACTCTCTGCATCTGTGTAAAGGTAGATATGTCCATTCCAGTGGTGCCGGTGCTTCTCGGGATTTTCTCGGGTGGAGGTAGTCATGGAGGGTACGGCGAGCCTATGAAATCTTATATGCTGTAGGGCTCCGAGGGGAGCCGAGCACGCATCCCCACAGGTGATCTAGTGTGTCTGGGGATTAACATGGGATTTACATTGGGACGGTGCATGCCAGCGCATCGCCTTCCACGTGAGGGTCTCATGATAAATATACACTACGACTGATGTTGTTTGGCCGATGGGGGTCCACTCATGATGACAGGCGCTTTTCGAAATGCTGGACCATTGTAATAGAATACCTCCTTCATATACTTGCGCCAGGAGAGTCTTACGGTATACAGGGGAGCATTTGAGTACATACCTGGTATCTTAATAGTGTTTGTAGAGAGCTTATATACATCTAGTTCCGAAAACATATACTAGGGCATAGAGAATACGGATAACAAAAGCTATTAAGAGAACTAGACTACGATCTTTTACAATATTGCTAATAGATAAAAGAGCTACCGACATAGGTAGAACTATAGAAATAACTTATATTTAGTTTCCTTAACAACAGAAGGGCAAAAAGAAAAGTAAGACTGCCTCGAAGTACAACAAACTATACTATGCAAATATTAAATATTGCCTATCTTTCTTTCTTTTATGTTTTCTTTACTCTCTTCTCTTTATATTGGACTCTCCGACGAGTCTTTTACTTCTTTATCTTGCACGAGACTTTACGCTATCAATAGAGCAAGTTCCAACCAGACATATCCTACACCCCAGATTCCCCTCGGAAAATACGTGCTACCCATCGTGAGTCCGAGGAGAATAAAGGTGACATGAGCTCGGATCAACGCTCTGTGTCAAGCTGAGCCCTTATACCTTACGTCCCATTAGGTGCCTCAGCATCTTCTGCGGTAACAGGGAGGAAGACGGCCTTGGGGGCAAAGGGAAAATCGCACTAGGTACGCCTAAAGCAGTACGGCAAAGGACCCGACGACATAAAACCTATGAACAAGAGCAGTGCTTCCTCTGGGAGAAATCTCTGCGGCGTGGTCTGTTTACCAACTGGATGGCAATCACATTATATGGAGTATGGGGAAGCAGAAGGAGATCAATCTAACAACATGATGGGTGTGGCACAGACACCAGCATCATCTGACGAAGAGGAGCCTAGATAGATTAGATGACGAAAGCAAAAGATGCACTCTTCCACGCAGCCTGATCCGTGGATCCATCAAGATCGGAAAAACGTCTTTTGGAGACTAAGAATGCACAACTCCGTGCTATAGATAGAAATAAACAGCAATAAGCCGTTATAGCAATCCTGCGTTGCCTTAGCACTCAGCCTTTGCAATATCGACGCGCATGTTTTCCATCCAGTCCTTCCATACGGATCGAGAGAAACCCGTGCGAGGCTTCAACACCAAACCAGCCGAGATAACGGTGTTAATATGCTCGTATTTGGAGATACTGTAGAGGAAGGAGCCCTAACCCACCAGCGAGTATCCCAGAGCCACTCTAAAGATATAGAATTTCCACCTGTGTCTTGTATAGAAGCAGGAGCCCCGTCTCATCCAGATTCGCGAGTAAGCCAGAGTCTGCAACGCAGTATCATATAGACACCTGTTGGCATATCCATAGGAAGAAGACCCCTGCCTATGTCGATTAGACATCCATCCTCGCCAATTGGTGCTCCCCTTCGTATTCAATCCCATTTCCCATCCCTTGGGGTATACTAGCATGTCTGGTGCTCGAAACGGCAATGCCCGGATCAATCTATATCGCCGGACGGTATCGAAATCCACCAAACGAGATCAAGGTCAGGGTCGAGATCGTTTCTGGTAATCCCGGTCTGGCTGGCTATATCTGCCAAGAGTGACCGAGTCAGCTAATGGCCACGTAAGGAAAGTCTAATATTCCCAACGTGTCCGAGTCGCTACGGGCCCAACAATGACGCCCATTGTTCTTGTGACCGGTTCTACCCCAACCCTGGCGGGTGGAGGGGTTGTTTGGGTCGCGTCAACTGTTGATGTCATGGAGGCGCAACCCGGGATCGAATGATTGCCATCGCTCTAGACCGTCAGCCAGGCTGGACATTTCTCTCGGAAGGGAGTGACTTACCAATGTATAGGACTGTCACTGATCCTGTCAGAGTTGAAACGTTTCTTCCCAGGAAATACGTGACTGCGATGATCGATTAGGCTGAATGTGGGTGTGGGTCATGCGGGGGTGGGGCTGTCAGATCGGACACTAAGTGGAACAGCAATGCAACCTTAGTCGGTAGTCTACAGCAGTCGGTAAACAACACTGGCCAGGTCTCCGTGACAGCATTAGATTAGGAAATAGTAGGTAGGTACATAGTAGATACAGAAGGTCCCGTGAGGGGAAAACAAACGGTCTAAATCCGCCACCAGCAACGAGTCATCAAATCCGGTGCCGACATACCCGGGACGCTAAAAACAAGGAAAACCGGAAAAAACATCAATCAGACAAGAGAGCCAACCCGCTCTTCGTAACCCGATACCATAACCGGTCAGTAACCGGGATCAACCACACTCGCTACCCCAACGCCATGCATCGAAAAGGGAAAAAGACAAGAGAATAGAAGAACGAAAGTGACGGTCCGGCGGGCTGTCTACCAGGCGGCGTGGCCACCGTCAATGCGGAGATCGCTGCCCGTCATGAAGCTGCTGGCGTCGCTGAGGAGGAAGACGGCGGCGCCGCGGTACTCGTTGGGCGTGGACAGACGACCCAGCATGTTATGCTTGGGCCATTCGTCGCGGCGCTCGGGGAACTGCTCGAACAGCTTCTCGACCATGGCAGTGACAATGTAACCAGGCGAGATGGTGTTGACCCGGATGTTGTACGGACCCCACTCTGCGGCAAGGTTGCGGGCGAGCTGGATCACGGCGGCCTTGCTAGCGTTGTAGGCGGGACAGATGAGACCCTAGTATGAAGTCAGTATGTTGAAAGCGACTTGAGATGACAAGGATATGACAAAAGACAATGAAAAAGCGGGGAAGTAGCCGATCCTCTGGGCTCGCAATCATCCAGGGATGGATGCGGGGAACGTACCCGATTGGCGATGGTGCCACTCATGCTAGCAATTAGTGCGATGCTACCGCCGTTTCCAAACCGAATCATTTGCTTGGCGACCGCCTGGGCGGTCATAAACACTCCAGTCACGTTGACTTCGAACATAGTGTTTGCATCCTTGGCCGTGTACTCGAGGGCCGGGGTTTCTTGCTGGATACCGGCGGCGGCGACCAGTCCATCCATGCGGCCTTCGGCCGTGGCAATGGATTCGATAGTGCTGTTAAGGAGTTCCGTGTCACGGACATCGATGCGACGGTATTGCAGCACCGTGCCCAGTTCCTCTGTGGCACGCTTCTGGATTTCGTAGAATTCGGGGGCCTGTACCATTTACTGTCAGAAAGGCAACACATATGCGGTGCGCGGACTACTTACGGGTTCTTCCAGACGATCGAGCGCGTAGACTTTGGCACCGGCTTCCAAGAGGGCTTCAGCCTGGGTCAGGCCCAGACCACGCGCGCCGCCAGAGACGCAGACCACCTTGCCCGCCAGACTGAACTCGGGCATTCTGGACTTGGAGCCGAGACAGGGGTCGACCTGGCTGACGGGGGCGGGGGAGACGTCGTTGGTTTCGATGGAGACGGACATGATGAAGGGCAAAGAGTATCACAGACTATAATGTAGACGACGGATGGGGTGAGATGGCACAGGGTATAGTTTGGTAGCTCTGAACTCTGGGCTCTGGAGGATGGACTGGGAGGAGGGTGGAAGACGGAAGGAATCAATTGATGATGATGAGAGAGAAGAACGAGCCAGAGAAGAGGTCTTAAATAATGGTTCTGGGAGGCAGTGGAAGGGATGGACTGCATGGGGAAGTCATGAGGGCTCATGTGAGCCCGAGAAAACTTGGGTCCAGACTGGGCGGATTAGGATATGGCCGGTTGGTTCCACCGCTGGTCACTTGCCGGCTTCGTGGCAATCTCTACCTCCTGTAGGTAAAATGTGTATTTTATTCTTTTTCTATCTATTTCTGTGTTATCGTTCACCAGATCTATACCATTGGACGAATTGTGAAAAGTGTGTATTGTGTTGATATCCCCCTACCAGGCTACCAACAACTTCTATATCTATATCAACTGAGGTCCTAGCAATCACCCTTTGCTAAACATATATTATAATCCACTGAACAAGACATAGACCAGGTTCAATCCGTCATAGGCATTACAGGGACGCTCCAGATTGATTCATCCCTTTTCGTCTCAAAACATCCGTTACAACGAGTGGCAGTGGTGATAGTCCCGGATTGCCCAAAGAGGTAATCCGGGGGAGATCTCGGCAGCGGAGCGGATTGGTCGGGGCGCGGGGACCAGCGGTCACGGGGCCAGGCCGGGCAGTTCTGGAAAAGACGGACGATCACGTCGAACATTCCATCGAAACAAGCATTGCGCTCCCATGAACATTCTCGAATCTGACTTACGACGAGATGTACACTATCTTGCTTTTCTACTCCTCTCTCCTCTCCGTCGTTCAGATTCTCACTCCATGAACAATGACCTCAAACAACCGTCATAGTGGGGATCCCGATCGGCCATCCGGGGCGGATCCGTGGTTGTGCCTTGTGACTGACAGACTTTGAACACCATGGGGTGGCGTCCTAGCTTGTTACCCTTCTGGGAGCTTCCGCCATCTGGAGAGCCTTCTCGCTACCCCGTGACGGCGGCTGGAAACATTTCTCCCGGAATTGGCCAATAATTGCTGGTCACCGCATGACCGATACTATCGGAATTTGTCTAATACCCAGTCTAATCCATTGATATTATTAACATCAAGTCTATCTTTACGAAAAGCAAATACATTCTTAACTAAGCGCTGGGTTCTAGACATTGGGCGATGCGTCCAGTGTATCTTGTTGGATGAAAGACTGCATAGCCTTGCATCTTAAATGGCAATTGAATATACCACGTAGATTCCAGATGAATCCGGGGCTCCAGACATTGTCTCTCACAATAGAACCGGGAAAGACCGAAATAGATCGGTTGGTCCGTGCCTGGACCAGTCCAGCCTCGATCGACCGCTGCCATGTGACCGGCAGAGTTTGCTCCACTTTTGTAGTTGTCCCTTATACTCCGAACGATCCAGCACTTTCCAGGGTCAGGCACCTTATTGCCGGGCTGACGTGGCCTCAATGCGCCGAGGGTTGTTATCGCTGACCGTGTCGAAGACGGAACAGTCCCTTGCGATTACCAGGAACAACTCCAACTGTCCCTAGCGTGGGGTACTCCAGGTGACCTGTCTCCTCCGAGGATGTTTGGCTTACGATATGGTCTTATCGACATGATGTTACAATTGCTCAATGGGACGCTATCTTTCTTTATGTTGAACAACACGTTGTGCTCTATTCCGTTTGCGACCCATTGGACATGCTGTGCCATTGACAACTAGATCCCCACAATACAGGGAGAAACTGACTACTACAAGATTTGAAGACTAATGTGAGGCTATAGATTATTTCACTAAGCAGAATACATTGTGCGACTCGTGGAAACCTACCACGTCTACTCATAGACGACTTTCCTATTCTCACAACCCCAAGCCATTACAGCCGCGGCATGGCCGGATATTCATTATTGCCGCAACCCCGCAGTCTCGCATCAACTCCCACCATGAGATGTAAAAGTGCATCGCAACAGCCCAGCCAGGCCCTCTTGCGCGCTTTCCCTCCCGCACGATGTCTCTAGAAGCAGAGGTCGCCCACTTCAACTCCATCCCATGGGTCGCGAACCTCCTCCGCGATGACAGCTACGCGCTCATCCCCACACGCACGCGCCATCAAAACGAGTCCCTGAAATCAGAAGACTTCTTCTTCGCCAGGGCACTAAACACCCCAACCACAATCTCCGCCTGTATAATGCAGGTCAAACCCCCACAAGCAAGCCGTCCGAAACCACCGAATGCCTCGTCATCGCCCGTCACGCCCGCCGAGGAAATCCGCGCCTTCTTCACGGTCGGCGAGGACGTCATGGGCCCGCCGGGGGCCATGCACGGCGGCGCGGTGGCTAGTATTTTAGACCAGGTGCTGACCGAGCTGCTCATGGCGGGCGGCCATTGCGGATGGGTCGTGGATCGCGCGGAGAAGCTGTTCGAGGGGCCGGTCACGGCGTACCTGAACACGACATATGTGCGGCGGGTGCCGGCGCCAGGCACGGTGGTGGTTTATGGGCGCTTGAAGGAGGCCATTGAGGGTCGGAAGTGGAAGGTTGAGGGCGAGATTCGGGATTCTGAAGACCGGGTGCTTTCGAGGGCGGAGTGTTTGTTTGTGAAGATTAGTGCGAAGCTGTAGGTCTGCCCCTGGTGGGTTTGATCTGGAATAGAAAGGTAGTGTATATACTTGATGGATTGATGCATGACACTTTTGTATATGCAGAAAGACAGGTAAGGCGATATTAGAAAGGTTAGATGCCTAACGGTCAGTGTGGCTGAGCGCAAGGCTGAATCGCAACTAACTACCTAGGTGTTCATCATAAATACTCCCACAAGTCCCATCCTACACTACATACACCTCAAGGATCTAGCCATGGCAAGTCCTCTCGGAGAGTTCCTCCCTGCGCAAGCCCCCCATGGCGCGACATCTCGTCGCATCGACTTTGTCACTTGCTCCCCTCCCCTCCCTGAATACAAGAACCTCTCCGCCATCATCATCGACAATGTCCTCACAGGACCCGAATGCAAAGAACTAATCCGTCTAGCGGAATCATCCACTCCCACCTGGACGCGCGCGACAATCAACGGAGGAAACGGCAAACAAATCCTAGCCACAGACGAGCGCAACTGCGGCCGAATCATCTACGACAGCCGCACGCTAGGCGACAAACTGCTCGCGCGACTGCTGCCCTTCCTCCGGGAGCATGGCATTGATCGCATAGAGAACGCACCCCTAGTCACTGGGCTTGCAGGACGCAACAAGACGTATCGTCTCACGCAGCTGAACGAGCGTCTGCGTTTTCTTCGCTACGAGGGAGAGGAGTATTTTCGTCCCCATTGTGATGCGCATTATACCACGCCTGACGGGCGGGAGAAGTCATTTTACACGGTTCATTTGTATCTGAGCGGGGAGGGGAGCCAGGATGCGGAGGAGCTGCGACAGGCTGAGATGCGTGTGGGAGAACAGGGTGATGTTAATCTGGATGTGGAGGGTGCGCTTCTAGGAGGAGCGACGTCATTTATGCCTCGGTTTGAGGAGCAGGAGAGACAGCTGCGGGTTTTTCCAATGACAGGGTCGGTGCTGGTGTTTCAGCAGAAGAATCTGCTGCATGGAGGGGATCCGGTGTTCCGCGGGACGAAGTATACCATGCGGACGGATGTTATGTATCAGCAGGAGTGATCATCTCTTGAATTGCGCATTGATATTGAAGACAGAAGAACAGCGCGATGTTGCCATGGTGTATGTCTAGGACAGTACATATTCTCGAGGAAGAGATTTCGAAATTCATAAGGATGTGTTTTGGTATCGACAAGACCGTGATGACAAATTGTAATCATTTGCTCTGATCAGGCAGCTTACGTGCAGCTAATGAACCACATAGTAACCTCAGAGAAATATTGATATTGAATAGAAATACGTCCTTGTTATCTTCCAGATAATAGTAACCTTGGTAATAAGAAGAGCCGTAGCAATATTGAATATGTCTGTCAATCAGATTTAGATTGCAGTTCAGTTAGATGACGCTTGGTTTGTAGATATCAGGAGAAGATGGTAGCTAAGATCTCCCCGTTAGAAATATTTGCAATGACTTATAATACAGAAAGGGCATTGATATGTTTCCGCATGTTATGTATTGGTCTCATCCACAGAGGTCATGATGAACCTCTTGAAGCATCACCACAACGGATTTCGAAAGAACATGAACCTGACCCAGATTAGTATAAATTAGCAGCGTTCGCATGAGACTTGTTGTATGACTTGCAGAGTCCCACCACGCTATGATAGAAATGTCCGAAAGTACATAAGCACTGCCGGGTTGAATCAATGGTGGCCCACTATTCGATATCTCCTCTATTGATGTTGTATGGTGTACATACCAGGAGGAAGAGGTCCATTCAAAGAAAGGGGTAGATTTTTATGATGATGCGTATGACCAGTAAGCAATGTCATGGCAACCTCAACCCCTTTCGCCCTTCGACCGTCCTCGAGATCCAGATCTGACATGGCACATTCGTGAATTGGTCGACAGAAGTTGGTATAAAAGGAACGCTGCCTATTATCCTCCGCGTAGTTGGCCACTATATGTTCGTTCCAGGAAACGAGACACTCGACCATGCCACTCCAGCATTTCCAAGCGGCCTTGGAGCCGGTTCTCCTATTCGGCTGGAAAGATATCAAGATGCGCTTAGGGCCAACATAATGACCATAATCAACCTGAGTGTTCTGTTGACGGACATATTGATTTTCCTAAAATATACGTTCGCACCCATCTTCCAGTACTTCGTCAATTGATTGGCTACCACTGTCTGTATCGACGACGATGACCTTCTCTATCAACACCTGCTGCAATGGATGATGGAATATCAACCCCCGAGTCCAAGATCCTGCTTCTTGAGCGCTATAACTAAGAAGATAGTATTGCAGACCGGTGAAGAAAATGTGCTTAATTTGGCGAGCAGCTCAAGACTCAAAGTGCAGGTCAATTCATCAACTACCGGACTACCGTGGAGCAGGCTCCCATCCGTTGCAACCACTTCAAGGCACGCACCTCTTTCGCCATCAGCTGATACTAAGAACCCCCTTTGTCTTATCTTTTATGCGTTAAGGCCTGGGCTAAACGACTCAAATATAGAACAGAAAGATGTATTGAAAGGTATAAAAGGAAAGGAGATTACTCACCACTTATTTTTCTCAGGGGATATGTATCGTGACCCTCCTCATTTCGCTTAGACTTCATTTTGCATTGTTCTTATTATTGAGAGGGAATGAAATAATTCAGCATAAAACTGCCAAGAGTCACACAGTAGGCAACATTATTATTGTGTCTCCTTTTGATTTGTCCCCTGAAGTCTTGTTTCCGCCGTGCCATGGGCCCTACCCGCTAGTGTCTTAGGGCTATCCTTGGCAGTCCTCAACCCTATGAAAGACTCATGAATGACCTCACAAATGCCAATGTACAAGGCATGCAGGTTTCCATTGGCATGCCCTGCTGGATCAATCAGGCGTTTTATGTATCCTGTCAATGCCGTTTGCCCCCACAGGCATACTGTCGAGTAACAAAGACACCTCAAAGACACCTCAAAAACACATCAGGTCTCAGCCACAAGCAGGCCTCCCCGCCCGGAAGTCTCGGAGCAGGGCATTCTTTTTGACATCATGGATCTGAACACATGTGCAACCCAGCCACGGTTCCTCGGCTCTGCTGCCCCAATGACAATCAACAGTGCTTGCAGACAGGTCGCTAGTTGCGATCGCCCCAAGGGCTCCGGCGGGCTTGGCTGAACCCTGGGGCCTCTCATGTCACCGCCACCCCTGGCTAATAATATTGTTAAATTGGGCACCCTTCCCAGGGTTGGATTTTTGGATCGCTTTGTTCCTGGAGTTTGAACCGGGGGAGCAGTCTAGACATCCCCATGATGAAGCCCACCACGATCGCTGTGGTTTTGGCTGGGTTGCTGTCCGGTAGGTGGAAGTCTTTTCCTTGGGCGCGCATCCCTATCTAAAACCCACCATTCTAACCCTTCCACCGCAATAGGTGCCACCGCTGGCTCGGACCTCACGGTTGAACGGGCGGTGGTGCAACGCGCCCTGCCTAATGCCCCCGATGGATATACGCCCACCTCGGTCAGTTGCGCCGCCAGTCGTCCTACCGTCCGGAGCGCCGCGCGCCTCTCCTCGAACGAATCGTCATGGCTCGAGACTCGCCGGGATAAGACCTTGAATGGCATGAAGGATTTCTTCAACCATGTCACCATCCCCGATTTCAACGCCGTTCAGTACATCGACCGTATTTCGAGTAACACGTCCGACCTCCCCAATATTGGCATTGCCGTGTCTGGCGGAGGTTATCGCGCGCTGATGAACGGCGCGGGCGCTATCAAGGCCTTTGACAGCCGTACGAACAACTCCACGAGCTCCGGTCAGCTGGGAGGCCTGCTGCAGTCGGCCACCTATCTGGCCGGTTTGAGTGGTGGCGGCTGGCTGGTCGGTTCCATCTACATCAACAACTTCACCACCATCGCCGACTTGCAGACGCATGAAGCGGGCTCGGTCTGGCAGTTCCAGAACTCCATCTTTGAGGGTCCGGACGGGGATAGCATTCAGATCTTGGATTCCGCCAGCTACTACAAGGATATCAGCGATGCTGTTTCGGCCAAGAGTGATGCAGGCTACCAAACGTCCATTACGGATTACTGGTGTGTATATCCTATCTTTCTTTTCTCGAGTCTTCTCTAATCACTTCTCAGGGGCCGTGCGCTCTCCTACCAGCTGATCAACGCGACCAATGGCGGACCAAGCTATACCTGGTCGTCCATTGCCCTTACCGACTCGTTCCAATCGGCCGACATGCCTATGCCGATTCTCGTCGCAGATGGCCGGTATCCCGACGAGCTTGTTGTCAGCAGCAATGCCACCGTATATGAGTTCAACCCCTGGGAGTTCGGCACCTTCGATCCCACCGTATATGGATTCGTTCCCCTCGAATATCTGGGCTCGAGATTCGACGGCGGCACTCTTCCCCAAAACGAGACCTGCGTGCGCGGCTTTGATAATGCCGGCTTTGTCATGGGCACCTCGTCCAGTCTGTTTAACCAGTTCCTCCTGAACGTTAACAGCACCGCTCTTCCCAGCTTCCTCAAGACCGCGTTCACGGATATCCTGGAGCGGATCGGCGAGGATGACGACGACATCGCGGTGTACGCCCCAAACCCGTTCTACCACTGGCGCAACGAGTCCTCTCCCGCTGCCAGCCAGCGCGAACTCGACATGGTCGACGGCGGCGAGGATCTCCAGAACATTCCGCTACACCCGCTGCTGCAGCCCGAGCGCCACGTCGACGTGATCTTCGCCGTTGACTCGTCCGCAGATACCGACTACAGCTGGCCGAACGGTACGGCCCTCGTTGCGACCTACGAGCGTAGCTTGAACGCTACAGGCATCGCCAACGGCACCGCCTTCCCGGCGGTCCCGGACCAGAACACCTTTGTCAACAGCGGCCTGAACACGCGCCCGACCTTCTTCGGCTGCAACAGCACCAACATCACCGGCACCGCCCCGCTGGTCGTTTATCTCCCGAACTATCCCTACGTCGCGTACTCCAACATGACCACCTTCACCCCTAGCTACGAAGAGTCCGTCCGCGATGACACCATCGCCAACGGATACGCCGTCGTCACCATGGCCAACAGCACCCGCGACGCTGACTGGTCGTCCTGCGTCGCCTGCGCCATCCTGAGCCGCTCCTTTGAGCGCACCAACACCCAGGTGCCCGACCGCTGCACTCAGTGCTTCGAGAAGTACTGCTGGGACGGTACGATCAACTCCACTACGCCGGCGGCGTATGAGCCTGTCACCCTGCTGGACAGTGCTGGAGCTACCGTGCTGCCGACTCTTTTGGTTAGTATGCTCACCACCGGTGTTGCTGTGCTTTTGACGCTGTAATGTGCCGGGGAGAGCTTTTTTCTATATATCTAGACATGTGGCAGGATTTACGTGTTCTGTGATGTATTTTGAACCGCTGGTGTGATCCTAGCGGACAGCATATAGGCATTGGCTTTGTTGTGCATAGTGGAAATACCCTTTTGGATAGGTATTGGAAGAATATTTTTGAATTGCAAGCTAGTGTAGTCTTAGTGGATAGCTGCTCTAGACGTGGCCCATATCAGCTACAACACAAAGATTACTATACCTAGGTATTCTGCAACGTGGACTCTTGGTTTAGCCTGTTTCCTAAAGCGGTGCAGGTGATTCAATTTCCACCTCTGCCCCTGGGGGCAGTTCTACAGCGACACATGTACGACACTATGTGAATGAGCAACTTGCCACTGCGCATCCCTCATGAAAACGTCTCCCTGGTTCGACTCCTTACGTGAATGCCGTGCCATACCCGTCATTCACTTGGCATAGTGAGCCATGCTACAAATACAAAGGTCACCTTGGCCATCTTGCCAAGGTCGCTCCGGCACTTTGCAGGGTATTCTCCGGATTGCGAAGCGCTTGCACCTACATACGTGTCTGTCAGTAACAAGTAGAGATAGTCAATGGCAGAAAGCCCCCACTGTCCGATCTGAAGCATCACCATCAACAAATCCGCCGGTTTTGGAGCAAGCAAGAAGCGCAGCCTTCTAGGATAATATATTTTCTTCAGTTTCTTGTATGTAAGTCCACTGGTTATGGGAGGTGCCCTGCATCAGGCGAAGTTCCCGCAGGCAGAGCACCTTTTATAGAGGCAAATATGTCCTCCCAAACTTCCACGGACTGCGCTACAGTATCATGATCTGACCCGTCAATCGTTCTCGAGACGAAATCAACCGCCTCGGTACCAGGTGCCCTCCAGCACTCCTCAAAATACTTCTGTCCTTTCGTCCCTACCAGCGCGTCCGTTGCGGCAAAGTACGCACGGAGGGTCCATCGGTCAGTCGCCAGAGCCTTTGCGCATTCCGCATAATTCGAACAAACTCCCCAGCTGCTCCCGCCATCTTTGCGTAGAGTCTGCATCGCCTCGCTGTTCGCGCCGACCGTGTTCTCGGTGTGCATGAACCGGATCGCAAGCTGAGCGAGTTCCTTCTGCTCTGCGACAGGCACGCCGTAGTCTCGCTCGACCCGTCGCCAGTCCTGATTGATAAACGGAAGGCCCTCGGCTGTGTCCGGGGAATCACTACTCCCAGACGGCGATATGTGGCGAACAAGCGCTCCACTGGCCGACAGCACAGGGCTGGCTTGCGTCACAATGAAGCGCGGGATTTTATTCCAGACTGCGAACGCCTTTGCCGGCACGTACTGTGCCATTTGCATTATTGTCACGCGCGAGTATGTTGGGTCAACCCAGGGAGCTAAATAAGTTACATAAGAATGCGCACAAGGGATACGGCTAGAAGCAATACCTATTACTGCGATGACCGGGTTGATGTATTCCCGACACTGCGCCCACGTATTGAGCAGATAGATCGTGCCAGCACTATGCGCGACGAGGTTCACGCGTGAGATCTGGAGATACGCCAGGAACTGCGGCACTATTTCGATCCATACGGCAACGCGCTGAGCGAGGGGGACGTCGGTTGATGCGCCCATGCCCGGTCGGTCAACGACGAGCAGACGCACGCCTGCGCGTTCTGCAAGAACATGCAACGGGATGCCGAGATAGCGTGAGGCGAACATCCCCGGCATGAACAGTACCGCGGGCCCTGTTTCGCACCCGATGTCGGCGAAAGTGATGTTGAGCGGGCCATGGGTCGTATCAAGATTGATACGGCGATGGAAGCGGTTCTGCGAGATGAGACTGTATGGATCTGGCATGGTGACTGTTGTAGGCAGTCTGTCAATGTCTCTTGTACAAATATGTTGGAGCCTGGACGGGCTGACATTTTATATCTCGAATGGTCCCGTGATCTAAGATGGATCAGCACTAAGTCCGTAGATAGTGCTTTGGGACGCCTATGTTAATTAAGCCCTAATATAGTCTGCCCAGGAAATCCTATATGACTACTACTTCTCGCCAGTCCCTCATCTACAAAGAGGCTGGCAAAAGTTTCGACAGAATATCCAGTCCGGTCTCCTTCGATCCCTTCACAATCTCACCAATTCGATAGTCCGGATTGGACGTGTATCGGTTGAGCGGGTTGAGTGGCCGCCTTGTAGTCGGCTAGGTCCCATTTATGCTGATTATGAAGTCGTTGAATGGGCTTGCTCCGTGTAACTCTGAGCTTGAAACGACCTAGATGAGACAAGTCCATCTGTTGGGTCTTGTCCAGAAGCGGTTCTTTCTTAATTATGGCTAGCACACGCGCCTGACGTAAGAAATCCATCGTTGAATAAGTGCCCTGAAAGGCGGGTAGTATCTATACGAGAGTATTTTTCTATCCTGCTGCAGTGAGTCTGGGCAGCTGGGCTCGCTGGGGCACAAGTTATCTGGGAATTGAGGCATGGAGAACGAAGTACTGGATCACCAAGTCTGAGTGACTCAATTGGGATGTAAAATTCCACTTCTTATCCATCCTGTACATTCAATTAATCTATAGATAATGGGTAACTGTATAGATCCCAAGTAACCGATGTCTGGACGCTAAGTAGCCGACTCCTCCACTAATTACATTCCGAGGTGGCCCTAAAGTGGCCTCGGCAAGATTCACGATTAACTTATACCATAGGAGTAATCATTTACATCTATATCATAATAGAAGACTTCTATCTGGATATGATGGAGGTCGTGGCGAAGTCTATGGGCATGTTCAATCGGAGTGAATATATTTGAGCATCTTGGAAGTACTGTGCTACCTACCATGCTCTGAACCGGAACGAGAGAAATGGAGGAAATTTCTACAACACTGTAGCTATTACCACATAAATACCTATCTCCTCGATTACATCTCTCCGTTAACTGGATCCCATTGTATGAATTGTACCTATGTATGCAGGATAGCAGAAGTCTGTTAAATATGCTTTCTACTTGCCACCACACATCACCATTGTGCCGGGAAGATTGAATATATACTTGTTCCCTGTTACTTATGCTTATTGTCCTCCGTGGATTGTCGATCATCGATGGGGTCTGTGTATAAGGTATCCTCATCTAAGGACTATTCCCTCACGCCCCAAGCACCGAGATACCGATGCAATATTAGCCGAGTGCCGATTCGAAGCAGGAAAAGCACGGAAAGAAATCCGCACTGCATAAAGGCTTCTCGGAGAAGTCTGGGGAACAACTGCAAAGAGTATCGGCACAGCGTAGATCTCTATCTTTTAGCCAATGCAGCAAATGCGAACCTTGGCCCCTACATATACTTCTGAGAAGATAGAATGCACGACCAGGATAGAGTCGTGGCAGTCCCTGCCCACCATGGTCCAAACGTACTACCAAACTTCCCTCTGTTTTCCAAGCTTCTGCGACTGGCTCATCGATGCCCGCCTCCCATCGCCGTGAGGGACGTTCATGCGGGGGTGGAGAAAACATATCTACAGCTGCTCGGAGATGTGTTGCAACTTCGCAGCATACTGCAGCGGCGGTTAAGTCAAGAGGTCCTCCAACAGCTCGAGAAGGAAGATGAAGTCTACATTGCCCTATTAGCTCCAGGAGGATACGAGTATGTTGTCGGTTTCCTCGCCATCTTGGCTGTCGGGGCTGCTGTAGTGCCTATATGTGCGTCTACCCCTCTTCTACGTCGAGAATGTTCGACTAACTGTATTATCCTCTGTAAAACAGCGGTCAGTGTCCCTGTGAAAGAGGCATGCTATTTTGTGCAAAAAGCCCAATGTGCGGCCATCCTTTGTTCGGCCGCTGCGTCAGGCCTGGCTCGGTCGACAATTCAACAGATAAATACTTCCAGACAGCCCCCGTTCGCCGCTCTGACGATCGCGGAGCACCTCGGCACAACCGCTGTTGCAAGAGAAGATATATTCATCTCCTCGAACCGCTTCTTAGATCTGAACAGAGCCGGGCTCGTCATCTTCACATCGGGCACCACCGGCCCGCCCAAAGGCGTTGTCCATCGCCGCGGACAGCTCACTGAAAACGCGGAGATCATCGCCGAACAGTACCGCATAACAGACACGGACACTGCGCAGCATTTGCTCCCAGTGCACCATGCCACCGGGATCGGGATCACGCTGCTGCCGTATCTCATCTCCGGCGCCTGCGTCGAGTTCCGTTCCGGCGGGTTCGACCCGGCCTGGACGTGGGATCGCTGGCGTCGGCCGGGGATTACCGTCTTCTCGGGCGTCCCGACAATGTATACCCGGCTAAAGCAGTATTTCGAAGATGTTATATCGACAATGCCGGCTGACGCGAGGGACGAGTATATACAGGGCGCGCGTCGTCTGCGCATCCTTCTCTGCGGCACGTCGGCGCTCCCTAGCCCCGTCCAGGCGTTCTGGACGAAACTGTTAAATGGAAAGCCGATTCTGACGCGCTATGGGGCGACGGAGATTGGGTCTATATTCAAGGTTGACTTGGATCCTGACGATACTCTGGCGAACAGCGTGGGCCGGCTGGAACCTGGGGTGTCGATCAAATTGACGGACGAGGGCCTGCTGCTGGTGAAGGGCCCGCTGATGTTTTCCAAGTACGGCCTTCGTCGTTATTATTGGATTGGACTAACGGGACACAAGGTATCTGTTTGACACGCAGGCGACTATTGACTCCCACGATGAAGACGGGTATTTCCGTACCGGTGATGTTGTACACCAGGAGGGTCCTTACTATACTATACTTGGGCGGGCCTCGCTGGATATTATCAAATCTGGCGGCTACAAGCTATCGGCACTTGATATTGAACGAGAATTACTAGGCCTCGAGTACATTTCCGAAGCCATGGTCGTGGGCGTGCCCGACGACGAATTCGGACAGAGGGTAGCAGCAGCAATATGCTTGGCTACAAAGCATCGCAACAAAAAGCTCACGTTGGAGGCACTGCGCACTGATCTGCGCGACAGGCTCGCAGGGTACAAGTTGCCAACGGTGCTGCGAGTGCTCGACGGAGAGTTGCCCAAGTCTGGGACAGGCAAAGTTCAAAAGAAGATACTCGGTCCCGTCTATTTCCCATCGAACTATGACAGCAATCCCGAAGTGCAGGTATGGAGGAAAGCCAGAAGACCAAAGCTATAGTACTGCTCTTGTGGGAGCATGGCAGCCATCTGTCTGGCAGAAGAAGACTGTGCCACGGTAGCTGGATACTGCATTTTCCCAGCATAAGCTGGATTTTCCACAGCGTCTCGCTTTGCTAGCTCTTGGAATCATTCTTCAGGATCTACCGCACCGCCGGTAGCCTCAACCCAAGATAGAGTTCTTCCTCTTGCCAAATAGTAGATAGCGAGCTTGAACTTTGTAGCGATGTTGCTTGATAATGTACCGTGGCAGATCTTGGCCTCCACGGTAGATGCTGCTCCTTTGACTTCTATACCTGATGTGATTGCGTGTCGGCTTGTGGAGGTGAGGTTGAAAGGACGTTAACAGGTAAAGATGCTCCATTTTAACCGCTAATAGTCGTAATGGTACCTGTTGTTGCACTGCTGCCAAGAGGGATAGTTGTGGCACTGCTGATAATGGAGCCGGGCTTGATGCCAGTCGCTTACGCTTGAGTCAAGAATGATTAATTCTCGTTGTATAGCCACGGGTCCTCGAGTAGCTGTCTTGCCGTTCTGCGCTCCTCTGGCAGCCACCTGAGCATGGACCTGACGAAGCGAAGAAACAAATCTTTCTCACTGCCCGAAAGTCGCCCTTCAATACTTTCAAGAGAAACTGGCGGCACAATCGCGCCTGCATGTGCAATCCATGCACCTAAAGGGGCGTTAGCTGAATATAGCTAAGATCAAACACTAAGGCAAAAGTCTACCATTCCGGTCAAAACATTGGTCTGTTGTCTCGCTGCGCTGCACGAATTCAGTCGGCGGCGGTCCGATCAGAGCGACCATCAGTGCAAGATGTTTGAATGGATCGTGGCCGCCTCTGCTATCGAAGATATCTCCGAACAGATGTGTTCCTTCAAACAGATCCCAAATCTAACCTTGTCAGCAAGACAATGTAACAAGAGAAATATCAGGAGTAGTGGACTCACCAAAGCGCCCAGATTCCAGATATCTACGGGACTTCCCCAAGTCATCTCGAAAATGATCTCTGGCGCTCTGTATATATGAGGCTGGACGAACGGGCCGGACTCTTGTCTCTGCCCAATTCTCGCCTCACCAAAGTCGCAAAGAATAGGGAGACCGTAGCCTTTTCCTCTGGTCGGCCGGCGAAATCGCCGACTCTGATAAATAGTGCGCGATTCACTGACTTGCTTGCGCGGGCTTGGGTGATCGATCTCCTCTTTTGTAAAATCCGCTAGCATTGTATCATCTTCTAGGCTGAGCATGAGATTGTCCGTCTTTAGATCTAGTGCATGTTAGCGGGAGATCCTTGTGCGAATGGCTGCAAAAAGGGTCCCAGCACCAGTGTGAATGATGCCTGCTTCGGTATGCAAGAAATCGAGCGCCAATAATAACCGTTGCAAAGTCAGCTTGAGAAAGGACAAACCGAACGGTCTTGGATTCAGTCGCATCATTTCCAGGAGCGTCATATGCATTGGTTGGAGGACGAGACATCGGTGCTTTCCAGCACGGCCCTTCAGCTCAAACGAGTCGTACAGCTCTCGAATCAATGATTGTCCTGGATGTGTCGAGTTGACTTTCGCAAGCCGCTCATAAATCTTGTATTCGCGGTCTGTCGCCGTGGGGAACTTCTGCAGCGAAGTAGACACTTTCAGAACGACATGTTTTTGGCTTCTAGGCTCTGTTAACTGGGGCGCTTCATTTCGCAGGGGTGAAAAGGAGAGAGTGAAATTCAAGAAGTCACCCACCGAAGATCTCGACATAACCAGCTTGTTGAGTACGTGCCATAGCCAAGTTTACCAGCAACCCAGTATCTATTCCCAAACACGTCTCCGATGTGTACAGGGTAGTATTCCTCCGGATGGTAGTGAGGTAAGGTCTCTTCCTCGATAGGTGTTCCTTCTGTTAAGGTGTTGAATGATCGTTGTGCAATGCCTCTAGAGCAAGGTGGTCTTTTCCAGAATGCAAGCCTAACATTGGCCAAGCGTGATGCCATGCTTAGCGTAGGGGGAATTGGAGACATAATGAAGCTGGATTGGAGGGATTGAGATGCAGTCGCGACGCCTGGTCACATGACCCGTTTCATAGAGTTGCTGATGAGGACTTTTGGCATCTGTGCAGAGAGAACGCAAAGATTGTATACAGCTCCTCCCTTTAAAAATTACCTGCAAGGAGACTGATTTAACATGGAAACAACACAGGAATACTCTATTATATAGAGTAGGCCTTGCCACTATGTATGACGACCCAGATCAGTGCATCGAGTCATATAGACCATTTAACCAGTTACTGAAGTGAATTGAATCTCGGTAGGAGAGGTTTGGATAAATGTCAATTTCTAAAAGCTTCTAAGCAACATGACGAAATACAATATGTAAGCGTGTTCGTACTGAATCAGGCCAGCCACCGTCATTTCTACACTCATCATGATCATCGTAAGAACATCGTATGCTGCCACAAACAAAGAACCCCCCACTTCATGCAGAAACTGACGACAACCATATGCAACACAAGGAAGCCCGACTGTACCAAAAGACTTCGTGTACGTATGGTCACAGCTGCGAGCAACAATAACGGGTAGAATACCCACGGATTCACGGCAAGGGGCGTACAAGGCTGAAAAGCCGAGACAACCTTGGCAAGGAAAAGCCCGATTTGCATCGCAGGTTGCGGAATCACCCAATATGACGGAGATCTTGGGATAAGTCGCGCCAGCGAGAATCGGCTGGGAGGCGGGGGAAGAAGTTGGGGAAGAGGGGGGCGCGTCGCATGTACTTCCGAAGAAGGCTCAGTCCGAGCCGGAGATAAGGATGGAGTGCCGGAATATCTGGATCGAATAATCAAGTCGCGCTCGGAGCCAAGAGACACCCGTCTTTCGGAGCCCCGATCAAAATCTTCCACGACAGGAGTGAGACTGTCTCTGGCTTGGTCATACTGAGTGTTTCGTCGCACAGCCACAGGGCTGCGAGAAAAGTTTCTGGACGCCCGAGGGACCCTGGAGAATGATTGTGTAGTAGGATTATCCACAGTATGGATTCTAGAGTTCGGACTAGAAGCACTGGATCGTCTAGAGCGTAGGGTATCATTTGGAGTCGCCCCAGCTTGTAGACCACCCAGGACCTCGTCCGCAGATGGGCGCTGATCAGGATCGACAGAGAGTAAATGTGCAAGGTAGATGTAGAGCTGTTCAGGCAGTTCAGGCCTCATCCTTCGGGCATCATCGAACCCGGCCCATTGACTGATCTCTTCACGAAGCCGGTCGAGATCCTCCTTCTCTTCGTTGATGAGGTCCGCATTAGAGTAGGGGAGCTGTGCGAAGCACAGGAAATATAGGATCATCCCCAAGGAAAAGATGTCTGATTTGAAAGTGAAGTTCCCAAACGGCCCATCTGGATACTCGCGCCGTAGAACTTCCGGCGCGCAGTAGGACACTGTTCCTGTTGCCCCGGTCGAAAGACGCTTGGCGTCCTGAGATTGGACCTCGCCAAAATCACTGACCAACGCACGTATACCATCGCTAGTTTTGTGTAGCAGGCAGTTGTTCGGTTTGAGGTCGCGATGAATATAGCCATTGACGTGGAGATACCGAAGCCCTGAAGTGATGTCCTTGAAGAAAGAATAGATCTCGTCAAAATTGAGCTTTCGTGGCTGATTGAGGTCCATGGGTGGGTCTGGTTCACCCCGAGACTTTCTCCTCAGGCGATCCTTCAACTGCTGAGCCGTGGCGGACGTCTGAACTGAGCCACAGATGTAGTTGTGAAGGTCACCGGCATTGCAGTATTGTTGAAGGATGAAGGCGCACGGCACGCTGGGGCCAAACGTGCTAATTTTCGCATTCTCCAGCCAGACGTGGCGATAGGAGACAAGATTCTGATGCGAGAGATGCTGTAGCAGCTGCACCTCGCCCAAGACCTTCTCCAGCCATTCGTGGTCATCGCCGACGGGCACACGCTTGCAGGCATAATGACCAAGCGAGACGCCATCCAGGACATGCTTCACCAACAACACTACGCCTTTACCGCCCTTTCCAAGCACGCCTTCCTCAACAAAAAATTTCTTGAAGTAATCGGGAATGAATGCCGCGGAAGAAATGCCCTGAGAGGAATTGCCGGTGGCAGTAGAATCATCGGCTGGACCATCCGGGAGCGCAGGTTGAACTAGACGCCTGCGCGGCGAGGGAGGACTGGAAGAGCTTGCAGAGCTGGGTAAACTGTTATGGAGCATGCGGAAATAATTCGGATTGATAAACTCCGGCTGCGCTGCTGGATTTCCATGATGGTCTTCTTGTCCCCCACTCGCATCTCGCAGGGGCCGATGACAGTAGGGACAATCGGCTATGTCCAGATTAGCATCACTTTCGGAAGCATTCCGAAGGACCAGCTGCTGAGAATCCCGATCAAACACGACGACGGAATCATTATGGCGTCTGCCCAGGTATGAGTATCAAAGGGTCGGCTAGGTCTATGGAAGAAGCAACACTAGGCTTACAGCACGACATCGGAGTTAGATGAGCTGTAGGGGACGATTGACATTCCGTCATCCGCCATTCTTGGAAGATGCGGGATACATCTCTGAGGAGAGAGTCGGATTGAGGGAAGGAGACGGTGAAAGCAAGATCAGGCGATGATGGAACTGCGGAGGACCCACGTGAGGCGGATGACTCAGCATATCTTATTTTGCCTTGTTTTCTGTACAACTGCACATCCCCGTGAGTTGTACGTACAACTCACTACCAGCTTACGACTACAATGTTATTGATCATATGCAAGAATACATAGATACAAATCATAATCAGGAGTTGATTCGTGTCATCTATCATTGAGAGACTGGGTATCTTGTTTGGGAGATGGCGTGCACAAAGTGCGAGTTAACGCTTCTATCCAACTGCAATGCATTGCAGTACGGGAAACAGTCTCCGCCTTGCCACGAAGGGCGGGGTGTTTTCGACCCACGATGTCCTCGTCGCGGAATTTGGCGTGGTTGTTCTGCAACCCATCCGGATGCACTCATTCCTGAGCGAGGGTTTGCGAACCGAGACTGCTGATGGTGTGTTACACCTCGAGTGTGTTGAGACCAATGGGAGACGAGGTGAGAGATCAATCTTCCTCACCACTCTCCACATCGCTGACCTCAAGGTTGGCAATAGAGTCGTTGTCGTCCTCATCGTCACTTTCGCCGAAGCCCTCGAACTCGTCCTCAGCTTCAGACTTGCTGGGAGCATCCTCGGGCTCGGTCTCTGCGAGCTTGCGCTTCTTACTCATCTCGCCAAGTCTGCCCTCACGGCCCTCGATCTTCTCTCCATCCTCGCCAGGGGTGTAAGGCGGAGGGGTGAACCAAGGAACCTTTCCACGAAGAAAATCGTTGATGACCATCTTGGCAACACCATCAAGGTCAGGTTCTCCTCCACGGAGAAGTCTGCCACCTTTACGGGCGAGGACACTCAAAAACTCGATAGGGTCTTCGGAGCCGCCCTTGACACCATAGGTACGTTCGAGATGTTTCGGTTGGACGCGCTTCAACACGGCGGGGATGTACTGTTCTGGGTTGTCGACGTTCTCGATACGAACGACACCACGGAGAAGGATATCTTCAGGAGTGTCATTTTGGTTCGGCGGGACCACACCAGGGCAATCAATTAGGTAGATCCGCTTCATCAAAGTGATGTACTGCCAGACCTTGGTCTCGCCCGGAATGGGAGCGACGTTGCACACCTTCTTCTTACGGAGGGTGTTGATAATAGACGATTTACCCGTGTTGGGATAACCGATAAATCCAACGGAGATTTGCTTCCGGTCAGAATGCAAAGACGAGAACTGTCTAAGCAGCTGAATGAGAGAGCCTTTACCGAAGGAATTGTTGATGGAAGCATGGAAGGCCAAAGTAGGATGATCTTTGGAGAGATGTCGTACCCACGCAGCCTTAAGTCATAAGTCAGTCATGAACCGGTAATGATAATCGGTGAAAATGAACAAGAAAAAGAAGAAATCAGAAAAGAATGTGTGTAACGTTACTAAGAGACCAGCTACGAATCACAGATAGGTGAAGCAGGTCTCAACTCAAAAACGGAGCACAGCTCGGCCCTTGCGACCGGTTTTCAAAACGAAAGCCAGTCAGCCTAACTTCAGAAAGAAGGTCGGCGCGGGCAAGCGTCAATCTACCAAAGCTGTAACAGGGAACTCCCATGGTGTATATACGACGAGGTCGTGGGAGTTGCCTTGACTTAGCAATGGCACAGGCGGACCTGATTGATTACAAAACAAAACGAGAAGAGGGGAAGAAGATATGAAAATAAAATCAAAAGGGGGAAACTTACAGCAACACCTGTGGGAACAAGGTCACACTTGTTCAGCACGAAGATGAGATGCTTGTGAGGAGCTTCCTCCCGGATATACTTCTCGATACTTCGGCACCGAGTTCCCTCCGGATCACGGGCATCAAGGACATGAATGACAACATCAGACGAATCGATGACCTTGTACAGCTCATTCCAGATACGCTTGCTCTGGCCCTTGGAGAAGACGGATTCACGAGCAGTGGCCACCTCGCCTAGGGAAGTATCTTCCAATGCGGCAACATCACCTGCGACAGCAGCACTGCCATCGGCGTGGGTATCGATGTCACCCTTCTCAAGAAAGTCATCATGCATCTTAGCTGTCTCGCCTGCGAGGTCTTCCAGCGACGCGACACCCAGCTTCACCCGCTTTCGCTGGGCCTTGGGCCCAAAGGTATCGCTGAAAGGTGACGTCTCAATAGCCATCTTGGCAGCGTGCTGCTTCAGCCCATTCACACCTTCCCCGTCACGGATCAGGCTCATGGGTAGCTTGTTGGTCTTCAAGAGGACCTGGTACGGGTCCTTGGCGCGCTCCGCGACCGCCTCACGGAAGGAGGCCAACGCCTCCTGGGAGATCACTCGGGTGTTCGAAAACCATTTCCGGTTAGGTTCGATCCGAGCAACAGGGGCTTCGGAGGATTGGAACGCGGCGGCCTTGGTGATATTTCCGGCGGCGTCACGCTGGGCCTTACCCTCCTTGAGGATGTTGAGCCTCTTCACCTTCTTCGCATCTCTGCAGTCTGTCAGTGTCCATAGTTATTAATGCAGATTGAATCGTCAACATACCTGTAAAAGTTTTCGCCCTTGACCTTCACGTTCCCCATGCCATCTCCGACCTTCCCCTGCCGCACCTTACGGTTGGCTTCTTTCTTTCCCGTACCCATGGTGGAAGCTACTCCTCAATTCGACTGAATGAGAGAGTATTAAGAAAGAAAGAAGATATGGGTGGAAGAAGAAAAAAAAATGTTGGCAAAAGCGCAGGAAGGGAAGAAAGGAAAGAGAGAAAAAAGTTGATGGTCGGGGAGGGAAGTATTTTTTTTTCTGGCGCCAAGCTAAGCGGTGCACAGACCACGTGAAAATCTTCCCGACTTTCCCATCGCGTCCCCGTGTGGCATACTGTTGGCCTCTCCTCCGCATTTCCTCCCCCTTCACCTCCCTCCGATCCTTTCAATTGGAAAGGACGCATCATGTCCCTTTTCCGCTCTTGCAGGGCGGCCACCGTCCAGGCCCGTGGCTTCACCTCCTCAGCCTGTCGTCGGGTTGGCCCGGAGTCTCCCAACTACATCGATGTCCCTCGCACCATCCAACCCGACCTCCCGTCGAAGAAGCACGTTAAGGGAACGTTACCAGTCCCTCGGGAACTCTTCCCTGCTCGCCGTGTGGACAAGCCATCTGAAGAGTACATCGCCGCTGCTACTCCCCTCCCGACCAAAGAGACCGAACTCGACCCGACAGACCCCCATGCCCAATACATCGACTGGAAGAAGCGGATGGCGGAGATGAGACGGCACAACCTCCGTCAGGGTCTGCAGGAATTGCACAGCCGCAAGCAGCGCACCGACCGGACGATGATGCACCGCAGTCTCGAGAAGCAGAAACGCCGAGAACGCATCCTGCGGCAACCGGAACGCGAGGACGAGCGTCTGACCCGTCCGTCCGTCATTCAGGAGATGTTACCCAAGCGCACCCCTGTGCTTCCCGATCCGAACCGCGAGGCGCGGCTGGCCCAGTCCCGGGAGCGCTTGGAGGCCCTCAAGGCCCGGAAGGAGCTGGAGCAGCAGGAGTCTCTGCAGAGTCTGTACATGAACGCCCGCACATTCATCACTACGGAGGCGCAGCTGGCGGCGGAGATTGAGCGGGTCTTCCCTGATGGTGAGAACGAGGCCTGGCGCAATGATCACCAGCAGGGAGAGAATATCTGGAACTTGGGTGTTCCTCCCACGGTCCAGTCCATTGTCAACGAGTCCCGCAAGAGCGAGGCGGCTCGTTGGGATCTCATTCAGGGCCGGGTGAAGAAGCTTGGAGAGCAGATTACGGGGGGAAAGCTGTGAGCGATCGACGTTGACTGTATATTATCCATGTCTCCTTTTGTGTCATTGTATACCTAGTTCTAGCTGGAATATATTTTTGGAGTTAAACCAAGAGCCAAATGAACGCCTTCGCTATGCACCGCAAACCAGTAATTGAAAGCAACCCTCAGTAGATCATTGAGCAAATTATGCACTGCCCGAGACGGCCGCCATGGAAGCTCCCACCGCGGGGGTATTCCCCCGAGAATCTGCTCCGTCCCGCATGGATACCTCTTCATCCACAAAGCATCCCAAACCAGCAAACGCCTCCATGAGCGTCCGGGAGTAATATTCCTGGAGATTGTAGCCGCCCGCCTGCATGCGAACGTCTTGTCTGACCCCGTCGAGATAGCTCGACGGGTAGAAGTCTCGCTGGGTGTAATAGTCCCGCTGGTTGGGAGCCAGCCCACCAAAGGGATCGTAAGGCTTCTCGGGCTCGGGGGTCTTGATCTTCTTGAGACCCTTGATAAGCCCAGAATCTCCACTGACCTTTTCGGCCGCGACCATCCCCGCCTGACCGGCCTTTTTTGCGTCCGAGCTCCGCAGAGCAGCCTGCTTCTGTCGGATGCGTTCCTCCTCGCTGCGCCGAGCCGACGATTTCTTGAGCAGCACTTTCTGGCCTTCGCGCGCGATGGCGGCCGCATCGCCTGGCCTTCCCGCCGCCAGCCGGCTGAGAACATCTTCCCGGCCCGCAAGGAGCTCGCGGCGCTCCTTCTCGTATTCTTCTCGCGCGGCCTCGCGACGCAGCCGGGCCAGCTCCTGTTCGTGAGTCTGTTGCTCCTGGAAGGAGGACGCCTCGCGGGCTTCGAGGGCTTGGTTCGCGCGGATCGAGTGCATGTTTTCGGCGGCATACTTTTGCAGATCGGCTTCGGTTTTCGCAACGTCGGTGCCATACACGAGGTTGGCGATGATCTCTTCGCGTTGTTCGAGGAAGTCGTCCCAGGCGCGCTTAGAATCGAACTCCTCCTCCCGGCGGTTGAGACTAAAAGCGCGTCAGATTATGGTGTCACTGCGTACAAGATCGAGCTTACATTTGCATCACCCGACGCCGAATATCCACCTCTCGTTCCACGCTGATGTCTTCAAAGGTCTGCTTCCGGAACCGGTTCTTGCGAAGAGTCTTATGACACCCTGCCACGGGGCAGTTGGCAGGCCCCGACGAAAATATGCGGTCCACGCATGACTCGCACATTTTGTGGTAACACTCGGGGTTGATGAGGAATCGCATGTCGGGGTTCAAGTACCGCGAGGACTTGCAGACGGGGCAAACCTCTACAGAAGTTAGCTTCAATCATAACAACATGAGACGAAGGAACTGACCGTCTTCATCCCCGCGGTTGGATATCGAGTCGCGAGCTGGAGGCATGGTGTGAAAGTGCTCAAGCAGATTGACTGTCGATGACGAGGATGAGTTGATAATCCGCCGTCCTCACCACGGACCAATGAGAGAGCGGTCCGCCGGGCGGAACTTTTTCTCGCCGCCGCCTCTTCTTTCACGTTTCCTTGACTTTCTCTTCTCCTCACCTGGCTCATTCTTGTGTTTTACAGGGTTCTATTCGAATCTCTTTTTCATATCCATGATGGGTGTCCCGAATAGCGACTTACAGGACCTTGAGCGCCAGCGTCTCCAGCTGGAAGGAAATATCCGCAAACTCCAGGAATCCCTCTATCACTGGCGGACGTGGGAGGCCGAATACGACGGGCTGATCGAGGAGGTCAGGGCTCTTGATGATGACGCTACCACTGACGAATTACTGGGCGCTGGTCTTGAACTGGACGGGTCTCTCGTTAACGAGGACGAAGTGAAGACCATCGTGGGGGTTAAGGAGGGTACGACTCGGACTAAGCAACAGGTGGTTGATCTTGTCACGAGGCGCATCGACTACGTCAAACAAAATGTCGCAACGATGGAGAAGCGACTGCGCACGGAGGAGAACAAGCTCCAGGCGCTGAATGACCTTGAACAAATCCCTACCGAACCCGCCGCCGACTACCCGATGACGGAAATCGTCGAGGAGCTCGATGAGGATGGCAACGTGATTTCGAGCTCGACCGCAACACCAGGGAATGAGGCCTCTGAGCTTTTGGACATTTTAAAGAAGGCTGGTGTCAAGGATATCCCGGATGCGCCGAGGGCAGATAAGGTGACCGAGACTGAAAGCGCCCACTCGGCTGAGCAGTCAGACACACCTATACAGGGGGTCCAGCCGAAAACTAGTGAACACCGCCAGACTCCGAGCCAGAACGAGACCCATGAGGAATCACGAGAAGCGCGCGATGTGCCCGTGACCAAGGTGGACGAGTCACCCGAGGATGCACAGCTGCGTCGAGAGATGATACGATATGGTCTTGACGAAGTCGGGGCCGTTGTGGCGGAACTCGAGTTGGATGAGGAGGCCAGCGACGTCTCGATTGATGACTACGACGATGTATACGATTATGACGACGAGGAGGAAGAAGACGAGTTTGGACGGAGCCGAACTGTTCTGGATGAGGATTATCATCGACAGATGCGCGAGCTGGAAGCTAAGTTGAACGCGCGAGGAATGTGGAACATGGGCAAGGACACTGCGACGCTCCCGGATGAAGTGAAGAAGGAGCTGGAGCAACCAGCCGTGGTTCGAGTCGAGAGAACCAGCGACTCAGCAGACAAGCTGGCCGAGAAGAAGAAGCCGAAGAAGAAAGTGGCTTTTGCTGATGACCTGGACATTGCGCCTGCTCCCAAGCCTCCTGTCTCCGAGAAGAAGGTTACGCCGGTCCGGCAGTCTGATATTCCCGTTGTGTCCGACGCGGTTGTCGAACGTTCCGAGGCGGCAGATAAGGCTGCCTCCTCAAGCAATGCGCCCAAAAAGACATCCCGTTTCAAGTCTACTCGCGGTGCTCCCGGTACCGCTCTGACTGAACCATCTCTTGCACCGACACTGTGCGGTGACAAAGCGCTACGAAAGCCGGTCACGTCAGCGTCACCGTCTTCCCTGCCGCTTTTCCCAGCCAAGCCACAGGAATCCAAACCCTTCTCTCAGCCAATCTCTGACCTTTCCGATGCACAGCCTGCGCATAGAGGGCCGGAAGGGAAGATCCTTGCGGACACGCTCGTTGAGCGCGAAATCTCCGACGATGCCGCTGCCCCACCGGAACCGGACGAGCTCGATGAGCAACTGCACAGGAAAGAGATCGCCAGTGAATTTTACAGGATGAGGAACCGCGTGATCCAACAGAATGGAGGCTTCCTCGAGGAGCCTGAACAGGTACCTGTTGAACCTGAGGAGGCGCCCAGGCGTGTGAGTAAATTCCGCGCTGCGCGGATGAGGTAGGGCGACGACAATGCCAGTCGAATGATATAGAAACGATACCCGAATAGAATCTTTTTCTTCTAGGTTATGTTTTTGTGTTGTAGTTCCCGGAATCTCCGTCGCCGTTCCGTGCGGATCTGGCGCGATGACCATATCTTTTTCATGGTATGGCCATCTTGAGGAATTCCAAGATCAATCTCGTGGGCTCTCTGACTGCGTTTCCTTCCGCTTGACTGCTGACTGTATTGGGCTCGTTGAGTACTTACGGCCATGGTGAGGTGGAATCATGGAGACGTGGTTACGTTTCACCCTCGACAGAATAATCATATAGGTAGGGTACCTAATTCATCCCATAGATACCTAGACGTGCCTAAATATATCATGCCCTTACATTGACTTTATGCACAGGATTTTATCCCGACTTGTCCAATGTACCATGCAACACTGGAGTCTAGGCTTTCCCCTAAAGGTATGAACTGTCCACGCACGAGTGTGATGGATAAAACCAGAGAGTGAACATGACTGGAACCAGGTCATCTGCTTACGCATCCTATGCACCGAGCCACGCTGTTGCCTTACAACGTACTCTCTTTCGGCCAGAATCAATGTTTCGAACCCGACCGTGGAGCAGTTCATGCAGTCCATCCTTGAGGGTGTTGAACAAGCAAGGTTCGCATTACCATGGCTGTCCACCAAGCCACCAAGCCGCGTACGACGGTGGTGGGGAGTTTAGCAACGGCCAACGGTCGACTCCTAGGAGATCAAGAACAATCCATCGCAGTAAATGTGCTCAGGACACCAATGGGACTACTTCTATTGGAACCGGATGTTTCAGGCGAGATTTTATGTGGATGTGTCGAGAAAGATTGATTTTTCGCGACTGTCGGGCCGACAACAATTCGGTTGTTTGGAGAGCAATGGAGACTTACGGAGAATACGAGTAAGCGAGATGCATGAGAGCTCAGAACGAAGGAGAGATGGAAGTGGATCGGAGGAGCCATCCAGCCCTCGGCAAAGCTTGCACGTTGAGCCCGAAGTCTTGTATAGATCGTGGTTATCGTGGTTATCCCGACGTGACCCTGATATCAGATTGAGGTAACTTGACAACAAACCGTTACATACGATGGACGAAATCTCCTCCGAAATACTGATCGACGACCCAGCTTCCTTGTCGAAATTTGTATTACTCGATAGATGTTGATAATCGCAAAAATAACAAGCAGTGCCGTTGGTGGAGGAGGTGGTGACTGTCGTCATGCGGTCCACTCTCCCCAAGAAACCCGCACACGCACACACGCACGCAGACACACACATCCATTCTCTTTCCCTACTCTGTACATCTCTTGTCTTCCAATTCCATGAAGAACAGGGATTGAGACTAGACCCTTGCGACCTTCCAGGTTCTCAATGCCCCCATCCCCTCTCGGCTGTTCATGTCTATTTTCTCGTCCGATGCAAGGCACCCCGCCCTCACTGGTGTGTCCCCAATGGCGTCTCGATCGACGCTCGCATTGCATTGACCGCTGAGAATGTTTCTTGGAACAGTTATGAATAGAACCAGCCATCCATGGCTCGTCTCTTCGCGTCCTGGAGGAACGAGGTCAATTCTAGATCCGTGTGGCTGCACACACGCCTGGACCATGGGCCGGCGTTGACCTTGCCACCTCAACTGCCCGACAATGTCATTGAACCGTGTATCGACGATCGTTGACTACAACAGGCTTACGGTCGATCCAGACACATCCGATGGACCCGGTTCCACCGTTTAGTTATGCCCTGCAGGGCCTTGGCCATTGAGATGTCTGGTATCTCACAGCCAACGGCTAGATGGCTCTCCACCATGCCACTTTTCTCTTTTCCCATGACGTCTTTCCACAACTTGCGTATCCCGATCTTTCCAGGCCCGGCTACCTCGGACCAATGCTGTACTCCGTGGGCAACGGGTTGTTGTTGTCTTACCACATTCGAGCGGGTCAGCAGCTGCCTGTCCAACTCGTCCATGGTCTACCACATCCGTACATGCATGACAATTGGCTATGCCCCAGCGTTTCTATTTTAGATGGACGTGTGGGTGTTCAGATCCAACTCGGACCTGCTTGCTCCAGTGTACCGGCAGTTCCAATGACGTCCGATGTAGTGTCCACCTCTGTTTATAAATATTTGCCTCTGTCCCTCCTTGTACCATCTACATCTACCCTCTAGTCAACATCTAAACTCCAAACTCAGATCGATCTTTGCATCAAACCCCATCATCTCACTCGCTTATACTTGGGATCTCGCTCGCTCGACCGAAAATGAGAAACTTTGCTACTGTTGCGGCCTTTGCTGCCGGCGCCAATGCCCTCGTCAGCAGAGGCGGAAACTGCTGTTTCCACCTCAAGGCCACCGGCGGTGCTTCTGGCACCATCGGTCAGCTTGATGATGGCCAGAACCGTGTCTATGGTGGACTGTCTGAGGCCCAGTTTTGCATCGACTCCAATGGTGCTATTACCGATGAGAACGGCCGCGGTTGTATCGTGACTGGTAAGACTGCCGATACTGTGATGCTGGGATAGCCACTAACGAAGATAGATGACACCACGCAGTTCCAGTGCGATTCTGGTGCCACTGCCACACCCGGCTTCTCCATCAACTCCCAGGGTCAGCTTTCGTACAACGGTGATTCCGGCTTCGTTGCATGCGCGACTGGTCAGAACGGCGGAATGAACCTGTACACCACCGAGAGTGACAAGGTCACCCAGTGTAAGGACATCTCTCTGATGGCCGACTCTTGCTCGGGTTCCGGCTCTGGCTCGAGCTCGAGCTCTGTGGCCGTGCCGTCCTCGACGCCGGGTGCTGGACACAGCAGTCCTGTTCCTGTCCCCTCGTCTAGCGCTTCGGTGCCCGCTCCCCCTGCGAAGACCACCGTCCATACCACCATGACCACCACCTACTGCCCTGAGACGGAGTCGACTGTCCCGGTCGTCACTGTCCCCAGCTCTAGCACCCCCGCTGTGCCCACTGGTCCTGCTCCCTCTCAGCCTGCCGGTTCCGAGACTCCTTCGAGCCCTCAGCCCCTCTGTGCCGGCCTCCAGCACTCCCGAGGCTCCTTCTTCTCAGCCCTCCCAGACGGCTACTAGTGCTCAGCCCTCCGGCACTCAGTCCTCCAGCGGCAGCTGCCCCACTGATCTCTCTGGCAACTACGAGTACCCTCATCTGATCATCCCCGTCGACTCCTCCAAGCCCGACAACGCTCCTGGTACCTCCTACAACGGCACCGTCACCTCCAGCATCTCGAGCATCTTCAACTTTGATATCCCCTCCTCGGACGCCGGCAAGACGTGCAGCCTGGTCTTCCTCTTCCCCAACAAGGAGGACCTCGAGACTTCTTCCTACTCCTTCAGCGGCGATGGTAAGATCGACTTTGCTTCTCTCGAGTCCACCGCTAGCGCGTCGACCACCTACAACAACGCCCCCGCTGTCAAGGAGGACTTGGGCGAGTTCACTGTGTCTCCCGGTAACTCCTACGTCATCTCGACCTTCTCCTGCCCCGCGGGTCAGGCCGTCAGCTACGAGATGAAGAACGCCGGTAGCACCAACCTCAACTTCTTCGAGGACTACAACCCCTCTCCGTAAGTATCCTGTTTTTCGATCTGCTTGGGGATCAGTGACTAACATAATCATAGTCTTGGTCTGTACATCACTGTCTGCTAAATGAGCGGACGTGAGAGAGCAAAACAACCCGACATCACGCGAACATGACTTATGGACCCATAATGCTATTCTTACGTATTTTTCTGGGTGTCTCTTTGCCGTAAATCGGTGCTGGAGACATGAGGGGTTTATTCAGTCAAGTGTATAACTACATTCATTCCTTCATTTGGTCCACAATTGGGTCTACAATAATGCGTGTCATCTAGTGCATAGTTTGGCAGGATTCTAATTGCAAGACGGATTCTGCTCCAAAATGATACAGATATATAATATGTTGTCTGGTGCGAACATACTGGGACTTAGTCCATATAGACTCCAATAGTATGGAAGAAGCTATAATGTCAACAGGTAGACAGTTCCAATGCCACCACTAATCCGTAGATAGTATCCAACTAATTAGTACAAGGCAACAAACGAGATCTGTTGCCTCTTTGATCAGTGAGGAATCAAAGCTTATTAATGGTGGTGCCTAACTAAGCATAACCTTACTATTTTTGGAAATCCCCGACAATCCGTCAGACCCTGTATTGATTGTCACTCGTCCGGGGTACCTGAATGGACCTTGTCCTTCTCAGTCTGCCTCTAGTTAGTCAGTCTAACTACCTGTCTCTCGAAATCACACTTCGCTGATCGCAATGGATCGCTCACGACCACCCACGGCTGGCCGCGCGGCTCCATGGCGGAGATCTGCTCCTCCCTCTCTGGGCGCGGCTTGGCCCCTCATTAAACCGTCTCTTGTCCTCAAGGGTTTTACCAGTGAGGTTGACCCAGAGCTGCACAGAGCGGAGAAGGCCTAGGCGCCGTCGTGCATGGGACGGTCCAAGCCACACTGCTTTATTATTATTATTATGTCTGATACCTGAAGGCACCCAGATAACTGCCAAAAAAAAAAAAAAACTCAAAAATGGCCTTTGACCAAATTTGATTCCTCATTCTGGACTTGCTTTTTCTTCAGGACCTAATCGTTGACTGGGGTTTGCTTTTTCCGACTCGCTTTCATATATCTTCTGGAGGCCCGTTTTGTTTGTTGTCACCGCGCCGGAGGACCACGGTTACACTCCAAGATGGATCGCCTTCCAGATAAACTGCCCTTCTCCAAGCGTCGCTTACGGCCTCGCATCATCATCTCGTGAGTGGAACTGGTATCGAGCATTTTCTGAAGGAATGCTAACCGAGAGGTGTGTGTCGCAGTTATGTCCTCGACTATGTCATCATCATGTGCGTCTCTCATTGTCTTCATGACACTCCAATCGCTCCTAACGGTCGACTTCTTTAGTGCGTGCGCAGCGGGTTTCTACATCCTCGACTCCGTCGAACCATTCCACCAGCATTTCTCCTTGCGGGACATCTCCATCCAATACCCCTATGCCGAACACGAACGTATTCCCATCGGGTTAGCCATCTGCATCTCCTGCCTTGCGCCGCTGGTTATCATCGCCGTCTATACCCTTTTTATCGATGGTCTATTCTCGCACCACAAGCCCGTGAACTCAGTGACAGGGAAGAGGAAGTTCAACGGCCCTTATCGGTGGAAAGATCGCCTGTGGGAATTCAATTGTGGCCTTCTGGGATTGTTGCTCGCCCAAGGGACTGCCTTTGTGATCACCCAGATCCTGAAGACTGCCTGCGGAAAACCTCGGCCGGACTTGATTGATCGATGCAAACCGAGGCCAGGAAGCCACGATCTGATCCCGGGATTGTCGAATTACACGATTTGTCAAGGTGACCCGGTAATTCTCAAGGATGGCTTTCGTTCATGGCCTTCAGGTACGGTTCCGTGCGCTTCATTTCTAGATTCGGGAAGACTAACTTCGTTATAGGCCACAGTAGCTGTAAGGATCCCCATTGACTCGGATGTCGGAACCCACCACTAATCTCTGCACCTGTCTAGCTTCCTTTGCGGGACTGTTTTACTTGACCCTGTGGTTATCGGGCAAGCTGCACCTCATGGACAACCGCGGTGAGGTCTGGAAGACCGCCATCATCGTTACTCCATGCATCGCGGCGACGCTGATTGCGGTGTCGCGGATCATGGACGCCCGGGCACCACCCGTTCGACGTCATCACTGGCTCGCTTCTCGGCGTTGTGTGTGCTTACGTGGGCCGATCGCCAGTACTTCCCTCCAGCTCTCTGAAACCCTAGCGGAAAGAGCCGCGCGTATCCGATCCGGACCTGGGGCATGGACCCGATCGCCCCCGGCCCACGCGATCCCTCTTGGGGACTCGAATGACAGCACCACCGCTCTCCGTAATCCGGAGGGAAGAACGCCTTGACGCGCCGCCTCTGCCGCAGACGAATGTGCCCCCGACACAACACCGGCTCTCGCGCGGACCGACGTACACCTCGGCCACCGGCAACCCGTATGCCACGGATGTGTATGATCACCGCATGCGCCATGATGACGGAAACTGGTCGTCGTCCAGCGAGGATGTCGCAGACGGGTACGAGATGCAACAAGGGTACGCCCACACACACAATCCGGCATTGGGTGGGTCGCTTCCCCGATATGAGGATACGGCTTACCATTCCAAAACGCAACCGACGATGCCGGGAGACAGTTCTCTCCGGCAGCCCTTGGCCGCTCATCCTGACCGTGGTCGGGAACTGACGGAGATGCCTCCTCGGGAGCCTTGACGCTGGTTTTGGATTCTCCAGGGTGGTCTCATATCACCTTTCTTCATAGACTGCTGGTTCAGCTCGCCACGATTGATGATCATACCAGAGGGGCTGCGCGGAAATTTTTGCTTGGTAAATAGTATGGCATGAAACCTAGACCGTTTCGCGTGGATGGGTCGATGAATGTTTTGCATGTGGATCCGCTTGTGACGGTGACATATTTTGTATAGTAGTAGTGGTGGTATTCATTGGCGTTGGTTAACATAGGTAGTATGCATGTCATATCAGCTACGTGAATCCTTCATAGAAGTCGATCGGCATCGCTGGGCCCCACGTCATCCATGGAAATCTATACAGGATCGGGAGAAACCACAACAAATCGACTCAAGACCCGGAGAATTAATACGACGACTATCAACAAGGATCACCATAAGCCATGATGCTCTCCGTATCCTCCGTAATCATTAAGGAAGACTCTGTCTGTGCCGCTTATCCACCATGTGCGACTGTCCCACCCCTTCTGGCCCAGCCACCCCGCAACCCTCAATCGCCCAGCCTCCTCTGTTGTCGGTTGCCCTGCATATTTCTTCTCCCCCTCGAGGGTTCTCCCTCGTTCGATCTTCCCTACATTTCCCTCTTAGCTGCATATCACTGCGTGGCTATTATTTTCTACATAAACTCTCTTCTGCATCCACGTCAGCGCATCGCATCTGATCCGCAACATCGACACAAACGACGTGCGTTGCCTGTCCAACGTTGCCGGGCCTTCTTCACTTGCACGGCATTACTTCTGTGTTTTTATCGGATCGCTAGTCGATAAAGGAATGCCTGTGTAACCTGCATCATTCTAGCCCATTTCATCATTCTCACAAGTCATTTCCGAGCGCCGTCTGGGTCGCTCCACATTCCAGGGCCATTCCATCGGAATCTGACATCTCGATCGCACCACTGAATCGAGGACGATCGCCAACATGATCGGAAGTCTTTTCTTCATCTTCAATCGTCTGGTGGAGATCGTGTTTTTGATCCCCATCATCGGAATGCTGGTGAGTGCCGCGCATCCCTCACAGAACCACCTCGGAATCCAACCTTAACCTCCTTCCAACAGGCTTATTTCGTCGATGGATACCTCAAAGCCAATATCATCACCCCCGTCTACATCCTGGTCCTGTTCATCGTCAGCACCATCGCCGTATTCTGGTGCTTCGACACGCTGATCCGTCACTCCACCACCAAACGCTCGGCCGGCTTCGTCGCCTTCGTGGACCTGCTCTTCTTCGGCGCCTTCATCGCGGGAGTATACCAGCTGCGGTTTATCGCCAATGCCGACTGCGCGCACTGGAATGGGGGTTCGGTCTATATCTCGCTAGGTCCGTTCGGCGCCTACGGCTCGCGCACCGATAACCCGCTCTCCCTGGACATCAACAAGACCTGTGCAATGCTGAAGACGTGCTTTGCGCTGGGGATCATGGAGGTGGTCTTCTTCTTCTGGACTGCCTTCTGGGCGCTTTTCATGTATCGCCGCTCGCCTGAGGTGGTGGTCAAGGAGACGGTGGTGCGCCGCCGCAGCCATAGCAGCCGTCGGGGCCATGGCCATCGTCGGCATAGCTCGAGCAGTCGTCGGCCGCATTATGTGGTCTAATTCGTGTTTTTGCTGATATTATGACATGATGGATGATAAAGGCTAATGACGTGTTGGATGAGGCATGATTTTTGTATGAAAACGCCTGGATTTATTGGCAATGTTTTATGTGAGATGTCTTGAATATGAATTTCCGTTAGTTGATACCACCACTTTTGGATGGCTCGTTCCATAGTTTGTCCTTCCTGTGCCTAGGACCTAGAGACCTCTGTGTGGCGATAGTAAAGTGCGTATGCAGACCGATAGGCTTGCTGTGGTGCTCTGATTCTGCCGAGATAAGGGTAATGCCACGCTCTCGGCCTCTTCCGACCGCCCTCCGCTGACGATAAGGTGCAAAGAGTGGGGAGCTTCACCACGATCATCGTCTTCTTCTACATCCCACAACTACAGTATATCCCTCTCTAGGAATGGAATCCCTCCATTGACTGGCTTGGACCATTCCTCCCACTATAAGAGTCTCGTTATATCTCTTCTTTCTTCCCCGCAAACCCCATGTCTCTTGAATGACATCTTCGCCACTCCAGGGACCTCCGCATCGGTCAGCTCCGACGATGCTCTCTATCTATTCTGTGGAGATCGACTGAGATATACTTCCTTCGCACGGTTTGGCGCAATATATTCGAGCATCCCCGCTTCAAGAATCTGTTTAATTGTTCATTCTTCCGCTGTTTGTGTCGTGGGGACCATCTTCTACTAGCCTTCTATACCTCGGCCGGGAAACACCTCCTCAACAGTGTACGTCGCACCTGCGTCTGATGGCCACCGTTCACCAGCATGACCGAGGCAATCATCAATGAGGGAAGTCCCTTAGGCTACAGCCAGGGCTACTCCGAGGACATCGATGCCATCCGGCAGCGCGAGTACCCCATGCTCTCAGGTACGTCCCACGACTCAGTGACACACTATTTTCTAACCGCACTCTAGACACAACATATCTCGATCACGCCGGGACGACGCTCTACGCAAAGTCGTTGATCGACTCGTTCTCCAGGGACCTTACCACCAACCTCTTCGGAAACCCGCACTCGCTATCGGCTTCGTCGCAACGCACCACCCAGCGCGTGGACGACATCCGCCTGCGAGCCCTCCGTTTCTTCAACGCAGACCCGGAGCATTTCGACCTTGTTTTCGTGGCGAACGCTACTTCCGCCATTAAACTCGTCGCAGACGCCCTCCGCGACTCCGCGCACGGGTTCTGGTACGGATACCACGTGGACGCGCACACGAGTTTGGTCGGCGCGCGGGAGCTCGCGCAGGCCGGAAGCCGATGTTTCACGACGGACGAGGAGGTTGAAGCATGGATTGCACAGCTCGATGCTGACCGGACTGGGGCGGCGCAATTGTTTGCTTTCCCGGCCCAGTCAAACATGAACGGGCGGCGGTTGCCACTGCGCTGGTGTGGACGGATCCGCGATAGGACGAAGGAGACCGCAACAACTTATACGCTGCTCGATGCGGCGTCTCTGGTAGCGACGTCACCGCTAGACTTGAGTGATGTCTCTGCAGCTTCGGACTTCACCGTCCTCAGCTTCTACAAGATCTTCGGCTTCCCTGACCTTGGAGCGTTGATTGTGCGAAAATCTGCGGGTCATATCTTCGCGCAACGGCGGTTCTTTGGCGGAGGGACGGTGGACATGGTCCTGACGCAGGATACGCAGTGGCATGCGAAGAAAAGATCGGTCCATGAGATTTTGGAAGACGGCACGCTGCCATTCCACAATATCATCGCGCTGGACTCGGCGTTGGATACCCATGCGCGGCTGTACGGTTCGATGGGCAACGTTTCTACCCACACACGCTTTCTTGCGAGGACACTCTACGATCGTCTTGCTGCGTTGAGGCATTTCAACGGCGAGCGAGTCGTTCATTTCTATATGGGTCGCTCCCCGGATTTTGCCGACGCGTCCGCGCAGGGGCCTATCCTGGCCTTCAACCTGCGCAGCAGCCAGGGAGGCTGGATCGGCAAATCGGAGGTGGAGCGCCTCGCTAGTGTGAAGAGCCTCCAGATCCGATCTGGCACGCTATGCAACCCCGGAGGCACGGCGAGTCAGCTCGGCTGGTCCGGAGCTGACATGCTACGCCATTTCTCTGCGGGCCTGCGCTGCGGCGACGACCACGATGTCATGGACGGGAGGCCCACGGGCATCTTGCGGGTGAGCCTGGGGGCTATGAGCAACCTGAGAGATGTGGAAGCGTTCGTGGCCTTTGTGGAGGAGTTCTACGTCGAGAAGACGCCGAACGTCTGTTCGGTGGTTCCATCTGCGGCGGATGACTCCCTGCAGGCAGGCTTCTACGTCGAGAGCCTCGCCGTCTATCCGATCAAAAGCTGCGGCGCGTTCAAGGTCCCTGACGGCCAGCGCTGGGAGATCCGCCGCGAAGGGCTGGCCTGGGACCGCGAATGGTGTCTCGTCCATCAGGGCACCGGTGCCGCGCTGAACCAGAAGAGGTACCCTCGCATGGCGCTGATCCGGCCGCATATCGATCTCGCTCGCGGCGTCCTCCGCGTGGTTTGCGGCGAGGCCTCCTCGGAGCAGAAGACGCTGGAGATCTCACTACGCCGCGAGGACGCCAGTCTAGTAACGACGTCCCTCTGCCAGAACGCTGCAAAACCGTCCACCGTCTGCGGGGACCAGGTCGTCGTCCAGGTATACTCCTCCACTGCCGTCTCCTCGTTCTTTTCCACTTTCCTCGACGTCCCCTGCACCCTGGCGCGATTCCCGCCGCAGTCCACAACGAGGTACACCAGGCGCAGCCTTCACAGCCGTTCATCCACGGCTGCCCTTCGACGCCAGCGCCCCGTCGAGGAATCCTCCATGCCCGGCTCGTTCCCGTCCGACACGCCTCTTTCACGCACGCCGGAACCCCCACCCATCCTCCTCGCCAACGAGAGCCCCATCCTTCTCATCTCGCGGTCGTCCGTGAACCGGCTCAACGAGACGATCAAAGCCAGCGCCAAAAAGGCCGTCGCGGCCGACGTCTTCCGCGCCAACATCGTCGTCGCCGAGAACCTCCCCCACCAGCTCGCGAACACGGAGCGGCCCTACATCGAAGATCGGTGGGAGTCGTTCACCGTCGGTCCAGACCGGCTGCAGTTCGACGTGCTGGGGTCGTGCCAGCGGTGCCAGATGGTCTGCATCGATCAGTGCTCCGGGGAGCGGCGGGATGAACCGTTCTCAACCCTGGCGAAGACGCGGAAGGTGGGCAGTCAGATTGTGTTTGGGAGGCATGCTGCGGTAGCAGATGGTGTGGATGGGATATCGCGTACGGTCATGGTTGGGGATGTTGTGCGACCGTGGTATCCGGAATGACATGGTTTGCACTGGGTATTGCATATAGCGTTATGAGCATGGTTCAGGTTTATGATTTATGTATAATTTGAATGACACCTTTGGCACAAAGTAGTGTGACGAGATCTATTTGTACATGCATCGAGAACAAAGAAACAAACTCCTAAGCCCAGCGACTGACGCATCGCATGTATGATTGCAAAAAAGGAACAGATAACATGACCAATCCATTATCCCAGTAAATATACAGACCCATCGCTTCTTTACCGCTTGGGCCACTGCTTCCAGCCACGACCGTGACCTCTCTGCACATCAGTTAGCACCAACCCAGCCATCAAACACAAAGACAAAAACAACAAGGGAAGGAAAGATCTCACCTGCTTCCACAACCGAATCATCTCCGGCATCTCCATCATAGCCTTGCGTCTCTCCTCGAGACGAGCCTCCATCGTACGCTCCCACTTGTGACCCTTGACCTTCTGCCCGACACCGGTACCCTTGATCTGCAGGCCCCGTTCGGCGCGGCGCGTGTCCTTGAACTCGGTGGACTTACGGCCGGGCGGCAGCAGCGCCTCGACGTTGTACTTGATGGCGAGCTTGACGAGGTCGGCCTGCGTGCGCAGCCCGTACCGCGGGCCGATCCACTTGCCCGTGCGGAAGTTCTTGCGCGGCAGGAACGGGTTGGGATGCTCCGAGCTGGAGTAGAGGAGGGCGCGCGACGGCGAGAAGGCCGTCGGGTCCGGACGCTTTGCGCCCTTGGCGTCGCGGTTGGGCGTGTAGGGCGAGGGCAGGGCGGACTCGTCGGGCTGGTGCTCTGGTTCGAGGGGAGGACGGGCGGCGGCGGAGTAAATTTGTGGAGGGTATCGGGCGAAGAAGTTGCGTAGGCGGAGGGGGAGCTTGGAGACCAAGCTCGGGGTTTGGGAGGTGGCCATCCTGGGGTGGAATTGAGGATGGAGGACGACGATGTAAGAGTTGGATGTGATGGTGATGGTGAGGAGGATAATTTGACGGAAGATGGAGAAATTCCGCGCTAAACCCGTTCGGGGCATGCGGCTCGGGAGGAAAATTAACGTGCGCAACTTCATCGACTGTTGCATCTCCGCCCTTCTTTTCCTCCTGCCTCCATCTTCTCCCTCCGTCTGTGTCTTGTGCGCGCTCATCATCTAACCACCTCGTCTGGCTTGTGTCGCGACGCTGTTCCGTCTATCCTGCTACGCACAGCCATCATGGCCGATTACAATTATGGTGGCTCCGAAGAGGAGAATGCGGAGTTGAAGAAGCTGGAAACTGAGCTGGTAAGGAGACCTGTTTTCGTCGTCTGTGTCGCCCCTGCTTATCGCTGTGTCTAGCTCGATGATCCCGATAACTTTGAGACGTGGGAGCGCCTTGTGCGCGCGGCGGAAGCCCTGGAGGGAGGCATCAACCGCAACTCCAACCCCCAGGCCATCACCACCGTGCGCAATGTCTACGACCGTTTCCTCGCCAAGTTCCCCCTGCTGTTTGGATACTGGAAGAAATACGCCGATCTAGAGTTTTCGATTACCGGGACGGAAGCTGCTGATATGGTATGTGGTGCCCGGTTTGTATAGGATATAAGACAGGAGCTGACTCTGTCAGGTCTACGAGCGTGGTATCGCGAGCATCTCCCCCTCGGTCGATCTCTGGACCAACTACTGCTCCTTCAAAGCTGAAACCTCCCACGATGCCGACGTCATTCGAGAGTAAGTACAACAGTGCAGCTGGTTTTTCTCCCTTCCCTCCCTGTAACTGTGACCAATGCAGCACGGACACGATGGTGGTGCCAAAAGCCGCATGATGCTGGACTGTCGCTGGACGGAACATTCCCTTCGATCATGGGTGAGAGTTTCACCTTACCCAGATGCCACTGGAGTTCCTTCTCACCCATAGCTTCCTCAGGCGTGTTTCCTTGCCTTTGAAACCTGTTCCAAGCACCATCCTTTGCACCGACACCTCCTTCCAACCAGTCACTGCTCTGTCCGGTGGACCCGATTCTCCGCGCGCGATGCAGCCGACGGGAGAAACGTCCTCCACTCGTTGAAGCACCTTCGTCGTTGAATTGTTTGGGTTCGCACGCACTCGCAAGATCAAATTGCTCATGTTTGCTCTCCTGGCCTTTCTTGTTTCCCCGTCCCCGTCACCCTCCCATCTGTCTTTCTGCGAGTTTGACGCATTCCGTTCGTGCTGACCGAGTCCTCTTTTTCTTACCCGCAGGCTGTTTGAACGCGGTGCAAGCAGTGTTGGTCTAGACTTCCTCGCCCATCCCTTCTGGGACAAATACATCGAGTTTGAGGAGCGCGTGGAAGCGTTCGATAAGATCTTCGCCATTCTGGGTCGCGTGATCCACATCCCCATGCACCAGTACGCTCGCTACTTCGAGCGCTACCGGCAGCTCGCACAAACTCGCCCCTTGGTCGAACTCGCCCCGCAAGAAACCCTCTCTCAGTTCCGCGCCGAGTTGGATGCGGCCGCGGGACATGTCGCTCCCGGTGCCAAGGCGGACGCAGAGATCGAGCGCGATCTTCGTTTGCGCGTCGATAGTTACCACCTCGAGATCTTCTCCAAGACCCAGACTGAGACGACGAAACGCTGGACCTACGAGTCCGAGATCAAGCGGCCGTACTTCCACGTCACCGAGCTGGACGAGGGTCAGCTGTCGAACTGGAGAAAATATCTGGACTTTGAAGAGAGCGAGGGCGATTACGTCCGGGCTCAGTTCCTGTACGAGCGCTGTCTGGTGACCTGCGCCCACTACGATGAGTTTTGGCAACGCTATGCCCGTTGGATGGCCGCCCAGCCCGGCAAAGAGGAAGAAGTCCGTAACATCTACCAGCGCGCTAGCTGTCTGTATGTTCCAATCGCCAACCCGGCCATCCGTCTGCAGTACGCCTACTTCGAGGAAATGGCTGGCCGCGTGGATGTGGCCAAGGAGATCCACGGCGCCATCCTGATCAACCTGCCCAACCATGTGGAAACCATCGTCTCGCTGGCCAATATGTGTCGGCGCCACGGCGGACTGGAAGCTGCCATCGAGGTGTACAAGTCCCAGTTGGACTCGGCAGAATGCGACCTGGCCACCAAGGCGGCACTGGTTGCCGAGTGGGCCCGCCTCCTGTGGAAGATCAAGGGCTCTCCCGAGGAGGCTCGCCAGGTCTACCAGACGAACCAGCAGTACTATCTTGACAGCCGCCCCTTCTGGGCAAGCTACCTGATGTTCGAGCTGGAACAGCCCACCAGTGCGGCGACCGAGACTGTCCAATACGACCGCATCAAGCAAGTCATCGAGGACATCCGCTCCAAGAGCACCCTGACGACGGACGCCGTGAAGGAGCTCGTGCAGACCTACATGACCTACCTCCTGGAGCGCGGCACCAAGGACGCCGCCAAGGAGTACATGACGCTCGATCGCGAAGTGCACGGCCCGGCCTCAGTAGCTCACCCGAAGACCGGCGCTGCCGCCGAGCAAGCCGCTGCTCAAGCCGCTGCCCAGAGTGCCGCCGCCGCCGCCGCCGCCGCCGCTGCGCAGGCCACGCCGGCTCCCCCTCCTCCCGCAGACCCGGCTGCCGCCGCAAATGCCTATGCTTACTATCAGCAGACTCCGGTGAATGGCCATGTTGGCGCCTAACCTTTTAACCCGCTATGATGAATCCCTTTTTTTTTTTTTGTAGAACAATCTTCGTTTTCTGCTTTGTTAGCGATTCCGGCGCGCGAGAAACGTCCGCTCGCCGAGGGCCTCTCAAGGGTCTTTCTTTTGAATGATATCATACACTTTCATTGGGTGGACCGTATGAGTTAGGAAATGGTTCGCATTGTACTTTAATCCGATGCTAGGTAGCTCTAATACAGTCATGCGCGTATTGCCAGGATTTGTCTGGGTTGTAGTGTCTATATAGTGCGTTCTTATATCGGAGGCCTTGGCTTGGTTAAATTGGCAAACCAAGCTTCAACATATCATCTAAATTCAGCAAATGAATGTAATAACTAGCCTGCAAAGATGCCATAAAGGGACCTTGTATAATATAGACGAAGTGCTGATATTGTTCGATGGACATCACGTGACTCCTTCTTCTAGAGCTCATCGATCCGCGGGCAACAACCTTCACCTCCAACATCACCACCACTTCACACATCGCCTTCCACCATGGATACAGACGCCATGCCGGGCCCTCCAGCGACGGCTCCTCCGCCGGAGCCCATCGAACGCCCTCCGACTCCCCCTCCCCCGCCGCCAGAGGACTCCGCGGCTCCTCCGCCACCTCCAGACATGTCCGCTCCTCCGCCGCCGCCGCAAGACGAACTGCCTCCAGCGCCAGAACCCAAGAAGAAAAAGCTCGGATGGGGCAGTAAGCGGCCGGCTGCGGCGCCGCTGAGTGTGGAAGAGCTCGTGCGGAAGAAGAGGGAGGCTGATGCGGCGGCAGCAAAAGTACGTTCTTACACTTTTTTTCTTCCTCTTTTTTGCCCTATACCGTATGACATAGCTAACCCGTCTAGCCAAAATTCCTGTCTAAAAAAGAACGTGAGAAAATCGCCCTGGAGAAACGCGCCAAAGAGGTCGAACAATCCCGCCGTAAGACGTCTACCAACGGGGCCAGCGACACGGCGTCCGTCCGCTCGGAATCCGCCACCCCGAATGGTGTCGATAGGACAGCCAGCATTCCCACGGGCCCGCGCGCCATGCGCACGTCTGAAGCACCGCCGCCGCCGAGACCGAGACACGACAGTAGCAGCAACGGCAACGGCAACAGCAACAGCAACAGCAACAGCAACGGGACGGTGGACGAGGACGAGGCGGCGGCGCAGGCGGCGCTCGTGAAGCAGCGGTACATGGGGGCGGAGATGACGTCGAGCTTCAGCGCGAAGAAGAAGCGCAAGCGGACGACGGACCGCAAGTTCAACTTTGAGTGGAACGCAGAGGAGGACACCAGCCGCGACTACAACCCGCTGTACGCGCAGCGGCACGAGGCGAACTTCTTCGGGCGCGGGCGCCTGGCGGGCTTCGGCGACGACGTGGCGGACGGGGTGGCGCGCAAGTACGCGGCGGCGCTGGAGGACCGCGACCGCGAGGCGGGCAGTGTGCGGGCGCGCGAGATCCTCGAGATGGAGCGGCGGCGGCGCGAGGAGAGCACGCGCAACCAGCTCGACAAGCACTGGAGCGAGAAGAAGCTCGAGCACATGCGCGAGCGCGACTGGCGCATCTTCAAGGAGGACTTCAACATCGCCACCAAGGGCGGCAGCGTGCCCAACCCCATGCGCTCGTGGGCCGAGTCCGGCCTGCCCTCGCGCCTGCTCGACCTCGTCCACCGCGTCGGCTACAAGGACCCGACTCCGATCCAGCGCGCCGCCATCCCCATCGCCATGCAGTCGCGCGACCTCATCGGTGTGGCCGTCACAGGTTCCGGAAAAACGGCGGCCTTCCTGCTCCCGCTGCTGGTGTACATCGCGGAGCTGCCGCGCATCGACGAGTTCGAGTGGCGCAAGAACGACGGGCCGTACGCGATCGTGCTCGCGCCGACGCGCGAGCTGGCGCAGCAGATCGAGATCGAGGCGAAAAAGTTCACCATCCCGCTCGGCTTCACGGTCGTCAGCATCGTCGGTGGCCACTCGCTCGAGGAGCAGGCGTACAGCCTGCGCAACGGCGCGGAGATCATCATCGCCACGCCCGGCCGTCTCGTCGACTGCATCGAGCGCCGGCTCCTCGTGCTCAGCCAGTGCTGCTACGTGATCATGGACGAGGCCGACCGCATGATTGACCTGGGCTTCGAGGAGCCCGTCAACAAGATCCTCGACGCGCTGCCCGTCTCCAACGAGAAGCCCGACTCGGACGCCGCCGAAAACGCCGCCGCCATGTCGCAGCTGCACCACGCCGGCGGCGGCCGCGACACCCGCTACCGCCAGACCATGATGTACACGGCCACCATGCCGACGGCCGTCGAGCGCATCGCCCGCAAGTACCTGCGCCGCCCCGCCATCGTCACCATCGGCAGCGCCGGCGAGGCCGTCGACACCGTCGAGCAGCGCGTCGAGCTCATCGCCGGCGAGGACAAGCGCAAGAAGCGTCTCGGCGACATCCTGTCGTCCGGCGAGTTCCGCCCCCCCATCATCGTCTTCGTCAACATCAAGCGCAACTGCGACGCCATCGCCCGCGAAATCAAACAGTGGGGCTTCTCCTCAGTCACCCTGCACGGCTCCAAGACCCAGGAGCAGCGTGAGGCCGCCCTCGCCTCCGTGCGGAATGGCTCCACCGACGTCCTCGTCGCCACCGACCTCGCCGGCCGCGGTATCGACGTCCCCGACGTCAGCCTCGTCGTCAACTTCAACATGGCCACCTCCATCGAGAGCTACACCCATCGTATCGGTCGTACCGGTCGTGCTGGTAAAAGCGGTGTGGCGATTACTTTCCTCGGCAATGAGGATGCCGATGTCATGTATGCTTTTCTTTTCTCCTCCTCCCCGTTGCAGTGTACACAGCTAACCCCTGTTGCAGGTACGACCTCAAGCAGATGCTCATCAAGTCGCCCATCTCCCGCGTCCCCGACGAACTGCGCAAGCACGAGGCCGCCCAGCAGAAGCCGACCCGCGGGTTCTCGAAGAAGAACGACGAGAGCTCCGCCTTTGGAGGGAAGGGCGGCTGGTAGGCGGTTCGCCTGTACTATGTATTCCATGGCTGCTGTAATGTCTACAGATGAAGATACGAATAGAAGACTGGACCAACAGTTGTTGTAGAATTTTCTAGTAGTGTACCAGATACCCACCCATATGCACCTAGTCCGATTACGATATATCACCTAGCTATGCTATCCATTTACAGCTTCCCACCGCCCAGGTACTTGTTCGCCTTCAACCAAGACTCAACATCAGCGCCATCCCGCTTGACCCAGTTGATCTTGGCCCGGATGGCGTCCAGACTCTGCTCGACGGCGCGGTCAAAGCCCTAGAAGACAGTTAGTATGTGTGTCCACGTTAAAGGTGAAAAGTAAAGGCTTACCTTGGTGTCCTTGCTGGCAAAGAAGGTCTCCACATCCCGCAACTGCGCCTCCGTGCAGAAGCTGGCCGTGCTGAGCTGCACAACCGTACCGAGCATGCCCAGACCCGGTGGGAGACGCTGGTACAGCGCATCCCAGTTGTTCTTCATCCAGGTCCAGCGCGCGTCAATACCGGCGGTGTGGCCGCGCAGACCACCCAGCGGCATGTAGATGTCCTGGTTCTTGACCTCATCGCTGCTGGCGAGGTCGAGGGTGCGCTGGATGAGAGCGGGGTCCTCGGCGGCACCGAGGCAGCGGAGGGCCGTGGTCTTCTCATCGGAGGTGGGCGCGTTGCGGAAGCGGTCCAGCACGACGTCGTACTCCTTCGCGCCGCCATTCTTCAGCACAATGGAATAGACGCTGCCGCGGATGTTGGGGTGGATGGCAGTGGCATCGCCGGCGGCAAAGCGCGCGAACATGTCCTGTGCGGCCTTCACAACGACCGGGTCCTCGGCCATACCGGCGCTGCCGAACATGAGTGCCTTGAACTGTTGCAGGATGTGGCCGTCGTTCTCGGAAAACTCCCAGCCCAGCTCGTGCGCCTTGGAGCTCACGAGAGCGCGCTGGAAAGCCTTGAGGGCGTCCTTCACCTGCGCATCCTCAAACAGCCAGGCGGCCCGCATGGTGCCGATCCGGGTCAGCATTTCGTTCCACACGATGAACTCCGACTCTCCATCGAAGCCCTGCAGGAGGGAGAGGAGTCCCGAAGTGCTCTGGTAGCCGGAGGCGGCCAGGGCACCCGCGTCGGCGATCATACCGGCGCGGTCCTCGACGGTCAGCAGTCCCTGCTTGGCAGCGTTGCCCAGCTTAGACAGACGGTCAGGGGTGTAGGAAGTGCGGTAGATGGCGGAATGATCGGCGTTGAGCTTGTAGAAGTCCAAATCGGGCACCTTGAATTCACCCTGGCGCTCGGTGAGCATGGTGTTCTCGTCGATGCCTTGCTTGGTGCGCAGTCCGAGCATGACAGGGTAGAGGGTGGTGTCCTCTTCGGGCCGGACATCACCGGTCCGGAGGAAGCGGTTCTGCTTCAGGGTAATGGAGGAAGAGGATGGGTTCTCCGAAACCGTGACGACGGGGAAGCCAACGTTCTTGGTCCAGATGTCCATCACCTTCTCCACGGGCTTGCCGGAGGCATCAGCGAGAGCGGCCCACAGGTCACCGGTCTGAGTGTTTCCGTAGGCGTGCTTCTTAATGTAGTTCCGCACACCCTGGAGGAAAACATCTTCTCCGAGATACTTGGAGATCATGCGCAGCACCGACGAACCCTTGGAGTACGAGATGGCGTCGAAGATCTGGTTGATCTCGTCGGCACGCTTCACCGGCACCTCAATGGGGTGGCTGCTGCGGAGCGAGTCGAGGGAGAGCGCACTCTGGAGGTTATCAATGACGTAAGTCTGCCAGACCTTCCACTCGGGGTAGAAGCTGTTGCAGGAGTACCAGGACATCCACGTAGCGAAACCTTCGTTCAACCACAGGCCGTCCCAGAAGTCCATGGTGACCAAGTTTCCGAACCACTGGTGGGCCAGTTCGTGCTGGACTGTCTCGGCAATGCGCTCCTTGCGGGACGCGCCACTAGTCTTCTCATCCAGCAGCACGTCCACAATACGGTAGGTGATCAGACCCCAGTTCTCCATAGCTCCGGCGCTGAAGTCGGGCACAGCCACCATGTCCATCTTCGGGAGGGGGAAGGTGCTATCGAAAGCCTTCTCATAGAAGGCGAGAGTCCGAGCAGCCAGATCCAGCGAGAAGCGGCCGTGCTCGATGTCCTGGTCGGGAGTAGCATAGACACGGATGGGCACCCGGAAAGCATTGGTTTCGATGTAGTTCATGTGACCGACAATGAAGGCCACCAGGTAGGTGGACATAAGGGGGGTGGTGTTGAACTTGACTGCCTTCTTACCGCCCTGCACCTCGGACTCCGACGCAACGTCCATGTTACTCAGACAGGTCATGCTCTTATCGGCGACCAAGGTGATGGTGAACTTGGCCTTGAGAGCGGGCTCATCGAAGCAGGGGAATGCGCGGCGAGCGTCAGTCGGCTCCATCTGGGTGGAGGCCAGATATTTGGTCTCGCCGTTAGGCAGCTTGTAGGACGAACGATAAAAACCGGCCATATTATCATTGAGGATACCAGTGAAGGTCAGCTTCAGCTGGGCGGAGGACCCCGCGGGAATGGTTTCGGAGAACTTGATCGTAGCGACTTGGCTGTCCTTGTCGACAGAGATCTCGGGGTTCGAGGCGACGACAGAGCCCTGGGCGGAGACAATGGCGCTGTGGATATCAATCTCATTGGAGTTGAGGGCGATGGAGGTGGAATCCTCGGCGACCTGGAGGCTACGCAGGGGTCAGCTAGGGGGAACAACTGAAGAAGCCCAGGCCACATACTCAATCACGACGGTTCCATTGTAGGTGAAGGACTCAAAGTTGGGCTCCAACGTCAGGTCATAGTGGACCGGCTTGACGTTGGTAGGCAGGACCTCCCGTCCATGGACGTTGGTCGAGCCCGAGGCTTCGCCGCGTCGAGAGCCACACATTCTGCGATATGAACAATAACGTTTGGAGAGTTGTGAGAGAGGAGTCGAACGACGGGAGGAGAGTCGTGGAGTAGAAGAGGAGACCGAAGAGAGAGGGGAGGTGGAGGAGGAAGAAGCGGAGCGCGCGAAGAAGCGGGGAGCTCGGGAGGAGTATGCAAGCGGCGGAGACTTTGCTGAGTTAAGAACCAGCGGGAGCCGCGAGGAGGAGGGGAAGCGACGCATGAACAAGCCCCACGGAGAGGAGGGGAAGACAAAGAAGAATGGCTGAGAGAATGAATGAATGAATGGAGATGAAGAATGAGAACAGTGGAGGAACAATCCAATGACGGAGGCAGAAACAATCACAGAAGGCGGTGAGTAAAGCTGCCGTCTGGTATGGTCACGTATTGCTGCCTGTTTATCGAGGCCACGACTTTCCCTTTAGGGCTCTCTGCATCATGTGATCTTCTCTTTATTTTCCTCTTTTTCTTCCCTTCCTTCTCTCTCCATCATTCATTCTTTCAGCAAGTCTCCCCCATACAGCAGATGTCCACTTTCTCTCAGAGGAACGCTCTCCATGGCACATGACTGTCGGGCTGTCCATGCGACAGGACTTGCGAGACAGTACTCCAGCCAGTTTGAGGGGTCCATGACAACCACGTGGATGGGCTTCCATAGAGGGCTGGGACATCAGGATCTAACCAACACATCAATCTTCACAGGAACTCAGTTCTGTCTACCAAGGGATATGTCTCTATGGTATATGCATCTAATATATATCTATTGTACAATTCAATCCAAACTCCCCCATGCAGGCACAAACATTAAAGATTACTAGCGTAATGATGTTGAATCTCGTCAGTCATAATCTTCGTCAGTGGCTCTCAGCCTCGGCTTAGAAGTCCTGCGGAGGCGTTGACACCGATGCCGCTGCGGACGGTGACCCCAACTGCGACAGCGGCAGCTTGGTGAACACGCTGCGCGACCAGCCATCAGCGTCCACCACCGTCTCCTTCACCAGCATGTATCGGCCAATCCGCGGCAGCACCACCGCCCACACGACGTAGTACAGCGCGCCCAGCGCGAAGATCCCAATCGCAACCACGCAGTGCAGGTAGTACGGCAGCTCCTCGTACACGCTCTGGCCCTCGCTTGGCGGCACGTACGGCGCCACCACCAGGTACATGTTCGACAGGCAGAAGAAGATGGTCACCGGCAGCGTGGCGCGGATGCCTGGGGCCCAGTCCGGGAAGCGGGACTTGAACAGGTAGATATAGATCAGTCCGCCGGACACGAACACGTTGACGATGGAAAGCGGGTAGGAGATCAGGTTGACAAGGAAGTTGTACGCATCACCCGGGGGCGGCGCCAACATGATGATGATCGACACGACCCAGTGCTCGAACAGACCAGCCGCCGGCGAGTTGAATGGCCGGTTGCTAGCCCAGATCTTCGAGAAGGGCAGAACGCCCTCACGGCCCAATTCCTGGACAACTATCGACGGGTTAATTCTTGTCCACATGTGACGGTGAAGAGAGATCACTTACTGCGACCCTGGGAGAAGATCACCGACAAAACGTTGCCAAAAGCAGACAGCGCCACGAAAACCGACATGACCTTCTCCGCACGCTGGCCAAACATGTTTCCGAAGAAAGTGGCCGCGACAGTCTGGCCCGACGAAAGGAACTGCTCCTTCGGCACGGCCGCAAAGTATGCGATGTTGCAGAGCATATAGAGGATGCCCACCGCGCCAATGGCAATAGGCGCAGCAATCTTCAGAGTGCGCGTAGGGTTCTTGGTTTCGCTCAGGGCCTGCCGACTATTAGCACACAGACTATGAAAGGAACAACCCTATATCCACATACATAGTTGGCGTTGGAGTAGCCGATAAACGACCAGATAACGTTGTACAAAGCCATGACAATTCCATAGCCGCTGCCCGTCGTGCCCTCAAAGGCGTTCCGAAAGTTATGGGGAGGGTTTTCGATGTGCATGTGGCCCGCCAGCGCCACCCACCCGCACACAACGACGAAGACGATGATGACCAGCTTGACCACACCGAGAAGGTTCTGGAGACGCAGGCCCCATTTCACAGCGAGGGCATGGATCAGAAAGGCGGCAGTAATACACGCCAACCCGATGCCACGCTGGTTCCAGCGGCCAACCTCCACGTCCGCAGCGTTCAGAATGTACTCGCCGAACACCACGCTGTTGCTCGCGGCCCAGCCCAGCAACACAGCGTAGGCGGCGTACATGGCCGTGGCCAGGAACTTGGGTTTCTTGAAGACATATTCGAGGTAATTCTTCTCGCCACCGTTCCTACAACCGTCAGCGCATCCCCGCCGCATATCAGTCAGGTCCAACTTACTTAGGAATCGCAGTACCCCATTCCAGATAGACGGCGGTACCGGCCATAGCAATGGCCGTACCCGCCACCCACATGAACAACGACAGCCCGACACTACCAGACAAAGACAGAATCGTACTCGGGGTCGCGAAGATACCCGTTCCAATGATACGGTTGAAGATCAGGAAGGAGGCGCTCACGACGCCGATCTGACGGCGGTCCTCCGGGGTAGCATCGAAGACGTTGCCCTCGTCTATTCGCAAACGATTAGTTCAGATCCAAGGATGCACATGCCATCAGAGCAGGGACATACACAGCTGAGACACGCCATCTGCTCGCCGAGGAGCATCTCCGACGGCCTTCGCGTCGGGCACGATGGCCTTGTGAGAGCCGTTCTCCAGGGATGAATCGGACATCATCGTGCGCGGGAAGACGGTGCGGATGTTCAGAAAGGATTGACACGTCTCCCGCAGCTTTGCAAGCATATATGGCGACCACCTGGTGGTGTGAGGCGGCTATCGACAGGGGTATAGAGCGGTAGGTAGGTCGATGGTGTGCTGCAACTAAAAGTGATGCAATATGAGAAACCCTCTCAGGGGATATTCAGCAAAGCTCCCGGTAATCTGGAGTCCAAAGAACGTAATAGTGGGCAAGATCTAGGCAGTGGCGGCGCTCATGATTCGCGTATCAGAATCCTTCCGTCGAGTGAATCCAGAATATACAATTAGAATATAGAAAGAAAGAATGCACAACCACGCGAACCGAAAGAAAAGAGAAAAGAGCCTACTACTGCAAAGAACCAGCCATGACGCGAGCCATGTAGAATGACTAGCCTACTCTTGCGCAATCTGCCTCTCATGAACCCTAAGAGAAAAAATTGAGTAAAAAAAAGAGCCAGGCTTGGCGGCGGCGGAACCAGAACTCCACCGGGCCCGGCGCTGCATTCGTGAAGAACGTGGCAGCTCTTTTGCCATGACACACAGAAACTGATCACGCAATTTTCCGGCCTTCCAGCAGGCTCTGCAATGCCCCTGGTGGCGCCGGAGATCCGCCGTCGTCCTCGGGCCTCTGTCTCAGATTGCTTGCTCATCCCGTCCGCTTCCCGATCTTATCAGCTCCGTCAGTAGTAAGTACTCCGTAGTACTCCGGAAGTAGTACCGAGTAGCAGAAAAAAAAAATCTTCATTAGAATATGTACAGTATAGGGCCCTCTGCCAACTCAAATGGCTGCCCGAGACTCCGTATAATCCGTTGCTTCATCGCCGTTCATCATTCATGCATGCCCAATAGTGGTGACAGTCTGGTACCGCGCCTTCGAGCTCTCCAACTCCAACGCCAGCAAAATCAAAAAGAAAAGCAAAAATTAAAAATGAAGACTCGTGTCTCGATGGATATATTAACCACGAACACTGATTGAGAAACGAAAAGCTCAAGAAAGATAGGGACGAAATCCGCTTAGCCCACAAACTCAACAGGAGGAATGTCTGAAGATCGAAAACTCTCACGCAACCCGCTCATTAGATGTCGAACAAGCGAGAGACGGCCGGAAAAACAAATGTAGTTGAAATTGGTAGGAGAAATGAGAAATCCAACGGAGATATGCAATGTTCTCCTCGGGCATGTGCCTGCATGCGTGCTCAAAATGGAAGAGGTTCGGGGGGTAAAGGCTCCTATCTGGGCGGTGTTGCTCCAACCGCATGAGCAACCGGCGTCAAGTTAGAAGACGGCGTTTTTCCAAGAGAGCCGGTCGGGCGCTTCGCGAGCACGGTCAGTTTCTTTTGCAGAGCCGTCAACCGCCCCCGGATACTGGACACCACTGTACAGTATGTTAGTGCTTGATCTCAATTCTTCCATCACAGCAGTACGTACGCTTGACCACGACCTGTCGGTCTTCTGCCTGTACACTATCCAGCATGGTTTGTTCGCCGTCCTTGCGGTCCGCTTTGTCGCCAGCCGTCGAGGGCATTTCATCCTCCTCTAGCACCGCTTCCAGCATCCGGATGGCCGTCACATAGGCGATCTCGCACCCAGACAGATCCTCCCCGGTGAGTTCATTAATGGCGGCCGCTCGACTCATCTCCAAGGCCCGGTCGTACATCAACTTCTCCGCCGTCACCCCAGGGCTCACGACCACATCCACCGAAGCGCCCGAGCCCAGAGAGGACCCGATCGAGTGGTTGTTCGGATGACTGGGATGGTCAGGAGGCAGCCGCTTTTGTCCCTCAATCAACTTCAGACGGACAAACTCGGCCTTCTCGAGCACCTCATTGAACCGGCTTCGCACCCATTGAACAACATTGTTGATTCGACTGCCCACCACCGTCATCGACGCGTCGGTTCGGTTGATGGTGGAATCACCAAAGACGTCCACCCGGTTCTTGCGATTCCACCAAGCACTCGCAATGTCCATGGACTTGGCTAACAGTGAAAGCGCCTTCACATACAGGACCAGGGCTTCTTCCGACAATGTCACGACAGCATCAACGGTGAGCCCTCCGTCCGTGGAATCCGAAGGCTCTCGATAGCCACCGGGAAGGCTACTTCTCCCGGAAGGGTCTGTGGGGACAGAAGGAGCCAGCGGAATGAGCTGTTTATACTTCACTTCTGCAAAACCATAGACAACGTCACTGCGCGTCGCACACTCCTCGATCACCTGAACGGTCTTGGCATCCTCATCCAACGTCGCGTTGGTTTTGGACCCGTCACCAATGGGCAGTAGGGTGGGCTGGGCTGCTGGATACGCAGGAAACGGGTTGTAAGCCAAAGGGGGAGACCGGCCTCCTTTGGTGATCGCCATGGGTGGAGAGAACCCCATGCCGAAAAGCCTCCCACTAGCCATGTTGAGAGCCTTGGAAATCGCAGACGTTGCAGACGTGGGACTCTGTCCGTAGCGACGCTCGTAGGAGCTTTGCCGGGCATGGGTAGAATCTGCTCGTGAACGGCCTGGGAAAACTTGCATAGCCTTCGTATTCGAGGCAAGCGGAGATGTGGCAGTGGTTTGTGGACCCTGCACGGTTGCGCGACGGGAGATGGCGCCGGTTTGAGCGTTCCTGGTGAAGCCTCCTTGGATGCGAGGACTGTGTGCCAGCTCATCGGCGAAAGCATTCACCTCCACTGCACGCTTCTCCACAACTACGTAATCTCTCTCGAAAGCGACGTCCTGAGCGGCACGCTCCTGCTCTTCCTTGGCTTTATCGACGGGCCTTTCATGCTGCGACGGCCCAAACGTATGTCGGTTTCGCTGCCGCTCCATGGCAGCAGTCGTTGCGTTGCGATCCAAGAGTTCCTGGCGTCCAGGTGCTGTGGCATGGGACACTGTGCTGGGCCGCTGGGGATATGTCGTGGCCGTATCCTTCGGTGTAGATGGAGCCTTATCCGCGCTTCCCCCGCGGCGCATCGGGACCGACGACGGAGGTGTCCCCGATCTGGGGGTTTGTGCGGTGGTTCGTTGAGGATAAGTGATCTGGTCCTCTCGAGAGACATCCTTTTCTCGACGCGACCCGGCGGCAGCACCGGGGCTTGGCTGAGGCTCTGCTGGGGAATTCTGCCCTAAGGGATCCAGATCTGCAGAGGGCCGTCGCAGTGTGCCAGTGTCATCCGGTATCAGCCCGGGAATGGGACTGGTGATGACGTTTGATTCAAAAAAGTCAGCAAAATTCATGCGCTCTACTGGATTTCGCTTCAGGAGCATTCGGATGAGCGCCTTGATGTCGTCGGAGGCTGGATTCTCCGGCGGGAATTTGATGTTGTCCTCTCCTCTCTCGATCCTCCGGAGCAGCTCTACGTGGTTGCTGGCCCGGAAGGGCGGCTTTCCCACCACCATTTCGTAAAGCACCGTACCGACCGACCAGAGATCGGCCTTGGCATCGTATTTCTCATAGCGGAGGATCTCGGGAGCCATATACAGCGGAGAGCCACAAAGGGTCTCCGCTAGGGAGGTAGCGGGGAGGGATCGCGCGAACCCGAAGTCGGCGATCTTCAGCATTGGAAGCGAATCAAGGCCGGTGGCGGGGCTGAAGGAGTCCTCACTACCTTTGAAGGGGACTATCTGCGCCACACCGGCGCGGTAGGACGTAGGTGATGGACATAGGAGTAGGTTTTGTGGCTTGATGTCACGGTGAATCAGGTTCCGATCTCGGAGGAACTTTAGGGCACTGGCGAGCTGCTTGAGAAAATGACGGACGACGACTTCGTTGAGAGCGCCTCCGCGGGGATTGGGGTACTTGGCAATCATATCTCGCGTGTACCGATGCTCTCCCAGCGTATTCCGGTGCCGAATGAATTGGGATAGGTCACCCAAGGCGCAATATTCCATCACCAGGTGGATATGGGAGGTGGTCTCATGGCAGTCGATCAGAGCCACGATGTGGGGGTGATAAAGGCCCTTTAGGATGTGTATCTCCGAGAAGAGGTTCTCTTTCAACTTCTTGTTGAGCTGCGACAGGTTGACCGACTTGATGGCGACATAGGTACGTGATTTCTATCAGACGAGGCGCCATGTCAATAAGGGCGTCTTGTGAAGACGGAGTAGGGAAAGAACCCCAGAACTTACCGTATGTACACCTTGGTAGACCGTAGCGAAGCTCCCCTTTCCAATCTGACCCAGCCTAGTGTATCGACCAACCGACATCTCCGATTGGGAGGTCTGGGAGGTCTCCCTCGGCCTCCTCGAGTGATGAGCAGATGCCATGGTGACGGCGGCCGAGGCTGAAACCGAAGTAGGGCTACGGCGACCAACCACACCCAGACAACCCACAACTACCTCGACAGCAGCAGAAACGACGGCGGACGAGCAAGGAGGCTCATAGGGGAACGACGCAATGAGGGTGAGAGTCGGTTGTGCTGATCCTCAGAAAACGGACAAGGCTGGGTGGCTAGAGAGGGGATAGGGATGGAGACCAAGGACTGAGGAAGGGGGTAGGAAGTCGAACGTCAAGATATAGAATGTTGAGCAAGGGGAAGAGTAAAGGCGATAGGAAATCGACGAGGACGTAAGTAGGAAGCAATGAACGAGAAGCTCCTACTGGTGATGGACGAGAGCGGTGAAGCGCCACGAGCGGTATGGGGCGTCACGTCGGGAGCTCTTTATGATGGCGTCAGTCTGGGACGGATGTTGTTAGCGATGGGAGGGGTGGTCGGGGACTAAGAGGGAGAGAACCCACGGCTCAGAGACGAGGAGGCTAGATGATGTGATAATGGAGGGTGGGAGAGAGGAAGAAGAGGCGATGCGATGGGGGAGCGAAGGTCGACCGTCGGGTCCAGTGACCGATAAGGTGATAAGATAATCCTGGGCGGTCTACGCTACGCCCGAATCATCTGAGGGTCAAGATGAATGTAATGATGAAATACTAATACCATCTGATTCTTTAGAATGAAAGCAGAAGGGGGAGAAGAACAAGAAAGCGAGCAAAACACAAGATGGCTGAAGAGATCACTGGGGATTCCTGCATTACTGATCCCGGTCATTCCTGATTCATCAGCTGCCATTCATTCGATCATCGCGGGTACCTCCAGATACCCCCGGCATTACCGGTATCTCCCCCCATTTCCATGTACCCCAAAGTACCGGCGATGTTATCAGTCATTCTGCCAGTCTGCCGTCATCACTCTCGACATTACTCTTTACTGACGAGTCCATGCATTTTCTTGCTGTTTTTCCTGCGCTCTCCTCCGTACTCCTGATGACTCGAACTTCCCCTCAGGGGCACTATGAATCACCGATAAGCCGCGTGGATACAACACCCCGACTAGGTGGCGATCAATGACTGGACTGCCAGCTTGGGTATAGTCTGATCGATGGATTCCCGCTGCAGGTCAGGTGGCCCATGTTTCACCCTAACGCCTCTCTCTAGTTATCTATTTATGACCAGCACAGACGAGGAAGAGCCAGAAGAAAATAGAAAGAAGGAAATGCTGATCAAAATAGATTACACAGAATAAGAAGGAAAAGAAGACAGAAACAAAAAGAAAAGAAAAAACAACTAGTTAAGTTAGAGGTATCATCTATACAGGAAACACCCGCCCCATCAAATCCATCTAGCCTCACGCGACGGCATCAAATGCATCATAATAATAAGAAAACGTCACATCCCATCTCATAGTCCCAGTCCTCTGACCAGCAACCAAAGCACAACCGGTACAACAACATTGTCGTTGCATCCCGTCAAAATCGCTTCGGTGGCGCTCGTTCCGGCTGCCGCGAGCACCGCCTTACACACCGTTCCAGCCCAGGCGATCTGCCCGGATCCACCCTCGGCCTCGACCGGCCACTGTCCCACCGCCAGCCATGCTCGCGCAGCAATCAAACCTCCTGTTACGGCGGCTGCAAAGGCCACGCTGCCTTCCAGAGACTTGCCGCCACCCCAGAACCATTTGAGCCGACCGAAGCGACGACCAACAAGGGAGGCCGCTGCATCGCCCATGCCGACGCAGATGATCCCACTGACCATACTAACGTCTCGGTAGTGTAGGTTCCAAGCCTCCCACGGATGCTCGCCGGTTCGAGCAATGTCCGCCAAGGAGAGCCACAGGGGGATGGAGCATCCAATCAGGAGGAAAATGTGGGAGACGATGACTGGTCCACGGTGGTCGCGCCCATCCACGTACGGTGCGAGGAAGTATGTCAGCGGTCGCGAGATTGGCGGCATCTGCGACGCTCGAAACAGATCCAGGAGCAGGAAAACAGCAAGGACCAGCCCCAGCGCGAGGGCACAAAACGCGGGATCGATGTAGACGGTTGGAAGGAACATCAACACCATCATGCCGTGGAAAACCTTCCGCCTCGTGTCGACCTCTGTGATTGAGCTCAATTGGAACACCACGGCCAAGCCGGTCACAATAACGACGACACAGTATCCCGCGATCAAAAGGCGAGTGTTGGCCTCCCCAAAGGCCGTCTGCCGGAGGTGTTCCACCCAGCCCAGAGCACAAGACGGGTGCGACCATTCGCTATCCCAGCGCGCCGGAAGGGAGATCCAGCGCTCCAGATTCCACATGACGGTCCAGAACCTGAACCAGGAGATGTTTCCGAACAAGTAGCCCAAGGCCCATCCAAACGGCTCCTGTCCATGCAAAGCACGCTGGCCCACGTATGTTCGAACAGGGCCCAGGATAATCACCAGTACAGCGCCATATACGTATAAAGCATAGAGCCACTTGCGTACCTGGGCCTGCGGCACGGTCAGCGATAGGAAAGAAGCTAATCCCGGAGCCATTGAACGCTTCCGTCGGCCACTTGGCGTCGTTCGCACGCGTTCCGTGCGGACATCGTCGAGACTTGAGATAGTGTGCCGCCGACGGTGCACGGATCGTTGTGCATTCTCTGTGGGAGCATCGGCGGTGTGAACTGGCTCTCCGGCCGGAGGCTTTCCTCTTGGTTCATGTGTTCTGGTACGAGAGATCGGGGCCAGACTACCCTCCATAGAATCGCTGTCCGACATCGGTTCGTCGGAGGAGCCCGCGCGACTCAGCTTTTGACAGAGTTTATGATCCAGCACGTTCAGAAGACTCTTCCGCGATTGCGAGCTGCTGGGAGAGCGGCGGAACTTCCAGGTGGGAATGCGGGCTAACGCGACCTCCCAACGAAGAACATGCCGACAAGAGATAAAAACGCACATACCGCCTAGCCAGAGCAGGGCTTTGAGGATTTCGGCCTGCGGCGAGGATGCAAAGAGGAACAAATTAATCAGAGCGCTGGTCAGAAGTTGCAGCTCCGCGGGAAGAACACTGGTTGCCAACAAGAAATCTAAAGTGGGTATCAATGCTTGATGTAACGGGAAAACAAGAGTCAGAATCTCAGGATTGAGACCGCGTAGGGACAGCGGTTCGGGTATTGTATGGTCTGTCGTAAAGTGCTCGGAGACTATCATCGGAATTGTAGTCACGATCCAGTGCACAATACTCTGGCCGTGAATCCATTCATGCAATGGAATGACGGGAGCTGGCAAGGAGGACAGGCCGAGGATGATATTCGGGAGCACCAAGGAGGGTTCATGGTGGGAGAGAGACAGGGAAACGTAGACGGGAATCAAAATAGGGTATAGGAGAGGAGCAGGGTCGAAACTCGAGGGCACAATGAAGGTTGATAACCCGGAGAGTCGTAGACGGCCGTTTCGAATGAACGGATAGGATATGTAGACTCCGAGCACCACCAGCGCATAACAAAGGAGCTCTGTGAGACGATCAGCGTATGTTCTCTCCAAGCCACAGTCTCAGCCTTTCATCCTTCTTCCTTTACATACCTTTTTTCCACTCCCAGGCAAGCGGCCTCACGTGCTCCCGACATAAGACGACCACACCCACGGAGAGCAACAACGCCGTCTCCATGAGCCTGCGCAAGATCTCAACGCGCCGTTTCCGACCCAGTGTCTCCGCATCATCCAGCTCCCCTCCCGAGCTCCGTCGCGAGCCCCGGGAAGCAGATCGCGCGAAAGACGGCCACGGGTGTAACGCGGGCAACCACGGATCGTTCACGTCCGCGACACCGTTCCAAGCAGAGCGCAGACCTTTTCTGGGCCGAAGTGGAGGGGCGGGGAGGCCTTTCAGGATGCCAGTGCTTTCATCATCCGCCTCGGTGCCACTGTCGCTAGACGTCCGGGGCCACTGCAGATGGGGTGGTGTGGTGGTGCGGTGGCCATTCTCCGTCAGCCGCGGGTCGGGAGCGCGGGCACCCCGACGATGGTACGGGTGCGGCGATCGGGTGAATTGGCGCAGATTCTCAGGGGTCGAGAGATCGGACTCCACGGGAGTCTTACTGGGAGAAGACCCTTGTTGTTCCTCCGAGGCGAGCGAAGAGGCCATGACCCCATGGATGATAATGTTGTATGGGCTTATGATCGATCGGCGTACGTCATATCGGAGGTAGAGACGAGGACGACGGAGGGTAGGATTTGGGCGTATTCGATTGACCGATAGGGAGAAGCTCGAGTAGGCGTAAGCAGTCGAGCTGAGGCCAGGAGGGGAGTGGAAGAAGAAGGGAGAGTGGGAGGAAGAGAAGAGGAGCGGGAGTTGCAGGTGAAGTTAATGTGGTGTTATCGACGATAAAAAGGGAAGGTGGCTATCACATGCTCTCCATGCCCTATTTTCTCTCTCAAACCAGAGTACATCTTCTTATTACTCAGTTGCTATCATCTCGTGGTGCTCACGACTTCTAGATTCATTCCAGATGATTTTGCTCCCAACATCCCAACAGCCCTCGGGCTTGGCTCCCCTCCGTCTACAAATAACAGCGGTCTCCTCAAGCCACCAACAATCCTAGTCCCAGCGATGGCGAACAAGGGCTTATCGTCGGTTCTCCTCGTCCTCACCAATCAAACGACCCAGCATAAATGAACCCCAGGGCGACGCGCAATCGAGACCGTTCCTACGCCGCAGGGAACTACAGACGCCGCTGGATCAGAACCCCAGCCGCCAGTCGCCGACCTACTTGGCCCCAAACCGACTGGCAGGGCACAATCTGGCCGGACCACACGTCGCGCGAGACCGGCTGCGCAGTGTACAGCACACAATGACACTCTTCGCGCGGGGAGGGAGCGTATCTTTCCAGCACGCGCTGCAGACTCGATTCCAGGTCGGAGGCGGACCGCTCCAGGTCCAACTCGACCGCCGTATACCGCAGCCGGCCCTCAGTCGTGGTATGAATCACTTGGCCGTCATCGATGACCTCCGTGGTCAGCTTCACGCCCCCGCCAGCATATCCCAATCCCTGCCATTCGACCTCGCTGCCCCGCGGCAGCTCGGCCACCTGGACCGCAAAGAACGGCGGAACGATCCCTTCCGACTCGGCGATGTCAAAGTTTGGCAGCGCGGAGGTCCCCGTCCCCGCTGCCGGCTGCTCGTACGCCCGCTGTCCATACTTGATATCCCACGCGTCCAACACGGGACCTTCGTCCTCCTCGTCGCCATCTTCCTCCGGCGCATGCATCATTTCCCACAATCGCCACGCCACATGTGCTTTGTGCTCCGCGCCGGTAAAATATGCCACGCCCCCGAGCCACCAGTCGACCTGCATGGCCGTCCCGATCCGCCACATATGCTGCAGCGACAGCGCCGCGTGCAGCGAGAATCGCTCCACCCACGAGGCATCCGCCGGCGCATCAACCATCTCCATGGACGCTGGGTCCAGCGGAATCTGGCCCGCAACATACACACAGCGCTCGGCGGACGGCAGCGGGATCGAGACAGCCTGCGAATACGGCCCAATATTCGCCGGAGCCCAGTAGGACCTAGACTGAACATGTAGACCCTGGCGGCGCTCTCGCGAGCCCAAGTCCACCACTAGGGAGACCATGACGGCCACACCGTCCGGTAGACAGTCCCCGCAGGCAACCGTAGCACGCGCCGGCGGGTTCGGCTTCTTAAACAGCGAGACGTAGGCCGCGTTCATGGCCGGGAAATCTGCCATCGAGCGCAGCAGCACTGTAGCAAACACTATATCGCCCGTCGTCGACCGGCCCCCCTCCCCCAGTACACCTCGAATCTTCGACGCAATCGCCGCCATCTGCTCCGCAGCACCGGGGCCCGCCTCAGTCGCCGTGATATTCGACACCGTCCACGTCTCGCGGTTCCTCGACTGCGCCAGCGCGCCCCATCCACCAGCAGACACACTCACCTGCCCGCGGACGACCTCGTCGCTGCGATCCTCGCGCGCCTCCGCAGCGGCCAGCGCCTCGCATGCCCGCGCAAACCGCTCATCCAGCAGCGCCGGGGCACGCACATCCCGCGGCGCAATCCCAGACCCGTCCTCCTCCTTCTCCTTCTCAACGCACCGCGCCGCGCCCAGCGCAACAAACCCAACGCCGCCCTCGCCAGAGCGCACCTCGCGCCGCGACACCTCAATCCGCCGCTTCCACAGGAACGCAGGCCCATCCAGCGCCAGACTCTCATACTCGCCGCCCTCGCCGAGCACCGCACCGCGCAGGTCCTCAGGCGCCGCAAACCGCCGCATGGCCTTGCCAATCCGCCGACGCAGCGCGCCCTCGCGCCCCGCCACATCCCCCCACAGAAACGACTCGTCCAGCCCGCCCGACGCCACCTTGATGATGCGCGCCTCGCACCCGGCCGCCGCCATATCTTCCAGCAGGCCTGCGTCCGCGTCGAGCGCCGGCACCGCCCGCGGCAGCACGGGGTACTGCCACAGCCAGGCGAGCGGCACGAGGCGCAGGCGTGCGGCGACGTTCTCGATGCGCGTGCGCTGGTAGGTCGAGAGGATGGCACCCGCGGAGACGGCATTGGCCTCGGGGTGCGCCTGCATCACGCGCCGCAGCAGCGGCACCAACGACTCCGTCTCATCGGGGGTCTGCGTGTCGTCGCCAGCTGCAGCCGCAGACGCATGGGGGTGTCCAGAATCGGCCATGTGGTCCGCCGCTGCGTCGCGGTAGACGCGGGCGGTGTCGACCGCGCCGCCGGTAATGGGCGCACGGTACAGCGGGATGTGGAGGGCAGATTCGTAGAGCGGGATTATGCTGTGTCCGATGGTCTGGTACATGAAGCTGTCCATGTCTTGTTCTTCGTCTGTGGCGCCATCGTCGGCGGGAGGGGCAGGGCCGGGGCCGGGAGGAGGGGTCGGCGGATGGAGGTTTGCGAGCGCGACGACCTTGTGGCCATTGCGGATGCAGTGCAGGATGGAGTAGAGCGAGTCTTTGCCGCCGGAGACGAGGGCGATGACGTTCAGGCCTGGGGTGTTGGACATGGTAGGTGAGGTGATTGTCCCATGCGGGGAGGATTTTCTGGTGTTCTCGATCAGGTAAAGTAGCTCAGCGGTTTCACATGTGCATAGGGCACAGCCTTCGACACGAAAGAACCACCTGGTGGAATTATGTGAGGATTATTGTAGACAACCAAGTACATTCAGTGGTGAGGTGTAATAATTCGATGACGTGAATTGCGGAGTGTCGGCGGAACCACACTTTCATACCCTACGGTACCTACGGAGGACAATGCACTCTAGACTCATGGATCTTATACTCAACAACTCGTTCGCAATACCGCAACAAGTACGCTAACTAACAGCATACACGGGGAATATTATGCACAGATGGATGCAACAAGACAAAGGTATGCGCACAGGGGTATGAGGCAACAATGGGGGAAGCGGATTAGATTATACATGTGGCCAGCACAGGAATCGGGAGATGCGCAACAACAACACATATTACATCAAATAAATGGACAAGAAGGCAAACAAACGAAGGGGAGAAGAAAGCTTCCGTCGAAGAAGGAAACGAAAAGAAAAAAAGTGAGGATGAGAGAACAAACCCCAAACCACTGTGTGCCTCGAGAATCATGTCCTCCGGAGAATTTTGTGTCTGCAGACAGACAACCCGTCTATCACTCTTCGATCATCTTTTTGTTTTCCTGTTCTTCACCCCGATGAAGAAGATCAATCAATCAAAGAAACACCACCCAAGGTTGTACACCTGAATTGCCCTCAGCCACCGCCAGTGGAAAAGCCCGGACGCCAAACCGCAAAGACCAAGTCAAACCAACCGCGAGGTTGGCGGATTATGATAGTGTATTAGGTATAGTATAGGGAGTTCCTGGTCACATCGCATCGTGAGAGCGGGATCCGCCCTAGGCGGCGTTCTCCTCCCGCTTGCGCTTCTTGGCGGGCCGTCGGTCAACAAAAGCGTCCGACTCGGACGATTCACTGGTTGTCGACTTGGTGGCAGCCGCGTTGGCCGCCTCGTATAACACCGCACCCAGACCGTTCGCGTCGCGCTCTTCATACGATGCCCGGGCACCGTTGTCCGAAACACCCATGCCCGTCGCGCCCGTCGCGTGCGTGCGGGCGTGCTGCGCCAGGTTGTCGCTGCGCGAGAACTTCTTGCCACACTCGTTGCACTCAAAGGGCTTGTCTTGCGTGTGGAGCGACCGGTAGTGCCGCTTGAGGTGCTCCTGGCGACGGAAGCGACGCGAGCAGAGGGTGCACACAAAGGTCTTGGACGGGTCGTCCGTCAGAGACTGCTTGCGACCGCGGCGGTTCACCGACACCGGGGCGGATGGCATATCCTGGCCGCTGGGAGCCTCCGTGGCCGAAGACGCAGGCGTCGTCTGCTCCGTCGAGGGAGTCTCCACGCTACTCCGCTGGGCCTTCTTGCTCAGCGTCTCCGATTCGCTGTCCGAAGACGAGGTCTTCTTGGTGGACTTGCGGGCGGGGGTCTTCTTTTTGGTTCTCATCTCGGCAGGGGTCTCACTGGCATGGCCCTGCAGGCCCGTGATCTCCGAACCGCCGACAAAGGAAAGCCCCGACAGAGCCAGGTCCTGGTCCTCCGAGTCTTCCAATCCAGGCTCGCTCAAGAACTCCTCGTCATCTAGCGAGTAAGTACTCAGGCGCTGTCTCTTCTCGCCCAGATAGAGAGCGTTGCCGCCAGGGTGGAAGTCCACCAGGTGGTTGACAAACTCGTCCTCCGAGTCGAGATCGGAGAAGCTATCGAAGGTCGGCAAGGCACTGAGGGGATCCTCCGTAGTTGTGGAGCCGGTGAACGAAGGAGAAGGGTTCTCGTTCAGTGGGAGAGTCACAGTCTCGCTGCCCAAGACGACCTTCGGCTCCTCCTCCTCGCAAGAAAGCGTGGGCAATGGAGGAAGCTCGGCCGGGGCAGATGTGGCGATGGCCGATTCCACGGTCAGCTGGCGAGGATCGCAAAAGTCCGAGCTGGATGGCTCCGCCGAGAAGGTTGGCTGTGACTGGCCAATGAATGTGGAGGCGTCTGGGGAGGGCGATGGGGAAAGGGATGGGCAGGAACTGTTGGTCGAGAGGAAATCAGAGCCCTGGCTGCCCGTGTAGGAAGGGGGATGAATGAACACTAAAAAGGTTAGTGAGCTGGTCGATCTACCCCATGTCCAACCACGCTGTTTCCAAGTCCCTTGCGGCTTTCTGAGATTGTTCCTACTTACCAGGTGTCATAGGCGGCGAGTCGGACCGAGTCCAGTCGGCATTGGCCAGGATCTCGGCATGGACATCGCCTTCGCAGCCCTCCTTCACGCCCTCAACCTTCTCGAAGGTGAAGAAGCTATCGGTCAAGGGAGTCTGCAGGGCACCCCCGGCGGACGGGGGACTGCTGACGGAGCTTCCCGAGGTCGACAGCGGAGGGGTCGTGGGGAAGGCATAGTAGTCATTGCTAACGAACCTCGTGTCCAGCGGCATCAGGGCGGGAGAGCCTTGCTGGACGACGATGGTAGGCTTGAGGTGGGAAGGCTGAGGCGAGGCGATGGGGGTCATGTTCATGGCACCCCGGAAGGCATTGGTGGTGGCCATCTGGTGCATGTTCATGACGGGCTGAGTGGTATAGATGGGTTGCTTGTCGGGAACGCAGTGCTGTTGCTGTTGTTGCATGGAGAACTGTTGCATCTGCCCGTAGTATTGCTGCATGTCCGAGGGATGACTCGTGAAATGCTGGGATCTTTGTTGCGAATCCGCCGTGGGGTAGTATGCAAACGACGGTTGAGGTTGGGCCATGTATGTTGAGTCCATGGTGACTGACTGGGCGGGTGAGCTGATGTATAGCGGTGGATGGGTGGAAGGGACATACATGTGTGTTGACGGAGATATGTACACTCCGCGAGATTAAGATATAGTAATGTGCCGTCGGCTCCAGGTATTAACAGAGTGACGACGGGTAGTCCACGATGCGACGCGGAAGAATGAATGTAGGGTATAAAGAATGAATCTCTGGTGATGTTGGCGCGAGGGAAATAAGGATAGACAGGAACCTCTGGTCGAAAGACACCCACGCATATACTATGGGAAGAACTGTCGAACAGGGACCGGAACACGCAAGCCAACAAGACCTGAGAAGCAACGTCGAGGAAAACAAAGAGAGGAAGAGGAAGAGAGAGGAAGATGTGAGAAGAGAGAGAGCGAGATAACAGAAAAGAAATAAGACTAGAGAGTGGTAGAGAGAGACGAGACTCCAAAAGGGAAGGACGAGGGAAGGATCCCAAAAGCCAATCAATAAATAAAGATGGAAAATAAAATATAAAAAAATGGAAAGGTAAAAAAATAATAAAGATGGAATAAAATAAAATTAATGAGAAGGCGAAATTGCGCGAGAGAGGGAGAGAAAGAGAGAAGAGACGAAGAAGAAGCGTCGCGGGGAAAACGAGAGACGAGGCCGATATGGGACGAGCAGGACGGATGGGCAGTGGGAGTGGATAAAAAGAGGGTGTGGTGGTGATGATCTGCCTGTGCTACGATAGTCGTACTTTTCCCAGACACGAAATTAAAAATGATATTTCTTTTTATTATTTTTTGTTTTGGATTATTTTATTATTATTATGATTATTATTTTCTGAAAATCAATTAATGCAGTGAATGGACAAGCGGATTGGAGGCGGTGCATGCGCCCATCCAGCGCAGACGATTGGCAGTTGGCCACCGATTATCATTTACTGTACCTGTACTTCGTACCTACGCTATGTCTATTCTTCAGTCTTCGGTAGTATATTTAATCCTCTTGGATTTGGTATTTATAATTTATTTTATATTTTATATTCATATATGTCTCTGTATATCTGTATCTATATCTTTTCTGCGTTTTCCTGCATCTATTGTTTTATCTCTCCAATACTCCGTCCTGACCAAAAATAGGACGATTTGTCAGTTCACAAGATTGAGACCCCCAGTCCCCACCCTCCAGTTGACGACGACCATCCTCGGCCGCGGAACCCAAAAAAGGCGTAAGCCGGTGGGGGCGCATGAGCACGAGTGGTCCCGCCCCATTTCTTTCTCGCTTTCGCTGGTGCTAGCCGTACTATCGTACCTGTCCATACCGGTATTCATACCATGGAAGTCTTCGGAGGATCTAGCTTGGGTATGAGTAGGAGGTCTTAGGTCTAGTTTACTCCCGTACTCCGACTCCGTAGTCTACAGAGTACTCATGTCGATATGGTAGATTGAGATTCCTCTGGGATTCCTCTCCAACATCCCATCAAGTATACCTACCTAGTCAATATCCGCAAGACATTCAGCTCTCATCTCTCACATCCGTCCAGCTGATTGGGTTGAGAAATCGCCACAGGGTCAGTTGGCCTCCGAAAATAGCGCCCGCATTGTGATTGCCCAGACACGCTGTCACACACGCACTCTGCCACACCTACCACACCAACTCCCAGACCTCCAATCCATATTACTGGCGCGCGCGTAGCATCCCCGTTCCATGCATTCTGCCTATGGGAGTGTCGGCCTGGTCGGATGGGGTGATCTGAGTGATGATACGTAGGCTGGTCGCCTTAGTCCTTCCTTCCTTCGATGCTACGGCCCTCCATCCATCATGAGGGCGGCCCTCTCCGTCACCACCGGGGGCTTATCTGGCCAGTCCCACGGACATGGAGAATGGAACCTGAGCCTGCACCCGCCGAGCCAGTCACCTCCCCCTCTGGGTAAATTGGATGTGGGGCCAACCGCGAAGCGGCAAATGCTGTCTATGTATCTCGTTTTATCCTGGATCAAGTGTCATCCAACATGGATAAATGCAAGTCTATACAGCCTCTCATTTACTCTACCATTCTATGCTGGATACCTACAGACACCTACCGATTACTATGTACCTAGGTATGTAAGTGAAAAGCTACAAGTACAACACGATAGACCGCCAATCACCAGGATTGACTTTGCCGGCTAAGCTAGTCGGCCCCGCAGGCGCTTCCCGCCATTGGGGGAAGTCCCAAGAAGGAATTTCTCTGTTTCTTACAGTAAGATCAGCACCGGATCCTGTGAAGGAAGTGGCCGGTCTGTCAATCACTCGAATATCATGACTATCCTAAGTCTGGAAGAGCCATGAGCCGAGTAGAGATCATTATCTATGCCCATTTATGAAACGTCCACAGGCCCACCGGCATGGTGGCATGGTGCCAGATGCATGGCTGCATCGCTGCTGGTACCTTGCAGGCCCCAGGACAGCGATGTATGGAGTACGCAGCAGTTGGGTACCAAGGAACTACCTAGGTAAACCCCCATTAGGCAAGGTACATATCCTCTATAGTTAGTAGTAGGCAGTCAACCCATTTGAGAGAGCATTGCGATGTCACCCGCCGGTCCATGCAGCCGACCTGCACCTCCAATCCTTCATCGCCAATCCATCCATGCAGTTCATATGAGATGCGGTCGTCTTTCATATGATTTCCTCCCCCGTCGCCGGTGCATTCAAGCCGACAAACCTAGGCAGACACCATCCAACTAACTTTATTAACCGCCGGCCTCATACTCGCACTGTCCCCATTCCATACACAAGACATACAGGTAGGACATACGGGTATAGATAGATCAAGGTGAGATCGCATACGAACCAAAAAAACGGCCGGATCGCCTGCCGCCTGAAATGGGCGCAGGCCCGCCACCGACCTAGCCTTTTGACCTGTTCACCGACCGTTGGACCGATCATTTCAGAACCATGATTGTCTGGGGCCGGGCTCTCGGTCTACTGCAGGAACAAATGCGGAGGGAGCAAGAACAACAGCAGCGCGCGTCTCGCTAGTCTCAGCCTGCAGGTGTCAGCCCTTGCGTCCTGCCCTGGGTTACACCGCGGGCAGCTGTCACGGCCGCCCGGCCGCCCGATCGCGACGGGACGCAGTCTGACGTCCGCCGAATGAGGCAAGGAGCTCCTTGCGATGATACCTAGGTATCTGGGTCATATCGTCCCCGGTTTAAGCTTTCGGGGTTCTGTTCTTTGTTGGCGCGGTGCGGAGGGATCCTGGGGTATGTGCTGGTTAAATACGGCGTGCCTAGGTAGCTAGGACTTATGGTGGACAAAGAAGCGACCACGGTCGAGGAGGTGCAGGTCGGAGTTGTCTGGATGGTGGTTACACGGATGGCGTTTGCTCTCACCGCAGCGGGAGGCGTCACTCGATCTACGGCGTACACTTACGTAGAGCTGCAGCGGTGTATCTTGACAAACCATGTCTCTCCCAGTCTCTCTTTGCTCACCCAAACCCAAACCCAATACCTGCTCTGTAGATACTCCGTAGAGCTCATATGTGAACGGACCTCGCGGTGGCTCGGCAAGTCATCCGTCACGCAAGGGAGGCAAAGCAGAGCTGTCAGATCCGACACCCTCCGAGCAAATGAGGACTGGGACAAAATTCTCCCGTCCCATTCGGTGGTGTAACGCAAACCCAGATCAATGAAGCGACGCACTGGGGCATGGGTCTCACCACCGGGACTCATGACTCGCCGGGAGTGTCTCTGACCCCAGTTGCACCCGATTTATGATTCTGCATTATGCGACATTACCCTATAGGCAGAATCAATCTTCGGCGAGCCGTAATCCAGACCGCGCGAGACGAAATGAAATAAGGCGGGCCACCGCCCTAAAGATAGAAACGCCGGTCTCTGGTTCCGCCAGCGCCCTTCTATCATTTCCCTCGAAGCTTCCGGCCCGGACCTCTGGTGTCGACCTGGAGTCTAGACTAGGTAGGGAGAGGGATAGGGATAGGGAGGCCTATATCATCTCTCTTAAGACGCGAGTCCTTCCCAACGCAGCAAACGACCGCCGCAATGGTCGCGGACAACGGACCCATCCGTCGAGGACATTTTACCGTGTCGGGTTAAATCTCCAGGGGGGTTAATCTATGCATGGAAGCCGCCGAGCTTCGAGAAACGAACGAAGCACCGTTAGAACAGCGGAGGTCTGGCCGCGTCGAGGAGGCGACTCCACGTCGAGTCTCCATCGCAAACGCCGGCGAAGGTAGAGGGAGGGTCCCTTGTTCATCGCAATGTCGCGCCGGGAGCCCGGGGGATCAGGATCAGATGGATGCTAGGATGCTACCTAACCAAGGTACCTCTGGGCCTCGTTCGCTACGACTCGAGCGAGGGATTTGCCCGCAATCTGTCCGGCCCTTGCCACAAAGGATGCGCCACCGCAGACCGTTGTCGCACAGACGACAGAAGTGACCAAGGAAGCGAAACCGCGAGAAATCAGGCGCGAACCGAGGCAAGAGCACATTCACAGGCGAACGAAAGGCCAGACACATAGACGGCAAACTTACTCTGTAGAGAGCAATCATAATCAAACCGATAGATGGCAAGGCAGCGTCCTAACGGCTGTCGATCAATTTGACAGGTAGAGGCTAGACTAACTCCAGTAACCCACCACCAATGCAGCAATGATCGGTGACGGTAACTCCTCTGAGAGAGCTCAGAGCCAGTGAGCTACTCCGTAGATGACAGGTCCATCGCGATGAACTCCACCAACGGCCGGCGCACATCATGATTCTCTGACTGCCGGTGAGAGACGACTAAGAATTGATAGTCGCGACCGTTGTCTCACGGAAGGACGACCGACCGTTCTGGATGGCGATGGTCCATGCCCACGGGACAGCGTCCGAGAGAGCCGTCCATCATGCTCGTCACCGTGGTGAATCCTGTTGGTTGAAAGAGCAGCAGTGGGTGCAAATGGAGATTTGATCCGCCCAGCCGCGGCAGGCAAGAAAAATCGTCTGTCTGTGCGAGAGTGCGGGAATAACCATCCAACACCTGCGGTTCATTCCCCGACGAATCAGCGTGGTGGCGGTGGGATTGGGTTCCTGTCAATATCCGATGCTTGCACTTTCGTCCGGATGGAGGGGTCGATATGATATCAAGCACGAAACACGCCATCGAATGAGTGTATTCTACCTGACGGGGTTACTCGATGCACCCACCGCCAGCGGATCCGAATTAATTACCAGAGAACCAGTGCATCACGCAACGGTTTTCTGCAGTGGTTCTATGGATACGTGATGGTATGTACTGTCATGGACCTAAGGTTCTACCTAAGTACCTAGGTAGGTAGCTGATGTTGATCCAGAAGTACTATCATAGTAGTATGAGCGGAGTGTCGGACACAGGATTGCCGCATTAGGAGATGCCCAAATAATGAGCAGAGGCAAACAACACCACCGCGCCATGTCTTGGAAAATTAGCTTTCATAGTGTCTGCCACCAGCACGACTCTATGCTGGAAGGGGATAATGGCTTCTGCCCCAATCTCCGTTGTCTCATCATGCCAAGCTGGTTATCGTTACAGAGAGGACGCGGTAATAAATGAAGTGGAGGACCCGACCCGACGAGGCCGCGGCTAGTTTAGGGCATGCCCGCCACTAGTCGCACCACTATTCCAGACGGACGGTCCGCCCTTGTCGGAGGAGGGTGACAGGCGCACCATCTGAAACAGACGACGCGGTCGTGAGTCCACCAATCATCCGTTGAGATCCGGCCTCATGCTGGAGGGCTCCATCGGAGACCCTAATATCCGGACGAGGAGCATCCCACGCCGATGGAGCAGCGCACCGCACCATAGCGAGCGAAGAACCTTCGATGCGTCTTCCATCTGACACGGGGGGCATTAGTGACATGGGGCTAGTACTAGGGTGGCGACTATTCCAATAGAATCATTTTCGTAGCGTTGATAATTCTCCGAGACACTATCAACCCGTAGTATCAAAGGATGTTTCGCCCATAGATGAACCAGAACCACGCCATGGAAAGAACAACGGGGTTGTTCGGTTGGCCCGGCTGGATTCCCGTCGCCTAATTCTGCTCCAGTCAACAATGGAGAGAGAGGGGACAATATGGGCCAACTCGGATCTGTACCAAACTTTCTCGTCTGGAGAGGCCACCGCACGGTCTCGTACCAAACCATGCCATATCTCCTACCTACCTATCCACTACTACCAAGTATGTACGTACTCCGTACTTACTTGACTAGTGAGCTGGTGTTGGTCGCCGTAAAGGTCCCCAGCCCACTCCTCGCCAAGACCCGCCATGGACTGACCGGGCGGACGTGGATAGAGTCCGGTTCCCGACCGGGTTACTACCTCACCTCTTGGTTCATGGATGGCGTTTTGCGGGGACCAGTAAGGTACGGTACTCCGGTACTCGCCGTACATACTGTACCATACGGTGTACCTAGGTACGATACCATTAAGTTGATACTACGAGGTAACTATCCTACCAGCGAGGGAGACCACCGTGTCCACATGCAGACGTCCTCGGAAGTCCATCACCATCCAAGCTGGGCCCCAATCAGCACCCTCTCAGACTGATTTCCGGGTGGAATCGACCACAGACCTGCGTTGGACGGGTTTGCTGATCGCACCCGGCAACATGTCAATCCTGGAGAACAAATCCTTCCCGAATGGGCGAGATGGTGTGCTTTTGCCTGATCGAGATAAGCCCCGGGGATAGTGCCCAGTTGGTCGTCTGGCTGGGTCCAATCACACCACCCTACAGGACTAACACTAACATACTACATCCCAAGTGGCTCACTGCCTAAGAGGTGTGTAAAGTACCTAGTAGTAGTGCCGATGGGTGCGCCGGCATTTGTGGGCGAATGGTGACCGGCAGAAGAGCCAGACGGCGGGGAATTGACTTTGTGTTCCTGGCGCCCACGCGCATTCGGACGAGGGGAGGGAACGAGCACTAGGTCGATCACGATCACCACGACAGGAACCAACCTAGGTTGGAGGGCCGACAGCAGCTCGTTGTAGGTGCGGTGTTTACACGTGCTGGCACGGGAGGACCAGCCATGGACTTGCCTAGTCGAATCTAGTCTAGTGCACTAGTCGAGCTTCTAGTGGACGGCACGGATGGATCAACTACCTGGACGAGTCGACTGCGAGTATGGTTGGCTGGCGTCTCCGAGTCTTACTCTCTTGGGGGGGGGAGAGGGTGGGTTATCCGGCCCGCTTGGAGACGAAGAACTGGGGAAATTGTGAGCCACCACAGAACTATTCCAACTATTACGACTCTGCCTGTAGGTAGTACACTATCTCGTTGGATAAAGTCAAGAACGTGGGATCCATCGACGATCTTGGGTGCGTCGTCCAAGGTCCCCCGGGGCACGCCAACTCTTATCGGGCGCGTTTATACTCCATCGATACGAAGGTTTCGGATGCTCTCCGATTTTCCTCTTGCGGAAGACATCCTCCTGGCCATCCTAACCCTAACCCATCCACCCATGCCTTCCATGGATGAGCTAGACCTGCCACTAGGCATCGACGGCTCCTGCGACTACCGACGTCCAGCTTAATGCGGAGAACTGTCCAAAGGATTCACAATCTTCCTCTATACGGAGTGTGTATGGTCCGACACGCCCAGCTTGTCAGATAGCGGTTTGCCTTGGTGAACGCCACATCCATTGTCCGTCCAGAGTTGCATCCAACACCCAGTATCCAACTCCCCGTCTTACACAGCTCCAATCCCAACACAGATGGAGCACGCCGACATCGCTGGCCCAGCGATAACAGCTTCATCCTCATGTTCCATGCCTCCGGTCGAATTCCGGCACCTGGAGTCAACCCAACTCTATCTGGCCAGGATTGTCTCTCCACACTTTTCCGTCGCAAGCTACCTGCAGATAGCGGCAGCTCTCACGGTGAGTCCTTTTCTTCCTAGTCTCCAACCGCCGCGGCGCGCACTCGACTCGTGGGTCCGCCGCCCGTCTCCAATGTGACGATAGCTGCAATTGCTGCATGGGGAAATCCACCAAGGCCGCCCGTCGCTACGGAGTAGGTAACTACGGAGTATCTTGACTGTCCTGTCGCCTCGTCCTGTCCCGTTCGTGCAGCGATCGACGTCCGGGTCCCATTCCATCCCATCCCATCCCCAGGCCTGCGTCGATACGAAATCGCGCAACGCGGTGGATGCATCCAAACCTCAGTGGGAGCCTCTAGGAACCCTCGTGGGCGAATGAGTGGAGAGCAAGACGAGATAAGATGGCAGCAGCGGTGCGAGCTGTGGGAAGATCTACGCGCGACTTTTTCTTTTTCTTTTCCCTTTTCATCGTCATACCGAAGTCCAAAAGCATCGTTCAGCGCGGGCAAGGTTTCCCTGGGTCGCAGTGGGAATCAAATCACACAAGTCGACCCGATCCCAACCACCCGGGGGAGGACGAGGGACCCAATCCGTGGGCGTCCCCCACGGGCTGAACACGACGGCGCAGTCACACCCAACCCAAAATCCAACAGGGGGCCGCGCTCAAGCTTTTCCTCTTTGGCGACAGGATTCTTAGCATCTTGCGGGGGAGACATGCTGGACCTGACAGGACAGGTCTGGGCGACTCGCACATGCAGGTCGCGACTTTACCCGCTCACCGATAATATCAGAATGCGGGCGACGAACCGTGGTTCCTGTCCTGGGTTCTGGGGGTATCTACATATCGCCGGATTGCGTCGGATGATGCCACCGCCGCCGTGGGGGAGCTGTGATGGCATGATCAACAGAGCAGATAGCGGCATTACGACATCCGACAGATCGTGCTGGTTGCAATCCGTGGTTCTGGGTGGGATTCGACTCAGATTGAAACAACCTCGCTCGCTCAGGTACCGATGCGCAGAGCGTCTATACGAGGCACCCAGCCACGCTGTCTCTGCCTCTACGGTTTCATTATTATTGCGGACACTATCGTTCCGAGCCTTCCGCTGATGCCACCAAATAACAATGATAACAGATAGGGCACTCATCACCTCATCAGCTCATCTCAATCTTGAGTCTGTCTGATAGGGACCATCATGATAACACGACTAAGTGCGAAAAAAGAAAAGAAACAAAGATAACGAACGGCCTCAGTGGATGGTAAAGTTGAGATCACAACTCCCAGAGGGAACTCAGTCTCTTCCTATCATATTATACATCCAATTGTCTCATCATCAGCCGATATTGATGAGAAAGAAGAAGAGAGAATTTTTTGCAGATGAAAAGACGTGGGTGCTGACATAATCAGGCTGTCGCTAAGCGGAAAAAATGTAGCTCCCTCCCGTCGCGATCGCCCACTATAAAGCCTCCCACGGCCAGCAAAATTTTTGGAATTTTTCTTCTTTCCTTTCTTCGTGCGGCGACGCAACTACTATTCACCCGTGTTGCCTACACATCAGGTTTTCGGACTATTTCCCGTGATGTGTTCCAGGTGTCAGTTGCGTCACAGAAGAATGGAATTGCACGCCGGTTCTTACTTTACTGGTCTTTCTTGAACTCTTCTAGGATGAGGCCATTTGGTTTGGGATCGGACACTACTATCAAAATAGAGGGCTTGGCTCTATCACAGTATCCTCATAGTAAAAATGAAACACTTTACAATGTTCTTGTCTTCGTTCGCCTCGTAGTTCTACCGTAGACTCCGCGGACACTCGCTATGTATGATATCGACCCAACAACCCATTTACTCGCCAGGCTCGTCACCAATCTTCTCCAGCTTCCCCATCTCGCGCTTCTCGCCCGCCTCGCCGAAGATGCGAATGCGATCCACGCGCAACTTATCGCTGTCGCCGTCGCCATCGACAAAGAAAATCACCAGCGACATGACGCTCTGAAACTTGACAAACCGAAGGTCCACCTTTGCCGTCCCGGTCTTCGGATCCCAATCCTCAGGCTGGATGGTCACCGTCTGCACGGCGGGGATATCCTCCGCCTCGTCAAAGCCCAGCACATGCGACCGATTCGTGTACAGCTGCAACGTCTTGGGGCGCATGGGCCGCTCGTCCTCGTCGACGTCCTCGTCATCCGCCGGCGGCAACGACGTGATATGCAGCGAGTGCACCTTCAGCGTCGACTGGAACGGGATGAACAGCATCAGCTGCTCGTCCGTGTCGCTCTCGACCCAGTCCACCGCGCCGCCGCCGGCCTTGCCCTTGCCCTTGCCATCCAGCGCGGACGGTTTGGCCCCCTCGAAGAGCGTCTTGGCCGTGCCGCACTCGCTGGCCCGGTTCAGCAGCTCCAGGCCCTTCGGGTCGTACTGGTCTGTGATGTCGCTGTAGTTTTTGGGCGTCGCTGCGCCGACCCAGTATGCGCCGCTGGCGCCAGTGCTACCGCTGGAGGATTCACCCGCGCTGTCGGCTTTGCTGGCTTCTGCGGCGAGCTTGCGGACGGCTTCGGAAAGTTGTTGCGGGTTGGCGCCGCGGATGGTGGAGATGACGCGGCCGCGCTGGAAGACCATGAAGGTGGGCATCCTAAGGGAGATGTTAATGTTTGTTGTAGGATGGTTTGTGGTGGAGGGGCATACGCGGTGATGCCGTGAGCGGCGGCGAGGTCCTTCTGTGTGTCAACGTTGATCTTGGTAAAGGTGATGGCGTTCTTGCGGGAGAGCTGCTCGGACAGCTGCTCGTAGACCGGAGCGATGGCTTTGCATGGTCCACACCAATCTGCGTAGACTGGAGGGGTTGTTAGTGGTGCACGAGGGGCTCGCGTTGATGCGGGCAAGCAGTGTAGGGAGCTCACAGTCGGCCACGACAAAGGTGGAGGAGGTCAGCAGGGAGCTGAATTGCTCCTTGGAGGTGATGTGGACTGTTTTTGTCATTGTGGCGGCGGGTGGGATGAGGAATGAAAGAAGGAAGGGGAAAGAAGCTGAAGGACAGTCGCGATGGCGGTGGTTGGAGCTTCCGTATATGTCATCAACCCCCGCACCACGACTAGTTATCCTTCCTTATCCTTGACAAACCAATGTTTATCTGAATGAAGTCATTAATGTACCTTGGAATTAGATGAGCTGAATGTTTTGGTGGAGTTATTTAATAATTTGCTACTTTTTTGTTGTTGTGTGGGAAATATATATCTTTGTGCTGTGCTATATCAGGTACATTGCCTGATGTGGAACATCCATCACGGATTGTGCTGATGTATAGTGGTGGAATTTTGTACAGCTCTTCAGCCGAATGATGGTGCCTACAAGACAGGTACAAGAGTCGTGATAAACCAGCCTATAGCTTTGAATCGATCTATCATTGGTATCTTCTAGTCTATATAATCGTCGAGTTCATCAACATCATTAAACAACAACATCACGACAAGCCGCACCGCACAAGACCATTCACTTGCCTCGCAGCATCAGCCATTCGCATGAGACTATCTGCATAATCTGGGCTGTCCTCCAGACCAACCCTGCCACGAACGTCGTAACCGCCGCAGAGCACAACACAGCATTGTCATGTCCAGCGTTCAGGACCACCACACGCATGCATGCGAGTCGCGGACACCAAGACTGCTGAATACACAATCCGGCGTCCAAAGAGCCACTCCTCATACTTCAGAGGACATCACGTATCCTCCGCAACAGCAAACAAAACCTTCATCCACAAACTGCACCCGCGACACCCAACCACAATCTCGCCATGCTCCGCCTCCCGCTCAAGATCACTCTCCTCGACACAAAACCCGCGTGCGTCGCCGCACCGACACCCGCGATACCAGCAGGCGGCGTCCTCGTCGCATTCCAGATCCTCCAAATCCACGACCTCCAGCCCCGTGTGGAAGACCGTGGCGGTTTTCTCGCGCGCGGCGGCCGTCGACCGGTCGAGCCGTAAGGCGCGGTCGTAGTCGGCGCGGAGGTGCGGGTCCGAGAGGGTTTTGTAGGCGGTGGTGATCTGGTCGATTGTGTAGACGGGTCGCGGGGCGTCTGGCTGTGGGTGGAGGGGAGAGTCGGACGGAAGGGCGGTTGCTCTCGTTGAGGAAGGGTCGGTAGTCGGTGTCACGGTCGAGGCTTTGTCGGCCTTGTCGGGGTGGTGTTTTAGCAGGGCCTTGTGGTAGGCGAGTTTGAGTTGCTGTTTGGTGAAGCCGCTGCTTGTGGAGGCGAAGGGGAGGTTGAGGATTTGGTAGTAGTCGTGGAGGGGTGCCATTCTCTTATTTCGGTGTCGCTGTGTATGCGACTATGCGACGGGTGGTTGGTCTAGATGTCGCAGGGAATGAAAAGTTGAAAGGGCATGAATGCGACGGTGGTGAGGCGCATTGGTGGAGACTTTGCCGTCCGGATCTCTACCGCCGCCACTCAAGCTTCTCGGACTACTAACGTTTTCCACAATCGAGCCGCGCCTACAACCGAGCCGCGCCCTTTCCACCAAAACTCCTATTTCCTAAGGCTTTTCAACCACCAACGCCATTAAATCTAACTAACTAAATACATGAAATTATAGCCATCTACTAGGGCAATTTCGAATTGTATGTCCGATTGTTCCACACCCACTACAGCGCTGCGGAGCTCGTCGACGAGGCGCTAGAGTAGATTCCGCAGGCTGCTCATTAAGCTGCGTATCAAGCTGCTGAACGCGATTTTCACCTTCCTGCACATTAAGAAGGCGGTCATTACCTATCTCAGCACGTCTTCTTGCTTTTTTTTGACGTTGTCGTCCATTTTCAGCGCGTATAGCCCTAATTTCTTGCTGCAAAAGAAGGGTAGTTTGCATCGCCATTTGCGCTGCTTTCTCCAGATGTTGAATATGCGCAATAGGACTGCTAGAAAGCTGCCGCTTTCTATTAAGGCTATTCTGCAGGCTTCGAACCTTTCGATTCAGCTGGCGAGTATTCTGCGGAGTCTGAAAAGCAGAGGAAACTGAGCCTTCAACTAGTGGTGGTGTAGGCGTACGCAGTTGAAAGGTAAGCTTGGAAAGAACATGCTCTGGATCAAGCGGCTTAAGCCCTGCTCCTCTAAAGCCGCTGCAGATATTGGCCGAAGTAAAGATTTGCTTGTGGGCGTCCGGATATAGCGATAGGAAGTCTTCTTTATCAATATGGTTGTTGCCAGCAGCCATAAGGTCTTCAAGGAGCTTTCCGTACGCCTCTTTAAGCGGGCCAAAAACGCCCACATCAAGCGGTTGAAGAAGATGTGAAGTATGGGCAGGCATGCAGAGACATATTATTGCATTCTGCTTGCAGAAATCATCGAATTCAGCAGTCAAATGACTACTATGGCCGTCAAGAATAAGCAAGCGCTTTGCACCAGTCATATAGCGCTTAGAAAGCGGTTCAAAGACATTTTTCAGCCAGAGAAGGCCTATTTCATCAGTCGTCCAGCCATTCTGACTAGTAGAAATCCACCAGTCGCGAGGCAGCTTAGGTTCTTGGAACCAGGCAGCCTGTTGAACGCTTGCCTTTAATATAATGACTGGCGGTAGATATACGCCTCTTGACCCGATTGTTTCGATGATTGTAACCCATTCACGATTGCCCTGAATAACTCTGCGCGGTCGCTCGCTTCGCTCTACTGCAGTAATCACTTTTGAAGTAGAGCAGACTCCCATTGCAAAGCCAGTTTCGTCGAAATTCCAGATATCGTCTTCATGTATGCCGTGTTCTTGAATAGTCGCTCGTACGGTCTCAAACCACGGGCCTATAACCTTTGGATCTTCCTGCTTTGCGCGCTGATAGGTAATACGCCTTGTATATCGCGTACGGAGCTGAGGATGGCGTTTAACAAAGTTATAAGGCCAGTTAGTTCCGATAGCTGCGGTAGGGTCTTGTAAACGACTGCGAAGTAAAACCTGGGCCATTCCACGTAGAAATTCGGGTCGAATTGGAAATCCTCGCGTATCTGCATCTAATAATCGCTTTAGAAGTAATTCCTCTTCGAATTCGGTCAGTTTATGACCATTGGCGCGTGTTTCCGACCGTGATTTAGCACCATGAAGCCGGTCGCGTACAGTGCTTTCGGGGACAGCAAAAAGGGCCACAGCGCGTTTAATTGATTTAACCTGGCCTTTCTGATAAGCTGAAATAGCCATCTGAATGCGCGATTCTTTAGAAAGATGCATATTAAATTGTGGTGATGAGAAAAGACGCGTTGAATTTAGGAAGTAGGAGTTTTGGTGGAAAGGGCGCGGCTCGGTTGTAGGCGCGGCTCGATTGTGGAAAACGTTACTCCATACCTTACACTTCTACAAACCATGTTTCTAGCCACATGAATCAAGCAATTATCCAATAATGCATTGACCTGAGTCTAAGTCCTGTCTCCCCTCCACTGTATCAGGCCACAGAAGCTAACCATCTAGGATATCAAAACAAATGGAAAATACAAATGACTGGCAAAACTCAACCCCATCCATCCGTCTACTCCGAGGTCTTGAACACGAAGCGCTCCTCGCTGGTGAAGGGCACGCCGAGCTCAAGGAGCTTGACATAGACGTCGGCGAAGTCCTTGAAGAAGGCATCGTTGTCCTTGGCGTAGCGCTCAACGTGCTTCTTGAACTCCTTGTCCTTGGTCAGGGCGATGTCGGTGGGCAGCATCATCAGGGACTTGGTGGTCTTGTCGGTGAACTGCGTGGGGCCGTTCCACTTGCGGTTCTGCCACTTCTCGTCGACGAGCAGGCGGAAGAACTCGTTGGTGAAGACGGTCGGGCTGAAGTCCCAGGGGCCGTCGAAGCCGGAGCGGTCGGGGTGGGCGCGGCCGAGGGCGTGGGCACCGATCAGAGCCACGATCTCCTGGTCATTGAAGCCCATGCGGTAGAAGACGTCGCGGATGTGGCGCTGGTCCTTGGAGGCGTCGGGGAGGCGGCCATCCGGCGTGCAGGCGGCGACATCCTTGTCCTGACGGCCAGGGCGCCAGGGGATGGCGGGACCACCCAGCTCCTGAATGGCGCAAGCACCGGCCAGGGTCCAGAGGTCAGAGTATGAGATCCAGGGGAACTTGGCTTTGATGGGCTCGAGGAAGTCCCGGGCGTGCTTGAGACCAGCGTTGGCGCCGTGGTCCGACTCGGGGGCGAATCTCATGGTGGCACCGTTGCTTCCACCGGTGCCGGTCTCCTTATCGTAGGTGCCACTGGCGTGCCAGGCGAGACGAACGAGCACCTAAAAGGGAGAAGAGCGGGTTAGCGGCCAATGAACGGACTGATGAACCAGGGAAGAAGACGACTTACGGGACCATAGCTTCCGTCATCATAGTCGGTCTCGTCGGCGAGCTTGCGGGCAATCTCGTCGTACACCTTCTGGTAGTCGGCCTTGGAGGGGACGAAGTTCTGGGAGGAGACGGAGTCGCCGCCGTTCAGGTAGAAGAAGGCGCCAGCACCACCGACGGCGGCCAGACCAGCCCAGAGAAGGGTGTTGGAGGAGGACTTGGATTCACCAGCCTCGGAGGCATAGCCGCGACGAGCAGAGGCGCGGAAGGCCTGAGTGGGCAGGGCAAAGCGAGCGCTGCGTACAGCCGGACGGACCGAGGGGGTGGAGCGCAGGAAAGCGCGGGAGGCAGATCTCGCAGCGGACGCCATGGTGAAGTACGACTATGATACAAGGAAGATGAGGGAGAAGAGGATGAATTGATACGGAGGGAGAGAGGAAGAAGAGGAGAAGAAGGAGGAGAGGAAGATGGAGATAGATGGGGAGATCGAAGGAGGAAGAAGCAGGAAGACCAAGGGATGAACCCAATCAGCAGCGAGGGATTATGCCCGTTCTGGACCGATTTGTTGACTCAGCAGAGAGACTTCTTCCGATTCGTTTTCTCCGCATTGTCTTCATTTCTGGGGATGATGATGATACTGATTACTGATGGAGATATCAGGCCATTGATTACGCATCGCGGTGGCAATGGCCATTCCATGGATCCTGCCACGTCGACTGGTCTGTCTGATCGATCATAGACATCGAGACCTCTTTCGTGTGTAAGGTATCTCGTCGCATGGTCCAGGCATTTTGTGGACAGTTCCGAGGTCTCTCAGAGACATGCCAGTGATAGTCCACCGGCTCCACTACGCGATTTCCACATTACTAACGCCGTCTGTTGACTGGCCAATCCAGCCTCGGAATTACTAACCAGAACCTATTGTAACTACAGAACACCTTCCTGTGGTACCTCGGAGTACCTGACTACCCACCTTAGGGTTGTGTCCAGGAACGTACCTGGAGGTACCTTGATAGGGTCCTTCGGACCTTACCGGAGTGACTTGTACTGTAGACACCAGGCACATCCAGAGTACATACCTACGGAGTAGGTTATTCCTCTCCACAGCCAGTCAACAGCCG